TTTGTGATCTCTAGCTTTCAAAATCGGAAGAAAATGGCATTTCGGAAAAATCACATGAAATCTGTGATGGTACCCATTTGGAAATTGCCAAAAATGGACCCAGAAGAAATCCTCCCTAAATCGGTGATTGATGGACCTAACCATCGGCGAAAAATAGCCTCAAGACGAATATGTTATCTGTAGTCTTCAAAATCCATGGATAATGGCCTCTTGAAAAAAATAACCTAAATAATTACGAAAATGTCATACAAAAATTAAACCGTCCAAATCGGTTCCTAACGTGCTTAAGCATCGATGGAGAATAGGATCAATAGACTTCATCATTGGTGGAGAATAGCCTCGGGTCGAATTCGTGATCTCTAGCCTTCAAAATCTTAAGAAAATGGCATTTTGGAAAAATCAACCGAAATCTGTGATGGTACCCCTTTGGAATCTGCCAAAAATTGGCCCCGAAGAAATCTGCCCAAATCGGGGCTTGATGGACATAATCATCGGTAAAGAATAGCCTCATGCCGAATCTGTGATCTGTAACCTTCAAAATCTATGGAAAATTTCTTTTTCAAAAAAACGCCCAAAAAATTACGAAAATGCTATACGAAAATAATCCGCACAAATCGGTGCGTAATAGGCTTAAGCATCTATGGAGAATATAATCAATATACTTCATCATCGGTGGAGCATAACCTCGAGCCGAATTCGTGATCTCTAACCTTCAAAATCGAAAGAAAATGGCATTTCGAAAAAATCACCCTAAATCTATGATGGTACCCCTTTGGAATCTGCCAAAAATGAACCCGGAAGAAATCCTCCCAAATCGGGGCTTGATGGACTTATTCATCAGAGAAGAATAGCCTCAAGCCAAATCCGTGATCTGTAGCCTTTAAAATCCAAGGAAAACGGCTTTTTGAAGAAAAAAAATTGTCAAAAATTTATGAAAATGCCATACGTAAATTAAACCGCCCAAATCGGTGCCTGACGGGCTTAAGCATCATTGCGAATTAGGATCAATAGAGTTCATCGTTGACGGAGAATAGCCTCGGGGCGAATTTGTGATCTCTAGCCTTCAAAATAGGAAGAAAATGACATTTCGGAAAAATAACCCGAAACCTGTGATGGTACCCCTTTGGCATCTGCCAAATGGGCCTGGAAGAAATCTGCCCAAATCGGGGCTTGATGGATTTAATCATCGGTGAAGAATAGCCTCATGCCGAATCCCTGATTTGTAGCCTTCAAAATCTAAGGAAAATGACATTTTCAAAAAAGTCGCACAAAAAATACGAAAATGCAAACGAAAATTAATTTGCCCAAATCGGTGCCTAACGGGCTTAAGCAATGATGGAGAATATGATCAATAGACTTCATTATCGGTGGAGAATAGCCTCGAGTCGAATTCGTGATCTCTACCCTTCAAAATCGGAAGAAAATGGTATTTCGAAAAAATCACATGAAATCTGTGATGTACCCCTTTGTAATCTGCCTAAAATGGTCCCGGAAGAAATCCGCCTAAATCGGGGCTTGATGGACTTAACCATCGGTGAAGAATAGCCTCAAGCCGAATATGTTATCTGTAGCCTTCAAAATCCATAGAAAATGGCCTCTTGAAAAAATTAACCCAAATAATTATGAAAATGTCATACGAAAATTAAACAGCCCAAATCTGTTCCTAACGTGCTTAAGCATCGGTGGAGAATAGAATCAATAGACTTCATCATTGGTGGAGAATAGCCTCAGGCCAAATTTGTGATCTACATCCTTCAAAATCAATATAAAATGACATTTCCAAAAAAAAAACCCGAAATCTGTATGGACTCGGAAAAAATCCGCATCAATCGGGTCTAGATGGACTCAATCATCGACGAAGAATAGCCTCAGGCCAAATCTGAGATCTGTAGCCTTCAAAATTTAAGAAAAAATTGCCTTTTGAAAACAAAGAAACCAAAAAATTACGAAAATTAAACCGCCCAAATCGGTGCCTAACCGGCTGAAGCATCGTAGGAGAATATGATCAATAGACTTCATCATTGGTGGAGAATAGCCTCGAGGTGAATTTGTGATATCTAGCCTTCAAAATCTGAAGAAAATGGCATTTCGGAAAAATCAACCGAAATCTGTGATGGTAGAATCTGCCAAAAATGGCCTCGGAAGAAATCCACTCAAATCGGGGCTTGATGGACTTAACCATCAGTGAATAATAGCCTCAAGCCGAATCTGTTATTTGTAGCCTTCAAAATCCAAGGAAAATGGCCTCTTGAAAAATAAATAACCCAAATAATTATGAAAATGTCATACAAAAATTAAAAAACCCAAATCGGTTCCTAACGTGTTTAAGCATCGATGAATAATAGGATCAATAGACTTCATCATTGGTGGAGAATAGCCTCGTGCCGAATTCGTGATCTCTAGCCTTCAAAATCGGAAGAAAATGACATTTCAGAAAAATCAACTGAAATCTGTGATGGTACCCCTTTGGAATCTGCCAAAAATGGGCCCGGAATAAATCTGCCCAAATCGGGGCTTGATGGACTTAATCATCGGTGGAGAATTGCCTAATGCCGAATCCGTGATCTGTAGCCTTCAAAATCTTAGGAAAATGACATTTTAAAAAAAGTCGCCCAAAAAATTAGGAAAATGCCATACGAAAATTAATTCGCCCAAATCGCTGCCTAACGGGCTTAAGCATCGATGGAGAATATGATCAATAGACTTCATTATCGGTGGAGAATAGCCTTGAGACGAATTCGTGATCTCTAACCTTCAAAATCGGAAGAAAATGGCATTTCGGAAAAATCACCTGAAATCTATGATGGTACCAATTTGGAATCTGCCAAAAATGGGCCCGGAATAAATATGTCCAAATCGAGGCTTGATGGACTTAATCATCGGTGGAGAATAGCCTAATGCCGAATCCGTGATTTGTAGCCTTCAAAATCTAAGGAAAATGACATTTTCAAAAAAGTCGCCCAAAAAATTAGTAAAATGCCATACGAAAATTAATTCGCCCAAATCGGTGCCTAACGGGCTTAAGCATCGATGAAGAATAGGATCAATAGACTTTATTATCGGTGGAGAATAGTCTCGGGCCAAATTTGTGATCTCCATCCTTCAAAATCGAAATAAAAATTACATTTCGAAAAAAATCACCCGAAATCTGTGATGGTACACCTTTGAAATCTGCCAAAAATGGACCCGGAAGAAATTCGCCTAAATCGGGGCTAGATGGACTCAATCATCGACGAATAATAGCCTTAGGACAAATATGTGATATGTAGCCTTCAAATTCCAAGAAAAATGGCCTTCTGAAAACAAAGAACTCAAAAAATTACGTAAATGACATACGAAAATAAAACCGCCCAAACTGGTGCCTAACGGGCTTAAGCATCGGTGGTGAATATGATCAATAGACTTCATCATTGGTGGAGAATACCCTCGGGGCGAATTCGTGATTTCTAGCCTTCAAAATCTAAAGAAAATGGCAATTCAGAAAAATCAACTGAAATCTGCGATGGTTTGGAATCTGCCAAACATGGGCCCGGAATAAATCTGCCCAAATCGGGGCTTGATTGACTTAATCATCGGTGAAGAATAGCCTAATGCCGAATCCGTGATCTGTAACTTTCAAAATCCAAGGAAAATGATATTTTCAAAAAAGTCGCCCAAAAAATTAGGAAAATGCCTTACGAAAATTAATTCGCCCAAATCGGTGCCTAACGGGCTTTGAAATTGAAGAAATAATATCTATTAAGAAAAATAGTGAATTGAAAAATGACCATTTTAACTCTTCAGTCGATCCAATGATTGAGATTTGCATATGTTTATCCACTCATTCTGCGCCTTTGATTTTATGAGAATTAAAAACGCCTTACTTCTGATCATGTTGGATTCTTTTTGTTCCTGGGATAGTTAATTAATTTCGAATCAATTGTCGGGGGTGAACTGATAAAAAAAAGTAATTAGAATGAGAAAGCAACATAATGAATAGGACAATCAGATGGTTGACTGCAAGAAACAGCTCATGTGCTCCATATGATAATTATACAGGCATATGATGAGGGAATCAAGACTAGTAATTTTAAATTTATCTCCATGCATCATGCTTATGGTTATAGGTGTCAATAAGACGGTTCGGATTGAGTTATTTCGAGTTATGAGTTACTTGGATTATAGGACAATCGATTTACGAGTAAGATTATTGAGATGACTCATGATAGTTTCTTAAGTATTAACCAACTTCAAATGTAAATCAAAACAACATATATAATTGTAGGTGAAGTAGTTAGTATAACAAATTGATTCATATAGGAATTAGTTCAGGAGAAGTATTAAGTTCTAAGTAGCTAGTTAATATTATCATTGAGATAATCAAATTATCATGTAATTAAGTATATGAACTATAATATAAAATATCTCTGTAATTAAGATAATCAAATTAACAAGCAAATTACTTACTTAGGTTGATCAATAACTTTGTGGAATATATAAATTAATATGTATATACTATATTATTGTTATACATTGTTTCGATTGTTAGTTACTCATTATCAATAGGGACATTGTGAAAAAAATTTATTAATAAAATTTTTTGTTTTAAATTTTTTAACAAAGTAAATGTTCTATTGAATTTATTTTTTATTTTTTATAATTTTAAATAAAATGGAAAATACTAGGAATCCGAAATATCGAAAAAGTGTCACGTGTGTCCCGAACTATCCATATGATATTTATGTCCTGAACTATTTTTCTGTTAGTGTTGACCGGATTGTATGTTATTGTTAACTGATAAAGTTAGGATATCATAGTAAGATGGTATCTTAAATCCATTTGATGAAATTAGTACTAGTCTTATTGGTTAATGTCATCAAATAGAATTTATCATATTTGCTAATACTTTAAAATCCTCACGCTTTGCAAGTTTGAATCCTTGTAATGATATATATATTTTTAGCTTAGTGGAAAGAACAAAATTATATAAAATAAATTATAAAACTGATGTGAAATATTATTTAACTTGCTAATCCTATGTGACAAAAAAATTCAAAAAGTTAATAAGACCATCAACAACATCTTTTGTTGGGTGTCATTGGAGGCAATGGAGCATATGTTTATTTATTGTCAAGTGGTGGTTGCTCTATGGGATCGCTCGGGTCTTGGCACGAAAAGTTTAGTGTACGCCCCTCTTAACTTTGCTTTGTTTTTTAGGAGATTTGTCGAGCAGGATGCAGGGATAGACCGGATTGTTCGGTTTATTGCTTTGTTATTGAGGATCTGGAAGAGTCGAAATTGGGTTGTATCTAATCATATGCAGTATGACCCAATGCGCCAGTGCGGCAGTATGAGGAGCAGGTTCGGGAATGACTGGTGTTGCCTCTTCCAAGTCAAGGGCGGCCGGTGCGGGTTGATGGTGGTGTACGGTGGACGCAGATGCAGATGCAGCCACCGCTGCCATTTTGTTGCTATGTGGATGCCGCAGTATCGGCTGGTTCCCATGGTGCCGGGGGGAGTTGGTGGTGCGGGATGCCATGAGAAGTACGGTATATTTCAAAGGGTCTCACTGAGGTAATGTTCTATGGGGATCCGCAGGGGGTTATCGGCAAAATTCGGGATTTGGATGTGTTTGATGCTAGAGGAGGAAGGATTCTGGTGGAGATTGCGAATCTTCAACGACAGTATCAGAGTTTTGGGATCTCCTTTGTTGACAGGAGTAACAACCGGGTGGCCCCTGATGTGGCTAAGAAGATCCTATCCTTGTTACTTATGAATGTATTTATTATTTTATTTTAGATACAGGTTTTTATTTGAGTTGTAAACTTTGATATTATTTTCCCTTGGTAATACAGATGATCTATTGGTAAAAAAAAATCAACAACATTTTTACACACAAGAGACTGTCATCTATCATACTGCCACATGACTGAACTATAATGATACGGTTTAGTAATTTCATGGTATAGAAACATACCACATGAATAAGTCATTATAATCCTGTCTATTTCACTTAGCAACTCAACATTTTCACTTTGTAACAATATCTCCAGCTAATGTTTTAAGCACGTAAACGTAGTTATTTTTAGGAAACCATGATATAAGTGTATTACCGCCAGATATATAGATCACTGTTATAAGGCAAATCCTTGAATTCACTTTATTATTTTTATTAATCTAATAATTTTTTAGATATTGTTGGATTTTTGTTTGAACTGAGGGACATTGCTAAAGGAGTGAAAGGTCAAAGTGATAAGCAAAATAATGGAGTTCGCAACAAGACAAACCATGTCACCAATCAAATAGAAAAATGCATCCTCTTTTTAATTGTTGGGTCTATGCTTAATGTTTTAATGATATAATAATATTAAGTCTTTTAACTATAATTTAAAGTTCAATTTTCCTTACTTATAGTTTCTCATATATGTATGAACGAATGCAGGGATGGGATTAGGTGCTAACCCTTATAGGGGTTAGCACCGTGATAACTAGCAAAAATCACTACGGATTATTATAAAATCAATACAACATCTTAAGCTAAATCACTACTAATTCAAACTAGTAGTAGTTTTTCCCTTGGTTAGGACGGTGCTAACTATTGTACAATTAGCACCGTAGCCATTCCCACGAATGCATGTATGATATTTTTTTTATAAAAAAAAAAGTCTAGAGAGACAAGAGGTGTCGAAGATGCTGTCTTTGATGGCTTTCGTTGTCTATATATAAATAGCATTTTGGACCATTCCATGGAATATTTGCTTTCCATAGTTCATGACACCGAATATTACGTTTTAAATTTAATTCAATTTTTTTGCTGTGGCTAATTGTTTTTCCGGATTCTAATAGTGTTATGAATCAGCGTGCGTTTTTCCTTATCTAGGGTTTTGATGCGATGAAAAATGTGGAGAATCTTTTCCCACGGGGCTCTCCGAAGAAAAACGAAGGAACCTCATATCATATGAAAAATGTGGCAGGGTAACAACAATGATTAATTTTTATTCAGTTTAGCAATTCAATGGGTGAGAGTGAGATGATTGATAAGCCCCTAATTAAGAAGCTTGGGATCAGAGAAGCACAACAACGAATTCAATCAAGGATGAATTGAATTTGAAGAAGAAGAACTCAAAAAAACAGAGTTTTTGAGTTCGAGTTGGGATGGTGAATTTCGTGCAACCTTCTAGTAGGGAAAGAGGCTCGAAAGTTTAGGGTAGATGGTTGGCCACGAACAGTGGGAATAACTGAACGATACAAGCTTCAAAGTCGACCTAGAATCAGATAGGAAGATCTCCAAATTCACAAGACAAAGCATTCAATTGATAAAAAAATTAAAAAATTACAACGGAATCAAAACGACTTAAATAGGCCGAGCTGATCCTAACAACTCTTAAGGAAAGTTCAAATTACAATCTAACACGAAAAGGAATCCAAAAACGAATTAAAACACAAACATCAGCTTAATCCTAATCCGAACAGGACTCGAATCCCAGCCATCTCTCTTGAATCGAGCTCCAAAGTTCAAAGTTGGCTTCCTGAACTCGGATTCTGCCTTAGCCAAATTCTGGCAGTTTTTCCAGATTTAAGTGAACAACTTTGAGAACTTGGAAAACAACCAGCAGCCTTTCAAAATTGGCATTAAGCATAGACAACTTCTCCACCGAGGAAATCAGCTAGACTCAATAAGAGGGATCCAGTTATAGAGGAGGTATAGGAGTCTGAGTCAAGAAATTCTTCTTCCTAGTGCAGATTTGTGGAGAAGGATTACAAGGAACTGGACGCCTGAGTTTGCTCTTGGATATGCCATTGAGCAAGATCATAGAGAGGAGCAGGAGGAAACTCGAGCTTGGGGATATAAACAGATGCACACCAGCAATGGAGCCATGATTGGATGAGCGAGTTTGTTCATAAGTTGAATAATTTCTTCTTAAAGCAATGATGAGGAGATGGTGATGAACATTAGTAGGCATTTCCCATCATTTGTGGATTTTGTCTTTCGCTTGTTTTGTTTTCGATTTATTTATACTAATCAAGATTATAAACACTAGCTTGTGTCTATTATCTATCTTTCCTTTTTTTTTTTAACTATCATTTTGAGTCTTTGTATGCAATCAAAAAGTAAACTAGCTATTCACCATAATCCATTCAAAAATTAGTTTGACAAATGTGGTAACCCGTTTCAACCTTTTTCGTAGCTCACGATTATTTATTTAGTCCATTGAGGACAACATTCATTTTAAAGTATGGAGTGGAATTTTCTGCTGCTTTCAATTTCTATATACTTAGTTGTACAATTTCAAAAATTTTATCCAAGTTTAGTTGTAATGATATGCATAAAAATTTTGAAATTTTTTTGAAGATGTTTTCCATCTAATGACTTTTAGTCATCCCCAAGCATGTCCATTGATCATCTTATTTTGAATCATTGAGTCTAGGGAATATCACTTGATCTAGGGAGGATATTTTAGTGACTATGAAGGATGTGATACTCAATGAGATATAATGGTCATTTGATATGTTTGAATGCTATGTGATTTGTTTCATTCTTAGATTTCTGATTATGCAAATGAGTCTCACTTTTCAAAGTTTTTTATCCATAGGGCGAATTGTATCTTCTCTAAAATATGAATAACTACCTATCAAGCCATGATTGTATCTTGAAATATTTGTCATGTTATGTTAAGAAATAAAGTATGTTGTAAGCCCAATATGTGATGCATCGTTTTTTATTGCACAAATTTGGGTTTCGGAAAAGATACTAATGGTTGTTAAGACTTAAGCGACCTTGTTCGAAAGTAGTTCCTCTCAAGTCCAAGTAAAAGTTCCACCCATTAAATTGATAACCAACTTGAAGATGCGTTTTTAAGGGTAGGGATAAAAACTACCAACACCCCCTTATGGACCTTCCCCACGAATTTAGGGATCGTTTGGTTTTGGTGATAGTTAAATTGATGCATTGTCAACAATGCATGCATAATAATATACATTTATATGAGAAAATTGGTGTATTGTAGTTAACATCGTTTGGGTGAAATGTCACTTTTACCCTTTGTCTTTTATATAAAAAAGCAACACACATAAAAAGGTATAGTTGGAAAAAAAAGACTCAACAATCTCTTAAGCAAACAATGCATGTATTCTTTGTGCAAAAAATTCAAAAAAAAAACATTGTGGACAATGCATGTATTGTAGCTATCTCAACCAAACAATCACCAAACCCAAATGACCCTAAAATATAGGAGTTGAATGGAGTACTATGACGAATGCAGAGATACATAAATTGCTCTTGTTCAACTAATAAGAGTTTAATGCTTTAGTAAATCTCCATACACAAGAAAAGAAGAAAAATATAGTGAAGAAAATAAATAAAAAAATATGATGGTATGAGAAGGCAATAGTGCTTAAGAGATACGTTGATGAATGGTAGAGGCATTAAAGAGCTATAATAGTTTCCAAAAAGCTTCACCCTGTGAGTTATGAGACTTTACTCCATGCTTAGTGGTATACGCTTGAGTTCGATGGTGTGATGTTATTGCATATTGATGTGGTTAGGATTCTTTTGTACTATTGTTGATCTTGTAAGTTCACTTTTGATCCACTACCTAAGATCAAAATTGAGTTATGCTCCTTAGTTTTCTTGAGTTGTATGATTATGAGTAGTGTTTGCTTGGGGACAAGCAAAGTTCAAGTGTGGGTATTTATGATAACACTCAATTATAGAATCAATGTTTGATTGATTAAATCGTCAATGCTATAGACCTTTAGTTTTGACTCAAGAGGCACACACTTAACTAAGTGCTATCCTTAATAAAATGCTCTTAGTTATATATTTGATGGCATAAAGCAAAAGCACACGTTAGTTGGCTATTGTTTCTCTCATATGTGGTAAAAGCTCGATTTGAAATGCTTAAGCAGAAGGGATAGAGTGATTAAATAGATGAATCATTGAGATGCATGATATGATTAAGAAGGTCGTGTGAAATATGACTCTAGACATTTCTAGGATTTATAACTTGGTTGCATTTGATATGCATTGATAAGACTACTAAATGAAATGCACATCAATGCATAGCTTAAACTAATTTTCTGGGTGATCATATCTTAGTGTGGTGTTAAATATTTTTGGTTTACCATTTGTAAGTTCTTTCATTTGGTGAAGAAAGAAGTCTTAGGATGATGTTGGAGCTTCCTTGTCCTCGGACTTTCATTCAAAAGACAAGGTGAGTTCTCTACAGGCGAAGGATGCGAAGTACATCATTGATGCTCCCAAGCCTAAGTGAAATAGAATCTCTCTTCACCAGAGCTCATCAATCTAGAACCGTGCTTCCACATGTTGCTCTTGTTGGGCACATGGACGAGGAAGAGGTTTTTTTCCGAACTCCCCGATCCCCTCACCACCTTCATACCTCTAGATTAGCTTATTCTCAGAGGACGTCTCAGGAGGGCTCAATGAGGCTAATGAGGAGTGGGTCATCGACTAAGTTGAGGAGGAGGACACCATGACTTCGTCGATCGAAAGAGAAAAACCTAAAAATAGGAGAGTAACTATGTCCATGACATATGAGTGTCATTGATAACATCCAAAATGGTGTTTTTTAACCCTCATATTTAGGATCGTTTTGAGTCATTTTGTGGTCTCATTGGTTGATATGTCATCTAATAGATCCTTATTTCTTCGAAGAGAATATTTCATATTACATTGTTATAGATGATAGAAACTATTTAAGTATGAAAAGAGGTCACAAGTGTAGGATTATGTGCAAAAATGAGAGATCACGACCAGAGCAAGGAGATCGCGGTCGGGAAGAGAGGGTGTAAAGTTGAGCACGTAGATCGCGACCTCCACTTCTAAGATCGCAACTGCGAAGAATGGAGTTTTGGGTGTGAACTTGAAGAAGCAGCCAATAAGGGAGGACCAGAGAATTTTGACAGCGACTCGCGACTCTCGTTGTCCATGCTTGCGATAAAGATCGCGGTCGTGACTCACGGATTGCGACAGTGAAGTCAAGCCGCGAATTTCCCATCCAGCAAGGCGTAACAAGGCAACATCTGGTTGGAGAGAAATAATAGGATTTTCAGGGATGTGGATTCCTCCCCAAAAGAGATTGGACAGAAGATTGTTCTTATAGTTGGACGATGGTTACGAGCTTTTAGTCGCATCTCAGATAAACGCTTCCACCAGTGGATGGTGATCGGGACGAAGCACCTCATTTGACCCTCACGTTCTTTCTTCTTTTTTATTCTCGAGTTGGTTGTTTTTCTATTACTTATTATTTTTATTTTTATTTTTTTCCTTCACTGCTTGCTTGCTCTACTACTGGTTGAGCTGCTGACTTTTTATTTTTTACCTTTGTACTTTCATGAATTGGTTAGTTTCTTATAATATTCTCATCATTCATAAAAAAAAACAAGGCAACATCTGAATTCCGATCTCCCCCAACTCAAGTCTTCTTCTAATTCTTCTTGTGTATCTTCTCCCCTTCTCCCCCCCCCCCCCCCCCCCCCATGGGGTAGTAACCTAAGGTACTGGGGTTCAATCCCCAAACCCACGATTTAGGTTTTAAAATGTAGAATGTACTTTTGTTAGGGTTTGTGTATGAAACTTGCTTATCTAGTGATATTATGCTTTTATCTATGCTAATTGTGTTTGGGTTTTCATTCCTTGTTGCCTACTTAGGGTTTGCATGAGATGGTATGGATTTGGCATGTTTGACATGATTGGGTAGATGAATTATTTAGGGAATTGATTGGTGAATGAGGTGACCATCCTCTGGCATCGGGTGGCCCTTCTAGGTGATGCTAGAGTGATGCGTGTGTAACCATCGACATGTCGAGCTAGTGTGCTGATGGGTTAAACCCATTGGAAGGGTCTAAGTCGTATCTCTAGCATAGTGAACTTGATCGAGGTGATATTGGGTTACCAGATCATGCTAGGAGGGGGGCTAGATGCATGACCATTGAGCTAGTCGCCATATAAGTGAGTCTCGCACCTTGTTCGGCAAACTGACATTTATAACCTTTTGCACGATAGACCTATATTCTAGGGTGAGGGTGATGCCCCAAGTACCTCCTTTTATCTATGCTTTCTTGTTCCAGTATTTATCATTTGTTCCTCCAAAAACAATCCTAAACCGAACGACTAGATAACAACAAAGTGAGAAATAGCATAGCGTATCGAAACCCGTAAAAATACGACCTTAGTCGACCACTACATTAACAAATCGAACAATGGATTTAATAACCCGCATGGAACACACTTTTACCATCATTTAGTCAAAATGTTAAATCTAACCGTCAACCAAAAATTAGAGATACAAATGAGTAAATTACTCTAACTACTCATAATCTATTAAATTGTAGTCATTTTACAAAAGTTCATATAAAAAAATGTAACATTTTGCAAACTCCATACGTACTTTTTTACATACAGAAGAATGAAGATGGAGATGAGGATTGATTGACCGGCGGAGGAGAGAGTGTCCCACCACAGTGCCAAAAGACATTAATTCTCAGAGCTTCTGACGAGACGTATGCAAATTAAAATCAAAACCCCTATTTCTTCATTCATTTTCTTTTCTTTTCTTTTCTTTTTTCCCACTGTATCAATATAAATAAATATTAGTCCCATCCCTATCCCCCCATGCCAACTTATAAAAATTATCAGACGAATTATAGAAGCCCCAAAAAAAAAACAATTACGAAATTTTAAAAAGAGGCTTTTTCAGGCTTCTTCTTCTTCTTACTAACTTCATCACAATCATAATAATGTTCGTTCGTATAAACGAAAGATGCAGCCAGAAAAAAATTTTAGAGAGAAAATAAAAAAAAAATTGAAGGCGACTTTGGTCTGTTTTGGAGCGTACTTTGTTATATATTTAATTCCCCCAAACTCCCTTTTCCTCAGCTGCTAAACTTCATTTTCTGAAACTCTCTCTTCCCCCTTTTTTTCTTCTTCTCCTCTCTTTCCTCCAAATTCCTATTTTCCAATCAGTAACCCTATTCCTCTGCTAATTCAAAGCGGGGGGACTCGTCCTTTCTTTCTCTCTTCTTTCTGGGTCTCTGACTGAACTGTAAATGGGGAGACACTCCTGCTGCTACAAGCAGAAACTCAGGAAAGGGCTATGGTCCCCTGAAGAAGACGAGAAACTCCTTCGCCATATCACCAAGTACGGCCATGGCTGCTGGAGCTCTGTCCCCAAACAAGCTGGTAATTTAGCTCGAACCCACGAGGCAGAGTGTGATCAATTACATGTTTAACTACATCGCTCGCATTATTATCACTAACCCTGATGAGAATTTTGCAGGGCTACAGAGGTGCGGGAAGAGCTGCAGGTTGAGGTGGATTAATTACTTGCGTCCTGATTTGAAGAGAGGCGCATTCTCCCAGCAAGAGGAGAACCTCATCATCGAGCTCCACGCCGTTCTTGGCAATCGGTAATCCTCTCTTTGTTTATTTAATTAACTTCAATTTTTGTTGCTTTGTTTTTTTGGGCTCTGTTCTCACTCTGTTTTTTTTTTTTTTTTTCCCTCTCTCTCTCTCAGGTGGTCTCAGATTGCCGCACAATTGCCGGGGAGAACGGACAACGAGATAAAAAATCTGTGGAATTCTTGCCTCAAGAAGAAACTCCGGCAGCGAGGGATCGATCCCGTTACCCACAAGCCCCTTTCGGAGATCGAAAATGCCGACGAGAACAAGAACATGAACGGGTCATCCCCTGTTTCCGGCAGCGCCACCGGCGACGAGGATAAGTCCGTCTCCGGCGAGCTGAACCTGCTGAGACCCGATATTCACAGCAAAACGAGAGGCCTCCAGTCACCAACGCAGCAGCAGCCGACAATTCCCATTCCCGATTGCGGCGGTGCCGCCGCCGGTAGCCTGATGAGTACCAATAAGGATTTCTTGCTGGATAGGTTCGGTGGGAACTGTCATCAGTCACCGACGGATTTGGTGGGTCATTTGAATTTCCCTCTCCACCAATTGAATTACCCTGCCGCCGCCGCCGCCGCCGCCTCCTCCCCTGCCGACGGCCGTATTTCCACCAACTCGATTCCTTCGCTCTGGTACGGTAGCGGCGGTGGAAAGCCATTCGACATAAATTCCGATTTCTCCTCCCCTGCCGCCACCGGCATTAGCCTCCCCGCCTCCTTCTTCTCCAATAATTACAAGCCGGCTTCTGTCGGTGGCGGCGGGGAAAATTCTCCCCCGCCCTCTTTCAATCGGTTCTGGGAACCAGCAGCAGGAGTGCCGCCGAGCAGCAACAACAGCAGCAGCAGCGGGAGAAGCAGTTCCTTCTTCGACACCGCCGCCATTTTCTCCTGGGGGATTTCCGATACGGAGAAAGGACAGGCGCAGGACGAAATCAAGTGGCCGGAGTACCTAACCAGCCCGCTGCTATCCGCCTCTCTACAGAACCAAACCCAACTGTACAGTAACGAGATAAAATCGGAATCCCAGCTGCTGCCGGAGAATTCAGCCGGCGGCATGTGGATTCACGGAGGCGGACAGCAGGAGCCGCAGCCGACGACGACATTGCAGCAGTTCTCCGATTTGTCGTGTCCGAAGGATTTCCAGAGGCTCACGGCGGCTTATGGACACATCAATTAAGCTTTATTATCCTCCTCCTGTGCTGTACTTTCTCCTCTGTTCTTCCTTCTCTCTCTGTCCCTTCAGGTGAGAAAAGGAAAAAAACAGAGAGAGAAAATTGTTACCGCGGCAAAGAATGGTTGTTCTGTTTTCTTTTTTTTACCGCTTTTACTCTTTTTTTATCTTGACTGGGTTTGTTTTTACTTTTTTTTTTTACTGTTTTACCACTTGTGTGTGCCACAGTTTTTTTTTTTTACCCTATTGTAAATAGATCAGAAAAGATACAAGTCAACAACAGGACATGTAGAGTTTTGTGTCACTAATCCTTCTCTTCTATTATTCTTCTTGGCAGAATAAGCGCTCTGATTGCGTTTCCCAGTGTTAATTTTCAATAATTTGTATTTCTATAGGAGTTTTGCATTTTAATATTAGAGAGAGAATCACTCGTTTTTTTCTTCCTTTATGAAATCAAGGAATTCAATATACGAGAGAGAATCTCTCGACTTATGTGTTGTAGCTATGTATCCACTGGAATGTTCTGTCATGTATATGAATGAATTTTTTTTTTTTTAATTTTGCAGCTATATCAATTGTTAAGTCTGTTAAGTTAAACTCACCGCTAATTAATGATGTGTTGATATTTTGTCAAATGATGGAAATATGATGATTATGGAATAGTACAAAAGCAATAGGGAAAAGGATATTGACCTCGCACTCATATAATTACTCAGCCACACACTCAGGTCAGGTGGTGGTTGACATTTTATTTATCTTTCTAGTTAGTAGTGATTAGGGATGGTAATGGAACCGAACTTACGGTTAACCCATTCCGGTCAAAGCAGATAAAACTCTGTATTGATGGGTTCTGCGCTGGGTACAGGTTTTACCCGTTTTTCACCCACCTGTCCTGCATCCATAAAGCAAAACAATTCCATTTTGTATCTGATCGAAACAATATGAATGATTTTATGAATGCTATTGGTCTTTATGACAACATGAATCGATTGATATTGATGATTTATGGATGTTGATAGTCATTATGGAGCCATATTTGTAAGAAAATTTTCGATAACATTATCATGTGGGTGTTCGAAGAAACAATGTATGAATGTGTTTGTGAACCCCATGGGTGCCAATTGTGTTGGATTTTCACTTCTAAAACGCAATGAATATTTTATCAATTTTTTTTTTTAAAGGATGCACCCGTTGGTTTGGATTTCGAGAACCCCAACCACCTCTGACCCGTTGTTCATCCCTAATATTGATGTGGCAACACGAGTAATGCAGAGGGACAACAGTTACCGTCATTATTTGGTTTAAGGTTGTGTATATTTTATGTAACAAAAATACTTAAAATAAGAAACTAGTTCGTGAATAATTATCTGATGACATAATTCTAGTTGAGAATGAAATGGAAGTCAGTCAGTCAGTCAACTAAACAAGTGAAGCCGCTATCATCTCATCAGTTGTGCAAAGGATCATTTGCTTTCAGTTGTTCTTTCCTCTAGTACGGGATTTTTTTGAATGAAAATGGTTGGCCATCATTTTCGCAGACGTATAAAGATATTTGGCACTTTTTAGTTTTCTGCACTAAGCTTTGCTTTCAGAAGCCAATTAATTAATATATGAGCTTTCAGTTGACAAGTTTTTGGTTTGGATGACCGATTCCCTTCCCTTGTCTTTGCCCTAAACAAACACGCTGAAGCTTATATCAGATTATAAGGACAATTTAATTGTTAGAAATATTACTAAAACATGTGAATGTACAAAAATTATTTTAATTTCATATGCACTACCAGAGATCGTTAAATATTATACACATCTGGATTCCGTTGCATCAATGTCACTTATCTAGTCTTTGGTATTATGTCGATTTAACGATGACAACTCCGATTCTTACAGGTCCTGTATAAATAATTCATTGACTTGTTTAGTATTTCGATAATAAAAAAATTTGTTATCGTAAGAATCGAGATTTGACCCAATTTGAAAGCATGTCATGAATGACTATTAAAACACATGTCACATATGTTAAAAACAGCATTTTCCCTACCAAACGAAATTCAAGTATTCAACTTATAATTCTTGCATTTCCTTTCGTATTTGCAATGCATTCGTCGTTTGAGATAGCATCAATTGAGACGATAGACTTCAATTGTGTGCATGCATGTGAATCATTTAGAACATGCTTATGAAGTCATCGATTTACCTTAATTTTTTACGCATCGGATTCGCATGTCGACAAAATCTTTAGTATAGGGACTAGAATGAATAAATGACATTGTGTGGGGACTAGTGTGTTAATGCTCAATAGTTCAAGGACATATTTGTTGAAAACAACATTGTGTAGGGGCTAAAACGCCATAAGAAGAGGCTTTAAATTATCCTTTTTGGCGACTTCTGTCTATTGCTACCAACCAGAGCACATGGGATTAATGATATCCTATATATCCGTAAACGCGTGATTATTGCAATAAACCAATATCCAATTAAGTTATTCTACTTAATTTGTCCAATCAACATTTTTTTATTCACCACAATTTGGAAAAAATATCAGTACACAGTATATTTAATTTGCTGGGTTGGTATATTAGCTACAAGTTGTTCATCATCGTATCGTAAGAATGTTACTTTTATCAGTTTTAAATCAGTATGATTAGATGAGGAGTTCCTTCCGGCCTCCCAATAGTATATATGTAGGGGTGGAAATCGGTACGGTATTGGCGTGGGCGTGTTTGACGGCATGAGTGTGGTTAAAATGCATATAAGAATCTCTTTTAAGAACTCAAGTTATTGTGTGTATTTTAATCAATGTTCAAGAAGACGCTAGGCGCTATCTAGGCGAGGAGGCACCGCCCAGCGCCCAGGCCGATTAATCGTTGCCTAGGCGAGATTAAACGTTGCAAAAAATACGATAGATAAGCCATATTCCACAAAAACCCAAGTTCTCATATCATTATTCATCCATTCATATTCACATACAACTCTTTTCCACAATCCCAAACATCCCAAGTCGCCAACAATGAGGAGGGATCCCAACTCTTTTCCACAACCCCAAACATCCCAAGTCGAATGGAAATGGGAAATAGAATAGGGTTTGGGATTTTCAAAAAAAGGCTACACTTTCCTCTTTTATTAGTTGTTATGGGCGTCGCCCACCAGAGTGAAAACGCGCCTCCGAGTGCCTAGGTGCCTAGATCAATCGCTCAGGGCTAGACGGGCGATTTTGTCTTGCCAGCTATTAATCGCGCCTAGGCGAGAGATTAATCGCGTCTTCTTGAACACTGATTTTAATACGATATCATAACTAGTGTGATCGAGAGGTTGCGTGTCCAAATCTTCATGACATCCAATTTTGATGTCAATAGTATGGTATGGTAGACATATACAAACTTCAAACCCATTAGTTGACTTTCATTTGAAGCGGCGTGTAACAGAGCGGTTGAGATTGATACATTGACCATATGGGGTGATCGTTCGGTCAAACCAAACCAAACTCGATTACCAAGTTTGATACCTGACCATACGGGTGATCGTTCGGCTAGTTCGGTTCGGTTAGTTTCGAATCGATAACCAAAAGTAAAGGCTCCGGCAACCGATTTAACGAGCCGAATACGAGTCGGTTTGGGGGTCAATTGCATCCGAACCAAATGCCCACCTCGAACTTCTTCAAAGAACTCCCAACTTTTTTATTAGGTTGATTAATCATAAAATTGATGTGGTTTTCCATAATCAAAATGAATTAGGGGGTGAAGGGGAACTCCATCCTGTTTTAGTGGAGTTTGGATGGTGACTTGACTGGGATCCAAACCAATCAGCATATATTGGGACAGCTAGGATGAGGGTGTTTAATACCAAAACAATTATTTGGAATTTTTTATTGAAAGGGAAACCCAATTTGGAAGCATACCCTATTCCTTCCAATATTGATTTTGTACAAACTACTCTGATGTGTCTATACTTCTATACATCTGGTCTAAGCCTTTTCTTTTCTATTTTATTTTTATTTTTATTTTTCATAATCATTTTAGGTTAGGTTAGGATATGAAGGATGGATTAATAGACAGAATGCATAGGGTTGGAAGAATCTCATGTTTTTTTCTTTCTTTATAGTGTATAAGGGATTGTGGGGTTAGAAATTTCAATTTCTGATAAATGGAGATACTTAAAATTCTGATTTGTTGATTTCTCTCTCTCTCTCTCTCTCTCTCTCTCTCTCTCTCTCTCTCCATTTTCGCCAAAGAATCTCATTTAGCAAACAATAAACTTGTTTAAGCTCTATTTTAAACGATAATGAGGGTTGAAATCTTCGCAATTCATTAGAGTTTATTTTAGTATTTGGTATATACCGATACCGAACAAAATATTAGGGGGATGGAATGGAGATAACGGATTTATTTTGAGATTGAAATTGAGTCTATGACACTGTTTGGTATTCAGAATATTAATACTTGGTATAGAGATACCAAAGTAAAGCCAGAAATCAGAGTGAGAAAGGGCTAAGGCAACAAATTACAACCATTTTCAACAACTGAACTTGAATCTTGGAGGAGGGGAGTATCCCTCATCCCACCACTTTCTACGGTTTATCAAGATACTACGAATACAAACATTATAACCTTAAATAAAATAAAAAATTTTGAAGGATCTGTAACCCCATATAGACTACACATAACTCCACTGCTACCGATACCATACCGACCGCTGCCGATAGCCCGATACCATACCGATTTCCCTTATCCTACCCCAACATCATTTTTAACCCAAGTGGTTTCCATTAATGAAGTCGAGATCACTTTTAGCCATATAAGAGAAAAGAAAGAAATTATCACCCATTTGGTGTATATGAATGTCAACTAAGGGCCACACGTGTGTCTCATATGTTTGTATGTGTGAGAGATGAGAGAGAGAGAGAGAGAGAGAGAGAGAGAGAGAGAGAGAGAGAGAGAGAGAGAGAGAGAGAGAGAGAGGGGGCATGACGTGAAAGATTAGTGTTATGTTCACTTTCTGAAACCGTACATGCGGATTGCGACTCGCCACCCGCTCACCGCCATATATGCTACGACGAGCTTAAAACCCTTCCCATTCTTCACTTTTGATTTTTTTTTTTTTTTTTTGTTTCCCATGTCTTGTAACTTAGCGTCCTTTAAGGCACCAACATTATCTTCCCCCATGCAAAAATAATAATAATAATGAGAAACGACTATTACTACTGCAAACAAAAATGGCGAATTGGGGTGTATTACACGAAAAGCACTTCCTAATAACAAACTCATCACATCACACAGTAAATTTTTTTCCATCTACGTGCTCGTATGAGTCACATGAATAGACGACATTTACCTGCGTCGTGACAAGTTACAACCATTTTCGTTTTTCTGCAGTTGACTTCACAGTGGATTTTCGTTAAAAAATAAAATTTTGGAATTTTATATAATACACTTTAAAGTTGTATGAGTAAAATTACATAGAGTTAACAGGTCGATAATTTTGGCTTGACCCTGAGGGTCGTGATGATTTTTTAGTTTGTCTACATGGTCAGTTTAGGATCGAGTCAGCTTTTAACTCTGTCTGGTTCGAGTAGGATTGTGTCAACTTAGGATTGGGTCACTTTTTGACCCTGTGACCCATAGCAACAAATAGTGATTTGATATTACTCAAAACAACATATTGGACATGTTTGTAAAGTCAAATAATTCTAGATACAATAATGCAAGAAAAAAAAATATAAGATACTTAAACCAAAATTTTCTTTTAAAATACGTTGTTGATTGATTTGGCCCGACTCACTGACTGGGCCCGACCCTTATTCGGACAGGTCAGATAAGGTCAAGGAGGAAACAGCGCGGGAAGGCCTAGTTTTATAAATTGACAATGGGGATCAAACGTGTTTCTTACCGAGTCAAGGCTAAGTCTCATCCAATTCCATCCCTAAGTAAAACGGGTCAGGACAAAATAGTCATTCTCAATCACTTTATATGTAATTCCATAAGGTTTGAGGAATTCATCTTGAAATTAAATCTTTTTATGTTTGGTATTTAAAAAAAATTCATTTCCACTTCTAAAATTTGAATACTGAGGGTTAGAAACTAGTTATACCAATTTCTAGAAATTGAAATAAAATTTCCAAATGAATTCCACCAGTATTTTACTATTTATAATAGAATGACATAATTATCTTCATTTGTTAACTAAATTACTTCTACATATATTATTTGGCACAACTTCCGCATTTGTCCTGCTAATTGATCTTTTTTCCGAACTAAATTTTCAGCTCTGTCTTATTGGTTGGATAATAACTTTGTCACTTGTCTTTTTTTAGAATATGGATCTTCAATGAATATTGTTTCGCCGGAAAATTAATAAGGATGTAGTTGGAAACTTTTGATTTAATTCAATTCCAAACGCGTATTCCAAATATGATTTGGAAATTCAACTCATTTTATTTCTAATATATTTTAATATGACATATCAAATGGAACAATTTACACATTAATTCATTTTAAAATGTAACGAATTCTCGATTAATTTGGTACAAAAACCGTTTAAAAGTTAAATTTCATCCATGTCCATATTGTTTCTTCTTGTGAACATTTTATAGAGTTACGTTGCTGCCTTGCGAGCGTGGTGGTAATCAATGCAATTAACCCCATTCAACCACAGTTTTGAATGTCATTAAATCTAAAATTGAGAGGATGGGGAGAGGGGGGGCTTATCTTAATCTTAGTAATTAACTGCTATAGCATTGCGTCTAATAGTGTAAACTGTAGTTATCTAACCCATTCGTTTGGCAGTTAAATACTGTAACAATAAATAATGATTGTAAAAATAAAGATTATGACTAAGAGATGAATTGAACACCGTTACTAATATTGTCCATCCTTGAGCCCGTAAAAGACTGCTAAAACTGGATAATTTATTCCACTAAAAGGGGTTTGGCTAATGGAAGAAAACAAAGGAAAATTATGGGAAGTAAACTCTCCCCGTAATGGAGCCAAATTGAATAAGGCAATCCGCGACTTTTTTTTTTCATTTCTAGTGATACGATTCGAATTTTAGCAACAAAAAGATAAACTCAAATGAACTGGAAATTCCCCAATTCCATTTTAAATTAACAGTTTAGTTACAGATTCCCTTTTTTTATTTATTTTCCTTCTTCTTCTTGTTTGCATGTCAACTTGCGTTTGAGGTCTTCTGGAAAGAATATGGTCTATATATTTGTGAACCCAATTAATCACTATATTTCCAGGTTGATGCAACTCTAAACCCGAATCAAATAAGAAACTCTTGGTTCGTAATTCAAAACTCATATATGTCGATTTTTATTTTTATAACTTGGTGATTCGGGGTTGAATCAAATTCTCTCAATTTTGTACAGAATATTTCGATGTAATCTACAGAATTATATATATATTTCGAGGAAAAATGTTGGTCGCCCCCCTTAAGAAGTGTTCATGACCACGCGATATGCAAATGTATCATGATGGTATAACCTATAACATCATTTGTAAAAATATATTGTACCAGTAAGTATATTTTTGTGACATGTTGGTAAAATAAACAATATCACTTGAGACACACACAAAATAAAAACACGATACTATTACTAGCATGATATGAGTTTTTAACTGCCAGGGGAGGGCGTTGGAGGTTCAGGATGCTAGGGTAGGGCGGATATCGCGGGAAAACTGCTCAACTGCATCACGAGTATCGGTCGTTCGAAGTCATATTTGTCGCAGACTTAACAATCAGGTGGCCCACATTCGATGGCCAGAAAGACTCTTTCTTTGTTAGTTGATACTTTTGATTTCAGACAGTACTGTTGTAAAGTTCGATATATGTTTTGGTAATAAAAGTGAGCTTTTAGAAAAACAAAAAACAAAAAGAGTTTTTAAAATAAAAAAATTTCCTAAACTCCTACAATCATTCACATGCCTTCAAATTTATAACGATGAAGAGCAAAACCTTTATATCTACAATTTATAAGTAGTGTAGATAAATTTGTGGATAAAATACCAATTTGTATTATTATATTATATTGAGAAATGAGGAGGGGCCCTGAAACAGCTACGATGACTGGCTGTGTCAACCTCAACCAGAGAGATTCCATAAATCACAAAGGGATACGATACATTACATTACATTACATACATAATATTAAACAAAAAGAGAAAAAGACAGTCTAATAATTGGAAGTCAATTATTGGCGGCAGCCAATGAATATTGGAATCAGAAGGAAGACGATGGGCAGGACAGGGGAGGATAATCTTGGGTTTTGCCTTAGGACCTTCTTCGATCAATAATTACAACTAGTCGGCGCGCCTTTTCCTGTAGCTAATTACGTTTAAACCGAGCAGATTTATGTTTATCTGGATAAATCCCAATTTGGGTTACGGTGTGAATACTGCGGGTATAATCGTAACCCTTTACAAACTTACAAGTGGTATCTAAGTCTCTCTATGTCACTGGGTGGGGCAACCTCAACGAGGACGTTGAGTCTCTGAGGGGGGTATTGTATGTAACACCTCAGGCAAATTCTAGATTGACAAAATACAAAGAGATCATGATTCATAAATAAGAAACAGACATTAACTAACAAGACGCATTTTGGGGGTGAAGTAGAGTTAAACGTGCTCACTATGGAGCACTGTATGGATGGGTGACCTCTCGGAAAGTCATTTCGTGATGGTATAGACTCAAAGCGAACAATAACTTGATCGAAAAAATATTCAACATGTTACTATCCGTCTTGCCAATTAAGGTCGATTTATTACTCATGAATCATGGATCTCTCTCGTTCTCATGTTCTTATCGGTCCAATTAAGGTCGAAAAAAGATCTTGCATGTTACCAAACACTGAACATTTTAAAATCGGTTTTTTTAACAATCCAAAGAGTTAGAATCTTTCGATTGTTTACCATCTGCAAATTTAGACTCTCATTCTCCAAACGAACCATAAACTTTGGGGGCATAATACTATACCCTAATCTCTAATGGGTAAACCTCAGTCCTCGGTCTTCAATTCTCTAACCCAAATCATAAGTTTCATTTAATCTTGAAATGAAAATCAACGGTTCTTATTCGTCAAAATTATCAAAATAAACGTATAGCGTACGCCAACCAAAACTAGTCTAAGATCCATTTTGGATGAGGTTTTCGAAGACAATTTTCTCAAAATAGATATTACAAACACGCATTGTGAATCCATGGGCCTGTGTTGGCAGGTTCCTAGGCATAAGGCCTCCGCCAACTAACTTAAGCCTCGCTATTACTTATTACTCTGGGCTACAAGCATGCTAGAGCAGCAGGCCAAACTTATTAGCAACCTAAATCAAATAAGTTTGGATCAGTTTTCACTAGCCCAACCGGTAAAGGAAAATGGATCGCATTAATCGATTGGGCCTAAGCCCTGACAGAAGGAGAAAAGAAAGAGCCGCTAATTTAAAGAGAGGAGAAGAATCGGAGGAGAAGAGGTGATGAATTAGGGATTGGTAAAATGAATGAACGAAAGTAAGGATGTAAATTGGAAATAGCTATGGTGCTAATTGTATAATAGTTAGCACCGTCCTAATTAAGGGAAAAACTACTATTAGTTTGAATTAGTAGTGATTTAGCTTAGATGTTGTATTAATTTTATAATAATCCGTAGTGATTTCGTTATTTTTAGTAGCATTTTTTTGCTAGTTATCACGGTGCTAACCCCTATAAAGGTTAGCACCTAATCCCATCCCATGGAAATTGGTGCGGATTGGGTTACCCGCTCTACATTTTCGTGGTTTTTGAAGGAAGACAGACAGCGAGAGACTGGTAATGCCATAGTTATGCATTTCTTTATAGATTGCAACAATACATCGATTTATGCTACCAAAATCGTATTCTTGCGAGGTAACAAACCAATTACTCAGAGCCAAAAATTGCATTTAGCTTAGATGTTGTATTAGTTTGAATTAGTAGTGATTAAGCTTAGATGTTGTATTAATTTTATAATAATCCGTAGTGATTTCGTTATTTTTAGTAGCATTTTTTTGCTAGTTATCACGGTGCTAACCCCTATAAAGGTTAGCACCTAATCCCATCCCATGGAAATTGGTGCGGATTGGGTTACCCGCTCTACATTTTCGTGGTTTTTGAAGGAAGACAGACAGCGAGAGACTGGTAATGCCATAGTTATGCATTTCTTTATAGATTGCAACAATACATCGATTTATGCTACCAAAATCGTATTCTTGCGAGGTAACAAACCAATTACTCAGAGCCAAAAATTGCATTTAGCTTAGATGTTGTATTAGTTTGAATTAGTAGTGATTTAGCTTAGATGTTGTATTAATTTTATAATAATCCGTAGTGATTTCGTTATTTTTAGTAGCATTTTTTTGCTAGTTATCACGGTGCTAACCCCTATAAAGGTTAGCACCTAATCCCATCCCATGGAAATTGGTGCGGATTGGGTTACCCGCTCTACATTTTCGTGGTTTTTGAAGGAAGACAGACAGCGAGAGACTGGTAATGCCATAGTTATGCATTTCTTTATAGATTGCAACAATACATCGATTTATGCTACCAAAATCGTATTCTTGCGAGGTAACAAACCAATTACTCAGAGCCAAAAATTGCACCCAATATTCCAGTTAGGTGATTAAAAGTTTATGAAAAATAGTATAAATGAAAATATAAATTAGTATGCATATAAGTCCAATTTATGTTAAAGAGATAAACTAAAAAAAACTAAATTCAAGAAGCTATGGTTAAAGTAAAACGCTTACTGGGAGAGCACGGTTGTCAAGCCGGTTGATACCATTATGTCAGTTTGTCAAGTCGAATGGCATTATCGATAGTACAACCTATTTAAGCCGGTTATGACGGTTTTTATAGAATACACGAGAAAAATTAAAAATCATCAACACCAAATAAATTTAGTTAGGAAGAATCAAATAAAAGAGTTAATTCACATACAATAATTTATAATTAAGAATTGGTAACTAATGGTAAATAACTATAATAAATGTATATAATATAAAATTGAATTAGTGTTTACATAAAACATAGTATTAATTATAGCATATATAAGGTTAACACGTATCATAAAGTTCATTGTAGCCTATTGGTGTATAATTGAAACTAGTGAACATAAGGTATTCGCTTCAAATCCCATTATAAGTTGGAGGACATATGTAAGAGTACTAAAATTCGATTTCTAGTCTGACCAGTCAATTTTTCCGATTTCCAGTCAGTTTGATAATCGGTACCGAGCCGGTCACATCAAAAATTGCAACCCGTAGAGAAGATGCCAGCATGACAAACTGGTTGGAGAGTTAAAAAATAGACTTCTAACTTCCAAGATGTCTAAATATTTGTCCCATTAAATTGGAGTTGGGTTAGCCTATCGATTGGAGTTGGTCTAACTATTCTAGAAAATGGACGGTTTTATTATATTCTTTAGTTTTCATAAAAAACGAGTTTAGAGGGCTCCACAATGAGAGGAATGGGGAAAGGCAAAGGGAACCTTGAAAAAAAAGAAAAGGAAATTTGGGGAGAGTGAGTACGTGGCGGTAGATTAGCGGGAGAGTGGCGGGACACTGCTAATTAAATTTCCCAACCTCCTTTTACATATGCGTTGATCCTATACGGCAATTGTCACGATCCTGCCGTGTTGTGTTGTGAAAATCCTAATTATTATTATTTTACTTTTTTTTTTGTTAATGATGATTTCAGTCCATTCGTTTATTAAGTGCCAAGTCACTAACCTCAGAGGCGAGAAGAAAATTTTGTATTTATTATTTAAAGCTGTAACGATAGCGACCTTTCAGATTTAATCTCCTTAATTTTTATATATATATATATATGTATATCACCTAATTCATTTCTTCTATTTATATGCTTTGAGAGGCTGACCAGATCGTACCGACAAAATTATTTAAAAAGTGTCAAACCCACATAATAATAAAACTACAGTCACAAATGGGATTCACGACTCCTCCCAAAAATCTGTTGAGGCGTGTTAGTCTGCATCATTATAGATTATCTCTTCCTGTTTTTTTTTTTTTTTTTTTTTACAAAAGATAATCATATATAGATTCGGAAACGACAGTTACACCCTGGAGATCAGCCAGGTCTGAAAGTCAAAGAAACGACTCATGGTAGGGTACAAAGAAAGGGCTTTCCTAGCCACCAAATGGGCCGCCCTATTATTACACCGACCTATGAATCGAATACTAAATCCAGGATGGATGTGAAAATATTGCACGAGCTCTTCCAGCACAGCACCCATCCGGCTATCACTATGATCACCTCTATTGATCTTCTCGATAATAACTTTAGCGTCCCCTTCAAACACCATGTCCGTGAACCCTAACCCTGAACACCAGATCACAGCTTCCCTGAGCGCAAGTAATTCCACCAACTGGGGGCTATCAATTCCCGGTAACTGAATTCCCCTGACCATGCCTACCTCCCCAGTCTGAGAAAACAGAACAACACCTCCCGCCGAATGAGATCCACGCCTTGTTGCACCATCCCACCTACAGACCATCCGAGGAGGGCCATCTGAGATTAGCTGGCCCTGATCAGGCTGGGGTGGTCGACAGACGCGGTCTCTAGGCAAACGCACCCATTCCTCATACTGCTGGACAAATTGGCGCATCAGTACCGGAATATCGAACTGTTTGCCTTCAAACACAACCCAGTTTCGTGACCGCCAGATCCTCCAAAGGATGGCTACCACAGCCATGAACACCGTTGGTTGATTTATCAGCGCCATGAGCTTCTTAAGAAACAGAGGAAAAGTCTGACGTGGCAACCCCTCACCCAGGTAATCCAATCCCGCGTGATCCCAGAGGGCCCGCGCGACCGGACAGTAGAGAAAGAGGTGTTCAAGCGTTTCAGACCTCGCCCAGCACACCGGGCAACGAGGACGAACCTGAACCTTTCGCTCGATGAGAGCCTCCGTCGTAGGGAGGACACGAGAGAGGATCTGCCAGACAAATACCTTCAGCTTTGGAGGGATATCCGCCTCCCATAGACGTATCCAGCTTGCCTTATCCATCCAACTGACAGTAGACTGCCACCCACCCCTCCTCTTGTCTATCAAGACAGCAAAGTGATAAGCTGATTTGACAGTGAAAACCCCATCCTCAGTCGCGTGCCAAATAAGCCTATCTTCAATATTCCTCTGAGGAAGGGGAATAGCTTTGATGGCTTTACATGTAGGGGGATCAAACCAGCGACTAAGCTTATTCTCACACCAGCGGCCCTCCCCAGGCACGATAAGTTCCGCCACCTTCATATCCCCATCCTCCGGCAACACCACCGGATTGATCTGGACGTGATCAAACTGATGTTGAGGTATCCAATTGGAGTTGAGCATGGGGGCCGACCGACCATTCCCAATCTGCCACCGCAGTCCCTGCTCTAGCAACTGGCGGCCGAAGAGGATGCTCTGCCAGCCCCAAGAAGGGCGGGAGCGAGCCGTTGCCGTAAGAAAAGACCCAGTCGGAAAGTATTTCCCCTTATAGACCTGAGCCAGCAGAGACTGTGGATCATTCAAGATTTGCCAACCAATTTTGGCTAGCAGAGCCTGATTAAATTGCTCAAACCTGCGAAATCCCATACCACCCTCATGTTTACTTCTGCACATCTTCCGCCAGGACACCCATCGAATTTTAAAGTGATCTTCCGTTACACCCCACCAAAATCTGGCCACATGTTTATCCAAAGTTCGACACAGAGACACCGGGAGTTTGAAACAGGACATCACATGATTATCTCTTCCTGTTAAGATTAGGAAATTTGAGGAAACTCTAATACATAAGCTCTGTTGTAATGATTTGAAGAGAGATTACTTGTGGAAAGTCATAGGGTTCTTACGATTATTACTGTTTGTTTTATTGTTTTGGGTCTTTTTTTTTTATTTCTGAGTGATATCAATGAGAGATAATAGTTAAGCTTACAATTCTACCCAGGACCCCAAAAAGGCTCTTCTGAAGCTACCCCCAAGAAATCAAAAGATTCTAGCTCTACAAGAGACAAAAGCAGTGCTTTACGCGCCACTCTATGGGCAGCACTGTTGGCGGATCTAGATATCGCCCTAAACTCTATACAAGCAGAAGAAGAGCTAAGAAACTGGAGACACTCTCGAAGCACCGACCCTCCAACCGAGTCTTCTAAGACGCCTTGACGGACTTGGTTGACAACCACTTCAGAGTCACCTTCAACTATCACGTGAGACAAGGATCTTGAGGCTACAAAGGAGATAGCATCCCTGAAAGCAAGAAGCTCAGCCAAATAAGGGTTGACTATTCCTTGATGTCGCAATCCGATCGCCAACCTCACATGCCCGTCTGAGCCCCGGATAACAAGCCCAGTCGAGCATCCGGAGGCACTAACCGCTGCGTCGACGTTGATCTTCAAAAAGCCTTCAGGAGGAGGGACCCAAGGAGAGGCGGACAAGGTTGGGAGGTTGGAGCTGCGGGGAGGAGGGGGAGGAAGGAGACTGGAAAATTCGAGGACCTGGTTGTAGAACTGTCTGGCTAAAGAATGGATATGAGGTTGGGTAAATTCAAAGGTCACCACATTTCTAGACTTCCAGATTCTCCAAAGTAAACAGACGCATTGGAGAATGTGGAATGGGGAGGTCTCAGATACCATGACATGTCGCCACCATAGACTAAAATTAACAGTCTGGGCGGTCTCAATAAAGTTTCTCAATCCCACTATAGACCACAATCTGATGGCTAGGGGGCATCTGAAAAATAAATGTTCGATACTTTCTCGATGTCTCCAGCAGACAGGGCATCGGTTAGAACAGTTAACTCCACGAGATTGAAGGGCTACTACTGTGGGGAGTATGACTTTGAGGCATTGCCATATGAAGAATTTGAGTTTAGGATGAACTTGGATATTCCAAGTCTTTTTCCAAATAGGGGAGTCAATGATTTGCACTATCGGTTTTCGACTTGGAGTCAATATTCTTTCCAAAGCTAAGTGATAGCCCGATTTGACTGTATATTTACCATCTTTGGAATAGTGCCACACTCTAATGTCTTGCTGCGAGAGACGTGGGAGAGGAATTCTCCTTATGAGCTCAACAAAGTGAGGTTCAAAGCAATTTTGAAGTTTTGGAACGTCCCATTCCCCTCGACCTTCTTTTATAAAATAAGATACCATAGGAGATCCATTTTGAATGTGGGGTCGTGTATTCGGGATTAAGGGTTTATCCCCCGGAACCCAGTTATCAATGAACGCCCGAGTTCTTTGTCCATTGCCTATCTGCCATCTTAATCCCTGAAGGAGCAGATCTCTTCCAAAGAGTAGACTTCTCCACCCCCACGAAGGGTTTGACCCGATCGATGCTTCCAACACCGAACATTGGGTAAAGTATCGACCCTTATAAATCTGGGAAAGGAGTGACGTTGGATTAGTCCATATTCGCCAACATTGTTTGGCTAGCAATGCTTGATTGAAGGCTTCAAAGTCCCTGAATCCAAGACCTCCATGGAACTTACTGTGGGCTAAGCTTTTCCAGGACAACCAGTGGATTGGGTGATCTAAATTTTGAGCCGTACCCCACCAAAACTTTGCGACATGACTATTTAATCGTCTACAGTTTTCCTTGGGGAGCTTGAAACATGACATTCCTAAAACTGGTATATTAGTGGCCGATGTTCTAATAAGAATGTCTTTCCCTGCTTTCGAAAGGGAACGTTGTTTCCACCCTTGCAACTTCTTGATAAGTTTCTCCTCCATGAACTGGAATGTATCCCTTTTTGATTTAGATAGGATGGCAGGTAGACCTAGATAAGAGTCGTGTTCTCCTATGGTTCCAACACCCAATTGAGCACCCATAATTTGAGCATGAGAAGGGTCTGTGTTGTGGCTGAAAAGGACAGCTGATTTATTTAGGTTTATTCGTTGGCCACTCAACTCCTCATAAGCCCATAGTAGGGAAAGGAGAGACGTACAGTACTCCTGTGAGGCTGACAAGAATAGGTATGAGTCGTCTACGAAAAAAAGATGGGAAATTACCGGACAGCTAGGCCGGATTCTGACTCCCTCAAGGTATCCTACTGAGGTAGCTTTCCTTATCATGCTAGAAAATCCTTCGGCACAGATGGCAAAAAGGAGAGACGATAGGGGATCTCCTTGTCTAAGTCCTCTTGAAGGTCTAATGTACTCTGATGGGGAGCCGTTAATAAGAATCGAATATGACACTGTAGTGACGCACTCTTTTACCCAAGATATGAATCTAGGATGTATACCAAGAATCCTCATCATTTCGAACAAGAACGGCCACTCTATTCGATCGTAAGCTTTCTCCATATCTAGTTTCACTGCCATCCACCTTTTTTCTTGGATTTTGAAGTTTTGAGATGATGGACCATTTCATGGCTGATTAGGATATTGTCTGAGATTTGGCGCCCTTTGATGAACCCGTTCTGTGTTGGGGAAATGATCTTGGGAAGCACTCTGCTCAACCTATCTGCTAAGATTTTAGCTATGACTTTGTAGATCACTTGGCAAAGACTTATTAGTCTTAAGTTTTTCATGGTTCTTACGTTGTTAACCTTGGGGACCAAAGATATCCAAGTACGGTTGAAGGATCTTAGTAAATGCCCAGAGTGGAAGAAAGCCAGTACTGCTTGAATCACATCTTGATTGATTAGCTCCCAATAGTTTTGGTAGAAAGCTGCCGTAAATCCATCAGGGCCTGGGGCTTGAGTTTTGCCTATGCTGAACACCGCTTTCTTAATGTCTTCTTGGGAAATTGGAGCAATCAGAATTTCATTCTGGATCTCGTCCACTGTTTTTTCTACCGAGAGGTGAGATAGGTCTATCGTGGACATACATTGTGTTTGGAAAAGGTCTTTATAGTAGTCCACAGCAATGTTCAGTTTCTCATGTTCTGCAGTGCACCAAGACCCTTGTGCATTTTCCAGTCCCCATATTGTATTGGCTTGACGTTTGGCTGCGGTGACTATATGAAAATACCTGGTGTTTTATCCCCACCTTGTAACCAATTAGTCCGGGATTTTTGCCTCCAAAAAATTTCTTCCCGATTATATTGAACACTCAATTCTTTTTCCAAGGATTTGACTAGGGCCTAGTTCACCGGAGAATTAGATCTAGTCACTTCTAGTGCACGATTTAGATCATTTATTAACCTCGCTGAGTTAGACGTTCCTCCTTTAGACCAACCAACCAACGCATGCCTAGTCCGTAGTAGCTTACTAAAAAGGCAGTATTGAATTGAGCCTGCTACCTCTAAATTCCAAGCATAAGTGATAATTAGCTCAGCTTCCGGCATCTGAATCCACCTGAGATCGAATCGAAATAATCTTTTTGCTCTATGCATTGTAGGATTTGTTTGTAGGAAAAGCAACCTATGGTCTGATCCTACATCCGTGAGGTGATATATAGTCGTCGAAGGCCAAATGTTCATCCATGTTGTAGAGAGGAAGGCTCTATCTATTTTTTGCTCAATCGTAACTCCATTCCTTCCCCGGTTTGTCCAGGTAAATTTGGGGCCTTGGGAATTTGGTTCAAATAGCCCTAACAGATTACCAAAGTCCCACAGTGGGCGTGCTTTATCCATTCGCCATGAGGATCCTCCTGCTTTATCAAGAGGATATAAGGAGCTATTGAAGTCTCCAATAACTAGGTATGGATCCGATAGACGAGCACAAAAATTAGCAATTTCCTCTAGTTGATTTCGACGCTTGGTCACGATATAGGATAGATAAACCCCTATGAGGACAAATCGAGGACATTCTCCATAGCAAAGGTTATTATTATTGATTACTGAAATGGCAACATAGCAAGGGGATGATCCCAGAATCGAGACTGAGGTTGATGGTGGCCAAGCAAAGACTAAGCCTCCCGACATGCCGGAAGGATCAACTGGATGACAATTTGAAAAGCCTAACGAACAGATAAAAGACCTGACTTTGTCACTAGGTGACATAGTTTCACACAAAAACAAGAATGAATTGGCAATATTGCGGCATGCTTTGAGCGTCTTGGAAGTCAAGGTGCTGCCTATTCCTTGACAGTTCCACGCGTAGACATTCATTTGTCGGATTGGGGCCACTTTGGGGCTGATTCCACTACACCTTCCTCTGGCTCTCGAATACTGATGCCATTGTTTCTTCTTGTGTAGACTTTAGGTGATCCCGATGACTCTATCATAATAGCTTTCCCCTTGGACTCTCCTTTTATAACGCGGCCAATTGGGGAACATGATTGAGCTGAGTCGGTGGAAACTTCCTTGTTGCCTGTTTTGTTTAGTTCAAGCTCAAAATCTTGCAAGACAAGAAGGTGAGAGTCCCCCATATTTTCAAATAAAAAACTAGGATCCTCACTTCAAAATAGATTACCTAGATCATATGATGGAGAGGCAGCTTGGAACTGCAAAGGTCGAACATCATTTGCCTCATGACACATTACCATAATCTTTTCTTTGATGGGCTCTTGGATTTGTGCTGATTGGTGCTTGCTGGGCCCTTCACCCAGGTTCCCTGACTTCAGACTCGGCCCATTAGGGCTTGGCCCATTGACAACAGAGTCTGGCCTGGTGGGAGAGAGGTCTTGAGCCCTCGGAATAGGGCTGGGTTTCAGAAGCCTTGTGAAATTTTCCCCCCTGGGACTTCGCAGCCGACTGTGAAGCTAGGTTTCCAGGGCTCCTTCCTCGGCGACTGTAAGGAAGTCGAAGATTTGGCCCTTCAAGGAGGAGAGGTTTTGGGAGCGGCAGCGCAACAGGTCTGACATCATTCCTCCATACATTGCTCGTCCAGTTCTTCCTCTCCATTTTCGCCGATGTGTAAGAATTTTCATTCAACCTGGATCCGGTTCGCTTTCCAAAGATTTCAGGGCCGAAACCGTCGTCTCCAGTGACCAGATCGAAGGAGCAGCTCTCCTGGTTATGGCCGATTCTTCTGCATCTGAAGCAGACCACCTTGAGATTTTCGTACTTGAGCTTCACCCGGAAGGTCTCGCCAACCGAACCATCTGCAGCTCGTTTTCTTGCTTCTAATTTGTGTTCAAGGGGAGCAGAGACATCAATCAATATTTTGGCCTTGAACACACATCCTGGCGACTGCCAGACTGCATACATCCCAGCTTCCTCCACTGTGCCCAGGCGTGAAGCCAGCAACCTTCCCAGTGCGACCGTTCTGTATTCCTCCGGGAGATTCCAGAACTGGACAAGGTATGGGACTCGGGCGAGATCATGATATAGACGCTCTGATGTCGTCTCCCATTCTTTGAAGGTGAAAATCTTGGAGTCGATAAACCACGGAGCCTTCTTCAGAGCTTCTTGCCGGTCGGTTTGACTTGAGAAGACGAGCTGGAATAGTTCGTGCTTTGCGTCCAGTACAGTCACCGGAGCTCTTTTAGCCCAGAGGTTGTTGGCCATATGTTGAACTCTGATTCGAGAGGGATGGTTGGAGCAGAGCAATCGACCAACCAAGCTTAGACCAGCTCTGGTAAGTCCTGCCTCGAGAACTTCATCATTGAATTCAATCGGGGCTGCCATTGTTGGTGGACTTTTCTTCGGGTAGGCTTTTTTGCTAGAGATGAGAAGAGGAAGGGATCTCGATAGTAACTTGGTCGATTGAGGATGGTGAATAGCTCTTTGTATCCGTTGGGAATAAAAGGAGACTATTAGAAGGTTGAAGCACTTAAAGATAGGAGGATTAGTGCCTGATCTCATGCTAGCAATGATTCTATAATTCATCCGATTTAATACGTTTAGATGATGATTGATCATTAAGAGAGTGTTTGAATTGCCTTTGGTGTCTTGTTTGCCGAGGTTGAGGTGGAACTTTCTGAATTGCTGGCTTAAGAGAAGCTCGTTCCCAAAAGGAATGTGTTCTTTAAAGAGAAAATTTATTCCTTTTCCGGTACAAGCTGATTTTCTGCTCACTGATTTGAGTTTGAATTGTAGTAGACAGCCTTTAATGTGCCCTTTGATTGTGCTTTGATTTGAATTTCCCCTTACATTTTGCCTTCCATTATGACTGATGCTCGGATCACATAAAGCTCTGTTTTTTGGAGCTTTAAATAGCTCTAACTCGTCATAATTTAGACGATTTGAAAGCCCAATTATGGCTTCTCCAGCGAAAGCCGTTTTAGAGATTAGAACTCTGTAACCGCTAAACGGTAAGGCTGCAATACTTCTGACAATTAATGCATTGATTGTGGTTTGCAGTTGGCGGTGGTCTTCGGAAAGGTAGGGAGAGTTCCGGCGACCTGTCGGAGATGCGGAGGAGTTGTTTGTTTTGCTGTGCCATGATCGATGTCCGAGGGTAGAGTCTTCTTTCCACGGACAGGAGTTACCTTCTGGGATCATTTTCCATAGCCTGAGGATAATGGAGTAGATTGTTAACTCTGGGGATGAACCAAGAGGGGATACAGGGAGTCTGGGGAAGATGATTTCAGAGAGATGAAGGAAATATAACGTGAGATTAGGATTTGTTTTGGGTCTGGTTTGTAGTTTTTTCTTCTCCTTTTCGGGTTGGATTAGGGTCGGACAGTAAGGAGAAGGTATTACAATATACACTGTCAATCTTTGCAAGTAGCTCATTACGATATTGTCCGATTTGGGTCAAGTCCGAACGAAATTATTTTTGGGTTCCTTCCTAAAAACCATCGTACTAATGAGCTTGGTGGACACTATTATACAAGTGTCCTTTCCTTGTATTATGGTACTTGAATTGTCCCATAACAATTTATCTTGATCTATCTATGATCTTCAAAATCATATATCTTAGAGCATATCTTAGATTTAGTTAGCTATGTCTAGCATTCAGTTTTTAGAGTACTTACCAACTTTGAATAAGATCATCGCTTTTCTTAAACCATCTATTATCTTCAAAATCATATATCTTACATCCGATGGTCGCCAATTAACCACTAGTGGATTCATCACTTTCCTAAAATGATGTAGAAACATCAAAATCCTTCTATCTCTAAGTCCATGACTGATTCAACCTTTCCCCTTAAGTCATATTCTCTGAATCTACAAGCTTCCATAAGGCCTCTCTACTTAACTTCTACGAATTCTTCCTTCAACACATCAACATTCCTTTTCTTCGCTATGAGGTTTTCCTTTGTAAAAACTTTTAGGAGAGCTCAGCATGTTGGATCCCATTCCTTTAAATTCTCATTGCCATGACCAAGCTTACTCCAACTGCAAAATCACTCCCTATGATCAAATACCTTTGCCAGAACTTGATCAACCATGAAGTCAACTTTGAACCTACCTTTTAGCAATCTTAGTTGGAACTTTCTCCTTGATAAGCCTCCCACTCTGACCTGCCCTGAAGCTGTGAGGTATTTCTACTCAAATCTTAGAAGGCCTTCACACATGTACTTTCAAAACTATTTTCACGACTGTTACTCTGCGGATCGAGAAATTGGAGGATTCGACAATGCAAGAAAACAAAAGCGCACACACACACGACACACGATTTACGTGGTTCACTAACACAATGTGTGTTAGCAAGTCCACAGGCAGAAGAGAGCCAGTGTCACTATACTTCAAGGAGATACAGATTACAGATGAGTACGAGAAGTATTTATAGTACTTCTCATAGGTCTAACCCTAATCCAATATGGTAAAGAAAAAGCGGTTACAACCAGGCCCAGAACCCGAACCCAAATGACATTGAGCCCATACACCGTGACTTTCAGTCGTAACGGCTGATAGTCCGATTCAAGTCACATCAACAACTATTTTGTTTGGGCATATGCCACCATTTTAGGCTCTGACCTTCGTCGCATCAACTTACTTGTCATACTCCTGATGAGCTTCTCATGATTCCCGCTTCCACTCTCCCACCAGATCTAAGGGTATTGCATTACTTTCTTACACACACATTCTTTTTCATAGTGCTCTTTCATAATATGATCCTGCCATTAGATCAATAGATTCTCTCTCATGCTGGACTCTTTCTTCATCTTGATTTTATTCATCTTTTCCATAGTTACTTGATGCCCTTTGGAGACTTCAACTATCATGACCTACTATCCTTAGGAACTTTGATAATTAGACTCCTCATCAACCTCGGGATCAATCTCTTACCCTTTCGAACTATCACTCTCATCATGTTTCCCACAGTTGATGATGTCCTACAAGAATTGGAGCTTGAGAGTGAGGGGGAGAATGGTCCTCCTTAAGAAGATGGTCATGAAGTAGTCTGGATAAGTAGCGACAACGAGTCAAAGTTAGAAGATTCAAATTTCAGTGAGCCAGCCTCTCTTGATGATAGAAGCAATTTTGATTCACCTTAACTCAGCGAGCCATCCTCTTTTGTTGACAGAAGCGACCCTGATTCACCTAAGTTCAATGAGCCATCCTCTCCTCATAACATAAGCGACCCAGATTCACCTAATTTCACACCATACGAATCTTAGAATCTCTTAGGAGACACAAATCTCCACAACTTATGGTGATCTAATGGTTTGAGTAGTGACGAGAAAGCTTTTCTCATGTTTGAGCTTTTAAAAACTATGCGTGATTTTTCTTTTGAACATTTGAAGTTATATTAGGCTTTTAGAACTATTTTGGCACTTCTCTTCAAAACTGTTGGTTTAAATCCTTTGGACTATGTGTGAATTTTCGGCACATGATAATCTATTATGTTTCTTCTATAATGGTTTGCTTTAGTTGGATCACTCTAGTGTGTGAATGACTTGACAAACTCCATTCTCCAATCTAAAGAAGATAACAGGTTGGGGGAGCATTGGAGCTTGTTTCACTAATAACATACATGCAATTATGAGAAATGCATGAAATTACAAAAAAGAAAAGTAGGAGGAGATTGTTGGGAAAAAGCTTTCCCTTTTTGTAAAGGTAAACTAAAACAAATTATTACTTGCCATATTTGTGAATATAAGATTGTAGAAAAGAATCTTCCAAATCAAAGGAAGATCAAGAGAAAGATTACGTATAAATGGAAGGAAACAACATGACAAGACTTATGGATGTACCGGAGCAATTCAATACAAAGCAAGATCAAACACTATATGATTATCAATAGGTGTAAGAAGTGATAGATATTCACTATCTGTATTGCTTGAGTGCTTGTGACTTGTGAGGTTGTGTAGTTTCTCTATTTAGCGTGAGTGCTTGTGAGCAAGAGAGAAAGGGGTATATTGTTCTATTCTTGTCAAGGGTTTGAGTTTCACCCAAAGTGACTCAACTTGGAATTATAACAGAATAAAAAACCTAGACACTAGGTCTCAAAGCATGAGCCACCTTTGAGCTGAGATGTAAGCAATATGATGAACTCGGTTAACAAAAAATAATATGCATGTCTTCTTGTCCTTGCTCTTTATTACCTTGTGATTGTTGCTTTATTGGTACACAACTTTGCTAAGTCACAAGTGGAAAACGATCGGTAAAAGGCTAAAGCTCATCTCAATAACCTCTTGGGCTTTGGCATCGGGTCAAGTCAACACACAAATCCAAACGACCAATCGCTTTTAACTTCTATATTGTCTATCCCATTAATACCATTATTATCGTGCAACAAGTGTTGTGCACTGCCGAGCCTTGATTGTGAGCGCCTGCAATTGCGACGAATGGGCTTCGAGAGGACTCAAGGAAAATAGGGTGCATTCGGCGTTGCCGCGTTGGTAGAGCGAAAGTTGATGGATCGACGACCACCTGCTTTGCTTCAATGGATTGTATTGGAGCTCATGGAAATGGATTTAGGGTTCCGTGGCTCGTCGAGGATTGTAGGGCTCGAACAAGACAGATAGGCTTCGCGAGGACTCAAGGAGAAGAGAGTCATTTGGCAGCAAAACGAAAGGTGATGGCTCGACAGTGTCATGTTCTGCTTCAACATATTGGAGCTCCTAGAAATAGATTTAGGAATTTCTCTTCCCTATCTCGTTGCGAAATCTTTCACAATTGACAAACATCCTTTTTTTACATTCCAATTAACAAAACATCAATTTTAATGACAAGGGACCAGAAGCTGAGACTGAGAGCACCAATAGAACCATCGATTTTTCGACTAGATCTTCATACGAGTGATACTTCAAGCCGGTTTTATGACTGATTTTGGTTGAACCTAATACGATCGGCCGTGGTTTAACAACCATTGTTGTGAGCATTCTAAAATTTCTCGGAGCCCAATAAGACAAGTATTCCAAGTGCTCGGGTGACATTGATATATAAAAGCCTTGGTTGCCACTACTGTTCATTAGTGGCCCCCAATCTCCTTGCTGCGACTGGGCCTCCAACAAACGTTTCTTCTGCATTAGCCCACGTGCCCGCCTTTGCCTTTCTTAGTTTTTTTAGCTCCGTTTTACCCCACTCGCTGTTGAAGAACCATTGGATCTTTTTTCTCTCCACCGGTTCCTCCATTAACAACTCTGCAATACCCACTTTCTCCTGTCACTGGCCTGCCTTCTCTCTTCATCAAAGCCAATCATAATTTTCTTCTCTTCTTCCAAGTTCCAATCCCTCTTCTCCTTCTCTGCTCTTCTCACCTACACGCAAACCTTTTCTTTTTCACCCAACCTGCCTTCAACAACCTGGCCTTTCCTTACCTCTGATTCCATAACCAAACGCTCAATCCAAGGCACTGCCCATTGAAATGCGTCGAGAACTCTAGCGGAATCCTAGATTTTGCACCTCCATTGCTTCCCCCAAAAACCCTACCGGTGGTTCTCTCCCTTTTCACTGCCGGATTGGAGCCTCCCCACCTTCTCCCTCTCGATACGCCATCTCCCCCTTCTTTCGATCTCTCTTACGCACACAAACACACAGACCTCCATACCGATGGCCGTTTTTGGGTAATTCTAACTCTATCTACCTCCTCTTATGGTGGAACCCCAACAGCGGCGAGTCTAGAATCGGGTCGACAGCGGGTGGGGCGGTGGCATCCCTACGATGGCGAGCAAGGTTCCTCGACATCGTTGACCGAGCTCTGTGGTAAGCGAGAACGGCGGAGTCCCTGCGGGTGTGGACATCGGCGGCGTTGCCGGGGACGGTACGTGATGGGGTTTCGTTTGCCTAGGAGCACGAGTCAGGTGGGATTCCGCCGAGAGAGAAGAAGGGATCTCTGGGTTGATGGGTCAGAATTTTAGATGGAACCAGCGAGGGGAAGACGTTAAGAAGAGATATGGAGGTTGATTTCGGCGCGGCATGGTACCAGCAAATATTCATCTACCTCCCCTAATTTGGTTACAAATGAGTTGATTGTAGATTGGTAGAGAGCCAATCCAGGAGTTAACGGCGAGATTAGGGGAAGGAACGCACTAGATGCAGCAAGGGGAAACTCCAGCGGTAGCTGCTGACGGCGGCGGGTGTGGACACAGTTGATGGGCCGGCGATTTCACGGTAACTCAGGGGGCCGGTATGACAGAGAGCAGCAAACCTGGGATTCCGCCGAGAGTTTTAGATTCCGCCGATAGTGTTTGGTGAGTAGGGGAAAATGTTTGGGTACTCTCCCAGCGAGACGGAATAAGAAATTTGGGGTTCGTTGACTGGAAAGAATTAGTTTGGGACTTGCTGCGCCGGAATTTGGCTCCCCCTCCGAAACTCCTGGGTTGAATCCCACCTCTAAAACTCACTGCTAAACCTAGGTATTCTCTCTGATTCCAGCCCCTGTGCTTTCAAGATTTTCCCCCAACTCATCCTTGACCAATACCAATACCCATAATAACCGCATGCTAACATACAGGAAAGGGAATCCCCGCAACAGAACATATACATCTTTAAAGGGAGGAATTGTTCTTTGGAAAAAGCATTAGAATTTAGATGTTCTTTCATGATAGCCAACATGAATTATTTATGCTTCTCCATTATGTTTAAAGCCGCATATAAAATTGGATAAGAGCTGGTCCCTCTTTGATTAAGGTTTGTGTTCTTATAAGTTATACCATTAGTGAAATTGTTGCTTTTGTATCCTTACACAGCAATCTATAGCTTTTTGGTTTTCCCCGACCATGCTTTATCCTCTTCCTATAGGTGCTAACTGCTAAACTGCTCAATGGTTTGCAGGTTAAGATTGAGCCAATTTGGGGTGTTTTACCTTCCACATGGCACATTTCAGAAACTCTCCAAATAGAACAGATGTAGCTCACAGTAGAAACTCATGACAAGGTTAAGTTAGTGAAGCTGTATTCTGTACATTGCCCTTCGAATCATCGAAAACTTATATGGATACCTGAACAAATAGAAAGACGCCTTACAGTAGAAACTCACCAAATGTTTAGTAAAGAACAATTATGTAAAGTCCTGAAAACTATCTAATCCTTTGTAGTCCAAATTCACTTGATATTTACACCATTATCTTGGTATCATGCTTTCTCTCTATTATGTGGATATCAGATTTAAAGATAGCAAAAATCCGCATTATTTTTCTTTGAGTACCACACTTGCTGACATGCATCTATTTTGTTATTCTTATGCTATTGTCTAAAAGGACTAACAAGTTTTACCTGATATATTCACATTGTGTGCTGCCTGTAGTGAAAATTGTTTAATGCAAGAAGATTGGTTACTCATATCGAGAAAGAACAGGTAATGAGTGCTTGCATACCCAATGGAGGGGATTTCGCTCATATTTCCCTTTTGTTTTGTAAATTTGTGTTCAGCCTTTGTTTACTCAACTTTGATTTGTTTATTTTCTCTGGTGTTTTTTCGTTTTTACAGTTTGCTCTAAGAGACAAGCCTGATCTTGACACGAGTTTGCCAAATCATAGTAAATCGAGTACTTCTGAGATCCACTCAATCTGTGTTTACCTTTCTTTTGGATTAATTGTACACTTCTATATATATGTATGTCTTAATATATGTATGCATTTCTATGGATAGTTAAGGTTTGAAATGGATGATCAGCTGCTGCATTTTCTGTGTACATTGGCAGGGCGCCATTGTCATCGAGTTATGTTTACTTTCTTTGACTTAACAAATTTTTTTCTTGCTGGATTCAGACTTCTGCCCTTTCTATTTAAGTATAACTTTTGTGTTATTTTTACTTTGATGAGCCTCATTCCAGAGAATCTCCTTTTGATTTCACCTCTTGATCAATGGATGTTGGTGTGTCTATTAGGCTGTGGTGTTACTGTTACAAAGCAGCGACCTTTAGGATTTACCACCTTAAAGCAACATGGAGATCCATTTTGGCAATTTTCTCCTCTGCAATGATCATTGATGTCATACCTAATTTACCAGGTTACTGTTACTGCACCTTCCCTCTGTTTATGGTTTAATGCATGTGTTTTTAGCATACTAATTGTATGATCTCCATTTGGACCCCTAGAAACTGATGGTCCAAGCTATTTCCTTGACTTGCAAGTCCATTTTTGAAACTGGATTGTTTTGACTTTTTCTTGCTTGGTGTGTTTGTAGCCACGCACTAATTTCACGCTTGGCTTTCAGAATACTGTATCAGCTCTGCTTACTTATTAGCCCCAATTTCAAGCCTTCAAATGATGCATGGTTCATGGATCTTAGTGTCATGTATTTAATCAGATACATTTTGCTAATTCTTTTGCATGATATGTTTACAATGACTACTTTCACTCGCAAAGCGTAACCGAACGGGTAAGTTTTAGTATATTTAATTAGTGAATGCTGATGATTTCACTGGTCTGCCTGTGAGCTAGCACGTAAGCTGACGATATACATCTTCATAGCTTCATAAAATTGGTTTTCTTTGTCAGCCTTACAGGATATACATCTTCATACGAAATAATCATTGATCAATTATAGGAGACATGTTAGCAAGACTATGCACTTGAGCTGTTTAGAGAAATGATGGGGAAGAAGAGCATAGGAAAGTGATCATTTTCTAGAAGGGTTTCGGATGGGATTGAATGTAGCGAAAGCATGAATGTTGTATGATTTCTTGCCTCATTTTTAGTTCGACCCTAATATAGTATCTTTCGAACATTGTGTTTTCTTTAGAGTCGGCCATCTATTGTACAAATGAATGTTGTATCAATTGTTAAACAAGAGCGAGAGGAACTTGATGAACAGATTCATGGACAAGAAACAAAATAAATTAACATTATAGTTCTAATGACATATTTATTTTCCTATTTACACCATATATCTATTAGTATGATGATGACTACTCATCGCGAAGCGTAGCGAGCGGGTCTTTGCTAGTGTGTATAAATAAGCAATGTTGGGAAAGTGATCTCAGTTTACTTCCTACTACAAATCTGTCCACTACTACTTTCTTACTTCGCCATTGTTATCATCACTGCAAAGTCCCACCCAACCCAAACAGAATCAATCCTTCACGGAGGAACCACCAAATCTCTCCCCTTTAAGCTCTGTTTCTCCACTTGCTTCTCCTTTCCTCCAATTCCAATATTCCCTTTTTCTTCCGATCCCGTGATTTTCCTCACTTGCTACTTACTACTACTGGTGCTTCTATGGCGTCCGACGAAAGCTCCGCCGTCCTCTCTTCCGTCGACGACTTCCTCGACCCCGACGCCGACGACGGCTACGATCTCCACTCCTCCCACCCTCACTCCCACCACAACCTCTCCCGGCTTTCGGTCTGCACGAGCTCCATGTACACCAACGACGGCGACGACGACGAAGACGAAGCCATGAGCCGGATTTTCATGTCCGGACTGTCGATCGACAGCTTCGACGCCGACGCGGAGCTCTCCGACCAGAACCCAAATCGGGTCCGCCAGAACCCGACCCTCGGGCCCGTACGCCTCGACCTCATCTCCTCCGATTCCGACTCCGACAAGGAGCCGGGATGCTACTCGCTCCCGTCGACGCCGCCGCGGCGGCGGAACAGGGGAGCGCTGCCGATCAGGGGAGCTGAAGCGGCGAAGGAGTACGCCAGCGAGAACGAAGGAGGGAAGAAGGGGATGTCGACGGGGCGGAAACTGAGGAGGAATCCGAGGCGGCGGCGGTTGGTTAGTCAGGAGAGATGGACCGACGGCGGCGGCGGAGGAAGGGGAGTCGGGAGCGGAGAAAGCGAGAACGGCGGCGGTGGAGGAGGAGGAGGAGGGCTGGTGGTGATCACTCGGCCCAAAGGAGGGAGCCGGCCGCTGTGTATGGATTTGGGGGAAGTGAAGGCCTGTAAAGATCTAGGCTTTGAGCTGGAGCACGAGAGGATGGTGTCGGTTTCGGGAACGAGCAGCGGCGGCAATTCCCCGATCGCCAATTGGCGGATCTCCAGCCCCGGTAAGTTGTTCAATTGAGAGTCAAATCGCAATTCGCGCCCCCCAAATCCAATTGGTCGAATTTCGAATTGTTGATTTACCGGGAATTGGTGAAACAGGGGACGATCCGCGGGATGTGAAGGCGCGGCTGAAAGTGTGGGCACAGGCGGTGGCGTTCGCGTCGTCCACCGGGAAACAGGGCGGCGGCGGTGCAATCTGATCGAGTGACCGAAGTTGGCAATATTTTCCCTCGGAGAATTGGGTTTTTCGTCGGCGAGATTGGGTCTCCTTTTTTTTTGCCCCATTTGTGGGGGAAGTGTTTGGATTGGTCCTGTGCGATTACATCGATGGCACGGAACTCTGTCGACTGTAAATTATATCAATGGAGGTTAATAGTCAGCGTAGATAATACAGTTATTGAAATTAGATGAGTATGAGAAAGCAGCCATGTCGGCCTGCTTCTCCACTGAATCGTTTTGTTGTTATTCTATGGGCGCAGAGCTTTTTTGTCTGTGTGCGTTGGTTTGCAGAATTTGATTTGGTTACCTCTTCCTGTTCATGAAACGAACAAGAGAAGGAGATAGGATGGTGATTTTGGGAGCTGGGTAAAATACAGGCACGGAACCCCAGGTTTAGGGATAAGAAGCTCTCCATTGCTCTGCCATGGCCGGCGGCTTCCGTCTCTTGCTTTCCCTGAGTGGATTGGCAGCTATTTTTTTGTTGGCTTGCCGTGGTGACACCAACTCTTGCCCAACTTTGACTGCCATCGTAACAAAAACATACTATGACGATTGACGTGTTTCGAACTTTCGATGATGGGTTTCTACTTTGTAGGTCACAGATCACAACTAGTTGTGGAGTCGGATCAAATTGGTCTACGAGAGGTTTAGGGCTGGGAAATTGGGTTTGGTTTAAACCGAATCGAATAGATACGAGTTCTATTGGTTTCGATTGTTTGGTTCCGATTCGGTTTGTATTTTAATGGTCTAGGTTTAAACCGAGTTCCATAAGAAACCTGAACTCGAACCTTACTCTAATCGAAACTATTAGGGGGGGGGGGAGGATTTTGGGTTTCGGTAGTTGACTCATGACCCACCCGACTTTTTAACGTTAAACTAGTTAGTCTCTGACATATAATTTTACCGAAAATGAAATCTTCAAAGTAGGAAGAAGAAGATAAAACTATATGTGCAAAAAATAGGAACTTTTTTTAATGCTTTCTCAAATTCCATCTCTGGAAAAAAAATGAAATCAAAATTAGAAAAAGGAGATAAATGCTTATTAAAACAGTATAAAAAAATAAAAAGTTATTAATTCTCGTCACTTTGATCTGTCTCCATTTAAAACTAATTTTTAAGATATGGTTATGCACTCTATCATGCGCCGTTGAATTACCAGTCCCACTCATGTCCTTAGTCAAGTTATTCAATGACTGATATTGCTTGAATATATTTTGTATAGTATAAAAATAAAAACTATATGTTACCGTTAATAATATGTAACTTTTTTATTAGTTAAAATATTAAAAAATTGAAATGTTGACCGCGATATGTCTCTTCCAACTCAGTATCATGTTTTCAAGTTAATGTTACTAGCAAAACTACTAACGAGAAATTAACGTTGGCTAATATTTTATATTTCAAAAAGTTTGACCAATAATTTAAAAAGTTTGGCTAATAAGTTGTAGTTACCCCTCTACGTTAGATAAGGTTATGCATATGTGAATTATGCATCAGATCCATACATAATGCCCAATGCCCCCATCCGATTTTAGAGATGACAAGTTTACTCGAATCCATGAGTATTTTCTTATCCAACCCTAATGTGTTGGGTATGAAACTCAAATACAAGGCAAATGGGTAGAGTTTGATGGGTTCATACACATTTATTTGGGCTGGATTTTTAATCAATGGATTTGGGATTGCATCCATACTCATATGCATATTACAACTTAGTACCTAAACTTAATATATCTTTAGATTTATTACCTAAATTTAGTTTTTATGCATATAAGTTCTCAAAATATTAATTTTTTATGCCTTAAATTTGTATACGTAAACTTTTTAACCTTTACAAATCTTTCCACCTTTTGTATATGTACTTAAAAAAACTCAAGTAAATAGATAACTACACCCAACTTCGGTATTTTACTTAGTATCATGTTGTCAAGTCAACATTACTAGCAAAACTACTAACGGGGAGTTAACGTTTGGCTAATATTTTGTATTTCAAAAGGTTTGGGTAATAATTTAAAAAGTTTGAAAGGTTTGGCTAATAAATTGTATTTACCCTTTATGTTATACATGGTTATGCATATGTACATTATGCATCAGATCTGCACATCATGCCTAACGCCCCCATCCGATTTAGGGATGACAAGTTTACCCGAATTCACGATTATTTTCTTATCCAACCCAATTGTGTTGGGTATGAAACTCAAATACAAGGTAAAATCATAAATGGGTAGGAGTTTGATGGATTCATACACATTTATTTGGGTTGAGTTTTTAATCAATGGACTTGGGATTGCACCCATACACATATACAAATTACAATTTGGTACCTAAACTTAATATATCTTTAGATTTAGTACCTAAAGTAAAATAGACATCTACTCCCAACTTTGATATTTTACCCAATCATCTAATAATATGAAAGCAATACCGATACAAACTCCAAACTTGTATAGACTTTACCCATATCCTACCCATAATCATGAGTATAGTTGATTTAGGTAAGGTAATCCGATTCCCAGCTACCTAGCTTTCCCAAATGCATGTCTTGGCTGACGTATCCAAATCACAACACTTATACTTTACATGTGGTATTAGCCACATCCAAACATAGTTAGTAAATACTCCGTTTAATACACGTATATGTACCCGTACGTACTTTATCCGTTTAAAACTTCCGTATCCGTATTATTGTCAAGCCGTTTCATTTTTTTCCGTTCCTTGGATGGCTCCCGTACTAAACACGTTTAATATCCGTATTTAATAAATTAAATTGTGAACTTTACTATTATTTATATATTTATTTATTTATAAAATAATTTATTTTTATATATTTATTACTATTAACGTACTATTAAACGTACCTTTAACTTGGAGACGATGTAAAATACCCGTACGTATTTTTTACGTAACTTTCCCGTACCATATTTTACTAACTATGCATCCAAATATCAACAACCAAATACTCCAATAGCTGCAGCTTCATAATTAATGAGGCATTGTGGTTAACGAGTCTTGGTGGGACCTATCTTTGACCATAAAAGATAGGGAAAACAAAGACGTTGCTCCAATTACACAATTCCAAATGTCCTCCTAGGATTTTGCCACCTATCTTTTTAAAGATTAGTACTAATCCATGGTCCCCTAACTACACATCATTATTATTATTATTATTATTATTATTATTATTATTATATCATTAAATCGCAAGTAACCGAATAATCCAGATTACTGTTCATTACGATTAATTCGCTGGGTGTTTGGGAATGGATTTGCTAAACCCAATTTTACTATAAGGTCTTTGTTGTTTGAATTATACAAAAATTAAATGGAGAGACACAAAGATTTCATAAGTTCATCTAACTTTTACTTATAACATTTTAATAAGCTTTTTAATCAAATGTGATTCTTGATGACAATGTGATGTTATATAGTGACGGCGATGGGTCAGTGGGATGGTTTTGTCCTCTATGTATGGGCCTTGGAAATCATCAGTGATTTCACGTGTTTGGGCCCTTTATTTTTGGTGGGCCGTTTCGTCTTTTGTAACCTAACCTCTGTTTCTTCTTTGTCACCTTTTGTTCTTTTTCCCACAAATGAAACGAAATGGTTCAGAAAAAGCTGACTTGCGTTTGAAGTTTAAACGACCTTTCTTTTCAGAAAAGAAACTGAACCAACTGACGTAAAAATACAGAGGACCATACAACCAACCTTTCTTTTGAGATTGAATGATTAGTGCAAGACTCAACAACAACAGAGATGTCAAGCTTAGCTGACTGGGAAATCGTTACATACGAAACGACGTCGTCGTTGCTGCAGTCACATACATTTAGAACCTTCAATCTCTTTTACAGTAGAAATCAGAAACAAAAGCATCCAATGGTTGGGTATCAGAAGGCAACTGATAAATCTTTTCTCTGAACTTTTGTTTATTCTTAAAATAAATGCTTACACAAACAGTTTTACAAACCTGCGGAATTGTTTCCAATATAATAGGATGGATTCCCCTTCGGGGCATGAATCAATTTCCTTTCTTTTTTGGTCCTATAACAAAACTACTTGAAAACAAGATTGTGACAGCTGCTGTCACATGGATATGGGCAGTCAATAGCTTTGACACTCATGCGATCGAAGTACCAGTCCCCAACTGATTGTGCAATTGTCTGCAAATCACCACAGATCTCAGATTAGATTCCTCAACCAAGTATCTATGAAATTGCTGCATCAGAAAAAAGTCATGAAGTTGCCAGCTTTACCTTCTGATCGACGACAGGAGAATCGTCGGCGAACCAGGTATCCTGCCTTTCGGTCTGGCAGTGTGCAAAGCAAGAATTTAAGAACAACCCGTTTCGTTTGGACATGGAGAAACCCTTTACTGCATTCAGCATCTGGTTCCTGAAGTCTGTTTGGAAGAAAGGCTTCATTTTAGTCTACTGTCCAAACATATTGAAACAATTAAGAAAACAAAAAACAAAAGAGAGGAGAGGAGAGACCTTGAAAGAAATTGATCTGTGTCGCATTACACTCGGCGTGGTTCTTCTTGCAGTCATCCCAGTAGCCATGAGGATCAGCAGTTGGTGGAGCTAAACTAGCTTGAACCTGATGCACATCAAACAACAGCATCAGGTTACGCTTCTCGTCGGTGCAATTCGTTCATTATTGTGAGAGATGTGGGAAAAGATGAAGATGGTGTGATACCTGCCAAGCATCATAGGCTGCATTGAGAAGAAACATTGGGGTCTGGATGTTGGCTATCAAATTCTGGGGGAAGAAGCACTACAACAACAACAACAAAAAAATTCCATCATTAATGTTGAAATCATTCTTCCATTTCACTAAGGAAACTCGTCAAGAGAGTAAATACCGAAGTTGGATCGAGGTGGTTGGTACAGGAACTTGGGAGGTCCTTCTGCAGTTGCTGAGGAACAAATAAAAAGCAGAAAATCAGATCTGTGCATTTCAAATCCATGCATTCCCAAAATTCTCAAACTAGATGCTGCCATAGAACCTGAGTGCTGACAACTCCGCCATATAAGCTCCTTAAAGTGCGCCCACCAGATACATCCACCCTGAGAAAAAAAAAGCAGTAAAGTGAGGAAATCAACTACACTCATCTACACATCCCATTCGAATTTCGTAAGATTGAAGGTGTGACTGATTCGATAATACGTGAAAGTGCTTACGCATCTAGAAACAAGCCGGCATCACTCAAGCATTTAACTTTGGTGGATCGAGGAAACAAGGCCCCGAACTCATCGCAGTGCAGAATGGATGCCAGACCTCCAGCGGAGCAACCAGAGAGCAGGACCTGGTTTGCTGATTTCATTCCTAGGGACATGAAATGCTCCATGGCTGCAAACCAGATCCGCTGTCCTCGATAGTAAAGCTTCGAGGCCTGATGTTTTGCAAGTATCATCATCCATCAATCATTTCACATGTTAGAACAATGATTTTAACATGACATACAAGGAACAAAAATGAAAAGTAACTGACACTAGAGAGAAACCATTTCTCAACAGACCTCATCCTGGCTATCTCCAGTGAAAGAAGCCCCGTCGCAGTAACGAAGCTTGATCCGATTCCAGTTAAAGAAATCCGGGTTTTCCTCGGCCTTGTTGCTCAGAATCCCAGTGAATGGTATCACCTTCTCCATGTATTTCGACGAACCACGCCGTGTGGTCTTTCTGTAGATACAGCTCCTCACAGAGTTGCACCACCCGCCTCCCTGCCATTTTCAACCCAACATTTATTCATTGTTAATCGACCACCAAAACCATAGCAGCAAGCCATTTGGGTTATGTTGCGAGCAATGCAGGTAAGAAGGAAGGAAGGTAGGTACCTCCAACTGAATCAGCCAACTATTGGCTCCGAATCCATACCCTCGATGTAAATGGTATCCAGGAAGTGTTCCGTCCAAACAGACTGTGCAGAAGAAAAAAAACGCAGAGGAGACATTCACAATTAAACAAGCTGTTGATTTCTCCAACAATGGGGAAAGTTTGACTGTAAGTCAAGTTACAAGTCTTTGTTTTGCTTGACGAACACTTGTAGTAGTCAACTTCTCCTTCAAATCCATTGATTATTTTTTTTTTTTGCCCTTCTCGATTTAAAATACTTTGCACACAAATGGAGTCGTCGCACGTTTGTTCTGAAAAAAAAAAAAGTTGAAAACATTCCCATCCGGCATCGGTCTTCCTTGTATTTTCCGCATTCTTCCCAAGTGACGTCACATTCATTCATTCATTCAGGAAAATAATCAAACAAACTAGTTTATAAGCAAGCAAATGTTCCATTCTTTTTTTCATTGCGTAAGTTGAGAGACCCTTTTGGAAAAGAGGAAGAAAAAAAAAATTTGACAAGAAAAACAAAATCCTTGTGTCTTCCCATCTCGAAATCTCCGTTTCAAAGCTCAACCCAATTGATAAAAACACTGAATGAGAAATGGGTACTCAATCCAATCGGAGAAAGCATGGCAAATACATCAGATTAACATTCAGTGCAGAAGAAAATGGAGGGTTTTTTTTTTTAAGCGGGAAAAAAGCAGAGGATTAAGAGAAATGGTTTTACCAGCGCCCTTGGAGTCAGCTCCCTGGATGAGAGTGAGGGGAACATTGAGAGGTTGAGGAGCAGCAACGGCGGTGGTGGCGGCCCCGCTCTCCACAAAAGAAAGGACGGCGGCGGAGGAGGAGGAGGAGGAGGGTGAATCAGATCCAGCAGCGGTGAGACAGGACAGACAGAGGAGCTGCAAAAGAAGAAGCTGCTGCTGCTTCGACCCCATTTGTTTGTTTTGTCTGTGAGACAGAGGAGCTGCAGAGTGAGAGAGGAGAGAAATGGTTTGATGGTAACGACGGTGGGAGGGAAGGGGAAGAAGAAGCGTATAAATAAAAAGTGCCACAAACAAAAAAAAAAACCCACTCACTCACTCACTCTGAGAATAATAATCAATCAAACCAATGAATGAATGGATGGAGAGAGGGAGAAGAAAAGGAAAGGAGAAAGTGCGGGCAAGGCAAGGCAGGCAATGGCCCTTTTTCGGGAAAAATATATTAAAAGTAAGACATTAGAGTAGAGATTCGGATCGGAAACGCGGCCGGAGACGGAGAAAGCAAACAGACAACATTGCCGTCTTTCCGGCTTCTCTCTTGTTATTGTTGATTTGCAATGCATTGCTTCGACTTCGAGTAAACATTCATTATTGCCGTGTAGGTGCTGTTCAGAAAAGGGAACAAAAATGAATATAAACACTGGGATGAAGTGAATTAAGAGTCATATTGTTATGCTATCTTTTTTGGTTATTCTGGTTTTTCAAAGTGGGGAATATTTTCCACTTAAAAGAAGAAACCAAGTAACAAAGGAAAAGAAAAGAATAATGGGTGGGTCGATTCAATCCACCACCCCACGCTTTCATAGTTCGGATTCACTGTTCTTTCCACTTTCTTGTTTGGAATTGGAAGGCATATCGTTCCCGCTTCTGTTCTCTAATGCTTTCAGTAATTCTTTGTTTTGAAATATTGCGTTTGTGTTAAGTGAAGGATAATAAGTTGATGGTGTGGTAAAAAAAGATATCAAAGAGATGATTATATCACGGTAAAAAAAAAAAAGACTCATTTATCGATGATTAGGCCGCAGTTGACCACCGTCCTTTATCTCCTTTATTCGTGGCATTTGCTTGTGAAGGTATTATTTGGTATGTGAATATCTATGACAAAGGAAATGCAAAATGGTTTGCTGACGAGTTGGTCTATTGTTCCCGTGGGGTTCCGATAAAAGAACCTGTCACAAACTCACACTACTGCGTAGTAGACTATACAACTATCATGCACTAGTTTGGCCCTTTCTAGATCTCACACATACAATTTTTTTGTTTCGGGTTTCTGGAGTAGTTTTCAAAAAAGTTTTGAAAAGTAATTGTGTGATTGAGTTGATCATTTTGGTCATTTGAGTCTGACCTTTGTTGTTAGACTTAGACAGCTGTTTGTTACTCTCCACTCCATTCCACCACTATAGGCTATAATGCAACTTAGTTTGGTCCATACACCATATGACCATGTCCCCCGCTTAATTAACTAGTCCTCCTTTTTTTTTTTTTTCCACATGATTGTATTTTATTTCTCTTCCGAGTTGGGAGACAATTTTGGAACTAAGGGGTCGTTTAATTATGTCCAATCTTCCGAGTTGGGAGACAACTTTAGTTAACGTCATGTCACCAACTCTTATCAGAAATACTCATAATTATTTTTCATGTATTGAAATGACAAAAAAATGTCAAAAAAAAAAACATTCGCATATCCACCAAATTGAAGGTTCAATCTTGCCTACAAATTACTTAATGGGTTCAGGAAATACCGAGAGGGCAAAGTTGACAAAGAAAATCAACTTGTCAAGTGAAATGTTGACCACAAAATGCAGAAAAAAGGCCTATATATAAGACTGTCTCAATATTGAAATCAGATGGGCACAAGAAACGTTTGGTTACAGTGGATGAACTCAAAATTTACAGGGGAACCTCAGTGGGTGAAGTCAAAATTGGAGCCTATCTCTCTCTCTCTCTCTATCTATCTATCTATCTATCAAAAGCGAGGCAGAATTTACAATTGTTCATCCCAGGTTACTCTAGCAGAGCACATTTTCACTATTTACCAGTTGTTGTTCATCATCCCAGCTAACTAACTCATGCATTCGTAAGGTACTCATGCGCCAGAGCATCACTCACTGTAATCCTTTGAGCTGGATCTAAGCACAGCATTCTCTGCTCAACAATGGAAAACAGCCACACCAATTACTTCGTCACTATCATGACCATGCCTTCTAACCGGAAGGAAATAAAGGAACCAGGAATGAATAGGAAGGAAACAAATTCTGTGACTTACCTTGATAAGATCAAGGCCAGCTGAATCCCCAAAGTTCAACGTCGCTGCCAGATCCTGGTTTTTTGCAGGCAAGCCAAACACAAGAGATTATTCAAAGCCATTCGATCTTCAATGTCCCGAAAAAACTGAGTTGCAGGAAGAAAGAGGAGAATGGAACCTGAGGCTGGTAGTTGGAGGAAGCATTTTCAAGAAGCAACTCAGGAGAACCTCTGATTCTGTGTGCATTCGTGAAACAATTAAGGGAGAGAAGGAAGCAGCATATATATATGTAATTAAAATGAATGTTGCAGTGAGGAGTGGTACCTGAACATATGGTCCAACTGAGATGGAATATGAACTCCCAGTTCATTCCCCTTCATAGCAAACAGATGCTGTCTGGTAAGCATAAGGGCGAGGATACATCCCACTGACCACACATCTGCAGCAAAGGAGCACCCTTCCCGGCCCAGAAGCACTTCGGGTGCCATGTATGCGGCATTCATCTCCTGAAAAGTATGCAACCAGTAGTTTGTTCATAAGTATGCAACCACTATTAGCATATGAAACAATTGAAACGAGACAGCCTGATTAGCTTCGCGCAAAGTATTCTTGAATCTTACCCACGTAGTATATTCCCCTCCTGGATCTGGATGAAGCCTTTGATGATGATGATGATGATGATGTGAGTGGTGGCTAACAACATTATTGATGCTGGTGAGACCAAAGACAGAAAGCTTCACAGTCCCGCTCTTGCAGTCTATCAGCAGACTCTTGGGTGTCAAGTTCCCGTGCACAAGATTCTTGGAATGGCAGCTTGCAAGACCCTTCAGTATCTGACGCAGCAACTCCTACAGAAACAAAGCGATCATATGTCTGAACTTAGTTATTCACTAGCATCTACACTATTGAATTAGAAAGACCAGCTAGCTAATTCAGAACTGTTTGAAAGGAAACGTGATATCAGAGGAACTTGAACACAAGCTGCCTTGGAGCAAATACCAGCTAGAAGTTACAATCCAAAAGACTAGAAAGAAACGATGTAGAATCCCAAAATTGAGTTATCTGACCCACTTTTATCTGTGACTGAGTAATCCTTTCTGGTTTCTCAAGGTACTTGAGCAGGTCACAGTCCAGATGCTCAGAAACAAGCTCAACCCGATTCGAGTGGATCAATACATCTAGCAATCTGCCAAGAGATATCATCAGATCATCACCGCCAAAGCTAATCGTTTCATATGAAACCTGGCAAAAGGAAAGAAGAAGAAAAAAAAAGCAACCAAACATGGGTTTTTACCTGACAGTGTTAGGATGCTTGAGATCCATGAGAAGGGTAGCTTCTCTCATAACAGCAGCTATATCATTCATACCATCAACGTAAATCTTCCTCATGGAGACAATTTTCCCCGTCCAGGTGTCAAGGCACCTCCATACCGCACCAGAGCGGTCGTTGATTTCCAGTGAATACAGTTTATATCGTTGCTACAAGAAATTGGCGAAACGCAACAATTAACAATTTGTTAAGTAACCTTGATTCTGCAAAAAATACCCGGAAGAACCCAAAACCCCCCAATTGGTGGCAGACTTACTTGGACTTCCTCGGCCATGTGTAATTCCAGAGAACTCAGCAGATCGCTTGTAACAAACTATGAAGGTGAAAGAAGAAGAAGAAAAAAAGAGAGAGATTGGTCAAGCAATTTGAGTAAATACCATAATTTTCTCATTAACAAGAAACCCTAGATTCTTGATTACGATCAAAGCAGAAGAGAGACAACGGGAAGCAGGAATCTTGGTGGACAAAGCAGAAAGAGATGAAAACCCTAGAGATTACCAAACGAATCAAAGCAGCAGAAATTGCGAAGAACATCATACATATCAATCTCCTGCTTTCCCCAGTTTTCTGGGAAAGCAGCGGAAGGGAGAAAAAAATCGAGATTGAAAAGGGAAACCCAGACCCATTAATGGTACTGCTGTAGAAGCAGACATTTTCAGCAGCTTTTCTTGGGAGCCAAACGGAAACGAAAAGAGCAAAAGCGGGGAGGGATACCTGGCTGGGTTGTTGCTTTGCTCCCTGCTGATACTCTGCTCTGCTTTGCGCTTCTTGGTTACTCGAGGGAGAAGAGAAGAGCGCCAAACCTATCGGATCTATCTAACGGTATTTCCCGCGCTGGGTTTTTCTTCTTCTTTTTTTTCCGGCTTTCAAAGTTCTTTCTCCCTTTTTAAAGAAAAACCCTGCCTCGAAACTAAAGGCGGTTGTTGGCCCAAAATTAGGGCTGGCTATTTGGTCCGAACTGTTTGGTTTTATCCAAAACCAGACCGTATAACTTGGATTGGAACCGGACTGGGACTGGATAACAAACAATCTGATCTCATATTCGGGCTTAGATTTGAGGTAAAAAAAAAACTCGGATAAAGATCGGATAAGAGACCCCCAACACCTAAAATCAAGATCAAATTAGGACCAGACCGGGTCAAGACCGGATTGTATCCAATCCAATCTTTGGTCCTTATATTCCCGAAAAGACCGGACTGGGACCGGATCAATTTGGTCCAATTTAACCGGACCAGACCGTATAGCCACCCCTACCCAAAATGTCGGTTATTGCTCGACTATTACATTTGTAATCCAAGGTGAATAACACTTGTATAATTAGATCTGGCCATTCATTTGTAGTTCAAGGTGAATAACACTTGTATAATGATATCTATCTTCATTTTTAACTCGGATCTTGAAAAATTATACTAAAAAGAATCAGATCTGGCCATTCATTTTGTAATTCAAGGTGAATAACACTTGTATAATGAGATCTGTCGTATTTTTAACTCGGATCTTGAAAAATTATGCTAAAAAAGAACGAGTACAATGTGATCTACTTGATCTACAAAGTTACAAATACATTAATTAAGTTTTTGCTTAATTCTATTTAAAGTTTCAGTGAACATAGTTTTTCTGGGAGAAAGTTCTATTACCATAAAAAGATAAGTGAATAGGGATGAGAACGAGGCATAATGAATAATCTCTTGAAATTAATCTCCTCTGTATTTACATTTAAAGAAGCCTGCAGCTGGCTGCATTTTCCGGCACTAATTTGGCCAGTTTCCACTGTCTGTCTCACTACTGCAAAAAACGATAGGTAGTATACAATATGCATCAAAATACAATTTTTCTTATTTTGCTACTCAGCCAAAAACTCAATATGGACGACAAATTACCAAGTACATTCAAACAAATCAAGCTCTATATCTATTAATAAGATTGTTCTTTCTCTGTAGCTGCTGAGACATTTCATCATCTGCTAGCCTCTTCGCCAAACTGATGACGGTCATAGATGTCGAGCAACATTTCCCTGCACGGCACGACTGTGCCGAGCTTGATGTTGGCCAGGAATGCGCCGGAGAGCTTCCTGTGAAGACTGTACGCCTCATCCGGCGGAGGTGTCAGCCTGTGCTTCAGCATTTTGGCACCAAGACCTGTCAGGTTATGAGTAATGTTGTTGGCCTGGAAATCGTATCCACCTGGTTTAGCAAAGGGCAATCCCACCACGAATGCTGCTTCGACGTGTGCTTGCAGCATTTCATCGGATTCTCCTCCTACGAGGAACCCGAGTCTTGTTGACATCTCGATCACCGCATCTTTGTCACGATTTGCACACGCTAGCACCTGACACAAATTAATACGGGCATGTGGGTAAGTTCTCAAATACAGGGTAAGTTCCAGTGAACAGTTTCTGAGTGATTGCTGAACTCGAAAGGGAGTTTCACCATTCTCAGATAGTCGTCGACAAAGGTTTTTGGATATTCCCTCGCTGCCCCGAAGTCTATGAGATTGAGGGTCTTTGTGCCATTTTCGTATAAGAAATTCCCCCAGTTAGGATCCGTCTGAGGAAAGTCATCTCTCATCAGTAATTACATTTACATCAATATATATATAAAGAGAGAGTGAGAGAGGCAGAGAACAGACCTGCATAAAGCGGAAGACAAACAACTCTAATAATGTCAGCTCCAGCAACTTTCTGCCTACGTAATTTCGAGTTTCCTGGTCTAGTGATATAACCTTGTCAATGGAAACTCCTGAAAGTAAAATATCCATGATCAGCATACTGACATAAATTCACATTTATCAGAAGACAGCCCGCAGAAAAAGACTTTGGAAGGTGGAAACTGTGAGGTTCCATTAGATTCAAGTTTGGAAGGTCTCAAATATTAGTCAAGGAGTTAGTAAGACCACGGAGAATCTATGACCAGACAACATGGAACAGCCTTGAGGAGGAGACAATTAAGATTCAAGTGAAAAATCAACAAAGTTACCAGAAACCAGCTCTGTAGCAAGGACTCTTTTGCTTGAAAGTTCATCCACAACACTAGGGACATAGAAACCCTTCCTGTTAGCGATGAGATCACGAAAGCGTTTCTGGTTAGCTGCCTCCAATATGTAGTCACACTCCCGGGATAATTCCTCTTTTGCCACCTTGAAGAGAATTTTACAACCCAAAATTAGAAACTGATTCTGAAAAAGTCGAACCTTGGCTGAACGAGATCAAGGGCGATATATGCACCTTCATTGCTCTGTCAAGATACAGTCCTTCTGGAATCAGGTTTGTATAATCCAAAAGAAGTTTCACATTCTCAATGTCACTCTCAATGCTGTTTGCAACACCAGGGTATTGAATTTTCATTGCAACTTTTATCCCATCTTTCGTAACTGCTTGGTGCACCTGAGTACATTAACAAAACAAGAAACTATTCACCACCTGTAAAAAACATTTGATGCTACAGAAGAAAAGGGAAGTCTACATGTTACCTTCTGCTCACAATGACAGTAGCCTGAATAATTTATTCCCAGATACTTAAAAAATGGCCATGATTGTTGCATAATATATAGAAATTGAAATATAGGAGAAAAAAACTCGAGATCCATAAATGATTTTAAAAAAATGAAATCGAAAAATGAGCAATCGGCATTGGAAAAACAATACAAGCTACAAGCTTCTGGTTTCAAAAATGTTATCCAGTAACAAGCAACAATAGGAAGAAAAGGGCAGTCACGAAACAAACAAGGCATTTACATTGTATCACCTGTCCTATACTTGCAGCAGCAAGAGGTTCATAATCAAAACTGGTCAACTTGGCAGACCAATCAGACCCCAGTTCAGCATCCAGAACCTGATTGAGCTGCTTCCTGGGCATCACATCTGCTCCCTGGCGAACGATATCTAAAGCAGCCAAGATCTATCAAAAGAGGAAGAGGTCACAGAAGCGCTTGGAAGACAACAGCAAGTCAACCACATTATAAGAATTACTACACATCAAACCAATTAATGACAAACAAGGTGGCAGGAAAAGGTTTTTTGGGAATTGAGTGATTAAACTGACTTTAAATTCCATCATGAATTCTGGAAAACCTGATTGATGGAATTGGGAAACCTCCAAGCCCCAAATTTCTCTTCCCAAAACTCCCAATAAAAGGTCAGCTAACCCATATTTTACAACTACCTTTCTCAAATAGTCCATCGATTCAATCAACAACATTTTCAAATTCTAAGGGTCAAATCTAGCCATTTAAGTTTATTTCAACACCCCTACCACCATTCACGCATCCAAGAGACCCCAAGAAGAATCCTACTTCTCTCACTGAGACAGCAATGGACCGACAAAGTTCTCATTGGTACGAGTTTTAACGACAGCAAACTTACCGGAGCAGGAACAAGCGATTCATCCTGTATACTCAACATCTGCCCAACTTTGAGCGCAGCACCACGCATCCTACAAAGTGCCAATGCCAGACGTTCTGCATTCTTTTCAGACAGAAACGGGGAGAGGGCAGACTGCTTTCCTTCTGCTGTCTGTGGGGTGCCGTACACAAGTCTCTTGGTAGCTTCTTCAACTGTTCCCCATACAAGACCAGCTCCTAGACCGGCAAACCTTTACCAAATAATAGCATACAGATAAGTTGAAGAAGGAGCAAATTCTCAAGGCAATAACATCTTAGTCAAGCAACAAACTTCCCAATTATTTCTAGGGTTCCTAGATCTCTGGAACAATGACTGAAAGGCACATTGAATTCGAAATGGCGCCAGAAAACAAAGAAGAGAGATAGCTCACCCGAGCGCCCTGGAAAATGGAGTTGAGGGAACTCTTCTCTCCCTCAGCTTCCTCTTCTTCTGCTCCGTCATTGTCGCACCGTCGCTTGCAGGCGCCGGAGCTGGAACCGCCGGCGCAGCGACCACTTCATCTACGAAATTACCCTTCTCCTGATCCCCAGCCTCAATTTCCCTCGGCAACCCGTTTCCCACCTCTACATTGACTCCGTCCCTCGCGATTCCATCGTCCACGACAATCTTCTCGGCAGCAACAACCGCCGCGGCAGGATCGTCGTCGCTCAGCGGCTGCGCCTGGATGGGGACCGAATCGGCCGTAAGATTAGATTGGTCGAAATAAACGACCGATTCCTTGGGGCGAGGAGTGGAGACCTGGCGAACTTTCCCCCTAGTGAGGCCGGACAAGTCAGTGGCGGCGAGCAAGGCCTTTCTGGCGGTGGAGACGATTAGGGTTTGGTAATTTCCCTTAGAGGCGGCTTCCAGAGCAGGGGAACGCTTGGCGATCTCCTTGGCCACGAGAGAGACGCCGTCGAGGAGCCTGCTTGCGTGCTTGAACGAACTCATGGGGGGCGCGAAAGCTATGGCGATGCAAGGGAACTGTTCGGTTTTCAGGGAATTGAAAATCCGGCGAATGTGATTGGGAAGTGTTAATTTGTTTTTTCCTTTTCTTTCTTGGGTCCTAAGCCAGCGAACCAGGTGAAGCCACGTGCATCTGTCCGTCGTTTGCCAAATGTTAGATTGTTCTTTTGAAAGATACGGGCTTCAATTTTGCAAAATGTTTGATAGCATTTTCTGCCATTTACAAGCAAATTAACGCACGTACTTATCTATTAAATTTTTGTATAAATATACTCTTGTAATATTAAACAATTTGACCAGAGTGACTTGGCGCGTTGATTAACCGTCCAAGTTAACAGTCAAACATCGGGTTTGGCCAAATTGTTTATTTTGGTATATAGTTTGGGCCAAGATGTTATATAAAGATTGGACAGGATGTTATATAAACAAGCATCGCGTCATATTGGATTAATTTGTTTTAGCTCCTGGCTACAATAAGAGGAGGTGGAACGACTTTGCTCGGATTTCTTGGAAAATGGTGGCTTTTCAAAAGAAAAAAAGGGAGGTATTGAAGTTCAAAGATCTCAAAAGTTGGAATAAGGCCTCTTTGTTGAGCACTGTTACGAGAACACAAGTTGTCATAACTCGTAATAATTAGGAAAATTATCGGTTTGTGTGTTATTTCTATTCTATTAGTTCATATTAATATTGTTTATTTGTTCTAGTAGGATTTGGATTGCATTTTAGTATTTGTTTAGGAAAAATAGGTTGTAGTTTACTCCTAATTATTACCAGAAGGAAGAAAACCGCATTTACCTTTTGTTCGAAAGGAGAGTGTCAAACCGGGGTGCTCAATTAGTATGAAATTGTCCGCTTTGGACCAAGCTCGCATGGATTTACTTTTGGGTGTCCTCCCCAAAAGGCCTCGTACTAATTGGGTTTGGTGGACACTAATATACAAATGTTCGTTCCCTTGTATAACTGATATGGTACTCGGATTTGTCCCATGACGAGGGATATGCCGAAACGGTTGATCCTTGTTAGGAAGAATATGTTGTACTTGGGTTGGGTGTGTGAGGTTATGAGCCCTACATTCTCAACTATACCAAAATCATCATCTTCGAATCATCGTTATCCCTTCCCAGGATGCAACATGATATGATTCCATAAGAATCAATTAATTAATTAATCATATCACTATTTAATCTAATACACATCTGACACATTTTTCTAATAACTAAATCTACCTTTCTTTTGTGCGTGTTCATGTCCAAATCTAATTATATATGGTGCTTACATCATTGTTTGTAAATACGTGTGTATCAAGTTTTTCATCGTCTAATCTGAGTGTTGGGCATTCCGTAATCATTTGAAGAATGTAAGATATCTTATTTATATTCATCCAACAACAATTGCAAATTGCGCCCCACCACTCGATCGGATGACTGAAGACGATATAAGCACATCTTTATGATGATTAGGGATGGCTGGGAAGCAGTGCGGTCAGGTCTGAGATCGGATCATACTACATACGGTCTATGGTTCAGATCGGGAAGCTAGAGTATATGTTTGAAACTTGAGTCTCGTTAAATAGTTGGGAGAGTGGTCGAGTGAGCTATTAACACAAATTGGAAAGTGGATTGGATTCAACGTTTGGTATGGTAAACCGTGATCTAAACTAAACCATATCAAGAAATCAATACATCCTATAATACAGATCATGGAACAGATCAGACCAATCTCAACGATCTATGTTTCGAACTCGTAGGGGAGGTGGTTGCGTTTGCTTTGCCTACTTTTCTTGAATGCGTCGCCACCTAAGATTCCCAAAGTGTCACCTCCAAACGTGTCACCTCCAAACATTTCTTGGTTACACGTAAACTCCTATAAATAACCCTCTTCCCCGCCAACTGTTGGATCATCAAGCAAAAAACCAGCAACTTCATTCCATCCCATTGCTCTCTGGCTGTGTGTGTGTGTTGTTATTATTCGTTCCAAAAGAAGGTATTCCTTTCCATCACTTGTTCGGTTATATGCTCTTAAGTTTTGGCTGTTTCTTCTCTTCTGAAAACTATGAACAAGTTCATCCTACTCACCGTTGATGCTTTTTCCGTTGCTTTCATGCTTTGAACCTGTAGTTGGTTGAAAATTTCAATGTATACTCAACCCTCTTAGCATATTCCCTTCACATTATTTCACAATTTAAGCACTATAAACGAAGTGTGTTGTTCTGTAGAGTACCTTTGAGTTTTCTTCTCTTCTTCTTCTTCTTCTTCTTCTTCTTCCCATCGTTCTGCCATAGCTTTCCAATCTGATGATGAAAAATCAAATTGCAGGAGTTTATCTGGAGATGGACGCGAGCAGGATGGCAACCAAAGAACCCAAATATGAATGTCTGCTCTTTGGTAAGAGTACTTACCTCTTCTTCAAAGAAGCTTTCTTTTTAACTTCAGAAAGGGCAGATTGTTCTAAATGGCTTTATGTATGTCTTGTTGTAACAGACCTGGATGATACTCTTTACCCATTAAGCTCAGGTATCAACTTGGCCTGCCGGAAAAACATACAAGGTTAGACTTCAAGACCATACAATTAAATTAAACCTCTCTGTCTCTGCCTCTGTCTCTATCCTTGTCTATCTTCATGAATAATGGAAGTTCATATTGTGGTTTCATATTCACTGCAGATTTCATGTTGCATCAGCTGCAAATTGATGAAACTGATGTCCCAAGAATGTGTCTGGAACTCTATAAAGAACATGGGACAACAATGGCCGGTCTCAAGGCAAGCAATCAAACAATATGTTGATGTCCTCTGCAACCTATGATCTCAAATGAAAATATTATGAGAATGCCATCAACCAACCTATCAATTTTGGTAGCAAAAAAAAAAAAAACAGTTCTTAAATGCATACAATTCAAGCAGTCAAATTTGATTCTTTGTTGATTATTTCAATTTTAGTCTCCCAGAAAAGTCTGAACTCACTATTCAAATTTCCAAAAACATAGCTTCTTTCCCCTTTTACACACTTTGAAGCAATTCTGACCCCATTTTTCACGTTGTTCGGGATTTCACGATATCAGGTTCTGGGATATGAATTTGACAATGATGAGTTCCATGCTTGTGTTCATGGAACATTGCCTTACCACAAACTGAAGCCTGATCCTGTGTTGAGGAACCTCCTGCTTTCCATGCCCCAGAGGAAAATTGTACGTTCAAAGACACTACTTCTTCTTCCTAATTTAACTGTTCCTCTCAAATAAGCAGCCGAAAAGGAAAGGTCATCCGCAGTCCTAATAACATTGAATAAACAAAAACTGACCTCTTTCATGTGTATGTGTCTTTCCAGATCTTCACTAATTCTGATGAGGCACACACTGCTGAGGCTCTCAAGAGGTTGGGACTGGAAGACTGCTTTGATGGCTTCATTTGCTTTGAAACCCTTAACCCTTCTCCTCTTCTCGCTGCTACTGCTGAAGCTAAACCTCACAGCTCCACTACACGAATACTCTGCAAGCCGTCTGTGGAAGCCATCGAAGCTGCTATCAAAATTGCAGATGTTGATCCACAAAAAACAGTAAGGATTAACTGGAGCCTGGAACTTTTAAAGCTGCCCTAGTTGAGTTTCTTCTTTGCTGACTGATAAACTTTGCTTCTGCAGATTTTCTTTGATGACAGTACGAGAAATATAGCAAGTGGGAAACTAGCTGGACTTCATACAGTTATTGTAAGCATCGTATAAAAAGCTTGTTACCTAATCGAATGGCGGTCTGAATTCGAGGATATATGCAATAGACATAACAACCTATTAATATGAACAAACTTATTGCAGGTGGGAAGCTCAGTGCTGGTGCAAGGAGCAGATTATGCATTGAGTAGTATCCACAACATCAGAGAAGCTATACCTGAAATCTGGGCAGATGAAACACAACAGCAAGAGCAAGTCATCCAGTCCACTTCGGTCGAGACCCTGGTCCTGGCTTAGAATTCCCTGCTGCCATTCTTCAAGCCAAACACAGATGCAAATCCTGCTGCTGTTATTTTAAGATAGTGACAAATAGAATAAAAAAAATGGATGCCAAAGTCACGTTTATAATTATTATGTAACTCTCCGAATCTTTTAATGGAATACAAGAGTTGCAATATTTAACCAGCCAAAAACAAAGTACAGATAGAGTTCAACTCGAACTACTTTGAACCACTAGGCAGCGATTGAAAGCATTACAAAAATGAGATCTTGCAGAAGAAAACTGAGGCATGAAACTGAACTCAGAGGCTTAGAAACATCCATAAGCTCACTAGAATCATCATTCCAATGGCAGCTCCCCACAATCAACGATTCTGCAGGGCATCCTAGGGCTATCCGCCCGGCTGGTCTCGACAGCTTCAAGTTTCCTTACAATGTCCATTCCATCGATGACATTTCCAAACACCACATGGCGGTTGTCCAACCAAGGAGTCTGCGACAGACACAAACATGATACATCGACCAGTAAACAACCTCAATCATAGAATATGCATAGTAAATTTACAATTTTTATTTACATTATCTTACCTTCACAGTGCAAATGAAAAATTGGCTTCCATTGGTGTTAGGACCTGCATTAGCCATGCTCAATACTCCAGGTCCAACATGTTTCACTGGAGAAACGGCGGGAAAAATAACATTAGATTGCACACAAGCTGCTCCAAATTAGACAAGTGCTGATAGTTCCAGGGTAAGAAGCTAGTTGAAACTCACAGTCGAAACACTCATCCTCAAAGCTTGAACCATAAATGCTAACTCCTCCAGTTCCCTGCAGAGAAGAACAAGATGAATTACTTTAAACATGATAACTCAAACCATCCTCTATAAATCAAAACGTTGGGAGTCAGGTCAACAGAGAGAGAGAGAGAGAGAGAGAGGAAAGGAGAACCAACATTTCCAGCTGTGAAGTCACCTCCTTGAATCATGAAGTCCTTAATAATCCGGTGAAATGAGCACCCCTTGTAGCCAAATCCTTTCTCTCCTGCATATGCATAAAGTTGATTGCAAGAAAACCACTCAAAAACTACTCTCTATACACCATTATTATGTTTATCATCTGCCTCAGACGGACAGCTTTTGTAAGGAATGCTTGCCTGTACACAAGACGCGGAAGTTTTCAGCAGTTTTCGGAACATCATCTCCAAAAAGACCCATCACAATCCTACCCAAACGCTCACCCCCGACTTCAACATCAAAGAAGCATTTGTGCGTCACTTTTGCTTGCAGATCAACATCCTACACAGAGACATTAGATTCATGTCATACAACATAAAAGAAAAAATGGGGAGTAGGTCATGTAAGTTAAGAACAACATTGTTATCTTGCATCTAGAGAGGCATCTATCTAACTGTATGGAGTTGCTCACATTGGCTGCAGCATTGACACAAGTCATCCTTCTGTGCTTAATGGATGGAGCTGAAGTGAGGCGCAGGATGGGGAAAGCTGATGCAAATGATTTCCCAGCCCAGCTAAAAGTTGAATTCACAGTATAACCCAACCGGGCACTTGGGTTGGCAGAAACTGCTCGCGGGCTGCTGCTGCTGTTCAAATTGAAGGCACTTTTACCCTGACCACCCTGCCAAAAAGAAACAGCATTTCTCATACAACGCTCGGTTTTGATTTGAGCGTTTCGAAGATAATGGGCAAAATTGCAACAAACACTAGCTCGTCCGGAGGTTTGAGAACGCGAATTAGAATGCTCGACAAAACAAATTCAGCAAAACAGTGACGAAAAGATAAATTGCGCAGGAGACTGACCGGAAGTAGGGGGCGAGAGGTCTGAGCCACTTGGAAGGAGAAGGCGGACGCCATTTTTTTGTTTGCCAAGGAAAAGAAAGCAAGTACTCAGGCGAAAAAATGGAACTTGGGAAGAAGATAAGCGTGTTGTTGTAAATTTGTTTTGTTGCAGCAGGCCAGCACCTACTGAGGAATCGAAACTAAAATTTTAGCGGAGAGCTTCTTTTTTTTTTTTTTTTTTTTTGCTCCTTAAAGAAAAATAATAATAATCAAGTGTCATCGTGTCGCACGTCGGAGTCATGCACTCGGGGAACTCCGTCGGGAAGATTTACCAAAATCCTGGGATAGGCCGGCGGCTGTATTTCAACCCAATAAGGAATAACAATATCTCTGTTAGTGTTGTGGTATATGATCCACGATTGAACCTCTCCAAACAACTCGAGTTAGTGGAATCAACTGGTTCTTGACATGGTATCAGAGTCTTCTGTGACCGAGAGGTCTTGTGTTCGATTCCCGGTGACCCCCATTTGTTAAGCACATGGTATTCTTGTCTTCAGACCTGTGCAAACTTCAAGCACTTGTGAGTGGCTTTCGTTTGAGGGTTCGTGCTAGTGTTGTTGTATATGATCCACGATTGAACATCTCCCAACAACTTGAATTAGTGGGATCAACTGGTTCTTGACGTCTAGAGAGATATTATGCTTTTCCAGTTTTCTTTTTAAGATACATACATGTGCATGATTAGTTTTGTTTAGAATTGAGCTTAAGAACGAAAATCAGTACACACAAATCGGTGTTGTGAAAATCGGACCTAACTGTTAGTGTGTGGTATATGATCCACGATTGAACTTCTCCCAACAACTCGAGTTATTGGGATCAACTGGTTCTGGACATGGTATCAGAGCCTTCTGTGACCGAGAGGTCTTGTGTTCGATTCCCGATGACCTCCATTTGTTAAGCACATGGTATTCAGACTAGGGATGGCAATGGGTCGGGTTTTGCCAAACTCAAACCCAAACCAATGGGTTTATCCTTGAAAAAAGGGTTTTGCCAAACCAAAACTCAAACCAATGGGTTTATCCGTGAAAAAATACCCGGGGTAAAACCCACTGGGTTTGAAAAACTCAAACCCAATCCAACTCGCTGGGTATCCGTGGGTTCATGGGTACCCACTGGGTTTGAAAAACTCAAACCCAATCCAACTCGCTGGGTATCCGTGGGTTCATGGGTACCCACGGGTTTTTGTCATACAAAATTTACAATAACAAGTTCCTATCAAAATCAAAGTCAAATATCAATCTCTCAATACAAATTATCCATATATAAAACACCATTCTAGAAAATTCAAGCAAATCACAAATTAACTATACAATTTGTTCAACACCAATCTAGAAAACTCAATAAAATTGAAGCAAATCACAAATTATCCATAAATAACATGATTAATATGAAAGCTTCTTCCTTTCAATTAAGTTTCTTCACTCTCCACTCGATGACATCAACTTCATTCTACACAATTAGAAAGAAAAAATTAGACATGTCTCCACAAACATAAATAAGATTAGTTGTTTATAATATTAGATATACCGAGAAAATTAACTATATGGGTGTGGGCGGGTACCCATGGATCGGGTTTACCTAAACCCAAACCCAACTCTGTGAATAGTGAACGGGTTTAAACCCAAACCCGGCCCAAAACCCGTCAACACGTGCGTGCTTGTGTACATATACAAAAGCAACTGGCAGATCCTTGAAAAGCATTCAGATCGCATCCGGAAAAGAAAGAACACTGGGGGAAGACCACAGCATATAGATTAGATAGAGAGAGAGAAACCTGTCGGCGGCGTAGAAATCCTCTCGACGGTCGGTCATATGGCGTTGCCAGGTACGTGTAGTGTTTAAAAATCTTTCATTCTTTGCCTTATTCTTTACTGTTCAGTATCTAGGCTCTCTCACGATTCGTAAACAATGCTTAGATCAATCCGACATTGGTTAGCTCCCTATAAATATATATATATATATATATATATATATATATATATATATATATACACACACTACACTTTTCCGGAGGTTTTTGAGTACTGACTGAAAATGATATCTACGGCGAGCCGGCGATGAGAGCTTCACTTCTTCCGGCAGTGATTGCCAGCAGTGGCACTTCTTCCAATATTAATTAATAAGATATATAATATACTACACTTAACTGCAGGGTTCAAGAGTAAAAATTTGAACTTCGCTAGATCTGAGAGTTGTTGGTGGGGTTATATACTTATAGTTAAATTTGGATGATTTTAATTTGTTTTAGACGGTGGTTTATTGATAAAGTTGATGATAACTTATACTTCTTTAACAAATAAAATTGTATTTTACAGTATTTTATTATTGAGATGTGAGTGAGGGAGGGAGGGAGGATAGTATTAATGGTGTAAAATTTTAATAAAATAAAACTATATATAAATAAAAATACTGTTTAGAATTCGATGAAGAAGAAATAAAACGTTTGCCACTTTCCAGTTGTTGCGATGTGGCGTAGGCGTACCAGATGGCTTATTATCTGTTATTGGGCCTGTAGCAGCTGAAGTAGGAGGCTGAAATTATTTATCCACCGGCCCATGAAGCCCAATACTATGTTTTGACGAAGCCCAATAGTGGGAAAAAGTTTCACAAAGCTTAGCCAGCCATGGCGGCAGAACAAATCCCAACCGCACAAAAATAATGCGCGCCTTGGCAGCAGTCTCAGTTCCACCATCTCCCCATTTCCCTCCTTATCCCCTCCGCCCCTTCTTCTTCCGCTCTCCCACCGTCGCCGGCTCTAACTTCTCGCTCCCTCTCCTCACCAAATCGACTCGCTCCCAACTTTCTTCTTCCAGGCCGCCGCGTTCTCGCCGACGGTCCACGCTTCTCCCGCGCCGTTCCGGCGGCGATTTCGACAACGATGATGATGAGGACTTCTACTTGTTTGCAGGCGATGATTTGGAGGGCGAGACCGGCGGCGGAATCACCATCGAGGTGCAGAAGCTGGGGAGCAACTCGAGGAGAATTCGGTCCAAAATCGGCATAGAGGCGAGCCTGGACGCAATTTGGAGTATACTGACCGATTACGAGAGGTTGTCCGACTTCATTCCTGGCCTCGCCGTCAGCAAATTGATCGAGAAGAAGGACAATTTCGCCAGGCTCTATCAGGTAAAATAACCTACCGGAAGGCTTTTCTCTCTATTTTGATTTTTCCCGGAGGAATCTAAGTGCGGGTTTGTTGATGATCCCTTTTGTTTTTTTTGGCAGATTGGAGAGCAGAAGTTTCCATTGGGATTGAAATTCAACGCGAAAGCCGTTCTGGATTGCTACGAGAAGGAATTGGAGAGGTTATCTGCGGGGAAGAAGCGAGATATTGAGTTCAAGATGACTGAAGGTGACTTCCAGTTCTTCGAAGGGAAATGGTCCATTGAACAGGTAACAATTTGCTCCATGTACATAGATGTGCTATGCGCAATTGCATGTAGAGATCTATCCTGGTTTTTGGTCAGTTACTTGCCTTGCACGATTCCTAGTTTCAACATTGGCGTCTATAAATGATTTCTAGGGTACTTGCTCTACCAGCCAAGCTTGAAATCTGTATCAAAGTTAAACAAACATGTGGATGAGTTGGTGTCGATGCTTTAGCGAAAAATCACTTCACCGATTCGAGGCTTTGAAACCTAAGTTAGGGTGGATCTTCTCTACTGTCTTGCAATCTTAACAAGGTCGATTCGAACTGGATTAAGAGTTAAAGACAGTTGTTATAAACATTACCCTTTTTCACATCATTCACATCTGTCCTTCTGTATGCAACCGACTCTGCATTCCAATGAATTCTAAATCATCTGAGTCATTGCTCTTACGGCGATATCAGAATCCTTTTTCGTCGTCCTGGTTGTTGGCCATTGCTTTGCCAATCCATTGGTCTCTAACAAGCCTAACAAAGCCATATCAATGGTCTTTTGCCAATTACAAAAGTTTGCTGGTCTTTTCTGCTAATGGTTTTACCAAACTTCACTATTGGTCAATGTTAGGATCTGATAGGGTGGATCAGTTTTCATCTTTTACAAATGCATGTGAAATAGTATGTAAATGGTTGCTACTGATAATGCAGGTCAAGAAACAGAGTCCAGAGAAAGAGTTGGATTCATCTCAAAGCCAAGATTTCGAGACGACACTATCGTACTTTGTCGATATCAAGCCGAAGCTCTGGTTGCCCGTTCACCTGATTGAAGGCAGAATCTGCAGGGAGATCAAGAAGAACCTCACTTCCATCAAGGAAGAAGCACAAAAATTTACTCAATAGTACACTGCATTCGTAACAGTGACCGATGTTGCTCCTGAAGCTTGACTATGGTTTTTTTTGTTTAAAATTTATTTCAGCGTATCTCTCATTCTACAGCATTTGTAACTGTATATGCAAGAATTTTAGATAGGGAGTTCTTTTAAAAAATTAAATTAGTAATTAAATAATTCTTAAATAAGAAATATCTAACTAGCACAAATTAAAAAAAAACTGCACGTCGTGTTTTCATATTATAAAAAAGTTGAAAAATACACTCGGTGTCTATAAGCCTCAACAAATCTCTCTATCTTACTATACAACCATTCACGAATGTGCTAACGGCCTAACGCCCACCTAGCTCCGCCCCTGTCTAATAGGCTCCTCTTAATGAAGGTGCTAATGCCCTTACTAAAAAAAGTCACTTTGGTTCTCCAGCTACAGGCGATGATGCTTTTGCAGCATTTGAGATTAGGGATGGCAATGGGTCGGGTTGGGTCGGGTTTCGCCAAACCTAAACCCAAACCCATGGGTTTATCCGTGAAAAAAACCCGGGATAAAACCCACGAGGTTTGGAAAACTCAAACCCAACCCAACCCGCTGGGTATCCGCGGGTTCATGGGTACCCATGGGTTTGTCGTAAAAAATTTACAATAACAAGTTTTTATCAAAATAAAAGTCAAATATCAATATCTCAATACAAATAATCCATATATAAAACACCATTCTAGAAAATTCAAGCAAATCACAAATTAACCATACAAATTGTTCAACATCAATCTAGAAAACTAGAGAAAATTGAAGCAAATAAAAAATTATACATAAACAACATGATTAATTGAAAGTTTCTTCCTCATCAATTAAGCTCCTTCACTCTACACTCAATATCAACTTCATTCTACACAATTAGAAAGAAAAAATTAGATATGTCTCCACAAACATAAAGAAGATTAATTGCTTATAATATCCACCAATAATATATAGTACACTTTTGTGTACTTTACTCCATTTTAAATTTCTTGCTCTCTCCTTAATTTTAGGTAGGGGTGTAGTGGTAATTAAGAATGTTAATAATTAAAAAACTATTAAAATTAAAAATATGTTTAAACGTGGGGGAAGTTACCCACCAAACTTTCAGTTTTTTGGGTAGCATTATTTATTTATTATAATAACAATTAATCTTTATTTTTTAGTATTCTTAATCTTTCAATCATCTTTTCATAGTGTGAACACATTTTACTCTATAATTTTACTTTTTCTTTAATTCTTCGATTATAATTATCGATTTGTATTTCATTTATTCTAATTCCAAATTCAAATATTTTTGTGTAATAAAATCTTATATATTGTTATGTACACAAGATATTAATTTTGATATGTTTTAAAATAAAATATTTTATTCTCCGGAACATGTGGTCATCAAACCTCAAGGGTTGACCTAATGATAATGTGGGGATGAGATTATACCAGCATAGTATTAGTTGTGAACGATCATAGTATAAATTTATATAATGAAGGGATTTGCATAGCATCAATTTACATGATAGTTTTAGGTGCCTAAAGTAATAATTGATGTCATAACGAATTTTATTTTAAAGTATGCAAAAGTTTATTTCAGTCTAATCCGTTTCTGATCCAGAGTCGACTGACTGTCTGTCTTTTGCCTGCCTGCTCGCGGGCTTCCAAGATCCTACCTCCACTGCTTCCTTGTGTGATTACAACTACGTCGAATTTATTGGATTACATGGATTGGAATTAATCAACTAGGTTAGTGTTCAGACTTCAGAGCCACACACTTTGAGATAGAGATATTGAAGATGTTTGTGTAATTAGAAGTCAATGTATAAACTCGCATGCTTAATTACTATTGATTTGTTTTGAAGGTCACTTTATGCAAGGAATATTTTTTTGGTTTTAGGTTTATTAAGATGTAAGTAAATGTATGGTTGACAAAATTAGCTTTATTAATTCCTTGAAAGGATATTAATTCCACTTTAGTTCCTAGGAAATCACCACAATCATACATTTATTAAGTTGAATCTAAAAATTATGTTAATTATTGCATATTCGCATATTTTGGGCTATGATGTTGTACAGTAGATTTTAGTGTTAAGAATTAGAGAATTAATAGTTTAGACCGTATATGTTCAATGTATTGACTTGAGGATATATGGTTAATCGTATAGGATGAAAGAGAATATGTATAAGCTCATAGAGACATGTTTACTTGGATTCAAATTTGAGGTTTAGATTTATGATGAAAATTAGATAAATATATATTTTAAAATATTTATCATAATTATTTTTTGAACCATTTTCTTATTTAGAGATTTCAAAATTTTGGGCTTTGAGCTTAATATATTATATGTAGGCAATCGGTGGCTAATGACTACATAACCTAAACAGTAATGTGTTCTTTCGAAAAGATTGAGTTGAGAGTTAAGGATTAATGGTGGAATATTTATTTTGTTTGAGGGTTTTGTTTATGATGTGATTGTATGATTGAATTGTTTGATAAGACTATTTATTTTTATTGTCAAATACTAATTTAACTTTCATAATCTAAGTTAACTTCAAAAATGATTACTGAAATTAAAATTTCTATACTATATACTATAGTAAAAATTATATGAGAACCATTTTATTATTGCATCTACCAACCGAAAGTGCAATTTATGAAAAATTAAAATATAAAAGTTCTGGCCAACTGGCCGGATTAAAACCTAGTTTAATATACCGGAAAAATTGATTATATGCGTGTGGGCGGGTACCCATGGGTCGGGTACACCTAAACCCAAACCCAACCCGATGAATAGTGAACGGATTTAAACACAAACCCGGCCCGAAACCCGTCAACACGGATTTTACCCGCATTGATCGGATTGGGTCGGGTGTGTACCCGTGGGTTCGGATTTTGTTGTCATTCCTATTTGAGATTGATCCAAATTTGAGAATCGCAAAGATGTTCTTGAGGTGAGAATGATAGCTTTCTCTCTTCCTTCTCTTTTAAGTGAACTTTTGTTGCCCACTATAGCCTTCTTATCTGTAGTGAATGCAAAATGAAATGTCTCAAATATTACCATGCTCTGCGCTCCTTTTCGGCAGCAGGTGAGTCTGCGACAGGTGCTCAAGAACAATTGCTCGAGGTGAAGTTAAAACTACGTGGCGACCTGTCTCAAGGTATTTTTGTGCTTTCCCTAGCTTTGTTTCGTTATGTTTGTGTTGTTCTGTGGAAATATCTCCCTAATAATTGCTCAAGTCAGACTACCAACACTTTCCTTTTGTGGTAGCTGTTTATTTATGTTTGTGTTGTTCAGTGAAAATATGTCCCTAATTGCTCTTTCTTGGGGTATAGTTTTGGCCCAGGAGTCTAGGCCCAGCAGCCCAAGGAAGGAAGCCTGGCTCGCTAAAGAAAAGCCCAAAGGAGGAAGCCCAGACGCAAGAAGGGCACAACCTAGGAAAGAAAAGGGTCTTCCAGACAGGTGGGGCAGGGGGTCTGACACGGGACGCATAAAACAAAGAACATGCAACGGTCAGAAGCGTACGGGAAACTGACTAGCTAATGTCATGTGCCTCAACCCTCTGAGAGAGGAGTCAGATGGTCGAGGCGCATGGCATGGGAAGTGTACGACGCATTAATTGCAAGGCTGACGTGGGGCGAAAGTGAAGGATATTGATCGGCCATGCACTTATTATAAATAGTGAAGTTGGTGAACCTTATTTACTCAGGTTGGATCCTATCACTAAAACTATTCTCCACTTCTCTCTCTAAAGGCTTAGTTCTAACTTGGGCGTCGGAGTGCTAACGAGCCCCAAAGCAGGTTTGCAGTGCGCCCGTGTGTGCAGGAAGGAGGCGCGTAGCCCTGTCCTAGAGGAAAGAGACAAGACGCATAGGGGTAAGGCGTGAATTAACATGGCATAAACAATTGGCGCGCCAGGAAGGGGGATTTTTTAGCCAAAGACAAAGAAGACGAATACCACATCGGTCACAAGATCGGAATAGGTGCGCTTCACTAATATAAATGAACTGTAATGTCACTATTTTTTACTCGTGGTTAGTTTCTTGAAAAATTCTCTAAAATGGCCGCTTCGGCTGATCTTGAGATGAGGGCCAGGATTGCATTTGTGGAATATCGGTATGATCGTGCTGTTAAGCTCTTCTCGGAAGTCATTGCTCTACGCCTAGGCGACACTGACAGGGCGAGGCTTCTTGCTCATCGCTCTCGGCCAATTTCGAGCTGAATAATGTTTGTGGTAATTCCAACACTTTGGTATGCACTTCCTTCCTGCTTTTCTACTTTCTTTCAGTTTCCTACTTGTGGATGATCCATTGCTCTTAATTTCCTTTCTCGCTCTTTCTCTACGTTTCTTGTTCTTTTTCCTGCTCCGGTAGAGATTTTGTACGTTTCATTTTCTCCCTCTATAGCAAGGGCGGAGCCAGGAATTGAAGTTCGGGGGAGGGGGGGGGGGCGAAAATGATTTATTTCATCCACTATCACAAAAATTATAAATTTATAAAAAATGAACTAATATATTCATTAAAATAGAATTAAACATAATAATCAAAATCACTAAAAATATATTTTAACCTAAATTTTCAACTATGTAATATTCAAACTAATGAGTATACCATGAACAAAAAATTAATAATGCATTTTAGTACGTAGTATGTTCTTCAAAAATTTCACACCTGGAAATGACTATCATAGTGTTGACCTTTTATGAAATTAAAAGACCAAGTTGACTACTTAATCAAACAAATGTAGGAAAAAACTATCGAACCTAAAATTTTAGCTACATCTAGAATTGAACCTACGCCACTTTCTACTATTTCTAAGAAGCAATAACTCCGCTGGGCTATTTAACGTTTTGTGTATCAATTTTCATTCATGTGAGATAAAGAAAACATTCAGTTTATACGTAATTGTCCACATGGCCGCTTCGGCTCGGTATGATCGTGCTGTTAAGTTCTTCTCGGAAGCCATTGCTCTACGCCTAGGAGACACTGACAGGGCGAGGCTTCTTGCTCATCGCTCTCGGACCAATTTCGAGCTGAATAATGTTTGTGGTAATTCCAACACTTTGGTATGCACTTCCTTCCTGCTTTTCTACTTTTTTTCAGTTTCCTACTTGTGGATGATCTATTGCTCTTCATTTCTTTTCTCGCTCTTTCTCTACGTTTCTTGTTCTTTTTTCTGCTCCGGTAGAGATTTTGTACGTTTCATTTTCTCCCTCTATAGCAAGGGCGGAGCCAGGAATTGAAGTTCGCCGGGGGGGGGGGGGGGGCGAAAATGATTTATTTCATCCACTATCACAAAAAATTATAAATTTATAAAAAAATGAACTAATATATTTCATTAAAATAGAATTAAACATAATAATCAAAATCACTAAAAATATATTTAACCTAAATTTTCAACTATGTAATAATCAAACTAATGAGCATACCATGAACAAAAAATTAATAATGCATTTTAGTACGTAGTATGTTCTTCAAAAATTTCATACCTAGAAATGACCATCATAGTGTTGACCTTTTATGAAATTAAAGAACCAAGTTGACTACTTAATCAAACAAACGTAGGAAAAAACTATTGAAGCTAAAATTTTAGCTACATCAAGAATTGAACCTACGCCACTTTCTACTATTTCCAAGAAGCGATAACTCTGCTGGGCTATTTTACGTTTTGTGTATCAATTTTTCATTTATGTGAGATATAGAAGACCCACCTAGCTCCGCCCCTGTCTGATAGGCTCCTCTTAATGAAGGTGCTAACACCCTTACTAAAAAAAGTCACTTTGGTTCTCCATCTGCAGGCGATGATGCTTTTGCAGCATTTGAGATTGATCCAAATTTGTGAATCGCAAAGATGTTCTTGAGGTGAGAATGATAGCTTTCTCTCTCCTTCTCTCTTAAGTGAACTTTTGTTGCCCACTAATAGCCTTCTTATTTGTAGTGAATGCAAAATGAAATGTCTCAAATATCACCATGCTCTGCGCTCCTTTTCGGCAGCAGGTGAGTCTGTGACAGGTGCTCAAGAACAATTGCTCGAGGCGAAGTTAAAACTAAGTGGCGACCTGTCTCAAGGTATTTTTGTGCTTTCCCTAGCTTTGTTTCGTTATGTTTGTGCTGTTCTGTGAAAATATCTCCCTAATAATTGCTCAAGTCAGACTACCAACACTTTCCCTTTGTGGTAGCTGTTTATTTATGTTTGTGTTGTTCAGTGAAAATATATCCCTGGCTCGCTAAATTGCTCTTTCTTGGGGTATAGTTTTGGCCCAGGAGTCCAGGCCCAGCAGCCCAACGAAGGAAGCCTGGCTCGCTAAAGATAAGCCCAAAGGAGGAAGCCCAGATCCAAGAAGGGCACAGCCTAGGGAAGAAAAGGGTCTTCCAGACAGGTGGGGCAGGGGGTCTGACACGGGACGCATAAGACAAAGGACATGCAACGGTCAGAAGTGTACGAAAAACTGACTAGCTAATGTCATGTGTCTCAACCCTCTGAGCGAGGAGTCAGATGGTCGAGGTGCATGGCAATGGGAAGTGTACGGCGCATTAATTGCAAAGCTGACGTGGGGCGAAAGTGAAGGATGTTGATCGGCCATGCACTTAGTATAAATAGTAAAGTTGGCGAACCTCATTTACTCAGGTTGGATCCTCTCACTAAAACTATTCCCCACTTCTCTCTCTAAAGGCTTTGTTCTAACTTGGGCGTCGGAGTGCTAACGAGCCCCAAATGGGGTTTGCAGTGCGCCCGTGTGTGCATGAAGAAGGCGCGTAGCCATGTCTGAGAGGAAAGAGACTAGGCGCATAGGGGGGAAGGCATGAAGTAACGTGGCATAAAGAATTGGCGCGCCTGGAAGGGGGATATAACCCAGCTTGTAGAAGAGACCATGGAGATGGCGGGTGAGATAATAGGGGAGAAGGAGCGCGCACCACTAGAGGTTGCTTCCCAAGGAAGGCCCTTATCTGTCGGAAGAGACGCCCATGGGAGATAACGAGTCGGGAGAAATGGTCTAGTCAGGCGGGGGGGGGGGGGGGACGCTCACTAACTAAGACTTGATCACTTGATCCGCATAATTGAAGACTAAGATCAGAAGCTTGAAATACTCAAAAAGGAAGGAGGCGCTAAAGAAGGGAACGGGCGTTGCACCCCCACTCGGTGCGAAGAGGAAAGAAAGGACTAAGATGAGGAGGGGATGTTCAGCGCCCTGAGGCGCATTGAGGAGATGGGACATCTGACCCGACACCTGTCGTCAGACTTCGATGAGCACAACGGGTGGACGCACAGGCGTACAGGAAGACCGTGGGGCGTGAGACAATTACTTTAGAAGATTATGTCAACGATTACTTCATCAAGATGCAATTGTACAATAGCTCTGATGTCACCTTGTGTCGTGCCTTCCCGTCGAATTTTACGGGCGTGGATTGGTACCATCAGATTGAGGAGAGAAGGATCTATAGCTTTGAGCAGTTTGCGGCGATGTTCCTCTCGAAGTTTGCCAGCAGGAGGCGCAGGACCCTAACCATCAGCGCGTTGTTCAAAGTCAGACAGCGGAAGGGCGAGGCGCTCAAGAATTTCTATGAGCGATGGATGTTAGTGGCCATGTCGGTCAAGGATGTCAAGCCCCCCATCTTGGGATGTTGCTTGGATGAATGTACCACGAGTGAGGAGTTGTGCAGGCGTTGTCAAAGAGGGACGTGGTCTCCACGGAGGACCTGGACCGTAGGGTCCAAAAAGTCATAATGTTGGAAGAAACGTTGGCTTCAAGGAGGATGGACCGTCGGGAGACACATCCCGAGGAGGTAGACGACTATCGAGCGCCTCGCGTGCCACACGCCCCCCCCCCCCCCCCCCCCAATCCACCGACCTATTCTTTGGGCGCTCGTCGACCTGCACCCCAACGCCTCGTATCGAGGAGTGGTGGGAATTTCATCGAACTCAACGAATCTCCAAAGAACGTACTGCAGTACGCGAAGGACAAGGGGTATCATCTCCGTTGGCCAGGACCCATGAGAGGGCACCCAAATGAGCATAATCTGGATATGTACTACGAGTTCCACCGAGAGAGAGGTCACCATACGGCCGATTGCTACCAGCTCAAATCGGAGATCCAAGGGCTTATGGACAGAGGAATGCTAAGTGAGTTTGTAAGGAAGGAGGAGTATAAGGCGCAAAGAACCTTAATTTGGCCCGATTTTTTTTCTGAATTTTGTTTACTTTCTAATAATAAAAATAATAAACGAAAAAATTAATTAAAAATTTTCCCCAAATTATAAATTGGGAGCTCTTTTAATTATTTTTTTCGTTTATTAATTTTATTATTAGAAAGTAAACACAATTCAGAAATAAAAAAAAACTAATTGCTGACGTGGCAAGTAAGGTGGACCTTGGTTGACCATCTAATTTGACGGTCAAACCTGCATTTTGGCCAAATAAGAAAGTATGCTACATAGTTTAGGCCAGAATAGCAATTTCCGATACCACGGACTAAAGTAGAAAGTTTGTCCAAACTAAATTACTAACCCATAGAATTATAAACTAAATAGTTGAAGAACACCTTAAAATCACCACCGGACCCGCGACCACCGGTTAGCCAAAGTTGGGTTGGGCAATAAAGCGATTAAGCACACCACCACCATTCTTTCATCTCTTATGCGGGTGCAGAGCAGAGCCACGTTCAGAAACAACCAGACCTACTTAAATGAAATCCCCATCATCCCTGTTAGTAGACATGCTTTTACTAATTCTACTTTTGTTTTGTTTAATGCCTTTCCATGGCCACGCACCGGCCTTACGCTGGCTAGAATTCCTTCCCAGTTCCCCTTCCAAATGAACTCGTAATCGGGTACATATGAAAGGTCTTTTTAACTACCAGATGGGCTACTCTATTATTACGTCGACCTACAAAAGGCACAGTGGATGCACTATGAAGCGCCAAGCCTTGCCCAATCTCTTCAAGTAAGGCTCCAATGCGGTTATCTCTAGTATCCGACTGATTGATTTTCGCAATAGCCACCATGGCATCACCTTCCAAAGTTATTTCTGTAAAGCCAGACCCCAGGCACCAACCTAAAGCCTCCCGAAGGGTGAGCATCTCTGCGACCAAAGGATCATCAATGCCAGGGAACTGCGCCCCCTTAGCCAAGAGGATCTCCCCAACTTAGTTCATGATAACCATACCTCCTGCCCCCATGAGAGTTACGCTTGATCGCCCCTTCCCAGTTACAGACAATTGGAGAAGGGAACACCACCCCCACGGCTGAACAGGATGGACGGGCAACCGCATAATGTTATCGGCAGGCAATGCAGTCAAAATCGCACTTTAAAATTTAAAAACTTACGATTTTATGCTTCTAGGTCACCGAAATGCTTTCATTTCCATATAAAATCTTTAGTGCATAAAATCAGACTAAATTGCAGTTTAATGCTTAAAAACTTATGATTTTACGCTTCTAGTTCACCAAAATGCTTTACGCTTTTACGCTTCGAGTTCACTAAATGGGTATTATTTTCATGAAATTAATTATCAAAAATATATTTTAAAAGTAAATCACCAAGAATATGATACATTTAGGATTAAAATATACATCCTAGGTACTTGGTTGCATTCTGAGTAATCTAATTCACCAGCTAGGCCCTTCCCAAATTCATTAGCATAGAGGGGAAGATGACTTATTGTTAAGATCTAGGTTCATGAACTTATTGTTAAGATGCTATGAGTTGCTCTGCTTTAGACATGAACTGCATGTATTTATTAACTTATCTAAATTATGTGCACTTATATTTTACATTGTATAAGTCGTACTTAATAGCTTTTTAGCTATTTTATAATATGCGTAAAAACTTACACTTTTACGTTGTGATTCTATGTTTTACGATTTTACCCATTTTTCGCTTCTAGATAGAATCACGTTTTTTACTGCATTGTGAGCAGGCAAACTTACCCATTCCTTGTACTGTTGATGGAATTGCCTCATTAAAGTTGGGAACCCAAACTGCTTGCCCTCAAAGACCAACCAGTTTCGAGATCGCCAGATCCTCCACAGGAGGGCAATGACTGCCATGAACAAATGGGGTTGCTGGATGAGCAACATGAACCTTTTCAGAAACAACGGGAAAGTATTAATGTGATTTCATATGAGTTTTACTATCCCTTGTTTGATTAGAGGCATGTGCATAGGAAAGTCCTTGGAGGACCTAGGGGCTAGTATTAATGTGATGTTGTATGAGTTGTTTAAAAAGTTATACCTAGGTGAACTTAGAACCACTAGGATGAATATCCAGTTAGCAGATAGATACATGGTGCATCCCAAGGGTATTGTAGAGGACCTACTCGTTAAGATTGGAACCCTCATTAATCCTGTCGACTTCGCCATTCTTGAAATCGATGATAATGTGGAATCCTCATGTAACTTATTAAAACAATAATAAATAAATATTTATTTTCCATACCCAATATTCATTAAAACACAAAGCACACGATAATAGTAAATGACCTATAAATTGTTTTTACTTGGTAGAGTTGAGAGGACATTAATATTATATAAAGAAAAATCCTTGAAAATAGTTGAATTTTATCAACTCTCTAAAATTCTGAACTTAATAGTACCTCATATTATATCTCATCAAAATGTTAAGATAATCATAAGAAAATGAAATTACGAATCAATCAAGAATTTGTTGATAAAATTGTAGTTCCTAGTTGGGGACCTTTTTTATGATAGAAAAGGGGACCATTATTAAATGTTAATTGGAAGCATAATTTTATCTTGTAGAATTTTTTTGTGACTACTTGTGAATGAAGGTGGTTTGCTCTCAATTAAGAAAATGTACGGATTAACATATGTCCTTCAATCGAACGATCATATGTGTCCCCAATAATAAGAGCATATAATCCTTTCTACTTATTCACAAATCACAAATGCATAATTATCATCGATAGAATAAAAAAAGATGTACATATCTCTAAAAATAAAAATACAACGAAAGTGATGTTTCACCAATACCCTAATTGCTATCATTTTTACGTTCTCAACTTTTAGAGGCATGGGCTTTAGATTAGGTTATTCCTTTATGGTTTAAATGCATTGATAATCCTACTGATCACCTAAATCAATAATAAAGTCCCCATTTATCGAATGCCTAAATTTGGTGTCGTGGCTTGAACCAGAAAAAAAAAGCTTTTGGTACAAGTTGTGGGAAAATTAACTGGTATAAATTGCCTTTTAAAATAATATAATAGATGATTTTCTTTATCAGAATAAAATATTTGAAGTGGTTGTGTGATTAAATGAAAAAATTGCGTGAAAATTAGATTCATCATTGAATAAAATTGCATGAAAGATAGATTATATATGTAAATACAAAATGATTTTGTTGTGATTAATTGATAAATTTACGAGAAAAAAGTATAACTTTTACCTGAATATTATGCCAATTTTTTTGTTTGTGACAACCCAACAAATTTTGCATACTGTGCCGTTCACACAGAATTTCAACGACTAAGAAACTTCATCATTGCTTTGGATTCACGTTGAAGGCCTCCTCCATGCCTATATTTCTCGACATGTACATTTGTATATGTTGCTTCACACAACCCATCAAATTCTCCAAAAATAAAAAAAGGCATTTCCCATGCTGTTGCAGGGATGGGAACGTCTCCAAAGACAGGATTACTGAATAAGGGGCCTAAATATTTAAAAAAAAAAAATTAGAGACCAGTAATGTAAAATATTTTCAATCAAATGTTACTAATACTAAATATTGATAATGTCAAAAGTTCGGAACAGATGAGGGCTAGCTAACACACATTAATTTTTAGGTACAAACAAATACCTTCCAATCTATGTTCTCACAAGATTAAAAAAGAAAGAAGGTAGGTTTTTATTTCTTTAATAAGGTAAGGGTAAATGGATATTTGTTTAATTTTGAGTGAGTATACCAGAACCATAATACTACACCTTCTAATCCAATCCAAACATCATATATAATGAAAATGCCACATGCAAATGCTACGGTATTGTTAAACGTTGTAATTGCCAACAAGTACCGCATTGGTGCATTCCACACGACCATTCAGCTAACCTTCCACAAGTCGCGCACTACTTGGTTCCTTCCCCTTATCGGCCATAACTCCAAAAATTCAGGAATCCCATAGTAATGGCTATGACTTTTGACCTTGACTTTGCCACTATCGGATATAAATAGGTGTCTACAAAACTTCAAAGGAGAGAGCTTGGTTTTGGATTTCAATAAGAAAGAGGATGAACCCTAGAGAGTTCTTGCTGTGAAATTGAGTGATTTTTTCACCATTATAGCTTAAGGAAGAATCTTAGAAGAGGATATTCAAGATCACAAGATGATATCCATCACCATGAAGTCATTCTTCCTAACCTTTGTGTTTTATTCTCTCTCTATGGAGTATACTTCCTTTTCCCTTAAGTATGAGGAACTCTAGCCATGTTTTGTTGAATTGGTGATTGTATGATTACTCTAACTTGATAAACTCATAATTATTATGCAATTGGTGCATGTTTCATTGAGTTGTCTTTGTCTTGACCATGTATTGATAGTTTTTGCTTTCACCTAGAAGAGACAATATATAATTAGGCTGATTAGAGCAATTGATTGGAAGTTGGGGATTAACTGTGAGAAAGAGTCGATCAATTACTTCGTATTGGGTGAGAATACAATAAATGGAGCTTAGGCCGAATTGCCTTTGCCAATTGTCTTAATTGAGGATAGGTCCCTTTAAGCAACCCATTCAAGAGGCATTGGTTGCTTTAATCGATATTCAAGCCTTGTTAAGGACTCTCTGCATTGTGAACAAAGAGTGAAACAAGTTAGAGAATCATGATTCGTTAATCCGACTAGTGCCTAGGGCGAATCGTTATCTGGGTGAACTTTCTCATTCTTGCACTTAGTTCATTTAATCGTTTTGTTGTTAATCTTAGTTGTTCAAAGTAATCGTTACATGGGTGAACTTTCTCCTCACCTTGCCTCAATGATGAAGTCTTGATCACACCCTTGATGGCCTCCATGGCTCCACATTTAGTGTTTTAGATACGCTCATCTTGTTGCCATCTCAACCACGCCGTCTTGTTGGCTAGGCGTTGTCACCCATTGTGATTATATGAGGGTTTAGTCCCTTTCACATCTAAGTAGATGACTACATAAATCCTAACCATGGGATTTAGTTTCCAACCATGGGGAGAATGGAATCCTATACATAAATCAGTTAATAAAAGAATAGATAAAGCTTTTAGTGTGTCGCTTTAGTTATATAGGAATTACTGAACCCAAGAATTCAGAATAATAATTTCGTTATTGCCTAGAATAGAATAAATACTTAGAATAATGAAAGAGAGTAATTTGTCGAAATGTTATCGTATCCATCAGAGAACTCAACATGGTGCCATCTTGTAGGCTTGTTACCAGCTCCATCTTGGCCACCAAGCTCATCTCATCGGCTTGAAACCTTCCGGCTTGCTGATTTGGTACCAAGTCAGCTGGCCACCTAGGAAAAATTTCAGCTTGCCACGAAGCCGACATGCTAGCTTGTTAACAAGTCCGTCTCGTCGCATCGGTACCTTCCTAACAAGCCTCCACCTCTACGGTTTCATACTTAGTCTTTAGAATGTTAGTTTCATACCAACTCATGTGGTGCTCATTTTGCCCACTATCCACCAAGCTCGCATCATCAACTTGATATATGGTCGCCCGGCTGGCTTGGTACCCTGTCAACCTGTCACGAAGCCCGTCTTGTCGGCTGGTCAGTAAATTTGTCTCGTCGGATTGATATCTTGCCTGCCAAGTCTCCACCTTATGTAGCTACATATATATTTTGTTGAATCTAAATTCCATACTTACTGGCTTGACACATCCTTCTCAACACGAGACTCGCTGATCACCTAGGTCAAGAGAAGGGTTGTCTTCCACCGCTACTAAGACCCGAAAAATCCAACTCAATAAATTCCAACTAACTCATTTAATGTTCTAATATTAAGCCTATAATTAATCAATAATGAATGTGCATTGATATTAATTTTTAGAGGTAAACACACGAGAGTTGAATCAAACCAATGGGAGCCAATAAAGATGTCAATTCGATATAGCGTAGAACAAATTAATTGCCCACCTTCCCGTCATGACTCATGACTTCTAATTTGTTATTTTATTTGGGTTTGGTGAGATGATAGACTTAATATGTAAGACATTTCCACATAAATGGAATACCACTATAAAACAGTCTACAGCTCCCATCTCAAAACAAAACCAACTAACTGCCCTCTCTTCTTCACAATCTCCAAATTTAATACCTCTGAGCAGAGCCAGCTCCGCCGCTTCTCTTCCTCCTCCGACCACCGCGTTGCCATGGCCCCCACCGCTCTCCTCTCCTACCTCCTCGTCTTCTCCGCCATCTCCGCCGCTTGCTTCGCCTCCGACCCCGACATGCTCCAAGACGTCTGCGTCGCCGACACCTCCTCCGGTAATTCATCTCCCTCATTCACCAAATGTCGCTATGCTTCGAACTGGATTTGAATCAAATCTCCGGCGAGATTCCAACATTTTCCTAGATTTAATTTTCAAAATCGATTTATCAATACGCGTTGACTTGACGTCAAAAACAAACTGAAATCAAAACCCCAATCCCTAATTTAAATTTACCCCCCAAATTGGGTTTTCCCAGGGCCGAAATTGAACGGCTTCCCCTGCAAGCCGGACACCAACGTTTCCGCCGCCGACTTCTTCTTCGCCGGAATCGCCAACCCGGGGGTCGTCAACAACTCCGTCGGGTCCCTCGTCACCGCCGCCAACGTCGAGAAGGTCCCTGGGCTGAACACACTGGGCGTGTCCCTGTCCCGCATCGACTACGCGCCGGAGGGCCTGAACCCGCCCCACACGCACCCACGCGCCACCGAGGTCGTGTTCGTTCTCGAGGGCGAGCTGGACGTCGGGTTCATCACCACCTCCAACAAGCTGATCTCGAAGTCGCTGAAGAAGGGCGAGGTGTTCGTTTTCCCCAGGGGGCTCGTCCACTTCCAGAAGAACAACGGGAAGAAGCCCGCGGCGGTGATCGCCGCCTTCAACAGCCAGCTTCCCGGTACCCAGTCGATCGCCGCCACTCTGTTCTCGGCGACTCCGGCGGTCCCCGACAATGTCCTGACCAAGGCGTTCCAAGTCGGGACGAAAGAGATCGAGAAGATCAAGTCCAAGTTCGCGCCCAAGAAGGCGTAAATTGGCGGGGTTTTCATTTTCTTGATGTAATGGGAATTTCATTGAAAAGTGGAGAAAAATAAATAAAATCATCGCTGCTGGTGAAGAGGAAATGACTTTTTTTCTTTTTGTTATTTATTTTTAGAAATTTCAAATTTGTATCCTTCTGTCTGTGCTGTCAGTCTATGGATATGTTTTTCTTTTTCTTCATTTTTCTCTCCTCTTTTTCCCGCTGAAACAAAGAGAAGACAAAAGGGAATAATGGCGTAATTACTGATTGAAAATTTTGAAGTAATGTGGAGTGCACTTTCTCCTTTATTTGGTTTGATGACAGCGATATCCAGCCTAATCTCTCCCTCTCGATTACCATTTTGAAGTGCTGAGGACGGCAGCAAATACATTGGTTTTTTTTCTTCTCTTTAATGAATAGCAAAAACATGGATTGTTCATTGTACTTTGGATTGAATCGTGTTGTGAGTTATAACTCTCACATGGTCTGAATTTTTTTAGGAGAACCATGTTGTAAGTTTTAACTCTCACATGGTTTGGTATTTTAGGATGAACCATGTTGTAAACTTGAAACTTTCATGTGGTTCGATATTAGTCGGATTATGTTAAGCAGGTTTCGATAACATATAAGCTCTTTGAATATATGACTACATAGGATTTGTGAAGACGAGGGACAATGAGCATAGCATGTCTACGAGATTGAGGTTGAAGTTGATGAGCATGGATGCGAGGAAGAAGTTTGAAAACTAATACCCTTGTGTTGGAAAGTGGCATTCCAAGCATGCTTTCTTCCATATGCATATATATCATATATTCCCCACTTTTGTGCCTCGTGACTCCTTTTTTTGGGATGTCTGAATTTTCTGAAATTTTGCACCCACGATGCCAAATGGGAGAAGGGTATCATATTATGGCACAACGCTCCCATCAACCAGGACGAGATTTTATGGGACGAGTTCCACAAGGTGGAAAGATGGGTTTTCATCTCCTCAATGATCGAATATTCAAAGTGATTTGTTGGAACTATTCTCTATTTATGACTCCTCCATCGCCATGTTTACGCGAGGGGGGTTTTTGTCTTCCTTTGAGCAACAATGTCACTTAACATATAGCTATGAAGTCTGCATGACTTACAAGTTGGGGGAAATGCACTTATGAAGAGAGCTATTGTTCCCTAGCTCATAACCTATGAATTCCTTTTTCAAGCTAATTGAAAATTGGAATTTTCTTTCCCCTTTTATGATAACATCACTAATATTTGATGCAAATCTTTGAATTTATGACAGAAAGGATAACAAATTTTGTCCAATGCACAATTATTACACATTGGGGTGTGTTTTTTACTAGGAATACGGTTTTCTCTAAGTTCTTATTTATTGATGTTTCATGGTCTTCATCATATAATAAATTATACATCTAAATTTATGCTTCTAATATATGTAAAACTCAATGATGCAAATTGACAAATTTTAGAATGGACACAACAAACTAAGTATATGATCTCCAACCTTCAAATCAGGCATTCCACTAACCAACTAACCTTGAAAAATAGCTAACTAACCCACTAAAACTCAGCACTAAGCTGCTGGTTAGTTTGAACTTTGAAGCCTCTAACCCACGATCAATACCCAAATGACTGCCTACGAAATTAGAGTGACGAAAGTGCAATGAACCAATGCCCTTAATTTGCAAGGTTTCTTAGAAGGTAAACCTTACATCTATATGTTACTTCGTTCATGAATTAGTGGATTCCTCGAGCGTTTAATTTTGGATATGATGTAATAACAAATATTTGTTTCTTCTTTCACACAATCCTCTCATCCCATTTGACACAAAAACACATTGAGTAGCGCAACATGAGGCTGGCACAAATTTTGCTTCAGTGGTGGAGAGGAGGACCACATGCTGCTTCTTTGATACTAGGATATTGCTCCACCTGCAAGGAAGAAAACATATCAACTGGTGCTCTTTCTATCATCATACATCGCCAACATATAAGTTGTTGTGGTATACAACAAGCCAACTATATGTGTATCCCTGCAAGAAATCCTTCCAATCTTCTTGTACCAAATTCTATAGCTTAGTGTACCTTTCAAGTATGCCAATACTCTTTTGAACAAGCAATACTAAGTACATAACATATGGTCTAGTTGTTGTGGCACACAACAAACTAACTATAAGTTGTTTATACTCGGTGGCATCGACCAAATTGTCAAGAACCAGTTGATCCCAATAACTCGAGTTGTTGGGAGAGGTTCCATAGTTGATCTTATACCACACACTAACACGTCCCCTCAAACGAAAGTCACCCACAAGGGCTTGAAGTGCTTAACAAATTGGAATCGTGGGGATTCCAACACAAGATCTCTCGGTCACAGAAGGCTCTGATGCCATGTCATAAACCAACTGGTCCCAATAGCTCGAGTTGTTGGAAGAGGTTCCATAATGGATCTTATACCACACACTAACACAAATTACCATCTCCTTCCTTTGTCGTCTTGATTCTATGAGACATTGGATTCTTGACACGATTGCACTCCAGAAGCTTAAACCTCTCTAACACTTCCTTTGCATATTTTGGTTGGAAAATGAAAACACCAGCAATGTTTTGATTCACCTAAACTCCTAGAAAGTATTTCATCCTCACTAAATATGTCATCTCAAATTGAGCTTCCATCGACTTCTTGAAGTTTGCAATCATGGTAGGATCATTGGTTGCATACATTACATCATCAACATACAGACTCACTGAGTAGGATGTTGTTTCTGTTAGTGTTGTGGTATATGATTCATGATTGAACCTCTCCCAACAACTCGAGTTATTGGGATCAACTGGTTCTTGACAGTTTCTAGTTCTTTTTGAAAACAAGGTATGATCATAGGAACATTTTTTAAAGCCATTTGCATCAAAGTACTCTTCAAGTTTGTTGTACCATAACATTATAAATACAAGTTCAGTTTGTATCATAACAAAATTTGTAAAATTTATAGAGTTTAAAACTACAAGTTAAACTTATACCACAGATCAAGGTTGTCAACCCGCGGGTCGACCCGGATTAGCCAGGACCCGGCCAAAAAAACGGGCCATACTAACCCATTTTCATGTCAGCCCGGAAATAGTCAAACCCGGAGAAATCCGGTCAAACCCGGATTGACCCGGCCGGTTAGCCCGTTGGAGCGGGTCAACGGGTTGCTCTTCCTGAGCCCCGTTGGCCGTTGCGTCGCCGTTTCTGCGGACTCCGCCTCTGCTCGGCCTCCGCCTCTGCCTTGAATTTTTAACTATGATGGATTTAAGTTGATGTTATGTGAATGATTTAAGTGTTGTTGAATTTTTACTCTGTTGAATTTAAGTTGATGTTATTTAAGTGTGTTGGAGTTGAAGTAGTGTTGCATTTTTTATGTTGGATTCAGGATAAGTATAATATAATTACATTTTCCATATTTCCGGGCTAAACCGGGCTAAAACGGGTGACCCAATAACCCATGACCCACTAGTTCGTCCAGGTCCGGGTCGACCCGCGGTTTGACCACCTTGCCACAGATACAATAAAGTATTGTCACTAAGAATATAAAATAATTTTATGTAGTTTTCCCATTTTTATTGTACTCCATTATTCCAGGTGTAACACCAATACTGATGCAACCCCAAAATGAGCTGGCAAATTAATACAAGGAATGGAGTTGCAGTGTCGGTGCTCCCTCCTTCCACTGAAATCAACCCCCTCTTGCTTCCATAAGTAACTTAGTCTCTCATCCATAAACCATCCTATTTCCCAGTGCATCTCTCGGCTGCTTCATATCACTACTGCTCCCTCAAAATTCTCATCTCGTACATCCCTCACCATCAACCTTGTCCATCATCGCATCACACAAACCACCACCGATCCGACCCTCCAATCACCACAACTGTTATACCACTCCTTGCTCTCGATCCAAGTAGACGAACACCTGGAAACTACAACCAACGACACCACTCAAGTCGCCAACACGCACGCCGAAAACCACGTTAAAGTTGCCCGATCCTTTCCCCCGTACGACGTCGCCACGACCCTAGTGCATCATCTCACATCCACTAGGTAATGATCACGAAACCATCTCAGTTCTAAAATCAAATCCATCAATAGCTAATCAACTCGACGGTTGTGAACCGTAGTCTTGATGGCGACGACGAGGACGGAAATCTACGGGTGATAGAACAACGATTGAATCGAGGAAACAACGACTCTAGCGACTCAAATCTAGATCTAGGCACGCATACGAGGTAAGAAAACCCAACTCCTCGCATTAAAATTTCATGTTTATGCGAGTAATATGAGCTTGTCCAAATCTTGGAATTTAGCGACGGTTTTACAGGTTTTTAGCAACGAACTCTTAGAGCTTTGGTAACTGCCGGTCTAACGGTTGCTAAAGATACTGCATAGTATTTTTTTATTCATTGCAAGTAAATCCACATAGTTATGCTTGTTTGCAGACAGATCCTCAAATTTTGTTAAATGGTCGTTTTATTCTCTAAAATCTCATAATATTGAAGTTAAACTAACTAGAGACTATTGTAGTAGTAATCATAGGGGTGGGCAACGGGAAACGGGTATTTGGGTATACCCGTACCCGTCCCGTTTTTTAAGGGTTACGGGTACCCATATTACCCGTAATATTATAAACGGATGGGACTTGGGATTGTACATTCCTAATATGGGTACCCGCGGGTTACCCGCAAATACCCGTTTGGGTAATGTGGGTACCCGTTTTACCCATTTGCCAATTCTAATCCATAGAAAGGGAATGTCCACTTCGCCACAAAGATGAAACTTTTCTTAGTAAAGAAACAAAGAACGCTATGTGAACATAATACTTGTAGTCTGCACTCTGCAGTGACATGCAACCTAAACTCATCCCTGTCCAAGAAGTACCATAGATTATTTTCATAGTTCAAAGTAGTCATCAATCGCTAAAGGAACCTCAGCGGTGTATGATTCTGTAACATTGAAATTATCAGTTACATTTTTCCTTCTACCCTGCTGAGTACTGACAATAGCTGAATGCATGCAGGTTACCCTATATACCACTCAATGTATGATGACTTTGTCTGGATGGAGAAGTTTGGTGACCCTAATTTTCGCAGGCACATCGTTGTGATTGTTCATGATTTGTGTTGAATGAAACTTCTTATTTGATAATTTGGTGCTTAGAATGATTTATTTCTGTGCGTTGTGATTGTTCATGATTTGTGTCTTGTGATTGTTAAGCAAGTACAAGTTAAGTTTAAACTTTTGTTAAAATTTGAGTGGTTTAAACTTTGGGTATTTATGGGTAGTATGGATACCCGTTATCCGTCCCGTACGGGTAATGGGTACCCGTTTCCCATATGGGTTTGGGATATGGAATGGACTTTGGCCTCCAAATGGGACTGGGTACCCGTTTAAAACGGGACGGGTATCCCGTCCCGTCCCGTTGTCCACCCCTAAGTAATCAAGATAATTAGTAATAATATTCCTTAGTTTTCGTTACCATAATAATATGATTAATGTTAATAGCACGTGATGAATGAATTAATAGGATTAGCTAATGGGTAAATAATTTGTTATCTAGTTTGCTAAATTGATTAGTATAATCTAGAGTTAACCCACGTAGGTTATTGTAGCACAATTAGTTTCAAATGATTAAGATTGATTAAGAACTTAAATATTATATGTAAAGAATTACGATTCTAATATGTTAGATTAATTGGTACATTAGTATACCATACCTTGCACATCTTGCAAAGTATTTTCAAGTCGAGAAAGTCGTCGCTAAGAACCCAAAACTCAACCAATCTAATTTCGAATTTCACCATAGGACCAAGAGGCAAATCAACCAAGTCAAGGGCCCCAACCTTCACGTTGTAACTTCTTGAATTAATAAGGTGCGTGGTTTGAGGGGCTAGTTAGTATTTCGCTTTAATTTATCTAATTATGTTATTTAATTAAGTTATGCTCTATATGTATGTCCACGTTAAGTGTATTTATGTTAGTAAGCATGCCATTGCATTCCATCATGAAGTTATGTTTTGAGCAAGATTATGGACTTACGTTCCATGTTACCAGGTTATCAAGTAAGAACATGTTTTTAACTACTCACTCGACTAGTGCACGCGGCTACCCTACTTCCCGCCAAGTGGAAGTCAAGTTCAGGATTATGTTACTCTCCGCTAGGTGGAAGTTAACATTCATGTTATAATAGTGTACTTTCCGTCAGGTGGAAGTTACGCTCAGGATTGTGTTACTTCCCGTCAGGTGGAAGTTACACCCATGTTATATCTTCCCATCAGGTGGAAGTTTACGTTTGGTGGCCGTTAGTGTGCTAGTGAGTCGAGTTCGGGGCCCCCTTTCACAACGAGTAATAAGAATACTAAATTTAAGCATGAAGCATTGCATGAGTATATTTATTTATTCTAGTGTTGTTATTGAGATTTTTCAACATTAAAGCGAAACTAGGATTAGGACTGACCCCAACGCCCGCACTCAGGAGCTGCAGGAAACCAGGAGCACCCAGATCAATCGCAGGGACATAGCTGTTGCCCAAGATGTCATCACAAGGGTTAGTGGCCCGAAGAGCTTCCAGCGGAACTTATTTAAGTTTATGCATTGTTGGTGGACTTGAGACTTAATAAGGATTATGTTTGAATACTATTTTAAGATGGATTTTTCCTTGTATTTTGGAATGATGTTTATGGGACTTTTATGCATTTATTATTCGACTAATAACATGGGTATTTTGGTAAAATTAGTCACCGACCGGTGTAGGGTGTTACACCAGGCGTCTCGTATTTTTCCATTTTTGTTGTACGCCTTCATTCTTGGCGTTTCGTATTGTTGACGGTTCACTGTCGCTTTATTGTTTCCACAGCATAACACCTTTCTACTTCTCTCCCCACGCTCCCAAAACTAACCTAAGCAAAAAGCAAACCAGAGCTTAGCACTACTACAAGCTAGCAGAAAAAAGAAGAAACCCCTCATTCCCTTCCTCCATGGGAGACCATTCCACCTTGCTGCTTCTCTTCTAATCTTTTTAGGAAGAGAAGCTCTGCCGCTTTTCTCCCTTCCTTTCCCCCTTCACTATTTCGCTAAACCCATCACCACTCTTCACTCTTTTGCCTTTCCCTTTCATTTCCTCCTCCCTGGATTCGAACCCATAAACAGAAAAAGGAGAGCCCAAGCTCTAAAACATGCCCCCAGATCATCCCCGCCGCAGCTCGCCGCTGAAATCGAGGGTTCCCCACTTCTTCTCTTCCGCCGCTGTTGTTCTGGCTGTGCTTTTGTGCTGCTCGCTTGCTTCGGGTGATGACAAACATGCATTGCTGGAGTTCAAATCTGCCCTGACGAAAGACCCTCTAGGGCTTACCTCCACTTGGGACCCTAAAGATCCCGACCCGTGTACCTGGCATGGCGTTACCTGCGACTCCCTTTCCCGGCGAGTTACGGCTCTCCAGCTTTCCTCTCGCGCCGAGGGCTCCGCTTGTTCTCTGTTCTCACTCTCGGCAAGCTCGACGAAGGCTGCGAATGGTAACTTCTCTCTGCTCTTCCCTTGTTTAGGAGTTAGCCTTGATGCTCTGCCGAAATTGGAAGGCAAATTGTCGCCTAAGCTTGCCCAGCTGTCTCAGCTTAGGATACTGTCGCTGTCGTTTAATGGTTTGTCCGGGGAGTTGCCTCAGGAGATTGGCCAACTTCAGTCGTTGGAAGTTCTTGACCTGGGGTTTAATGCTTTTCATGGCTCTATGCCGATTGCCCTCCAGAATTCTTCTTCCTTGCGTGTGATTAATCTGTCCGGGAATCTGTTGAATGGTACGATTCCAGCATTCTTTGAGCAATTGAGGGGTCTGCAAGTCGTGGCATTGTCTTTTAATCTGTTGAGTGGTTCGATCCCATTGGAATTAGGAGATAATTGTGGTAGCCTGGAGCATCTCCTTCTTAATGGTAATTCGCTAACAGGTTCGATACCTCTGAATCTAGGAAGTTGCAGAGAGCTGCGCTCTTTGTTACTGTCTTCGAACTTGTTGCAAGATGATGTTCCTTCAACTCTTGGGAATTTAACAAATCTGGAAGTGCTTGATTTGTCAAGAAACTTCTTGAGTGGAAACATTCCTCCCGAGTTAGGAAACTGTGAACAGTTGAAGCTGCTTGTACTGAAAAATACGTATGGCCTTCTCTGGTCGAGGAGTCCTGCAAGTTCAAACATTGAGGAAGAAGAAAGAGGTGAGGGAGAGTTCAACTACTTCGATGAAAACTTGCCCGAGAGCATCTTAAAGCTCCCTAATCTTCGTGTGCTATGGGCACCATACTTGAATCTGGAGGGCCGCTTTCCCCAAATTCTAGGTCCTTCATGCAACTTGAAGATGCTGAATTTGGCTGGAAATTATTTTTCAGGAGGAATACCAGTGTCCCTTGGTAATTGTAATGGCTTGACTTTTCTTGATTTGAGCTCCAACAACTTTACTGGGCCACTTCCTTCAGAGTTCTCCGTCCCATGCATGATTGTCTTCAATGTTAGTCATAACACTTTATCTGGCGATATTCCAAGATTCTCTAGCAGTCGCTGTGGAAATGTGTCTATTGACATGGTTGAGAATGCACTTGGTTTCTACTCATCCTTCTTTTATGCCAATGCTGTCAAGGGAATTACATCTTTCAGTTTTCCTTCTAGTGACTTGGCTGTTCTGCATGATCTGAGCAATAACCTCTTCACGGGTCTAGTTCCTCCCCTATTCATTGCTTCACAAAGCTTCCCTCGGAAACCTTTTTATGGATTTTGGTTGGCTGGTAATAACCTTGGTGGAAATATTACTACTTTCTCGTTTGAGCCATGTTCTAACTTGAATGGCTTGGTTTTTGATGTTGGGAACAATAAAATTGTTGGTGAAATGCCTTCAGCCTTGGGAAGTAATTGTAAATGCCTGAAGTTTCTCAGTTTGGCAGTAAACAGTTTAATTGGTTCAGTTCCTCCTAGCTTTGCTTATCTTGATTCTCTGGTGACTCTTAATCTGAGCAGTAACAGACTGCAAGATACCATACCATCCTATTTAGGGCTGATGAAAAACTTGAGGATTCTGTCAGTGTCTAGCAACAATTTTTCTGGGGTTATACCATTGGAATTGGGCCAGCTGTCTGCACTAGAGGTTTTGGATCTTTCTTCTAATTCTTTGTCCGGCGAGATACCTCCTGATCTTTCGAAACTTGAACATCTCAGTGTTCTGCGGTTAGATCATAACCACCTTTCTGGGAAGATACCCTCCGGATTCAGCAACACAACATCTCTGTTGGTACTTGATGTGGCCTTCAACAATCTATATGGACCCCTTCCCCTGAATCCAAATTTAGTCAAATGCGACAATTATAGGGGAAATCCTCATCTTGAGCCATGTCATGGTGACACATCAACCACTGAATGGGAGCAGGAACATTCTGGCAATGTGTCTCAGCAACAGGCTAATACGCCCTCTGGAAGCAAACCTCCTAGGACGAGCACTCATTTGAACCCGATAGAAATATCCTCCATCACATCAGCCTCGGTCATTGTTGCTGTCCTCATTACTTTAGCTATTGTGTTCTTCTGTTTGAGGAAGTTTTCCTTTTGTTCTACTTCGGGCCAGGGGTCAGGCGTAAAAGAGGTTATAACCTTTAATGATATTGGTGTGCAGCTGACATATGAAAATGTTGTAAGGGCTACTGGGGGTTTCAATATTCAGTATTGCATTGGAAGTGGAGGGTTTGGAGCAACATATAAAGCTGAGATTGTTCCTGGAGTTATGGTGGCAGTCAAGCGGTTGTCAATAGGGAGATTCCAAGGATTTCAACAATTAAGTGCTGAGATCAGAACTCTTGGAAGGGTGCAGCATCCTAACCTCGTGAAGCTGATAGGTTGCCATGTTAGTGAGTCTGAAATGTTTCTTATATACAACTACTTGCCAGGTGGCAATCTTGAAAAGTTCATCCAGGAGAGGTCCAGGAGAGCCGTGGAATGGAGCATGCTTCACAAAATTGCCCTTGATATTGCCCGTGCCCTAGCTTATTTGCACGATGAGTGTGTGCCTAGAGTACTGCACCGTGATATCAAGCCAAGCAACATATTGCTGGACAATAAGTTTAACGCATATCTTTCTGATTTTGGTCTTGCTAGGCTCCTTGGTACTTCTGAGACCCATGCTACAACTGATGTGGCTGGGACTTTTGGATATGTTGCTCCTGAATATGCAATGACATGTCGTGTCTCTGACAAGGCCGATGTGTACAGTTATGGTGTTGTCCTTCTAGAATTAATGTCCGACAAGAAAGCCCTGGATCCTTCATTCTCTTCCTTTGGTAATGGCTTCAACATCGTTGGCTGGGCATGCATGCTTCTTCGGCAGGGTCGAGCTTCTGAGTTTTTCATGGCTGGGCTATGGGATTCTGGACCTCATGATGATCTGATTGAGATTCTTCACTTAGGGATTATGTGTACTGGCGAATCCTTTTCATCTAGACCTTCCATGAGACAAGTGGCTCAGCGTTTGAAGAGGATTCAGCCTCCACCATCTTAAACAGAAAGTTTGTGACCACACATCTCATATTGTAAGTATATGCTGTAAGCTAATGATTTGTGGTATTTTCCATATCCAAAAGCTCATTGGCTTTGTATTCCTTTAGTTAAGAAGCTCATCGACATGTCCTTGCACAATTTTGTATTCCTACATGAAAAATTGCATTTTCTTACTGGAATCATTCAATGACTTCAATCTGCTCAATGTAGCTGCTTTGACCACACCCATGTTGAAGCAAATGTTTCATTGGCTTCTGTCAGTTTCGTTCAATTCCAGTGCATATAAGATAGAGTTAACATTTGGGAATTGCCAAAAGTACCTTTTGAAGTGTCCCTTTTGTTATGTTGCAAACGCAATATGAGTGTTTAGAGATGTAATAGTGGGCAGCTGAGAGTCAGAAAGTGGAGAGAATGATATTCTAATGCATGTTACACCTGTCTAGTATAGGACACCTATTCATGGCATTAACCAGAAGTATCTGCTGCAGTTTTATGCCTATGATTCAAAGCTTCAGACTTCCGATGAAACTCTGATTGCTTAGGATGGCGAGAGTTTCTGATGGATTTCTCGAAGCTCAAATGGCTTTACTTGGTGTATAACCATTAACCTAAGGCTGGCTCTCCTTCCACGGCTTTCTACTGACCAAGATTGTTGGAACATCTGGTGAGCTCTTTTTTAACTGCCTGTTGAATATTACATTACTTGATAACCAACAGTGTTTGCAATTAATTGCCTGTTTCATTATTTCTTAAGGTTTCCTATACTGATTGTAAAATGGTTCATCTTTATATTAGTATTTTTATACATTCAGGGGATCCGTGGCATTTAGCTAATCCCAAAAGCATAATTTATAACCTCTTCCTCGACGCTCAGCTTGATGTGTGTCAAAGTCTTGCATCCACACCCATAGCGTGTTTTCTTTATTTTTATGTTGGACTCAAGTGGCGGGAAAAACTTGGTGTTGTTACCATGCTTGAAACCAATATGGGTAATGAGATAGATAGACTAATATTTTTTAATTTTCACCATGCTTCACCAAAAAACAGTATAAAGTTCTTGGGTATATTCTATCAGACTACCAAACTTGAACAAAAGAACTGCAGTATGAATTTTCTAAGCATGTTTATAATGTTGATATTTGTGAGGAGTACTATGCCTAGAATTCTGGACTGTCATTTTTAGTTACACCCTTACCGCATTATTTCAGGAGTTCAGGCGCCTTTCATTAGCGAGCTAGGAAGTTAAGAGTTAGCCCCTATGACCGTGGACTCGTAAAAGTTGCGTGACCTAAGGTAAGGTTTATGCCTGGGGGAAATTACTTTTTATGGCAAAACTAGTTTATTTGACATCAGGGCACCTCACTGACTGCTAATTTGCCTGGTTGAAGAAGCAACGGGAACTCCATTCTCGCCGCCAGCAATGCTCTCAAATTTCAAACTTCAACATCTTGCTTGGAGTAAAACCTTGCTTCTCTTGAAGAGTCTGATTGTCTTGGCACCAAAGGGTTGAAGGCAACGTAAAACAGAGAGCACTAAGTTGTTAGTAAGTTTCCTTCATCTGGTATGGAGCTAGAGAAGGCAGCTATGGCACACGCGCGATCCAGTCAAGTACTGATGATGATTGCCACTTGCAAAATGCAACAAGGAACCAAAGTGGGTCGTAAAAGTATCTTACTTTTACTACCCTGGAGATGGAAACAGTCACATATTCGATCCTTTTCTCATCTATGCACGGCAGGTTAAAGGTATTTCGCCACCAAACCATGACTCTAGATTCCCCTGTTTTTACCCTTCTACCTTTTTTTGTTGTCCTCAACATGAGTTCCGTTTTGAATGGCAGATGCGAAAGGGAAGAAGAGATAAGGAACTTTTCGATGCAATTTGCCTGCTTTCCTTCAAAGCTTTGGTTATCTTTGAAGGGGCTTATTGGCTGGGAGCAAGAGGTGAAGTTGATGGTTTTAGGGAAATTATTAGTGGAAAAAAGTGGGTTCAGGTTTTGGGGGAGGATGCTCCCAGTCTCTTTTTGTGTGTGATTAATTGGTATTTGGTATCACAAACATGATTGCAGCAGTTGGTTATCAACTCCTCAAATTGTGGAATTAGATTCTTTCTTTAGATGCTTTCTTTGTCCTTCCTACATGACATCTGTTTATTATGGTCTACTAGAATAGGATTCTTTTCTGTTTCTTCCTTTGTAGGCAAAAGAGATTAATTTTTTTTTTATGGAAGATAATTTTTTTTAAAAGTTTCTGGCTTTATGGACATGTTCTAATTGGGCTATAGAATGAAAAATGCTTCTTTGTCCAAAAAAAAAAAAAAAATGCTTCTCATTCTCAACAATCTCATAGCCTATCTACTTTCCACCTACATAATATGAGCCAAAAAAAATAGATTGAAACCTCACTGACATGAATCCAAACAGAGAAACACGAACAGGGAAAAAGGCAAAAGTTTGGTTTTGTGTCCTGCTTCTCATCAAGTACTTCTATCTCTCCTATCATATGATAGTTCCTTCTTTTATCACAGAGTTTTTCATCACAACTGTAATTCCTGATCTTATGTAGAATCCCTCTGCTGATCTCTCTGCCTCTTCCACCTTCTGCAATGACACAACATAAAAACCCAAAGGGAATTGGTTAGAAATATAGATGAACAAACTAGTTGTTAGTTTTTTTTTGTAAGGAGTCGAGAACTCTTTAGCTTGGTTGAGATCTTCGAGTTCGCGATTTGGGAACATATGTGTATACTTGATAAGGAGAGAGCCTTATTTCCCTTTCTTTTTATGCTCGACTCTTATCCATCTTTAATCGGATTAAACCAATGATGATTAACAAGAGAGAAAGCCAGGAAAGAGGGAAGAATATGGAAGCAAGAATCACTCACATCCTTGTTTGCTATCACCACGTTGCTACCAATTCTAGCATTCTTGTCGATGATACAGTTCCTACATCATCACACAGGTAAAAAACATAGTAATTAATCTCATTATATTAAAAATGGTAATGCCTAGATTATGATCACAGCTTGTGCTTACATGATCTTGGTATCTCTCCCGACACCAACGGGAACTCTTCCATCAGCTAGATCGGCTGCTATCTCCGCCTCGGTCTGGTAGTAATCAGCTCCCATCATCATAGTATCCTGCACAACAGAGTGTTTTTTCATATGATCACATTTTTGGCTTTTACAGTATGAAGATTGAAATGTGATGAGTTAAAGGTTAGTGACCTTGATCTCAACTCCAAACTCCAGTCTTGAGCGAATCCCAACAATGGAATGTTCTACACTGCACTCATTCAAGAAGCAACCATGGGAGATTATGGAGTCCTTCACGTGGCACTTCTCTATCTTTGTTGGTGGCAGAAACATGGGGCAGGTGAAGATTGGCTTCCTTGGGTCAGAGAACTGGAAATTTGGATTCTACAAGTGGAAGAGAAACTTGGAGTCTAAGAAAACCAGTGCAGTGATATACATGGAAAGAAGAAGAACATGTCATGTTTTAGGGACATCAAGGTAGGAACCAAACCTGCTCAGTGAGTGCTAAGTTGGCATCGAAGAAGGATTTTATGGTGCCAATATCTTCCCAGTACCCATTGAATAGATATGCCTGCCCTTGAATGATTTCCATGGTTCAAACTACCAAAACTGTTAAAAAGAGAAGGAAATGAAAACCAGTTGGTTTGTTTTTACCTGAACATTGTAATGTTTGAGAGACATTGGGATGATTTCTGATCCAAAATCATTGGCTGTTGGATAATGCAACCTGCAACAATTTGGTTTAATGCATCCCATGTATATATTAGTCTATTACTTAACAACCCAAGTAAGAATGGAAGCGAAAGCAGCGCGCGGATCAGATCTTTGCTTAAACAAGTACCTTAGAAGTTTGAGCAACACATCTTTCTTAAACAAGTATACTCCCATTGATGCAACATATGGTGACCTGTTTGCTTCTTCAGCTGATAATCCGAGGATTGTGGTATCCACTTTCTGTAACAATTTCAAAACTCGCGATCAAGATTCGTTAAAGGTGGGACCGAGAATGTCAAATCGATGTTTCATTAGAGGAAACTATGAAACAAAAACTAACCATAGATTTCAAAGCATCACCCTTGGGCTTCTCATGGAACTGATTGATCCTTCCTGTTTCATTTATCTTCACCAACCCAAAATCCGAGGCCCGACTGCATCCAAATCAAAATAAAGAAAGAAAGAAAGAAAGAAAGAAAGAAAACCACATTATTTCAATGATCATGATCATAGTAAACTGTATGGATCTCAAGCTAAATATATATAGTACCTGTCATCAATAGGTATGCAAGAGACAGAAATATCAGCTCCTGTGTCAATATGCTTCTGCAGATAATCATTTTGGACAGTGTTCATTGTCAGTACACATCAGAAAGCCAAAAAAGAAACAATTGATGAAGCTAAAACAAACCTGCACAAAGTCCATGTAGTCCATCCTGTAGATATGATCACCAGATAGTATCAAAACATTCTCAATGTGCCTTAGCTTCGCATCCTGCAAATGTACCAACACTAGTGCTTTTAGGACTGATTGATTTGTTTAAAAATGGCATCTTCATGCACAAATCTTACCTCAAACAACCAGATGAATTGTCTGACAGCATCTGCTGTCCCCTGAAACCATCTTTTCCCATACTGACCAGGTGTTTGTGTAGCTGCCAAAACCTAAAACCCAAATGCACAAGAAAAATGAGAACTGGTAGTGTAAGTATATGGATGAGAAGATTAAGGTACATGGGTGTAAATGTGATAATTATTACCTCCACAAACCCATCACCAAAGTTCACACCATTTGCAGAGCTGTATGTTCTTGCAATGTGGCGATGCAGGGATTGGGAATTGAACTGAGTGAGGATGTAAATCTTGTTGATCCCACTGTTGATGCAGTTGCTCATTGGGACATCAATTAGTCTGTAGCACCCTCCAATTGGCACCTAAATCCCACAAGCATAAAGAAAGAAAAAACAACCACATTAACACACTCATTACACCGCGCGTATACTAAGATATGGCCCACTCGCTTGCGCTTCACGCGAACAAAATAAAAAAAAAAAGATCTTACGGCTGGCTTGGCCCTTCTTCGAGTGAGAGGAAAAAGCCTAGTTCCTGCTCCTCCACCTAGAATTATCGACGCGACAAATTTCGGGTATGCTTGATGTTGCTCAACCATTGGTGCCTGATCAACGTTCAACCAACAACAACAACAAACTCCATCAACCAAGTTATTTATTTTGAAATTTTATATTTTTCTTATCACTAAATTACTTACCGTAGTGACATCATTATTGGGCACAATAGAGGCTTTTGTGACGTGGGGGTTGTGATGAGAAAGCTTCTTCTTCTTCAGTAAATTATTATTACCATTGGCGGGTTTCGGCCCACAAATTGAGGCTGCTTTCCAATTACCCTTTGAGTCCAGTTTCCGGCCCATGAATGGTGACGACATTATGCATCTCTGTAACTCTGCCACCACGGCCATTGCTGTCGTAAAATCTCCTTTCAAAATAGGTTTTGTCGCTGCTGCTGTGAATCTCGTTTTTCCTAACTCATCTGTACTCCATCGTCGTTAAAGATATAGTTACTATTGTTCGTAAGAGCATCAAATCATGCGCGCGTTCTAACGTATAACGCAAGACAATTTCGTACAGTTGTTGACGAACACACAAATTAAACAAAAGAATTTATAGAGAGAGAGACACAACCAAAGAAAAAGAAAGGCAAATAAGGATTTTTTTACCATGATAGTAGAGGTGGCCGTGGAAAGCATCGTCGCTATCTCAGTTCACCGCCTCACCATCTTCACTGTATATTTGTTTGTTGAACAATTGGAAATGACACAAGTTACTGCTTTTAATTTTTCTTTTGCTGCAACAAGGAATGAAAATGATATGTTTTTTACCACCCTAGTATTATGGTGTTAGGCACCCTAAGCAATTCCTTTTTTTGGTTTTTACCCTATTATATTGAAAGTATTTTAGTATTTGATTTTAATTAGTTAGAAATGCAATTTGACTTGATCCTTCTTTCAAGTTTAGTGCGGAGAGACGCGCGCGCGACAAATAAGGTGATTTCGTACTTTCTTTGTTTTGAATTATTCCCCTCTATGACATTACTAACAATTCCTCTGTTTATTTCCGATTTTACCTTCCCCACTAAGCTTTAGTCTTCCTTAATTTATTCAAAATTTGGCCATAATAATGGTATAAAGTTTTTGGGTGTTTGACCAATCATATATATATATAAATAAGTACATAACCAAAACCTGCCAATATTTTTTCCCCAACAAATATCAATCCATTCGACCAAACCTGTAAATATAATTCACAATCTAGTTTTCCTACTCGTAGAAAAGTAAAAATTCATTTTTTATCACTATGTATGAATGAACGGCCCAGACTGGTTCGATGAGCCCATAATTATGTAGGCCGCAATTCCAAATCTCATGCCTTCGTGCTTCAGCAATTATATTGGGCCGAATTAACTTTATAATTTCTAGTTCAGTGAAAGCCCAAACAAGTCAGGGATACTATTTTAGAACTTGCCACAAAACTTCGTATAAATGCCTCGCGATTTCTCCTTTTCCTCCGTAGAACCAGCAAAGGGTTTTCATCTCCATCTATCCGTCCGTTCCCCCGAAAAACCCTAAACAATGGCGGCCGTAGCAGCAACGACATCGCCCGTCGAGTCCGTCCAGTGCTTCGGCCGGAAGAAGACCGCCGTCGCCGTCACCCACTGCAAGCGAGGGAGGGGACTCATCAAGCTCAACGGGACTCCGATCGAGCTCGTGGAGCCGGAGATCCTCCGTTTCAAGGCCGTCGAGCCGATCCTCCTCCTCGGCCGACACCGCTTCAGCGGCGTCGACATGCGGATTCGGGTCAAGGGAGGCGGCCACACCTCCCAGATCTACGCCATTCGTCAGAGCATCGCCAAGGCGCTGGTTGCTTTCTACCAGAAGTTTGTGGACGAGCAGAGCAAGAAGGAGATCAAGGACCTCCTCGTCGGTTACGACAGGACTCTGCTGGTGGCCGATCCCAGGCGCTGCGAGCCCAAGAAGTTTGGTGGTCGTGGTGCCCGTTCTAGGTTCCAGAAGAGTTATCGCTGAGCTGCGGGTGATTTCGTTCTGTGTCAATTTCAGTTATGCTGGGTTATTATTATATTTTGATTCCTCAACTTTTGTTGCTTGGAGAACTGGAACTTGTTTAGTTTTTCACTCTTTCTCAAACAGGGTTTTTGGATTGTGAAGAGCGTCCTTCGTGGCCCTCCTATGAATGTTAAGGTCTAATTTGCAGCCTGGAATCCATTTAGTTTCACATATACCGTTTCGTTGGTTTCGATGAGCTCTATTGCTTGCTTGTTGAATGTGATATTCCTTTCATTGCTGCCTTTGTTAGGACTAGCCGAGTAAGCCATAGGTTAGTGTTCTGCATTGTTTTTTTGGCTGGCTGAGCTACTGTCCGCGGGTGTGGTTACGACGAGAACTTAGATCAGGACGAGCTTATTAGAAATGAGATCGTGCCCATTAGGGATGTGGTTCATTGTCTGCTTTAGCTTAGTTGCTACTTGAACAAGGGGTTTGGGGGCTTAGGGCTACAACAAACTCTAGGCATACCAGTTAATGAGCTTGCTTGTTGAATGTGATACTCCTTTCATTATCCTCTGGCGGTAGTAATTTTGTTACTACTGGCGTGCTGCCTCTGTTCGGACTAGCAAAGCAGGCCATAGGTTTAAGGTTTTGGCTTGGTTTAGGCTGCCTGTGCTACTGTCCGTTTTTTGGTTCCGATGAGAACTTAGATCGGGATGAGCTTGTAGAAACGAGACTGCCAGGTAGGGATTCGGTTCATTGTTTGCTTAGCATAGTTGTTACTTGAACAAGGGGTTAGGGTTAAAACAAACAGTTTATAAGCTTGCTTGCGCAGTAGTAGTTGAACCTTCAAAGCGAAATGGATGTTAAAGAGTAGGAGTACACCTTAAGGTGCACCATTTGTTATTTGTCATCCCTTCTTGGCTGAAACTAGAGATTTGGGTATCGATACGTGGTTGCGGCCTCAAAGTTGGAGATTTGACACTATTTGTTACTAATTCTTCCACAATCAATCTCAGCTGTACCATAAAGGGAACTTGTCTTCCACAAAACCACCAATCCTTAAATAAACCGCATTCATCCGAACCCTCAATCTTCGTCTCCCACACCATTGCATTACTATACCCGTTCGTACCTCAAGTTCATATCTAATGATTATGGCGGAAATCGACAGCTCAACAGAAGAATGCAACTAAAATCATTCAATCCGGACTGCCATTCAATTCGGGTGCCAACTGTCTTGGAACACGTTATTAATCATCGAATTTTACAATCAGCAATCGATTCAGGTGCCGACCCTCGATTTATTTGCCTGGTCTTTTAACAATTCTTGAACTACAAGGATTGTCTGCCTAGCTATCTATCTATCTACTTCATCTCATGCTAATACCAGCTAGCACACAGAGCTATTAACAACACCGAGCTGTACACACAGACACATGAACACACATTACCTAATCCGGCTATTCACGCCTTTTCCACGCCCTACTTATCGATCCTCAAGTTATTGCAGAGATGTCCTAGTTCAGGCCTACTCTTCATCCACTCTGTGAATCTTGTTTCTGTCGGCTTCCGGCTGTTGAGGTATGATCTGAACGTTATCAGAAAGAAATACCGCCTACATCAAAATGAAACATTTCTCATAAATTGCTTAGTCAGAAAGCAGTTCTGAAATTGGAGTAGGAATCATGTTAGCAATTGGCAGAGAAAACTGGTAAAGGAGGAGGACCGAACTAAGCACAATTCAATGCAACGAAGTGCTCTGAACGAATATCCTATGTGACAACCTAGAGCAAATATTTTAATTATCAAGCAAAGTTGAAAATAATGTCAGGAACAAGCACCAAGAATGCTTCTTGAATTACTCTTTCTTCATATTTCATGATGCAGTGCAAGCCTCCTAATAATCAGTAAGGCTTGCATCCAACAAAGTCAAGCTAAGATGCAATCTCATATGAAAATTGATACAAATTAACTAAATGTACAGACCTCAAGGCCTTAATGCCCATATCCATGAGGTGTGCACGTTGCTCATCATCCCCATCATGAAACTTCTTAAGTTTGTTGGTGTACCGAAGTATATCATCACGTAAATGTCCTGCTCCAGCACACCTTTTCAAACACAATCACGGAGTCAGCAACACAAGGAGAGTAAATGAACCAGAAAAGGGATATTCCATACATGTCAAATAAACTAAAGCTCCAAATAACATCACTTACTTCTCAATAACAATGTCAACGTCTGCTTTGCTCTTTGGACCATACATGAGAACTCTTGTAAGATTTAGTATGTCTCGGTAGTCGCCCAGTCTAAGAGCTTCTTCATCTGAAGATTGAGAGAGCAAGCTATCGGGCTGCAGAGATAATGGATGCGGAACAGACAGTTGCGGTCCAATATCTGATGCGAAGTTCCCTTCTGCACCGAGTAGAGTACAGATGATCGCCATTGCATAGGCCACTCCACCAAACCCAGTGTGTGAAACAAAAAGGTAACAATCTGCACCACTGTAGAGATAACTTTTAAGTCAGATTGATAACATATGGAATGACAAAAGAGAAGGCTAGATTCATGTCAAAGCAATGTATGGCAGAAATATGTACATCTTACAAAATACTTCTTATGATCAAATATCTCTTCAGTAACCAGAATTCATAATTAACATGGTAAGGAGCACAAGGATGCAATAGTACTGAAATTCATTAACTTTCCCCATAGTGATGTTATTTGGACACTCATCAAACAGTCACTTTCAGTTCATTTGCAACTAACCATCAAGCTGCACCAAAAAATCATAATGAGCAACTTGATAATCAAGAACCTTGCTACTTACTCATCCTTACGGTCCTGAATAGCATCAATATCAGAAGCCACAGCCTCCCTTTCACGGGTCAAAGGTATCCTTCTGTATGCTATATCATAGCCCTCGTCCATTAGGGCAGCGTACACCTCTGCAGGTGTCTTCACGTCCTCTGTAACGATGTTTTCCCAATAACCAACAACACTGGATTGATTTGTTGCTGGATTATACTCTTCACGATGCAAAAGCATTCGTCCACCAGAATGTCTCACTTCAGACACTATGTTTTCTTTAAGCCGCGCCTCCATGTTTTCCACCTGCAGTCGTGTTTTTAGGAAACATTGTTAGATTTATAACACTGGCAGAGGTCAAGGTTGCTCTAAGAACAAGTGAAATGTCAAAATGATGACACACCACTGGTCCGGTGATTCCAACATGCTTCAATGCATCAACAGGTTTGTTCAACTCTCCGAGGACAAACGGTGTGCCATTGATGTAAACAACGGCTTCTTCTCTGAGATCAGTCAATATCACTTTTTTAGTGGCTGATCCCACCTTAGGCATGGCTCCTAAAAATGTTAGCATCTCTTTAGCACCAGCAATGGTTGGAGTTGCCATGCTATACACTGGGTATCCATCCACCTGAAGCATACAATAGCAACGGTTTCAAAAGCAGGGACAATAGTGTTTGCTTGCTAAACCACCATAGCATGAGCGAGCATAACACACACTGAATCGAGAGACAAGTGAAGGAAGCGAAACAACAGAAAAATAAGTTGAAATGCATGCACCACCAATCCAAGGATCAAAGCCAACAACTGAATCTCAAAAGTGAAAATAACACAGGTTTTTTAGTGTGAAACTCAGCTAGAGAAAGAAGCTTTGTTCAAGAAATCCATCTATTTTGCTATCTAGGGCATATCTTAACAAGCACTTAATGGGTACGGGAGTTTGGTTGGGTAGTTCCACTAAGCTTGCATAAACATTAGTCCAAAGGCACACATATTACCAAAAAAACCTATACAGGCAACTTCCTAGAAGGCAAACCTTGAAAACATGTGGCGCCCCATGAATTTGTATGTGGCTGGATGTCCTTTGACCAGGAAAGAAGTACATTTTAAGTATGCAGCCCTTCCCCAAAACTGAACCACTTCGGGACTTGATTGTGGCCTCCATTACTGCATCTCCATGTTGAGATTCCTGTGGTGCTCTTAACCCCTCCTACATTATATGCAAAGAATAGTATTGGCATCATAAAGAGGAACACATCAACAGCAAATAAAGAATCTGAGCACTGCTTCCAAGTTACAAGGAAACACATTAAAAACTAACAGACAGGAACTCCTTTACAGACTTTTTAATAATAAGCTTCTATCCTTGTCTAAAAGAACATACATACAGGGATAGTAAAGAATCGCCCAGGCCTCAGTCTTATGCTCCATTTCATTGCTTGGACCTCAGGTCGTTGATGCAGCCAACTCTTGAAAGTCATTCTAGATTCTCCTTGACCACAAAATCCATCAAATGCTTCGCTTCCAAGATAAGCAGCAAAAGCAATCAACCGAAAATAACGCTCTAGATATTCAGCACCACGGTTCAGTGCCACTCTCCTAACTCTTGGCTCCACATGTTGTTGGTTGATCACTTTCCTATACTGCAGCACAGCTTGGCGGATGTTCTGAAGAGCAGAACATCTGTCGATGATGGCATCTAAAGCCTCACGACATTCAACCCCATTAACAAATAATCTCGTTATCTTCCATAGCAAGAGGATATCATCAATGCCAAAAGCACGACCTGGCTCCTTCTCCGTTAGTACTCCAATAGTATCAGAACTGGACCCAACATTCCCTCCGGTCTCTTCCCCACTTGAGCTGCCACCATCCTCCTCATCGTGGATCATATCATCCGGTAAGACTTTAATTGGTTTTCCATAGTCTACTCGCCGTTTCACAAGACAGGCAATGACTGTACCCGTAGTGGTCCTTCCCCTTCCCATCTGTATTTGGAGAAAAGGCATTCCAGTAAAATCAAGATCAGAGACAAATCCAATACAAAATCACATCTAATAAACTAACTGAGTTAGTGAACAATCAACCTGACAATTGAAGACAAAAGCAGTATCCTGAGAAGCAGAAGCAATATTTGTTGCCAATATGTCGAAGTCAGAGCTCTTGGGAGCTTTACCATCAGTGATAGGAACACGGGCATATTTAATGGGAAACCCATCAGCTTCTAAGCATTTGAAGACCTCCAGTGGAGTCTTCACAGATTCATAATTCACATGCTCCCAAGCGTCAAATATTTGGCCATCCTCTGTTTCATGAATGACCATTATTGCACCACCATAACGTTCAGACTCTCTCAGTATATCTTCTTTCAACCGAGCTTCCATTCTCTCTACTCTCTTACGATCAATTCCCTAGATGCACAACCATTATTTCAAGTGAATATGAGAGCAATGATGGGTGTGTAAATGGAAAAATTGAATGCCAAGCAACACAAAAAAATTCTATGTCGCATTGAATCATTAGGTAGAACGAAATTATACTTGCAGTTGGACGGTTAAGATTACACAAATTATCATTGGTTTTTTTGTAGGAAACATATCATTAATTGGAAGCTAATAGCTATGCATTGGTCAATGCGGAAAAGATCCCTTCCTCCCAACTGATACCAAAATATGAAATCATCCCACAGAGTGAACGAGAATAAGTGCTTGCAACAGTGTCTATGAATGCTTGTCTACATCTAGAACTGTAGGTTCCTATGATTGCTGGTATACAACTGGATTGAATCGATCTGGTTCACATGATACAGTCCTCAATCAACAATCAGAAATCAATTCAAGGATAATAGATCAGCACCGAGTATGACTTCTGCATTCAAAGATTATAAACTGTAATCATTACCGAATACTCCAGCATGTTTTTGTATGGTCTTTCAACTTCACGGAGAACAAATGGTTTCCCATTGATGTAGATAACAGGTTCTTCTCTCATGTTGTGCCAGAAAACTGGCCGACGGCCTTTAGAACTGCCGATCCTCTTAATGACCGAGAGAATACCATCTATTGTGGGATTCGCAACGCCATAAACTGGAAACCCTGGAACTTCTCGGAAATTGGGTGCACCCTCCACCCTCTCCGGTAGATTAGTATTTTGGCAACCTGGACAGTGGTCACTTTTCAAAACGGTTTGACTTCCTAGAACCTCTCCATCCCTCAATGCAGCAACAACCCCCATCTCATAAGGACGACCATCAGCAGATTCAGCAATCTTCATCAGAGATGGCTTCGAACTTGCATATCCAAGTGCACCCATGGGATCTCGTCTGACCAATCTGGAAGAAACAATAAATTTCCAAAAGAAGTCGGTAAATCAAAGTTTACGATTTTTAGCATTCCATTAACTTAAGAAACTCAGTCAGAGATGTGCATATCTGTACAACCATGGAAGTGTATGCTGGAAGAACAAGATAGCCTACTATGATCAAATATCACACCAAGCCATTAAAGTAAAGAATGTCAAAGAAACATTGACAATAAGCATCTTGAAGCTTATAAGATATGTTAGTGCTGAAACTTGGAAGAATGGAAATCTCTCTTATGCATAAAAGCTAAAGCTAAAAAACATGTGCCTTGAATATTATTTTAATGACGGCGACTCTTGCTCCCCGGGTGGGTTTGTTTAATTGCGATAAAGCCTTGAAATCAAGATCAACAGTCTCAAAGGAATATGTGCCAATAAGAGCAACAGGAAACTTTAAAAGGCCTATTGTTAGACAGTGTGCTACCTCCGAATAATGCTGTACAACTCTGGACGAGCTTTCATCCAGTCGGCAAAACTGCTATGACCAAACGAACTAGAGCGAAGGGCATCTCTCTCTGAGTGAATATATACAGCAAAGCAGATAAGAAAGTAATATCTTTCCAAGTATTCCACGAAAAATGAAAGTGACGCCTCCCTCTTCATTTCATCGGGTTGACGAAGAATACTATTGCGATATGTAGCAATTGCTTCCCGCAGGTTCTGTAGTTCAAACACTTGATTTAGGAGAAATCATAGGAGGAAACACAAGAGGTCATATTCTTCCTACAAGTCTATTCAACACATATTGAAAAGTTTGGCCATTTACCTGCATGGAAGCACACTTGTCAATGACTTTGTCCACTTGTCTTTTTCCTTCAACACCACCCTGATTACATGTAGTTTGTCAATTATTTCTCATGAAAATACAAGCTGTCGCAAGAGTAGAACACCAAACTGAAGCACAGTAGTACCTCGAGAACTCGCGTCAAGCTTCTTATTACGGCATATTCTCCTCTACGAATTGCCTCCTCAGAGTTAGGCACATTATCATTCACAGCAGAACCAGAGTCACAAACTCTACCAACTGAATTGGTTCTTGGGATACCTAATTTACATTAAAATGTGATAATCAGTTACCTACATTTCTCTGCAATGTTTAAGGTGAACAGATAAGCTAAGCAAGTCTGTTCCAAGGTTTCAAAGTTATGGAGTATCTAGATCCTGTGAAAGACAATTTAAGATTCGTCAGTGTCAGTCAACTAGGTCTAGGATTTTACTACACAAATGCAAAGTTACACCAAGTTATGGTTTCTTCATTCTTGACATTTTTCAGCTCCATTTGGATTAGGCAACAAACGTCATATACATCTTCAAATTGTTTGTACTCGAAATGAAAGCTAGAGGATGGAGTTCTTCAAACAGACAACATAAGAGGAAGAGAACAATCCAATAGCAGACTCAAAACACTGATGCAAACAGACTACTTTCTTCTCTTACTAAATATTCAGCCTTCTGTGTAGTTCATCCAAGTCTGCTGATCAGACATAACCACCAAGTGCTACTTCAGTTTCATTCATATACTAAGTTCACAAAAGAGCCGTAGAAAAGGACAAGCTCCAGGTATTAATATCTCAAGCACTCCTTGTGCACAGTTTACTAGGGGAATCAAGTATCTATTTCTATTCCCAACTTTACCCAATCCTTGCAAGTGGTGCAGAAAAGGAAAGGAAGCCTATGTAACTTATAACTGGAAACCCAAATTGCAAATTTTATAGTTGGCAAAAGTTGGTTTTCACATTGAAGAATAATACCCACTCCTATAAGTGTGGTCAAACAGCAATATTCATCGGAGTAACCAACAGCACAAAGACAGGAAACCTTTACAAGTTCAGTGAGATCCACATTAGAGGAGACAAACAACATTAGCCCCCTCGGTTCAAACCTTGGGGCCAACAATCACCCTTACCAAATAAAATAAGAAAGATAGATAATAGAAGTACCAGAAGCTCCCATTCGGTTAAGGTAAACCAAAGTGGCTATCACCATGCCAGTTGTTGTCCGACCGCGTCCCATTTGACAATTGAAAATTATATCTGAAGTCAAATCTGTCCGGTAAATTCTATCAACCTGAAGGAAGTAGTAGTAACAAGAAAAATTAGACAATCCAGCAAAGCAACCATATCCACGCCGATAATATAGGGAACCATAAAATTTAGCCACTCCCAATGAATAGGGCTGAACATGGACACCTGTCGAATTAAATTTTTTAAGTTAAAATTGAAGGAAACATAATAAAACCATCAATAACAATTGCAGTATAACTGAAAACTACGGATTTGGTCATGAGAGACAGCTGTAAATATTTTGCCGTGTTCGTGTTCCATCAACCAAATTTTTATGAGACCATTAGGAAATCCACCTATGAACCATTCACATATGCTGCATTCCATAATGTTTCAAAAGTCATTACATTGGTCAGACCAGAAGTGTTTCCAGAGCATGCACATACGCATTTCTCAAACTCAGATTTCGGTAAAAGAACTAAATTAGCTCAATAAAAGCTTTCGGGCACCTTAAGGTTGTGAATCCCTCAACAAGCAGTATCTTCATAATCAGAGCCTAGAGTTTGTTTTACCAACAACAACAACAACAAAAAAAGAGAGCCTAGAGTTGTAATAAGTCTGCAGAAGGATATTGATTACATGAAGCCATGTTATGCAATCTTTCCAAGATCCTTCGTAATAAGATCCTAGAGTTGTAATAACTCTCCGCAGATGGAAGGATATTTATCACATGAAGCCATGTTATGCAATCTTTCCAAGATCCTTTATTAAATCCCATCACATGCCCTCCTACTGTGATTCGAAAGAGAAAAAGGAATATTCTTCTTAAGGCCGTCGCATTCCTTGAAGCTGGCATGAAATATTCTTCTAATGCACATATTTTCCAAAGGACTAGTGGATAATCAACGTGCATCACAGGCTATGCAACAAATTTCCACAATCTTGTTGAGAAAAACTTGTCTCGCTTGAATATTTTAGATGCATTATGAAATAAGAAGTAGAAATGTTTCAAAAGCAACTTAGAGAATAAACCTTTGTGAGGGCTAAAAGGTTCAGCTGCAGCGCAAGTTATACCAAGTAGCACACAAGGTATTACGTACTAAGGTTAAAGACATGCCAAGTTTATCTATCGTGTAACGCTTGTGTGGATCTTTAGCTTTGAAGAGAATTAAATGAAGTAGAAACGGCCAGTTATGGTATCAAAATTCGTTCAATAATATATATATAAGCCACAACTAGGAGATTGACCTTAGATATAAGAAACAAGCTGGACAATCGAATAACCATTTAATCAAGGATCTAGAAAAGTATATAACAAAAAACTCACTAAGATATCAAAATCAGTCTCCTCCGGTGATTTTTCATCAGTTATAGGAACACGCTCATAGTCAAAGTGGTAACCTTCCACTTGCAATTCTTCATAGACCTACATCACAAACCAGATTCATGACAATAAGTCAGAAAATGAAAAAGTAATATTGTTTTATAACAAAGCAAGAACGAATTCTGCTGGTTATGCCTCTAGTGGTGTCTTCACGGAATCACCCGAAACAGGCTCCCACTGGTCCACCATCTGACCATCTGGTAATTCATCCGTAACAAGAATCTTATTGCCATATCTGTCGTGTTGGATAACAAGGAAATTTAGTCACTAATGAACCTAAAATACAAGAAAACTACACAGTAGTTCAGGTGAACGTAAAATACATGAAAACTACACAGCAGTGCAGGTACAAGTGACAAGACAAAGAGATTACCTAGCAGCTTCCATCAGGATATCCTCCTTCAATCGAGCCTCCATTTGTTCAACCCTAGACCTGTTTATTCCCTAGTTCAATTTAACAAGTTGAAGGTGCAATAATATCAGATGTTCAAACCTTACAAATATACTATGACGATAAAGTGCATGCAAATAGCTCAGCGTTTACTCCCACAAAATATTTCAGTCATAAAAAATGTCTTGATAGTGCAACCTCAGAATTAGCACATGATCAAACAAAAACAGACTCACCAACTGCACCACATTAAACATTTGGACCTCTTTGAGTTAGTTATTTAGCAATTCGAAAATTACAGTCAACCAAGAGTGTCAGGGACAAGTAATAACCATCAGTAACAAACATGAGGATTTTGGAGTATGTTAATGAATGCATAGATATTTTAACATCACGAAAATATAAAGCAGTTTCAGCAAACTAGTGACAGAAGAAGAACAAACAGTGTATAGTCTATATAACTTACTGTGTACTCAAGGTTGGAGAAGGGCCTTTCTACGTCACGTAATACAAATGGACGTCCATTTATATACATCAACTGCAATGGAAATGGAGCGGAGTTATGAAAGAGAGTTGAAAAGTAATGTTTAAACATAAGAAACCACAATACAATGTAGTAAACAAAGAAATTGTCACAAATCCAACTGGTACTTTTCACAGAATTCAGAAGGACAATAATTTGTTAACATAAATTAATAAACAGAGCATGAGTATTTGAGCTCAGAATATAATGATCTTCCTATAGATGGGGGGACCTAAAGAAACACTCTTCAATGATGAATCATGTTCACAAGCTTCATAATAGCATCCTTCTGATATGTACTTTTATTGTATGCTCTAATCAGAATCCAGTTGGACGTATAGAACAACTGAAACCTCAAGATCAAAATAGTATTAATTGTCCACATAATTTACGGTGGTTACAGAATTGTAGACATGGATACGGTAATTAGAGTAACTACCGTTCTCATGTCTCAGGTCGATTTAACATATTCGTGGTCCTGACGTCCTTCTAAAAATGAGGTTGATGAACGATGCTTCATGAGATGTGAATCATTACACGTATATATTAAGGGGAAATTCCATGCACGTGATAACGACTGATTATGGCAGAAAAATAGTTCACTGTCATCATTCTTCTAGGTCAGACAAGGGAAAAACATAAAGGTGTTTCTTCTTCTTTTTTCGGCATAAATTGAATAAATACTGCTTCTGAGGCTACAAGTTCTTCTGAAGTAAATGAATATCTATAAGAGATCAAGCAGATGATAACCAGCGTCAAGTAAGATGCATATTCTAACCAAACCCTAAAGAATAAGCCATGGAGATGGATGCATACCGGTTCCTCGCGAAGGTTAAACCACAGAACTTGGGCTCGCTTCCCATCTTTCTTAGCTCGTATGTGCTTAATAACATTACGGATCCCCTCTACGGTTGGAATCGCAACACCGTGGACAGGTAAGTTGTCAGCCTACCATGGGAAATAACAAAAGGGTTAGATGGAAAGATGGCTTAGAAGTGAGCTGGAGCATCCAGCAATGTAGATACCAGGAATCCAGAAACTGCTTATAAAAACCTACAAAAAGCTGGGAAAACATCCTGTTTGGAGCCCGGGAAACGGGCATCCAATACCTAGCAGCATGAGCCCGAATTCAATACTACAAAACCCTAAGAACTCAGTTCTGCCAAGTTATACTAACCCCAACGGAAGTACCGAGTGCAATTATGATGAGTTTACAGTGCCGAAAACAATTGGCGAGTCTCAGTTACATGACATGTAGTCTAATAAAGAAGCGACACAAATGAAAGTTGTGAGTTCACGCACATGAATTGCAAGCCTTTTAGCCGATTCTCGTAAGAAAACCAGGGAAATGCAAGAAGAGCATGTAAGAGAAACGGGAAGAAACAAGCGGCCCAACTCCGCCTTCTCCAGAGAACAGAAAACAGGAAGGAGAGAATGCAATCATAAAGAAGAACCGAGGAACCTGGCGGTAATTGGGAGCGCCATCAATGTGAGGAGTTAAGCGCTTGTTCTGGCAGCCAGGGAAATGGTCGCTCTTAAGAATGGTCTTCTTGCCGAGGACTGATCCACCTCGGAGCTTCATAACCAGCTCCGGCTCCTTGGGCATCGACATCCCTCAAGCCGACAAAGAACTCTCCGATTCTCAGCAGCTAAAGACGCACAAACAACAACTCCACTTTTTCCTTGCTGAATTCGTCGATTCTCAACCGAATATCCCGAGTCGGGTAGTTCTGCTACCGCCGCCGCCGGGCACAATGCCTGCCGATGACGGAACAGTGAGAGGAAAAGCGGAGAAGAAATGAACCGAAGGCGGAATGTACAGAGAATTTGGGAAGGAAAACGTGAGGACGAAAGGAACGAGGAGGGGGAAGGATAATTGATTGGACAAACCGGACAAAGGAAACGGAGGAAGAGGAAAAGAAACTTTTTTCTACAAAAAGGAGAAAAAAAACTTTTCTAAATCCAGCTTTGTAGCCGACCCATCGGTTTGCTCGTTTGTTGAAATTATTTTGGATATTTAATATATGTAGTTATTTATCACATTTCTAAAAAAATAATTTACGGTTTGTGATCTTAATAGTCAATATATTAATCTATAATCCGAAACTACCCGAAACCGAATTGGTTGGATCAATATTTGACCCGAAATAAGCCAATCAATATGATCCGACCCGTAACCTGAAACCCCTACCCGATTGTCAGGTTCAGGTTGATTAAACCTTTTTTTTTGTTGAATTGATTGAACATTTTTCAAAACATTTGCAATCGTGGTTTATGAAATCTTAGTGTATGTATTATGTAAACATTTATCCACCAAAATACTCAAATAATTATCATAGTTAGACTACCGCCAACCGATACACTCAAATTGATTATCTTATAAAATATATTATGAAATTTTTATTCATTTGAAATTTATGGCATAGGTTCCAAATTCCAATACACAACCTCCATATTTTTAGAACTACAAAACTTGATCGAGAAGGCTATTGTCGGAGGAGGCAAGATTTGACGGTGAGATTTACATATGAATAAGAAGGGAAAGTATGCTTTTTGGTATATCTGGATGGATTTTTGGGAGGTGCATATCTCCTTTTGGTAATTATTAGGCTTTCCATATCTCATATGAATTTGCATATTTCATTCGTTTTACATTAGATTTTTTTTAATGCATACAAAATAAGTTTTTTTTGCGCTCTACAAGATGACATCTGTAACATCTTAGGCAAATCCCACATCGACAAAGCACGGGAGAGATTCATGGTTCATAAGTAGGAAACCGACCTTAACTGACAAGACGCGTTTTGGGGTGAAATGGAGGAGTTCTTGGGGAAAGGGTTCGGGATGTTACAACATCTATTTTGATATCTATGGAGCAAAAAAAATTCACATCATCTAATTGTCATGACATTAGATATGATATGACAATAGTATGATGATGTTGTCAGTCTTACCATTGTGGTAAGATTATGGTATGACAGTGGTAAAATGGCATTATGGAGTCTCACTATAGTGGTATGATGTTGGTACGACAATGATAAGATAATATGGGGTCTTATCTTGAGCAAAAATTATTGATATCATCATATACTATTGTCATATTATGGAATTATCATACTATTATAGTAATTATATGATGAAACCTTAGCATGACCAAACTTCTGGTAACAAAGGAACAATGGCAGCAAAACCAATGGATATCGACCAAGTTATGGAGTTCGAGTTGGAGGGTGTTGAAGAAGGGAGTATGAAAAGGGGCAAAATTGAGCTAGATTAGGTGGCTTTTCATGGAGAGTCCTCCAAGTGTGAGAACAATCCAGAAGATTGTCCAAAGTGCCAGACAATAATGGGAGAAAGTGACTGTGATGGAGGCAGAGCTGGGATTGCTGCAGTTCTTGATCGAGGATGAGTAGGAGAAAGAATGGGTTATTAACCGAACCTCGTGGCCAGTGTCACATGTGGTAGTTGACATGGTGCTTTGCACATGTGGCGTGTATGGAAGACGAGAAGTATAGAGATGCCTCTAGGATTCTCCACCTTTATGAGCATTATGGTGCCCTTATGAGCCACATTATGGGTGACATTATGAAAGTGCGTTATGGGGGGACTTAATAGGTGTAGTAATCGGAGGGACCATTATGAGAGGGCATTGATGCCTTGTATGTAGAGAGACCTATATAAGGAGTCATCTCCCTCACTCGTAGCTCATTCCATCATTTTTTAGAGTAATACACACTAGAGAGTTCTCTCACTTCCTTTGTCTTTCTTACTTTCTTTGTGAGCTTGTGAGCTTGAGAGAAGGCTGCTTAGTTCTCTAACGGAATTAAGAGCTAAGATCGTATGACCGAGAGTAAGGTCGTGACAAGTGGTATCAGAGTCTGGTTAGGCTTGGTGCTAACAAAGAAGCAAGCCAAAACGAAGAGGAAGAGCCTCACCAAAAATGTTGAGATCGGAAGGTTTTTATGTTGGTGACAAACAACGTGGTAGAGATTCCACGAAGAGCTCCAGGACAAAGACTGACAAAATCAAGCACTCGTGACCCTTTGGCGGCTCTAGAGAAACGCGTCTCTAGAGTGGAGGTGAAGGTGACCGAAGATGTTGTCGTCATGGAGGATTTGGGAACTAACTTCAACCAAATCCAAGGCGATGTTCAAGGTATGACGGCTCGGCTTACGAGCTTGGAGATCGGCAACGATGGGCTACGTGAAGAGCTTGTGGCCCTCATCAACAACACCATCTCCAATTCCATGAGCAACGCCATTGAAGTTGTGAAGGAGACAGTTCAAGTAGATTTGGCCATCGTTATCGTCTACTACTAGTTATATACCTTATATCAGGGATAGATTTATAGATCTAATATATCACAATGAGCTCGTTCCTTCTAAGCAAAATTATTATAAATTACTAGTTATACCTTATATCAGTGATAAATTTATAGATCTAATATATCACAATGGGCTCGTTTCTTCTAAGCAAAATTATTATAAATTTAAATGAGATGGTACTAAAAGTGATTTAGATCACAACGAACTCATTCCATCTATCTAAAATTTAGAAATCCAAATTTGAATGATGAAGATAAAAAAAAAAACTAGAAGAAATAAAAAAAATTATTTTATTCTCACCCCTCAAATTCCACGCCGCTTCAAATCAAGAGTTCAAATCTGATTATGCATAACCATTCACCATATCTTTGACCGAGTGTCTGGATTGCTTACAACCAAATCTAATCGACTGATTAAACCATTAGAGGCAACAAAATCTTATTAAAGCTCTTCATTCCTCCGCATCTGACTCTCACAAAGGTCATGCGCTTTCATGTACAATACACCAGAAAAACATAGGACGCAGAAAAACCATTAAAGCATCTCAATCGCTATGTTGCCAAAAATATCCTTCATCTGCTAGAGAAAGAACTACTACCACAGGTAATTTTCAGAATTCACCCACCTGGAAATGGGAAGCCTCGATGTTACACCATTGCAAATTCGCCTCTAATCTAATTATTGTAACGTTCACAAGTTCTTGTAGTCCGGATTGTCACGAAGACCCAGCTTTGAAAGAACCATACAGTACGAGTCCCAGTCGGTTCTCCTTAGATACTTCAACAACTTCTTCCTCTTTTGGACCATTTCCTGAAGACCCTTCCTTGAATGCTTGTCCTGCACCACATCAGAACAGTAAAATTTTGGCAGAACCGGTAACTACGACACACACTCGATAGGGCGCACAAGTTTTCGGCTGAGACATCAACCAAGTTAAAGGACCTTGCAGCCAAACAAGGTAGCAAGCCAAGATTGTTTATTGTGGCACAAACTGAAGAGATGTGAATGTTTGTTTCCGTCCTACCAAATAAATGGTAATACCGAAGTATCAGCTTTGCATTCTTTCTCACCTTTTTGTGGAGAACTGAGGATAAATGCTTGATCTTCGTTGTAAGTTGCGCAACTGCAAGAGTCCAGAGAAAGAACATCAAGTTTATAAACAACAGTGTCATCAATGGGGAGAATATTAGTCACAGCTTAAAAGTGCCAACTCCCATCAGCATGTTCTAAGACCAGAAACATACGAGCACAGAAGATGTAAAGATTTTGAGTAAATAAACCATTTTTTCAACTTACCCACCTTGTATAATTTTACATGTTGGGGGGGGTACCAAAAGCAATCTATTGGTAGCATAAAAGTAGTAAAGAAGGCTCCTAGGAGTCCTAACAACACTCAAGATTGGTCATTCCTAGCTCGATGAGAGGACTTCGTATAGTCCCTGTTTGGCCATACTGTTCGTTGGACTTCGACCTAAATGTGTAATTCAAAATGTATGATTTCTTTTGGTTGCATTTTCATGGATGAGCTGGTGTCACAATACCATTTTCATTATCTAATACTAGGACTTATGTGCAACAGATGAAGCACACAGACACAAGTTCACTTTTTTAAACAGCAGAAAGGCTTGAGATTCTATTTCATCGAAAACCAGTGTACATGGATATTTATATGAACAAAATCCAAACACAAAATAGCTATCCATCAAGCAAAACATAATTCTTCTTTTCAGATCCATGACGGCCTAACCTGGCATATTCCCTACAGTGTTTATCTTTTAATATTTTTTTAGTATTTATACTACCACAGATATTCTATCTGTGGGACGAATAAGAAAAACAAACATCCTACTACACTGTTTATATATTACTAGGAAAAAACAGATTAACCTCCTTGGAAATTGGCAGCTACAAATGATTAAATTTAGTAACCATGCATCTCTAAAGAGGGAATGGGGAAACCATGGCGAGTCAGCAGCCGAGCTGATAATATATAACAGATACCGCAAATAAAACATTAAGTAAAGAGGGCAGCATCCATTCTTGAGTAACATGGATTGAAATTAATGTCAATAATATGTCAAATTGGTCTCAAGGTTTCATAGGGTATTTGGATGCTTTCATCCACGGCATCACTAGATTAAACCCTTGCGACAAAGTCATAAAATCAATTACTTAAGTCAAAAGCTAAAGATGGATATACACGATACGCACCATTCTCATCCAAAACCCAGCTCTACTAATCAATAAACCGACATAGAATGGTACATCTAGAATCCCCAGTCTCAAGATCCAAAAAACCTAATTCATCATAGATAGTGCATGCTATTTGAAATTTCACAAAAGCATCAACTCAGGATAGAAAAGTATTGAAAGGGTGACAGAAAACCATTACCTTGCACCCGGGCAGATCCACAATCTGACTCCGATGCTTTGAACTCCTCCCTAACTTGTGCAAGCTCAAGTTTCATTTTCTCCTGAGAGGACATGTTATCTGGATGGAAATACTAAAAAATTCCATCCAAAAATCAGAAAACAATATCAGAACAATAACGGAAAAAAGTTGGTACTCCAAAACAAGATTCAATAGTTCAGTTGTCCTTAAAGGTTACCATATAAATTGCTAAGAAATAGAAATATGGGCTGGCTATCTAAATTAGCAACCATATCAAGAGTAGTAGAGAAAAAGGGATCCTGCCTTCTCAACCAAGTGCTCTTTTGGGATCGTCAACTGATAATCAGGAGTTATGCCGATCATACTCGCAATCCTAAAGTTTGAGCCTGTAGAAAACAAATTCAGCCAATAAATGCCAGAGATCACATCGATTTGTCCGGGTCAAGTTCTGTAAAGCCAAGCAAAAGAATATGACAGTTAACCACTCTACACATAAACAACGTGAAAGTCATAGGGGCAAATATTCAAAACCACCCTCCAGGTTCGGAGACCATGTTGTATAAGCATATTCAATCCGCCAAGATACGAGAATCACTAGCTCAACTAAGTCAGATGGTGAGGCCACATGACCCAACCATAAGATTGAATGTGGAATCACATTGTAGTATAATCCACAGACAACAAGCAACTCCCTTCCTAACTTCATTTTCAAGCATCACCAATCACTTCCTATGACGCAATACCGATACCCTCCACAACATCAATCCCCCCATTTTCTTTCCCGACGTTACCCAGCAATGATAATTCAAATAACTCCAAGATAAATGGAACTACAAGAGATTATTAACTTTCGAGACTAGTTTTAGCATACTCACTTGAGCGCTCATTTTCCTTCTCCCGCATGGTTGCCACCGCCTCCAAACCTGCCCTCATCTCCTTCATTGGTCCGACGTCACGTTTCTTCTCCAGCTCCCTCAATTTACTCAATCTCTCACTCAACTCCTTCAACGAAAACCACCCCTTCTGCCCTTGCTTCTGGCCGGGCCGCAATTTCTTCAACTCCTCCCCTAGCTCTGTATAAGCATACTCCTCGGTAATGCCCATTCTTCCAATCTCATTTGCTCTATCCGGCCGCTGCAGCGTCATACCTCCCAGAGTACCGCCGCCAAACCTTGTTGAACTCGCCTCTCTTGCAGCTCTCTTACCAAAGATGCTTCCAGTACTCCACGACTGAGTCGAATCTGCCCTTCTATTGTTGGAGCCCGGACGCTTAGCGAGGGCCCCAAGACTTGCTCTGATATGCTCGAAAGACAAAGAAGTGTTGGCGCCGGTAAACCCAGATTGAACGCCGCCGTCGCGATCACCTTCAGCCGCTGTGTTCCGCTGGTACAGCTTTAGAAACGATATCTGCTGTCGCGGCTGCTGCTGCTGCTGCCCTTGCGCTGGGTTAGGGGGAGGAGCAGATGACCTTTGCCCATATTCTCTGAGACTCTCTCTGATGTCCAAATAGGGACCCGCGGCGGGGCTTCTCGAGGGCGGCGAATTGGATCTGACCTGGGCTAGGTTCTGCGGCCGCCACATCTCTTCTTTGTGCTTGAGGCTCGCCCTGACATCTCTGAGAAACGAGGTGGCTGAGGGCTTGGTTTCGGGAGGAGGCTGGGGATCCGAGAAGGCACCGCCGTCGTCGTCGGGAGGACCGGTGGATGAGGGAGGAGAAGAAAAGGAGGATGAGGGAGAGAGGAATTGGAGGAGAGAAGGGTTGGTGAGCGGCCGCCTACGGGCTCTGTAAAGCGTGAGCCTCATTGAAATTAGCGCAGAAGCAGGAAGGGATCTACAAGGAAATGGAAGACGGAGAGGAAGAAGAAGAAGAGAGCTCTGGTTCAGTGTTTGGATGAGAGACGGTGGTTTTGGGCAAGGGTTTTACGCCACTTTCACAGGGAAAGGATGGAGTGCCAGTTTATGACCGAAACCGAAGGTGAATGAGCCCACGATTCTTATATGTTATTTACGGGAAACAGGTTTTTGGCCCGCTCGGTTTGGGCCCGATTCTTGGGCTGCAGTTTCAGTTGGGCGGAGCGATCTGGTTCCTCGCGAACTTCATACATGGGCTTGCTGTGTTTCTTTGGTTGCCCGGGCAAGATGTTATGACTAGAAATGTTGGTCGGTTCGGTTCAGTTATAATCGTAATCATTTATTCAGTAATTGGTTGATCGTTAATCAATGTGTGCTTAACACTAACTGCATCGTTTATGTTAGTCGATTAGTTGATAACCGAGTGGTCGATTATCGGTTGATCATTTTACATGGAACCACCATCAATCATCAACGGCCACAAAAGAGAATAATCCTTCCTAAAAGAGAAGATGAGGAAAGTGACATAGAGACAACACAACAGCACATTAATTGGGATGTTAAGTAGAAGAATCCAAACTCATCCGAGAGTTCTCTGCTCAACATAAGTAAACCAACGGATATATAAACTACCCACAAGATTGACTTCATCGAAGCAGCCCTGTCACGAATATCACCTTGTCGGCTTTCTCTTCCAAGCCATAGAAGATCATCAAATCCCTGTCATTGTTAGACAGCTTCCTCAATGCCGTTATAATCTCAGCTCTACTGAACCCTTCAAGCTCCTCCAGCGTTTTCAGCAGATTGGCTCTCTTCTGGATAAGGTCGTCGCTCTCACCAAGTGCTCTAGCGATGGTTTCCACTGAATGCTTGATCACTGTGCGAAACTCGCTCATCTCACCCACAACAAGGTCAATCCGATCATCTACAGCTTGGGCACTCTTCCTCTTCTTCTTTCCTGATGTCCCAGCGGTCGAAGCTGTAGCACTTGAAGGCTGCATTTCCTGTGCTTCTAACTCTGCATTGAGTTCAGCAACCACAGCCTCCTCTTTCCCTATGTTACTCAAGCAACGATAATTCGAATAACTCCAAGAGAAATGGAACTACAAGAAATTATAAACTTTCCGAGACTAGTTTTAGTTTACTCACTTGGGAGCCAATTTACCTCCTCACCCTGCCGCGTCAACTCCTCGAACGGTGACCACCCTTCCTGCCCTTGCTTCTGCTCCGGCCGCAATTTCTTCAGCTCAGATGTCCCTGCGGTCGAGGCTGTATCACTTGAAGTCTGCATTTTCTGTGCTTCTAACTCTGCATTAAGTTCAGCAATCACAACCTTCTCCTTTCCCTATGTTACTCAGCAACGATGATTCGAATAACTCCAAGAGAAATGGAACTACAAGAGATTATAAACTTTCGAGACTAGTTTTAGTTTACTCACTTGGGAGCCAATTTACCTCCTCACCCTGCCAGAGCACCTCGATAAGTGACCGCCCTTGCTTCTGCTTCCGCCGCAATTTCTTCAGCTCAGATGTCCCGGCGGTCGAGGCTGTAGCACTTGAAGTCTGCATTTTCTGTGCTTCTAACTCTGCATTAAGTTCATCAATCACAACCTTCTCATTTTTTCTTGATGTCCCGACAGTCGATGCTGTAGCACTTGAAGTCTGCATTTTTTTCTTCAGTGCTTCTAACCCTGCATCGAGTTCAGCAACCACAGCCTCCTCTTTCACTATGTTACTCAGCAACGATGATTCGAATAACTCCAAGAGAAATGGAACTACAAGAGATTATAAACTTCCGAGACTAGTTTTAGTACACTCACTTGGGAGGAGGAACTTATCTATCTCGTAGAGATTCTCGCTTGCACTTATCGCCGGTTTCAAACCTAGCCCCGCCCTCTTCTTTGGTTTGTTGTCACGGTCCTTCTTGAGGATCAAGGCCTTGATTTCGTTCGAAAAGTCCACACGCCGTGGACTTGGCTTATCAAGGAGTCTCTTACCGATGTTCAGAGAGGGATCCGCGGCGGAGTTTCTCGAGGGCGGCGAATTGGATCTGACCTGGGTTGGGTTCTGCGACCGCCACATCCCTTCTCTGAGGAATGAGGTGGATAAGGGATTGGTTTCGGGAGGAGGCTGGAATTCCGAGAAGGGACCGCCGTCGTCGAGAAGAGTTGTGGACGAGAGAGAAGAAGAAAAGGAGGATAAGGGAGAGAGGAATTGGAGAAGAGAAGGGTTGATGAACGGCCGCCTATGGGCTCGGTAAAGCGCGAGCCTCATTGAAATGACCGTAGAAGCAGCAAGGGATCTGCAAGGAAAAAGGAAGACGGAGAGGAAGAAGAAGAGCGCTCTGGTTCGGAGTTTGGAAGAGAGACGGTGGTTTTGGCTCTTAGGGTTTTACGCCACTTTCACAGGGGAAGAAAAAAAGGGACCGGGAGCGAAAAAGCGATGAAGGTGAATGAGCCCAATCCTAATAAATTTTATTTTATAATAATTAAGAATGTTACGGTAAACAAGTTTAGGCCCGGTCTGTTGGGCCCGATAATGGGGCCTGCAGTTTCAGTCGAGCAGAGTGATCTGGCTCCTCGCGGGCTTGATGTGTTTCTTTGACTGGGCTACTTGTGCTTTGCTTTCCAGAATGGGCATGGTGGTTCTTTGGTTGCAGCCTTGTGGTTGGGTAGGGGGTGTGCAACGATCCGGTCCGTACCAGATTGTATCAGATCGAATCGGTATTTTGAAATGGACTGTATCGAATCTAGTAAAATGCGGTCCGGTCGTTGGTCTATGAATCTTATAATTACGAAAGAAAATGTGGACCGAATGGATATTTGGACCGGAACAAACCCAACCATATGGACCGCATGCAACGATAATCCGGTCTATGGTCCTAAAATATCTTTTATTGATGGGCCACAGTTATCAAGTATTATTGAATTTGTTCCGGTTCGGACTGGACCGAACCGTTGCACACCTCTAGCAGGAATAAGGCATTACAACATTTCATTTTGATTACTGTTTAATTATGGATTGATCACAATCAATGTGGATTTAAACATAAAAACTCTTGAGTACTAAAATTTAACTTTTAATTAACATTTTTAGGATTTATGTGCAAAAAAAAAGGCTGCTACTAAATCTTAATATCTATTATGTTTAGGTACCCAACCGTAATTAGCAAATATAACACAAATTTATTGGAGTATGAGACCTGAAAATTTTGTTACATGGGTAATTACTAATTACAACAACACTTTATAATTAATAACAACACTTTTATAATTAATGTTCGCAAGGTGCTAAGTGCTAACACTAATGATGTTAGCATCCTATCCGGCCCCATGAACCATCATATAGTCTTCATATTACCATGGTGTACATTGTGCCAAAAACACCTTGATTAATGTCTAATTTTTTGTATCAAAATATATAAAATGTATGTCATTTTACAGAGTATAATTAATTTGATTATTCTGTAAATTTTTTAAAAAAAATTCGAGTCGAGACAAATGAAATATACTCTATAAAATGTTGATGACACGAACAATTGTTCAAGACATAACTCTTCATTACTGGCCAAATCTCCTCCTAAGCCAAAGCACAGTGAATTTGAACAATATCAGTGCTTACCCGATATTATTCCATTCCATTTCCATCTCATGACATTTCTTGTTTTGGAAGGATTAAGGAAGGCTCCCTGGCTTCATTATGCATTACACTACACGGGTATCTTTAACCACGCCATAGCTGTGGATACATACATCATCAATTATCGATTATCGGATCGTTCCAATTTTATCGGATGTCCCCGAAGGAACTACATCATCAATTATCAACTGCCAATACTAATAATATCCATCTGTTCCACGAGTAATATCCTCGTCTAAATGTATCAAGCTGCAGCCACATCTCCATTACCAGCAGCATCAGAGCTGCTGCTGCTAACAATACTTTTAACCAGATTCTTGGTAGAAGGAAGACCAGCCACCACATCCTCTTCAATCCCACATTCATTTGTTCCTCTCCTTATCTTGAAGTATCCATTCTGCCATTAGGAAAAAAACAAACCAAAAAAAGTTGTTTATCAACAAGTGGAGCACAAGGAACTCAAAATCAAAGAACAGATATACCAAGAACTGCAACTTACTTCACCCCAGCTCCTGTTCCACTGATTGGCAAGCAGCTGCAGAGAGCAAGGTGAGAGCATTAATAGATCGTTTTGTCAAAAATGAACATAATGCCAGTGAAACGAAAGAGCTCTAACAAGATGGAACGAAATCGAACAAATAGTTCGTTTCGTCACAAATGACATAATTTAGTGACCGATTAGAACATGTAAACCAACGAATATGTTGGTTAGTGTTTTCCTGCGAGAAAACCTCTTGCGTTGAATTGAGATAGATTGCACCTTTGACTTCTATGGACAACGATTTGTAAGACACGGCTCAAACCTCTTCAAACAAAGTTCGAACGAGGGTGTTTGATTGATGATTTTTGGAACCAAATCTAAATTAAATTAGTTCTACTCCTATGGAGATTCGACGAGAGCTCCAAACTACGAACTACATCTATGGCTACATGATAGAGAAAAGGTAAAAGATAAACTTGACATGTGTGTCAGTTGTGTGGTTTTGGGACCTTTGTCTCTGTCGACCCCTCATCTTATTTATAGCCCCGAGGAGGTAACCGCCATAGAAAACCGCTTGTTGGATAACTGCTACAAAGAGCCGCTCCTCCTTCTTCGGTAGAAAACCGCCTCTTGGATAATTCCCAAAAAGAACTGCTCCCTGCTTCCTCGGAGTGGTGGTTACTCCTTCAACCGCCTAGGTGCCTCTCTTGGAACCGTCGTGGGGTTTGGAGTGTAGCTTGCCTCGCCTGGTCTTGTTCTGAATCTCGTGCCATGCTAGTCTTTTGACGAGCATGTAGTGTCTCGCAACGGGGTCATGGTTCTCTTGTCTCATGGCCATGGACTTCTAACCCATGTCCATGGCCCACTTGGGACTTAGTCATTATTGATATAGTGCTCCACCACCACGCCCTTCTCATTCGTGTCCATGGCCACTCTTGTGAAGTGGCATGGACTTCTCAATCATGCACAAGGCCCCTCTCATGAGGCGGCATGACCTTTCCATACTTAGTATTTTCAATCATTTCCAACGCCTCTTGCTTCGCGTCCATGGCCATCACATGACACGGCCATGGACCTCTTAATCATGCACATGACCCTTCTCGTGACACAGCATGGCCCTCTCATACTTAGTATTTTTTCTTGCGTCCATGCCCCTTCTCGTGAAGTGGTATGGACGTCTCATCTTGTCTCGCGTCCATGCCCCTTCTCATGAAGTGGCATGTACCTCTTCCAGACTTAGTTTATTTTTCAGTCATTAGGCCTTGGTCATGGGGCGGCATGACCTCTTCGTGAAGTGGCATGCCCTTCTCGAGACTTAGAATATTTTTGACCGTATTGAGGTCTTCCTTGAGATGGCATGTGCTTCTAAATTCTAGATGGACATGTTTTTTGTGTCGTTTGGTCTTGGTTATGAGGCGGCATGGCCTCTTCATTCATGGCCATGGACTTCTCATACTTAGAAATTTTCATGCCATCTCGTGGCATGGCATGGCCTCTTGTGAGAGGCCCATGTCCCTTATTGAATCATGTCCATGCTCATTAATGAGGTAGTGACTTGGGTTTAAAATCAATATCCATAAGGCCCAATTTAAACAACATTAATTGTTATAATGAGTGTGGCCTTATAAACTCCTTGATTATCTTGTAACTCACCAATGTGGTACAAGACAAAATTTATGGTGTAAACAGTTAGAAATCACTAACCCAATAATCTTCCCCATCTTCAGAAGTTCCCCATCCGATAAGCTTAACAGCATGGCCTCCCATAACACCACCGGTTATGTGCTTGTAAACTCCTGATTTATAGTAAGCAAAGTCCTGCAATTTGGTAAACAAATGCTTTTAATGTATTATTATATAAAGGAAAATGTTATTTAATTGTAATAACCATACAAAACGTCATTTGAGATAATTGGAAGCACTAAAAATAGGACGAAAACCGACTAATCGCATAAACAATAAACATAGTTGTAGAAGGTAAAGGTGCAATATTTCACCTCATAAACTGTGAATGCAACCTCAACTGGACCATTCTGAGAAACTTCAGTCATGATGCTAGAGACATCAGAAGAGTCGACTCTATAAGCATTTACTCCGAAGTGCTTATCCTCCTTCCACAGCTGGTTTTTGTCAACACACTTCCTCGAACACTTTGGAGTTGGGTAGACTGGCTCACATCCCGGGTGGGAGCAGCCAATGTCATCAAAGTAGGGATCACACTGGGTAGACAAGAGGGTTGTTTTTTTTAACACGTCAAGCAAATTTGAAAAAGCTCGACGAGATCACATATGACCAGACATATTAAAGGAAGAGAGCATCCATCTCAAAGTTAACAAGTAACGGTACCTCTTCGGTTACTACACCATTCTGGACAAAGTACTTCCAGGCATCAATAGGATACCCTCCATCACAACCGTCGCCGCATCTGAAGCCACAGCAGGCTAAGAGATCATTGGCAGACAAGGATATGTTCTGCAATAAACATAAGCACAAGTTTGCTGAGGATGAGACTACTAGGCATTGCTTAATCAAACTACTACCAGCAATTAAAGCCATGATTACCATGCCAAAATTAATGCAAAACCGGTCGGATAATGCTTCAACAGCACCGAATGCCCAGCAAGATCCACAGTGACCCTGGATTATCAACATCCAAATACCATGAGAAACTTGAAGCAAAGAGGTTCACTGAGCAGAGAAAAGAGGGAGATGTTAAGATAAGATGTTTCACCTGATCTTCAATGTGAAATTGACCCATTAAGGGATACAAACATGGAACAAAGCATCAAATGTCAGCTTCATACAAAAGAGGAGAGATAAACAAGGAGAAGGAACAAGAAATCAACTAGCCTAGAATTCTATGAAGAGTGGCACATTGAGGCCAAGCTTTTCTAGCATCGAATTCCTTTGGCAGCGCCTTGGATTTTGGATGTCTCATGACTGGAACTCCCAGGAGTTCCTTCTTGGGTGTTTGCTTGACTCCCAGAAGGTACTTGAACTGAGCAACCTATAGATTAGACACAAATAAAAGGGAACAAGCAGCATTCAGAGTAAAATATGGATCGCAAATTAAAACGCAAGCAAGTCATCTCAGCTTCACCATGGAGGACGAACTGCAAATCGAAAAGACTGACCGTGTAATTAGAGAAGCGGGGGCTCATTTCAGCTTTCCATCCAGCACTGGGATTTCCATTGACTACATCAACAATTGACTCCTGCAAATGGTCACCATATAATCACGGAATCAACATACCAGAAACAACCCAATAGACAACCATCCAAACAACTTGTTTGACGAGAATGGTAAGCGACGAGATGAGATACCTTAAGGATCCTTGAACCCAGCTTGAGCTTGGAATCTATTGCTGAGACCTGAGGAACGGTAAGATATAAGGAAATAAGACTTTGACACAAACACACAGAAAAGGGAATAGCAGAACACCCATAAGTTCAATAATTAGCAGGTCTTATCCATCTTCAATCCTTGCAACAATTCACAAGAAGGGAAGGTTGCAGATACAAGGAAACAACAAAAGAGTTCAACTTTATCATTCTGGAAGTTGACCCCGCATCCAGTAAGTTCGATCTCGAAAACTATCACTCAAAAAAAATCATAAAACCGATCCCAACCAGGAAAGTTGGAGAGATATAGCAAGAAATGTATTGAAGATAGTTTCCACAAACCGGACCTGCAAATGGAAGGCGGCGACTGAAAGGAAAAGGACGGCGACGGCGAGGCAGAGCTTCGACGCCATCGAAGTAGCAGTGAGGTTGAGAGCGGGCAGCAGCTGATGAAGAAAATGTGAGCTTTGCTTGTGGATACGATACTAATAACAGATAATACTAATAAATAAAGCAAGTTGGAATTGGGAAGTGAGCCAGCAGGGTCAGTTGATTGCTAAAAGCGATTGTGGGCGACTGGCGAGCAAGCGATTGGTTTGCTGGCTTGCAGCAGCAGTCACGGCACTGACCGACGACCCTCCAATGACCAAAACCGCCCGTTTACTTGCCACTTGCTATGTTTAACCACTTTCATCGGCACTACGAGATGTTAATGAGTCAAATTGCTTATGAACTCATCGGTGTTCGATTCGAAAATCTTCTTATAAAATCTTAGAATGAAGGTTTCTATCACTAAAAACAACTTATTATCACATCAATTAATTTCAATGAATGGTTATCAAGTTCACTTTGTTAATTATATTGGTCTAAGTTGAGTCTAAATGATAGACTTTTGGATCTCCAAACAACTTAGGTGTCAAAAATTCACCATCATCTCAGCCTCCAAGCAGTCAATCATGAATAGGTTGCATGACGGTCAAGACTCATAAGGTGTCAAGAGCACTAGACTACCTATGTGTCAAGCATGGAGTCATACAATGGGGCAATACCCCTGACGACTTCACATGTTAAGCATCGTAAACTATCTAGGTGTTAAGCATGAGACACCCATCCAAGTAGCTATCACGTCACATCTCATCAAGCCCGTAAGATACAAGCATATCTATTAGAATGTCGGGATAAGCCGTCAAGCAAGACATCTCCATGGCATAAGAGGCTACCAAGTGAAGTCTTTAAGTCATCAAAGTATCAAGTGGCCTTCATAGAAGCAGGAGGGAACGACATCGAGCAAGTTGGATGTCTACGTCAAGTACTATGTCGGTTGAAGAGTGGTTATCAAGGAGGTTATACTTGGTGGTTGTAAATAAGAAAAACGAAGATTGGAAACGATTCCAAACCAACACTAGCTTTGACATCGAACATTGGCTGGGTGATTTTCATTTGAATATTTAATTAATTTTGAAGATCAAGATTTTTTTCATACTCATGAAACTCTCATTAATCTCGTGAATAAAACACATCTATATTAATTAATTTGTTGTCATACTTAAACAATTTTGAATATGTGTCATCATCCTCGTAATAATTCATTTATACAATCTTGAATCGCATGGGATAATTTAAAAAAAAAACCTTTTCAAATGTGGTGTATAATAACTCGGTGCCTGATTCTACATAATATTCGTCAACCAAAACACTTATAATAAATCTATCTATCTTTTATACATAATATTATGACAATTGAAAAGTAATTGTTTGTCACATAAACACTTGGAGAGTTTACAAGTTGACAGGGTGGATAAGGACTCCCTACCTTCCTTTCCTCTTCACGAAGTCGAGCTCAACTCCGAACTCATTCCTCAAGTGACTTCGTTCCTCTCCCTATCGGTCGAGTGACTTCGTTCCTCTCCCTGGATGACAAGTTAAAGAAATTGGGAGGACATATGCAATGAGTTCAACAATAAGGATAGTTACAACATCGAGAGCCTCGTTTGCTAAATGGCCTCATAGTCCAAGCCTCTTGGTCCGAGGAATGGTCAGGAGGAGTCGTCGGCCCTGTGACGGTTGGAAATCAATGCTATGATTGAGGAAGTAGAGACCAGGACAGAGGAAGCTGGCGTAGGAACGAAGTAGTGAGCCCGAAGGACGAAGGAACGAAGTAGTGAGCTCGGATAACTTATGACTTCGCGGATGGAGAGGGATTCGAACCTCCAATCCCCTAACTGCTTCCCCTAGGTAAGAGGGCCCCGGTACAGGCCATTCCTGTAGAGTAGGGATCCGTCTTATTCCTCAAATGTTGTTTTCCCTTATTTCAATTTGAAAACGTTGTTATTGATATACTTATAGAACTATCTGACTCTTCATGTAATGTTTCAGTTTCTTTTATCCAATTTTCTTCTATTTGTGTTTTTGCATTGTATCAATGTACACAATAATATATAATGTATGACTTTAAGTTGTACCATAACATACTTTAAAGTATAACTTTAAGTTGTACCATGACGTGAAAAGTACAAATTGAAGTTGTACTATAAGAGAACATGTACCTTTATTTTATCGTACTACTTCAAATTGTATCATAAGATAAATGTACAGTTTTAATTTGTACCATAAAAAAATTTATACAAAAAAATATATGTACATTCTAAAGTTGTATCATAATTCATAACGATAAAAATACAACTTCACGTTTTACCATTAATAAAAAAAAACTAAAATACCGGGCCCGTTTAGTATTGTTGTCTGTTTTTGTTTCCTGTTGTGTTTTTAAAAATTGGAGAAACCAAGAAAAAAAACCTGTTTAGTTGGGTTTTCATTTTCTGTTGTGAATCAAAGTTGCACAACAAGGACCAAAAAAGAGAAACAATAATTTATTGCTTTGGATTTGATTCGTAAACCTGTTGCACACGGGATTCCTACGGGTTGGGCACTTGATTTCATTAAAATAGCCCACTTTTCGAATCCCCACTCAAGCAAAAGAATTTCTTTTTTTTTTTTACACTTAAAACCCACACAAACCCTTCCTTCCTGTTCCAAACAGCGCCGCCAGCCCTTCATCCTCTCTCAAATGCTTCGGCGACCAGAGCCTTCTGCCGCCCGTGACCAGTAGCCGTCGCCGCGCCAGCGACCAGCAGCCAGCGCCGATTCCCGTCGCCGCGCCAGCCGACCAGCAACCACCTCCTCTCAATCGCCGCCCCTTCATCCTCCCCCGCCCCCACGACCAGCAAACCGGCTCGAGTTCTCCTCCCCTCAGGACCAGCAGCCGCCGCCTCTTGTTGTCCCTCCTCATCGTCGCCCGTCCTCCCCTCAGGACCAGCAGCCGCCGCCGCTTGTTGTCCCTCCTCATCGTCGCCGGTCCTCCCCTCACGACCAGCAGCCGCGCCGCCTGTTGTCCCTCCTCATCGTCGCCGGTCCTCCGCTCACGACCAGCAGCCGCCCCCGCCTGTTGTACCCCCTCATCGTCGCCGGTCACCCCTAATTCCAGGCCGGTCACTTCCCTCGGCAGAAGGTAAAGTCCACTTCCTCAAAGTATTTATGTGAATAGAGATTTTTCTGAATATGTTTATTAATTTGGCATGTATGTAGTGAATGATGCTAGATTAGTTCTGGTTTTTAGTTCTTATAGTAGTAACTAAACGCGTTTTTGTTTCTTGTTTTCAGTTTTCATGATTTATCAGATTTATCAACTAAACAGGTTTGTGTTTTCTGTTTTTTTCCAGTTGTGGTTGTACATCTGTTTACACAACACCACTGCAACCACAACAGCAACAAAATGATACTAAACGGGGCCTAAAATACCAATGTTTAAAGTCTAAACTATAAAGTCGAAAGTTTGTCTTTAACTCTTATCCATGACCCCGCGATCGGTCACTGACTCACACACGTGTCACGGGTGCCACCACCACTTCTCCCTCGCTTTTCTGGGGTTTCCGTTACTTGCCATCGTCGCCGCCATTTCTCCTTCAATCAACAGCGTCCTGCCCATTCAATTTTGAATTCCCGACGCCGGCTTTCGCTTGTGCTCTCAGCCATGTGAGTCGCACTCAGCCGCGCAGAACCTCCTCCGCCGAAGCTCGAGGCCGGGAATCCTAATTCCACATGTTCCCGCTGAGAAATCCCGGTGCTCTGACTGCCGCATCGTTCCCACAGCCATGGCGGACTACTTCCCCCTTCGTCCCTCTCTCTCGAGAATTCAACACAACCGCTGCGCCGCTCCCACTCCTCCTCCGTTGTTCTGCGAAAGTGGAGGAGTTATCAATGGAAGATGGGACTAGGCGAGTCGTCAATAGCACGTTGGCGTTGACTACGGGAGACAGTTTCAGAAGGTTGCTTCCGAGGATTCGAGAAGAAGAAGGAGAGGAGGAGGAGGAGCCGCAGAAGCAGGAGGATGGGGATGAGGGAGACGAAGAAGACGAGAAAGGGATTTCGAGAATACGAGTGCCGAGGCAGAAGTACATTCCGGTTCCGAAGGCCGAGCTATTGGATGCCATTCTTCTCAAGTTCTTCGACTCCAAGGAGGACGCTGATCAGTTTCTCAACCTCTCTTCGTGAGTGACCTGAGTGACTAACTTCCCTTCCTAATTCTCTATGCCGAAGGTGATTTCGAAGGCGGTGGATGTTTTGATTCACTTGCAGGTGCCTGGATTCCATCCTCCATGCTGAACACAAGAACATTTTGGAAGAGATGCGAGTCGACTATTCCGTTCTTGATTCCGTTGGCAGCAACGAGGGAACGGCTGAGGAAGGATCTTCTGGCGGAGCTGAAGAACTCAATAGTGTTAACGGAGAAGGTGTTAATTTTGTTGTTGATGACGGAATCAATGGAAGTGAGAGTTATGGGAAGTTGTGGGAAGAGGCTAAAGCAAAGTATTTCAAGTCTGGTCTAGATTTCAAGAATCTTTTGGGCTACTCGGAAGGAAATGGAAGGAGATATAAGCCAGGGAGTTCTAGGTGAGTCTTGTAAGCTTTATGTTCAAGAGTTACTCTTTTCATTAGTCATCATGTATTAGGGATGGGAATGAGACCAATGAATGCAAACTGCCATCCAACTGCAATCTGTTTTAAATGGTCTTGACCTGTTTGTTATTGTTTGTTTGTAGACTTGCAGTTGCAACGCGTTTCCAGCGCGCTTTCATGCAGCTTCTCGACAATGCACAGTTTCAGGAACTATCAGCCAGTGATTTGATTTTGACATCGGCTTTGAACTCTGATTACCTCCTCACTTTACCAATATATGTGGACTGGAAGAAAGCATCTGAATCCAATGCCATAATTTTCAGGTAATTTTTAACCCCAAGCCATTGGCCACAACAGAAATATCCAGCCGGCCTCATATTTTGATATCAGGGCCACTTGAATTAGAAAATAGATTAAAAAAATGGCTTTGGCTGAGATGCAGTGTGTGGGTAAATTCTTGTTGTCTGGACTGAAGAATACTTCGGTTAGTGAGTTAGTAAGCTTGGTTCGCATTTGCTAGCATATTTTATGTTCAGATCTCATGTAGTAGCCACATCATAGTTTTACTAGAGAATCATTTATATGGCAGGAATCAAGATTCGGTGTTCAAAGTGTAATGAGTTGTCAATGTATTTCTTTAGCTGTAGACTTGGCAAGTTCGAGAGTTGATAGGGTATTTATACTTGTAAGTATTCATTGTGCTTTCCATTTCAGGAGGGGTTATGCTACTGAGAGAGAGAAAGGTTTGCTGATTGGTGAAAAGTTGGATTATATACAGTCCAGACTTCTTCAAAAGATCTTCTTCATTGCCTCAAAGCCCTTGGGAAAAGTTGGCAAATGGATAAAACAGGTAACTGGCATGTGGTCTTGTGCTGGAAAATTCAATCAAATGGATAGAGTAGTCCTCGCCTCCTCAGTCTCACTGTCGAGAAAATCGGATCGAGTATCAGATGTTATGTTGTAGCTTACCAGAGGTTGGCTGGTTGTGTCCTTTTTCTTTTATGTAGGCAGTCACAGATGCTTCTGAAACTCAAGAGGTGCATCATTGGCTTAAGAGAATGACACTCTGGGTAGAGGAACTATCTTCTTTAAGGAGTTCAATCATCGCCAGATATCAAGCTTCTGATGATCCACAAGGACCAAATGAACTTTCAGATAATGATCTTCCAATTTGGCTGGCTGCACAGAGGGCAGTAAGTCGTTATGAAGGGTTTCTATCTCCTAGTGGGCCCAGGGAAAGGCTTTTCCGGAGACTTCTTACCTGGACAGGGCTTGTACCTCCAGTACCAGAAATGTCATTTGAACATGGCAGTGAAAGCAATGCTTCTGAATCGCATCTAAGGTTTACATCACTTGAACCTTTCTTATATCTTACCAGTCACCCTATGTGTGTATGGGCTATTATTTTCTGATTCATTTATTAACTGAATGAGAATATGTCCCCGGATCTCAAGTAGAATGTAGCATTAGTTTCGGTACTGTAATGTGGTTGTATCCTTCATAATTTTAGTCTCCATTTGGTAAAGAATTCTTGGTTCCTTGACAATTGTGACTATCTTGTTTAGCGGTGAAGAATCTTACCTCGACCTGTAATCGGTTTTAGTCTAATCAAGCTGCAACACATTTTTCTGATTAACATCTTAGATTAAAATGTTCCTTGAAAACTGCCATGATAATGAAGGGCAAGAATGTATAACAGTTATGACATCTCAGAACAGTTGGTCATGTCAGCTTTAACTAGCCATTCTTGTAGCTCTAATGTCTTAGACATACCATCATTTCCTGAATTACCAAGTGATACTGGAGCTTGTTGACTCAGGCCAATCTTCTTGTCAAGGATATCACTTAGTGATATATGGAAGCCTGCTAGTAGAAAATTCTGCGGAAACAATCTGTGGAAAATGTCAAAGAAAGCTTTCTCCATTCTTCTCTCACAGTCAGTCCTCCAGGTATCCAATTCTTATCCATTTTTTTCATTCAGTAATCACTTCAACCAATTCTGAGTGTCGTGGATGGGTCTCTAAACTTAACATTCCTCCCATATGAATTTAGCATATAAACTATAAAGCCAGTACTATTTCCAATCCTATGCTTCAACTATTTCAGTTGTTAAGCTTCACATTTATCTGATCAGGAGCCTGCGTTTGAAGAATTGATATTGCTGTATACTGAGGATGAAAGTGGGAGAGATGCTACTTACAAGGATGAGGTTGCATCACTGCGATTGAAGATATATGAGAGAATTCCGATTCCTGACCTACTCGTAAATACTTCTGGCGCGCCGATGTATTGTTTCCCTTTGATATGACATATGTTTGGCTTGTCTTGTGAGTAAGCCATGATTCAAGCAGATTTGCACATTTACATCGTGTATAAAGTAATTGCAGGTTGTTTTCCCTCACAAGAAGCTCTCCTTCCGTATACTAGACACGGTAGGTACACTTGGTATTTACTTGGAGTTAATGACTTAATGTCCTTATTCATTGACGATAGTTTCTTATGTTTCAGAAGGAAAAAAGAGTTTATGATTACTTAATAGCGGATATGAATAGTAGTTGCCCTTTTTAGCTTGTCATGACTGGTCTATGAATGGATATGATATGAGAATTGTTGAAGTATGCACTGAGTCTAAACTACAGGTTCGTTTGGATGCCGCGGCAATATTGGGACTTTCAGCATACTTCATAAACTACAAGTTTGTGAACCTATCATCTTCCCCGTAAGTGTACTTGTAAAATGTTTTAGTCTTTAAACATTTATGTTCTACCTTCTGTACTTTCAAATGCAAACGCGAACCGTGTTTCTAAATAATATTAGTTGAGGATGAACCAGAACAGCTTCCTGAGCTTATATAATGGGTTGCAGGTCAGCGTTTGTACTTGATGTTATAGCCATCACTGCTCTGATAGTATCCGTGTCCCGTGTGGTATTAGGTTACAAACAAACCTGGGACCGGTATCAAGTATGTTTACCAGTTCTCTTTACTTCCAACTATGTCCATGGATACCTCTAAAAAGCAGCTTGACTCAAATATATTAAGAGGAATTGCATTGCTTTGGTGGCAGCTACTTGTCAACAGGACCCTTTATGAGAAAACACTGGCCAGCGGATTTGGCTCTGTTCATTTTCTTCTGGACGCTTCTGAACAGCAACAGGTTAGTAGGAACAATTGTTTTGGGGATCCTCATTTCTTTGAGTAAAGGAGCTTCAACTTGATGATTTTCGCCAGATTTCGATGATTCTGCCAGTTTTCAGCGTCGATTTCCTTCTTCTCATTTATGGTTGTTTAATTTGCAGTACAAGGAAGCTATTTTAAGCTATGCGATCCTACTCAAAGCAAAGAGTGGCCAGGTCTTCTCATTTCCTACGATTAGTCGAGTTCATTTTAAGCATATGCCCTGCCTTATTACTGGAAGAAGATTGGTAACCTTGTACGCTCTCTTCATTGGCTGCAGGCCACTTGCATTAGGAGTGTTGGAGAGGAATGCGAGCGTTTCGTATACAATGCTTTCGCAGTAAAAGTAATGCGAGACAGTCGACTAATTTTTAGTTATGGTTAGCGTCTATCGAGTTGTTTTTTGCTACTGATCGGCGGTGGAATCTGCGTGCAGGTGGAGATGCCTGTGGAGAAAGCAGTGAAGACGTTGCTAAGGCTAGGACTGATCGCGGAATCACCTGGCTCCCAACCTGATGGAACGAGCAACAAGGTTGAGGCTGTCCCCTGCAGGGAGGCATATGAGGCACTTAAACAACGTTGGAATGAGTTGCTTGCTTCACACGACATAGCTTAATCCCAAATTTCCCCAAGTTAAACATCGGATGTATAGCCTAGTTTGGTCGTTTTGTAAAGCTGTTGATAGATTACCAGACGGAGATTTCCTTTGATCCACCAGGCAAAAAATGCAGTTCTCAAATTCTGAAGAAGTCATCAAATGAAGGTCCATAAAAATCACGTCCACCACCCTGAATCCAAACTCCGAAATCATACTCTTACACCAATTGTATAAATCGGGTAACTCAATCAGTACGATATTGTCCGCTTTAAACCAAACATGCACGAATTTACTTTTGGGTTATTTTCTAAAAGGTCTCGTACTACTTGGATTAATTGTACACTAGTATTGGATTTCCGTATTTTGAAGTGAAATTGTCGACTCAATGAGTTGGTTACTCTAGCGTTTGTCCATCATTTTGTAGGGTTTGTTAGCGATCAAAGGTACCAAGAGTCTCTGTTATAAACGTGTTGCTACGGATCGGGAAATTGCCGGAATCGATAAAGCAAGAATACGAAAGCGAGAATCGAAAAACACAGACACACGATTTACGTGGTTCACTAACACGATGTGTGTTAGCTAGTCCACGGGCGAGAGAGAGCCAGTTTCACTATATTGAAGAGATTACAGATTACAGAGGAGTATGAGAAGTATTTATAGTATTTCTCCATGTGGGTCTAAACCTAATCCAATATGGCAAAGTAAACGGTTATAGACCAGACCCAGAACTCGAACCCAAATAACATTGAGCACATACCAGTCGTAACGGCTGATAGTTCGATTCAAGTCACATCAACCGTCTCTATTCTTTTTAATGGCTTTGGGGACATTGGTAAGGATAAACAACTTCTTCGCTTTAGGGAAGTTTGACAGAGGTATGAATGATCCATTTTTTATTATTAATTTTGGTGGTGATTCACAATTGCTGTTGAAACGAGTTATGGCCTAAAACGTGATGGATGACTTACGAAACATCTTTGAAAGAAATTTGCCTCTTGATTTCTAGCTTTACAATTCTCACCGTCACCGATATTTTTACACCTCGATGCTTCAATAAAACTGCTAATTTAGTGGTACAAAATTCTCTAGTTCAACTATATTTTTTGTTATAATTACCTTACTCCCGAACGTATTATATTTGGTTAAAAAAACAGGCCAATGAACCGGCTCGACCCGAGCCGCCCGTCATCTTGATAATCTTCTATCCAGACTCCAGCCGCCACCGGTGTAGCCGGGAATCTGTACGCCGTTAAAAAAATGGCGGCCAAAGCGGCAGCGAATGCTATCGCTTACCGGAGCGTGGCCTCCGCGATGCCGGCAATTTCAGGCGGGAGTTTCGGTTCCTCCCGGACAAGAAATTCGGTTCGCCTGGCCCGAAATCTCTGTTGCTCCTCTCTGCGAAACAATCCCGCCGACGTCGACGGCAACAACAGCGCGGCGGTTGTAGTAGCGAAGGACGACAAGTACGGCAACAAACAGATTATCAGCCTCACTCCTCGCCTCTACGATTACATCCTATCCAACGTCCGGGAACCGGAGGTGAGCTCTCTTGAATTCTCCCCCATTTCCCTCTTTCTGAAATCGATCAGCCCTCGAACTTGGCTTGGCTTGGCTGACGGCTTTTCCGCGGTGAATCTCAGATCATGCGGCAACTTCGTGAAGAGACCGCCGCCATGCGTGGGAGCCAGATGCAGGTATCTCCCGATCAGGCGCAGCTGCTGGCGATGCTGGTTCAGCTGATTGGCGCCCAAAGATGCATTGAAGTAGGCGTCTACACTGTAAGGAGAAACTCTTAAGTCAATTCGCCAAAACCTGCTACGAAATTAGGGCTCATCGAGATTTCAAATTGGCGTAACTTCACTGTCTCAGGGATATTCATCGCTGGCTGTTGCTCTGGTGTTACCGGAATCGGGCTGTTTGGTTGCCTGTGAAAGGGATTCAAACTCTCTCGAGGTTGCTAAAAGGTTCTATGAAAAGGCTGGCGTCGCCCACAAGGTTAGTGATGAAAACACATTTCGATGGCGGGTTTCAAGATTACCATTTCTATTACAAGTGGTAAACTTGTTTGGGATCAGGTGATTGTGAAGCATGGAATGGCAGCAGATATTCTGAGGTCTCTGATTCTCGATGGCGAAGCTGGCAGGTAATCTCTAACGACATCTATTCCATGTATTTGTTTCAGTTGGCTTGGTGATGAATCAATGGCTGGCTGATTCAGTTTCGTTTCGCCCAGTTATGATTTTGCATTCATTGACGCGGAGAAGAGAATGAACCACGAGTATTTTGAACTGCTGCTGCAACTGGTGAGACGACATTTGCCTCCTTTCGAGCTTTTTAGAGTTCGATTGGCACGTCTTCACTTCCAGGCATCTTTGGGCGCCTTAAGAGTTCTTTTCTTGTAGGTTAGGGTTGGTGGTGTCATTGTGATTGACAATGTGCTTTGGCATGGAAAAGTTGCTGATCCCTTGGTAACATCTTGTTGCTGCTGCTGGAAGCATGACATATTCCCTCTTTCCAAAGTTGTGTGTTTTGTTGTAATAGACTGATTGTGACTTTATCATTCCTGACAGGTTAGTGATGCCAAGACTGAGAGCATCAGAAACTTCAACCGAAGGATTATGGAGGATGAGCGAGTGAGCATCAGCATGGTACGTTCATTGTCTGCTTTCATATTCTTTCTCTTCGATTCATACGCCACAACTAAGAGAAAGTACTTCGATGTAAAGAGCTTCTTCGTAGGTTACTTCGATGTAAAAAAGCTCTATAATGCATAGCTGAACTACTACTGGACATTCCTTCCGACGCTGCTTTCTTCACACTTGTTCCAGGTACCAATTGGCGATGGCATGACAATATGCAAGAAAAGGTGACCTTAGGCCAGTTCACCAGATCATTCGGTCACATGCTTGCTTCGACATTCCGCAGTTAGGAGCTGTGTTTCTAAACATGTTGATGAAGATGAACATGGACGTCATACCTCAGAGTCTACACGTAATTTAATCGATGTAATCGACATACAATTTCTGGAGGGACATATGCCCAAGCTACTTAGCTAGCACATTGATCCAGAAGTCTGGAGGATGACGGCTTATATGGAAGGTTCAGTAACGAGCAAGTTCCTTTCTGTGACTAAACTAAAAACCGATCATTGATCGCAGCTCTGATTTTGGCCTGCTGCACCGTACTTCCCTTGCTTATAAGGAAACCAGCAATTTTGTTTGCTCTTTCTTCTGTTTCAGCATAAGGTTCATATATATGTCATTGTAATGAAAATGTAATGTCATGACTGGAAATCACTTTCCAAATATATGAAAACATAAGTCGCAAAGTGTTGTCTCCCGCAGGAACAAAACACATGAACCCTCTAATTTTCTTGGAAAGAAGCACCAGTCTCTGTATATGTCTGTCTAGAAATTTTACTCATTTCTACTAATCTGATACATTCACTTCATCTCCCGAAAAATTTACTTTCTTCTGATCATTAAGGTTCTGGGAATGACTTGCTTCTAAATCTGACCTCAATCTTCGTTGTCTGGCTCAACCTGGTTGTTCTCATCGTTTTCTGGGTCTCCGTAGTAAGCCCATGGCAGTATCGACTCAACCAGGACAGCTAGAGCATTCCGGTTTGCTACATCTCGTGGAGCAGGAGGATGGCCGTCAGCAACTTGATTGCCTAACGGGTTGCCATTCTGTACTTCAGGTTGTGCCATCCTCGGGTCCACCATGAACTCTTGCAAGTTCTCAGGAGGAAGAGTTGCCACCATGTCTGAGAAATCTGAAACCATTAGGTAGTCATACCTATGGTCAAGAAAACACAAAAAATTATCAAAACTTTATCGAACGTGGCAAAAATCGTGACAACGAGGCAGGCAGGTAAAAGGCGAACCTAAGTACGCTAGAGTTGACAGGCAGTATACAAGAAATTGTATTATCATTCAGAATTGTTGCAGAAGTTACCACGTAATGAATGCAACATGCAACGAATAATGGCATTGACAGAAAAAGCATTCAAAGGAAAGTTGGGTTAAAAGCTTAACAGAAATAAACTTGTTCAATCCGTCATAAACTACAAATTATCCTAAAAGGCGTCTTGCTAACACATTTTCATTCATAACTTTGTCCATTTGAAAGAACAATCTATTCTCAGAGTTAATACCTATAATACTCAACTCCTAAAACCACTTATGTCTTTATCTATCATCAATCGTCACTTTTTTATTACTGAAAACATCTCAGTATCCCATCAACTCACAACTTTTACGCAAACCAAACCAACCGACCAAACAAATTTTCTTCACTTCTACTAAAACAGCCAGTATTCTATTGCAAAAGCTCAAACAAACAAACACACCCAATCAATTCAAAATAAACTTACTCGTTTTTATCAGAGGAGAAAACTTGTTTTCTCACACAAGCCCAATCTTCGGCTTCACTGCTATTATGGTGTAGAGTTTCCATCACTTGCATAGCTGTGTCCTTGAGCAACTTTTGGATATCTGGAAGCCTCCATATGAGATAACTTCTCTCCACATACAAATTGATTAGATGATCCAAGGAAGGAGATCCCGCTTTCTCTGATTTGAAAAAGGCATGCTTTAATATATCCGTCCACAAGCGGTCCTTCAAAGGCACTTTTGCAACTAGTTTTCTAAGCACTGAAGGGTGAAGCATTAGTGCCTGCTTCATCAGATCACTTGAACTAGCTTTTGTGGCACTTGCAGAACTTTCCTTGGAGGATTCCTCTTCTTGCTCTAAATAGAGCCGACAAATAGCAAGAGAATAGGAGAAGTTTGGAAACAACCACAAGGAATTATCGCCTCTGTAATCTTCAGCAAACTGCTCCAACCATGCATACTCCTTGGCCCTCAAAGCAAAGTAGTCGATGCAGAACATGGCCCCAGTTGGATCATCAGAATCCAGTGCAAGCAACAACTTGCAAACCTCAAGGGCAGATCGATGACAACCTCTCCTGTCCAGGTTCCTCATGTGAGAGAAAAGGGTGGTAAATATTGGCTTGTTGGCCTCGTGGCTTATCTTCAACTGGCAATTTCCTTGTAATGGAGTGAACATGGGATGCCAGGCACATTCGAAGGCATACAGACACTTTCCAATTGCATCAGCTGACATTTGATGCTCACCCACAAATTTGAAATAGTCTGCCATCGTCACAAGTGAATCTAGGTGATAAGGGTGATGTAACAGAATGCTTGCTATGCCATTAAGATCATGAATAGCTTTGGCAGCTTCAAATGCTCGTTGTGCTTGGCTATAGGAAGGTGAGTATGTGTAGCTACATGAACATGGAACCCAGAATAAGGTATGAGAATAGTAACATCAACACCACAATCTAAAATCCAAGTCCACATCAAGCATGTGCATCTTATAAAACTGACAATTAAGTAGTTTTGGGCTTTCTGGGAATGCAAAAGGTAGGGGAAGCAGCACATGCCCAGTAGCAACAACTAATTACCATTCACCAAAATAAAGAGATTTTTCCCCAAGCACCAAACAAGTAGTAGAGAATTTTACCCAAAATAAACAAAACGAATCCAGAAGCCTTGAAAGTAAAATCTCATGTCTACACCAGTGACCAACCTAAATAACATCTGAACAAACTCTTCCTTCTTTACCCACCTAAACTCCCCAGCAAGTGCATTAGAATTGCCAAATAGAACAACCTTAAGATATATAACATTTAAACCCTATGCATAATTTTAATGGTTCACATATCAAGGTAAGTATTAAGTAACTACAGTATACATGTATGCTACAACATAGTATCATGCTATTCCAGCTAACATCTGCGTACGGAACGGTATACCTAAACTCTGCACCACAGGCAATCAGAATGATGTGGAACTAATTGCATAACGGCCGTCTATTTCAAATTCAATGCGAAAAGGTATGCACAGATGATCATGATGGGTGAATACATTGACAACATGCATCCCTTATGGTTCACAGCCACCCGCAAAAGATCACTTGTGGAGTCTATTTTACCTGAAGTAATTAAGACCTTCCTTAGTCTCTAGAAACTCCATGGTCAAGGAACCGTCCCAGCGATGCCAATGCTCAGAGGGTGAGACTAGGATAGTCTTTCTTGTGTGATGGTTACCACGTCTTCCTCCACGAATCTGTCTTGAACTGCTTGCTTGACTGTCCTTCTCAATTGATTTTACCACCTTGGACCCGAATATTCTCCGGAGCTCATTCTCTGGATTTAAATGCTTAGGATCCACTCGTAAGATGGACGACACCTGAGCCGGTCTAACGAATTCTTTGCGAGTCTTTGAATTCGCTACTTTGTTTTCAACAGCACCAGCTCGGGGGCCAGAAGTTTTAGCACCCAAGGACAGCATCTCCAATTCCTCATCCAACCTTTCATCAACTTTGTTTGCATTAGCTGTTGAAACCGCCTTACTTTTTTTCTTCTTCTTCTTCTTTGATTTGGAACTGGAAGTGGAAGAACCTGGTGCACCGCTCACACTTTTCACGAGCACTTGTTTCTCATTACTGTCCCCTTTCGAGGTTTCATCAATAGCTTCAGGCTCATTCTCCTACGGGTAAAATTAACCAGACAAATCAATCAACTATCATCTGCAGCTCAAAACCCTTAAACCATCGCCATCGAATTCGCAATCAATACAAACAAAACCACCACGTTGGCAATTCCGGACTCGGAAAATTCCTAGGGCACGACTCAGACGGGAAATTTTCAGCTAACACAAACGATTTTCCTCGCATGATTATAAACCACAGGAGAAAAAAGGGAAATGAGAAACAGCAGACTAAGCTAAGCGCATAGGAGAAGAGAAAAGGAATTGGGGGCCAAATTAAAAACCTGGTCGGAGTCATCCTGGCCATCGTTGAGAAGGTCGAACGGATTGATTGCAGGAACGCTGCCTGAATCAGGGGAGCCGCCATCTCCTTCTTCGTCGTCTTCCTCCACGGGTTGCTGAAACTGGGCTAGTTCTTTCTCTTTCAGGACTTTCTTCAGCAACCTAGCTGACATCCCTAATTTCTCGCTCCTTCTTTCAACAGATACAAGACCCGACTGCTTCAATCAAATCTTTAATCCAACCTAGAATGGCAAAGATTCTTCAGTTTATGAAGAACAAGAAACGAGAATCGACCCTGAGCGGCACAAAGTCCTTTTTTTCTTCTTTATGTAGCTTTTTCCCCTTCTGCTCAGTTCGTTCACCCAACCACTGGGGCCAGTCGTAGCGCAAGGTTACTGCTGAAGCCCATTGGGCCTAAATATCCTTCTTTGGGTCCAATCATTAGGCTACCCTCGCCTTCGCGGCACTGCCTCGTTATGCGGATATCAGACTATTAGTCGGTTGTCTACAGGATAAAATAACCACTCTTTGTCTATTCTCAATTTGTGCTAACCCAAAGGTCTATGAATCTCACACTCTCGTGTATTTGCTCTCTCAATATAATTATCTAACGAGCCCGAAAATATGCTATTTAAAGAGCAGAAGACCCTGAGTTTTCCCTCACTCGTTGGGAACAAGGAATCAAATGCGATTTAGGAAGAGAATTCTTCCTTAATTAGCGCAATAATTATTTTGCATTAATTATCCTTTTAGTTTCCCGTTTTCGTTTAAGAAAAGGAATCATGCAATTGATATGAAATTTCATTTATAGCGATTCAAACTAGCCATCCCAGCAATCCTCCATAATTGAATAGTTTTGAAACTATCTCTAAGCATCAACATTCGAATATGATTGCCATAAACTAAGGTATCTTTCACTTTGAACATTAGCGTAGGCTGTAGTGGTTACACTTCCAATTTCATAAAGAGTGACCCATATATAGTCTTGAACTCTATAACAAACAATGTAGCACGCATGATATTTTCATTGATTGTTATTCTCTAACGGCTAGTGCGTTTATGGCCCTGCACGTCTTGAACCCAAAAGTTATCAAATGTGAAAAAATACTTTAAAGAGCTATTAAACGCACATTGAAACAATATCATCATTTTGGTATTAAAATAGCTAAAAATGTGTGAAAAGTATGTAAATCATGAAAATAATAAAGTATCAAAATAGTATAATTTATCATGGTTGTCAAATACTGGTATGCGAGCTGACACAATCAGGTTAACCGATATTGAATAAAAATTGGCCGGAAGACCATCAATATAAAGTGGTAGTCAAAACTCAAAATTGTTACAAAACGACAAAAGTAGTCCACAATCAGGAATTTAGTAGTCAAAACGAAATGATAAAGTTTCGATCACTAAATAAATGACGTCATTTTGATGTAATTATTAGCGCAAAAAAAAGGAGGAATTTGTTGGATTCAAGTATGAACATTTAAATGTTGATCTTGTTCGTCGGATTTAATTATAAAAGTTTGGATGTTGAAATTAGATACGATTTTTAAATATATGATGATTTGTCATTTTGTTTGTAAAATATGATATTCAATTTAAATATGAAGGTAGGTTATAAGGGAATTGCCGGTATCGTTTAATAAAGGTTTGACAATCTTATAATTTAGTTATGGTGTTCCTACCCCAGTTAGAATACCAGATTTGGGTCCAACCAGCCCGACCGGACGGTCCACCCACAAGTTACAATCCTGATCTTTATACCTAGAGTCAAACACGAGGCAAATTCGCAGAAAGAAACAAAAACAGGTTGGGCTCGATAAGAAAAGCTCATCTATTCCCTTCGCCAGTGGCAGCGCGCGCCACCGTACTGGAACTTAGGTGAACTATTTCCCTTATCGATATCATCATCCGTCACAATTTCCCCTCTCCCTTCCCCTCTCCTCTCCTCGCTCGCGCGAAACCAAGTAAGTTCGCAACTATTCTCCCTTCCCTTCTCTGGCTTGTCCCGTTTCTCCGTTTTCTTATCTCTTTGCCATACAGTCAATCAATTCGACTTTCCTTTCGCTGTACTTCCATTCCTGTAGGTGAACTTATGGTGGGTTTAGGGTTTTTCAGTTTTTTATTTTTTTGTAGTCTCACTTTTCTCAAAAGAGTTGCTTGAATAATTCTGGGTATTGTTTATTCCGCTTCATCCATTCGGCGTAGGCATCAATGGGTTCTGCAGCGCGTGAATGGGTCGGTTTCAAGCAGTTTCCGACTGCTACACAGGAAAAGCTCGTTGATTTGTTTGGAAAATTGAAGGAACAGGTACCTACAAAGTCCTTGTACAGCTTATTCTTTTTTTCCTGTTTTCAGTTTCTGTTCCCCTTTGTTCGTTGTTGCAACTAACGTTATCTTTATGCGTCTGCCGCTGAGCAATTTGCAGGGTGTAAATACTTTGACCATTCTTGTAATGGGCAAAGGTGGGGTTGGAAAATCTTCCACTGTCAACTCCCTTATCGGGGAGCGTGTGATGAATGTGAATTCCTTCCAAGTATGCGAATACTGAACTTTGGCTTTTGGGAACGTTATATGTGTTTGTCTTATGTTTTGGAGTGTGCTTGATAGCAACGAAATCGATTCCATTGCAGGCTGAGATTGTAAGACCGGTGATGGTATCACGTTTACGTTCTGGATTCACTATTAACATCATAGACACCCCAGGGCTTGTGGAAGGTGGCTATGTGAACTATCCAGCCCTAGAGTTGATTAAGCGGTCAGTATTGCTAGAAACATTATGGCTTTCAAGTTTTAGCAAATGGGTTTCAGAAAGTTGATTTCTTGTTCAACAAAGTGTTGACTAGAACTTGAATTCTTGAGAGAGTAGTGGGTTCTTTTGCTACTTTGTAGCTAATCGATGGTCTTATCATTCTCCAACTCAGGTTTCTTTTGAACAAGACAATCGATGTTCTACTCTATGTTGATCGCTTGGACTCATACAGAGTTGATGACTTGGATAGGCAGATAGTTAGTGCAATTGCAGATGGTTTTGGGAAAGAAATATGGCGTAAAAGCTTGCTTGTTCTGACTCACGCCCAACTCTGCCCTCCAGATGACATCAGCTACGAGGTCTTTACCTCCAGAAGGTCTGAGGCTGTCTTAAAAACAATTCGTACAGGAGCCTGTATTAAGAAACGAGAATCTGAGGTAAGATTTTCCTCGGTGTTGTATCAGAAATGTCTTCCTTATATGGAAGCATACTGCATATGACTTGTGGCTTGGAAAAAGGTTTTTATGCTCCTATTGAGCTTATATTTGTGAGCGGAACATGAATAGACATAGACCCAGCGTGGATGTTTTTGCTGTTTGTTCCCCTTTCACACATGTTGAAGGATGTGCAGTGTTTTTATATAAAAATGTATGTGCTGTGTTGGTAAATATTGGATTAGTTTACAGTGTGTCGACTATAAAGTTGGCTATTTATACTGGAAGTGAACCTCTTTGAGTGCTGAAGTTTCTGTGAGTTGTAATTTCAGTGTTGTCGCTTAAACTAAGTTGTTTCCTTATACTAGTAGCTAGTTGGAAGCCTTGTTCCTGCTAGTGAATATCATGCATTTAAGATGCAAAACCGAACCCTAAGGCTTCCTGGTTTATAGATTCTTATTAGGGTCCTAGTCCAAGATGTTTTCATGCATAAAAGGTTTATAGTGAAAGAATGGTAAGAGCAACGAGGAGAAGAAACCTAACCATGGGAGTTTCTATTGGGGACTAGGAGAGGAGGAGAGAGAGGAGAGGTCATTATCTTGCTGTTTGGTGCTCCATGCAATTCATTAGTAAAATTGTCATAGTTGTTGGTAACATTCCCTGCCATCTTTGACTTGAACCATTTCATTACTGGTGGAAGGAGAGAGATATCCATTTCTGAATTATTTTGGTAAATGGGCTACTGATTATGTTGTTAGTCATGTGTTTATTTCGTTGCTCATTAAGAATTAGGCCTCGCTACACTTGGATGGTGTCCGTATAAACATAATGGCACAAGTATGTAACTTGTAAGGCATATTGATCAGTCTATGAACATAGCATGGATGATATGAGGATATACAGGTTTGTTTACGGAATGTATTGGAAATTAACCGAGACTATGTAAATTGATCATCAGTCTTCCAATTATAACTTTTGATCTTGGTGATGGCCATATATTATCTTATTTTCTTTTTCTATTTTTGTTTGTTTGGGTGTAGGACTACCCTATCCCAGTTGGTTTAGTTGAGAACAGTGGGAGATGCAATAAGAACGAGAGTGATGAAAAGGTGTGATTTCTTTCTCTGAACTTATGTCCATTGAGTTCCTGATACGTACCTGAGGCGTGTGGACTATTTTTACCTGCCCTTGCGGTGTTTGTAGGTTCTTCCAAATGGGGTTGCTTGGATTCCGTCTCTGGTTGAAGAGATAATTAGCATCGCAACAAATGGCAGTAAAGCTATCGTGGTTGACCAGAAGTTGATTGATGGTTCGGGTTCTAATGACAGGGGAAAGCTCCTCATCCCTGCTGTGATCGGGGTTCAGGTACGAGTCTTTCTGAATGAATGATTCATGTTGGTTTTTTCTCAAATGAAATTTCTGATGACTACGAGCCTTCTATTACTGCAGTGGTTCATTGTAGAACTGATTAAACGAGCGATTAGAGCTGACATTGCCAAAGGGGGGCGCTCTTTGTGAGTAGTCCAGCATTATGTTGTGCGCAAACTGCCTATTCTGAATGCAATGGTTCCTGCCCTTGTGAGTTTTTGCTTTGTTCCCCATGTCTTCTGAGAGACTTCCCAAATTTTCTGAGGATTTGCTGTTATGAGAGTTTTGAGGTCAGCTACACTAAAAACTGTACCCAGATTGCTGGTGGATCTATCTTAACATTGTTGGGTGTGTGGTTAGTTATCTTGAGTAAAAGCTAGTTAGCCCGACGTTCGATGTCATTCAGCAGGAAGAAATGGGCTTTCTCCCCGTCCGTTGTGTCGTGTTAGTATATTCTCTGGTTGCTGATTTTTGAGTTGCTTTGCTATTCTAATGGAAATGCGGTCTTGGTCTTAGTGGTGCAACTGCAACTGCAACTTCATCATACACATAATTACATATTTGACAGCTCAATGATTAACATGGGGGATGAATGCGGTATATAGCATGCTGCAGAAAAAGGCAGGTGTAGATGCCAGCCCGTCCTGCCTGCGCATGGGTTGAGAATGTGGACCCTTCCTTCCTGGTTGCACTTTGATGCTGGCTTGGCTGGCTCTCATGATTATGTAAAATCACTCTGATGATACGAACTCTGCAAATATTTGTGCTTTCATTCTCTCTTTGTGCGAAGATTGCGGGGAGGAAAAGGGAAAGGTGAAGTGGAGAAAGGAGGATGAAGAAGGTAGTGGTGGCTGCGGGGGACCATTAAGCTGCGGTGCAAACTTTGTATCTATGGTGTGTGTTAATGCAATCATTAACCTCACCATTCTTCCACTTTAGGCCACAAAAAGCATCATTAAGAGCGCCATAATCAATAGGGATATTGTAGCCGACAGTCTCATTTGTCGCGTTGGCTTGGGAGGAAGGCCGAAAGAGTTCTACAGTTTTTTTTCTTTTTTTTCCTTTCTGTCCGAAATCTACATAAACAAATCTATATTGTGCTGTTGAAATCACATGACTTGAATATGTGCTTTGCAGTTTAACAATCTTTCTCACGAAGGCAGCATATGTTTGCTAAGCTCCATCCTCGTCGTTTCAAGTTACCTCGATTCAGAATTCTGTTGGGGGATGGAATTCTAACGGGTCATTTGGATGCATCATTTAGGTTCTGTGGTATTTCGTATCAAAATGCTGCATTATTTTGCTATGTGACGTTTCATAGTTTGGAATGTGGTAATTGGTCTAATTGTTTTGTTTGAATAAAACATTCAAATATCGTGGTATTTCACCACTTAAAGAAGGGAAGAAGTGAAAAAGAAGTTGAGAGATGAGTTATTTGAAATAACTAGGGGGTGGGTATGTATTTCAAATAACTCACAATGAGTTATTTCAATTGCCTCGTGGACAAAATACCACATTTCATTCCATTTTTTGCCAAACAAGTTAGTTCGGCTAAAATGAATTGAGTTATTTTAGCCGAAATAGCTCATCAAAATACTGCATTCAAACGACCTGTTATAGTCGTCGTTTGGATGACTAAAATTTTTCAGTTGACCTCGTAACGAGTTGTATTTTATTATTTTAGCCGAAATAGCTCATCAAAATACTGCATTCAAACGACCTGTTATAGTCGTCGTTTGGATGACTAAAATTTTTTAGTTGATCTTGTAACGAGTTGAATTTTATTATTTACATTTTGGTATGTATTGATTTTAAGTATGGAGTTTAAACTAAATGCTAATAGAAAAGTGTCAGGCTTAAGAAAACCGATGAATGCTAACATGGCTGCTTGGAAATACGAAAATTTTAACCCGCATATGAATTTAATGAAGATAAGTTTTATAATTTAGAGTAAAAATAGAGAAGAAATAACCATCACCACAACTGATAGATTTTTTGTTTTTGTAGTTATGCTTGTGCATAAATCATATAGCACAAGGAATTTAATCGTTTTTATCAACTTATAGATCGATCCTTGATGGTGATTCCCCTTTTCAACGGGTACCTCTCTCTTATCTTAGGGCCCTTAATCATGATTAGTAGCCGGCGGCACTATTAAGCTTTTGTGACGAGAACCCGATTAGTAGATATCTTATCCCTAAATCAAATTTCCTTTTATATAAAAAAAAAAAAAAACAGTGGAGGAAAAGGACAACACGCGGCTGTATATAATAAGCCTCCATCTCTAGCCTGTCTGGAGAAGAAAACAGAGCATCGATCCATCCATCCATCCATCGCTCGCCGCCATGAACAGGAATTTGAAGAACGCCGTGATCGCGTTCCTCGTCCCGCTCCCTTCAATTCTCTTCTACCTCTCCTTCATCCGCAACTTCGAATCCGCCGCCATTGCAGACGGCTCCGGAGCAGCCGCTCTCTCCCCTGTCTGGGCATGGTGCGCTACCCACCCGCTTCTGCTCGCCAACGTCCTCTTCTTCCTCAACGTCAATGTCGTCTTCTGGGTCGTCAGCCAGTGCATTTCCAGCCACTGGGTATTTGATTCTCTCAATTTTCCACCTCCATTGTTCAAACTCAATTCCTCCGTCGGAGATTCATTTCCAATGTGTTTGTTTCCGTTCCGCCAGATGATAGATTTGTACTGGACGGTGATACCAGTGATGCTCGTATACTACTACGCAAATTTCCCGTTGGCTCAGTTCGACGGATGGCGATCGGGGATCGTCATCGCCATGACTTGGCTGTGGAGCTTGAGGCTCACCCACAATTACTTGAGGCGGGAGAAGTGGCAGTTTGGCGCCCGGGAGGACTGGAGGTTCACTGATATGAGCCGCCAGTACGGCGGGAATTGGTGGTGGATGTGCTTCTTCTCCGTCTACGTCTCTCAGCAGGTAAACCCAAAACCCTGATTTGATTCTTCTCACGGGTTAATTGTTCGACGAATTGCCGCAATGAGAGGTGCGTTTGTTAAAATCACAAACTTTCCTTCCTGCAGGTGTTCTTGATGGGTATATGCCTGCCAATGTACATCATCCACACAGTCGACAAGCCTCTGAACGTCTGGGATTTCGCCGCGGTTGCAGTTTGCCTAACTGGGATCGTCGTCGCCTACTTTGCTGATACCCAGCTCCACGAATTCGTCACGAGGAACGAGGTACTGGAAGGGCTCGGGAAACCGAAGGTGCCCAATCTCGACAGAGGAATGTGGAGCTACTCTCGCCATCCGAACTACTTCGGGGAGCAGCTGTGGTGGTGGGGATTGGCTCTGTTCGCATGGAATCTCGGCCATGGATGGGCTTCAGCAGGCGCTCTCGTCAACAGTCTGTGCCTAGCTTATGTCACCGTGCTTGTGGAGAGGCGGATGCTGGAGCAAGAGTATAGAGCGGAGGCTTATAGGTTGTATCAGAAGACTACTTCTGTTTGGATCCCCTGGGTGAAGTCATCTGCATTCGCGGTGAAAGATAAGAGCACTTGAATCTGGTCCACCGATGCTTTCATGTCAGTGGTTATGGTTTATCTGGAAGAAGTTGTTACTGTTTTGGACTATTGCTGCTGCTGCCAAGCAGGTGTTGTTTGTATGAAGATGTGTATGAATTTAGTTCAGTTTCTGTTATCAAGCTGATCAATAGACATAACAACTGACAGAAAGCATCACCCTCAAGGCACAATGGCCTATACGGTACAAGTTTAACCTATAACTGCGTAAAATGTGAATACAAGGACGTGAATCCAATCGTTAAAGAAAGCGAATTCACTACAACTTTAACTAAACTGATGATATTCAAGTATTCAACTATGTTGACAGGACAGATAATTTCCAGTCATTATGTAGATTCCGAATTTAATGACCAAAATCATATGAATTTGGTTCTTAACGAGCAGTTCAACCGTATTATTGTTCCATAAACACTTCATTATAAATTGAGAACTTTAACACATTGAAATGTTAATCCATCTTAACAAATGAGAGGATGAAGAAATGGAGACTGTAATTTTTTCCATTATTTCTAATAAGTTCAGCTTCTATACAAAACGTCAGGCAGACTAGAACAGCATTGTACAATGTACAGCACCAGCCTCTTCTTTCAGGAAGCAGGCAAGCTAGTAATAGCATATAATTTAAAATAAACATAATGGAAATTCACATATAGAAAATAGACCCTAAAAGTTACCAGTTCTTCTGAAACGTTCCTATTTTGCACAGTCAAGTTTAAGATAAAAAGCATCACTCATCATCATCCTCTTCTTCTTCATCTTCAAGTGATTGCGAATCTTTAATTCGTCTGCTCTGACCTTGAAAAGCACCATTTGCCGGGCTATCTGCTGGATGAATGGTTTGTCGGACTGGTAGAGGATTCAAGAGGAATTAATCAGAAGTTATGAAATGGCTTTAGCTGAGCCAAAAGCATGTCTAAGGCAGCTGCTAGTTTTGCTTCGGTGCGAAAATTGGAAGGTAGTGCAAGGGGTTCAAGCAGAACATACCTGATGCAAGAGTCTTCAAGAAAATCAGCTTTGCAAGCTGGAACTCTCCCTCATGGGCAATAATGAATTTAGCCTTGCAACAAAATCGATGAAAGGGGTAAGTAATCAGATGAATCTCGAAATTATTTTTCTGTGCACAGTAGCTGTTACAGCGTTAGGATTGATACAGTTCATCAAACTGTTCCAACATATAAGTAATACGCAAACATTAAGTTTGACAAATATGAATGCAACACAGTTCTTACCATCATGCCATTAACCACCTCGGTAAGGTGATCAAGCCTATCTTGATGCCTGAGTAGGAAAGGACGCAGATGGTTTGAATAAAGTTGCCCAGCTCCCTGTGAGATACCAAGCAGAAAAAAACGTTCATAACTCATTTCATATTTAATTGTCATAAGCAAGTTTCAACGGATGCATCATCAGCATGCAATAAGATAACTCCACCGTACAGAACAGGATAAAGAGGACTTCTTACGTTGAAAGATGGAAGCTGCAGCCAGACGAGAAAGGCAAACTTCACATGATAGTACATCGGAACCCTGATGAAAATCGGGAGAGATGTACATAAACATACAATAATCTCATTGAAATAAGCAAAGACAAAAAGGCCAACAACAATCACATTAACCTTCAATTGTTGAGCAGGTGATTTTTTTTTTGTAATGGATGATACTTGTGTTAACAAAAAAATAAAAAGTGGTATATAAAATGTGCCACAGACACAACTCTTTCTTGTTTTTCTTTCTCCTGTGAACATGTTTGGCATATTCTATGCGTATTAACAGATACCAAAGGACCAAAAGGAGTAGAAAAAGTTTAACATGCACTAATAAAAGTCGTAAGATTTCTTTTATTTCTGCAAAACTCAAGGAGCACTCCAGATTTGTACTAACCCCACAATGAGAAGAGCTAATTCAGTTTTGGAATGTTGCAGACAGCAGGTTATAATAACTACATAAGGGTTATAATGAATTATGGCAGAGTACCCGCTTAATCACTAAGCCACTTTATATCATTTAATTTCACATGAAGAGGTTGAATTTCAAAGGCAACAGATTGCAGTAAGAAATGGGCAAAACGAGAGGGGATAAGAAATTAATCCTTACCAAGAAAGGATCTTATCAGTAAATGCCTCTGCAACACTGAAAGCTCCAAAAGCTGCATGACAACCAGTATGATTAATAATATCCTAAGATACAACATTGCTGGGGTGGGATGCTTTTGATGAATAGTCTAGTGGCACTGCTTTGGTTGATTAATTTCAAATATTGTGGCGTAATTGTAAATTTTGTAATTCCCAATGGTGCATTTGAGGAAGTTTGGGGGACAAAATGCTATTTACAACGCACCAGATTGGTGGCTGAGCCTGGACAATCATAAAGCTGATAAATATACTAAACCATTAGAGCACTTCCCAACACATCAAATGCAATAGGATACAATTCAAGCAAACAGCTACTACTGGGAAAAGAGGCAACCAGCCAAACAACCCCAACCTAGTCATTTTGCTTGTAATTGAAAAACACTTGATATAATCTTTTAGCACAATTCACTCGACATATAATCTATCCAAAGTTCACAACTAGTTTCATCTAATAGTGGCATTGCATGTCTAAATAGACATGGCGAGACAATGCCTTAAAATAATGGGCTGGATGGTGTTAAAACCAGTGCAGATGAATTTAGCACATGATAGAGCAAGGGAGGACAGTCAAGAACTTTTCCATTACATGAAGCCTTGCACACGCCATTTGCTCAACAGTAGATATTAATTTTCGAGATTGACCTAGCACAATGGAAAAGACGTGACGGGGGCATTTAATGCCTGACCTTAATTTCAGTCAGCAACAGTCTAGGGCTAGAAAATGGGATGAACTTCTTCTGACATGAACACAAAGCAAAAGAACACTAACCTGCCCAGTAAACAAGCAATTTCTTTTGCTCATCTCGATCTTTCCTCTCAATTGCCTTGAATGTCGAATAAACAGGCAAAGCAATCCCTACAGAGCAGCTGTTTCAAACAATCCATAAGCATCATCAGCATAATTACATTATTCTATAGATCACTAAGCAAAATGATTCATAATGCATTCCTAAGAACTATAGATCTGAAATCATTGACTCTTTCAAATGAATAAGCACCAAAGTACAACCTAACTGTGGCAAATCCTACAACATCATGGGCTAGTGCAATAGATGGCTGTGATTCAAGATAGCTTACCATGCTGTTCTGACAACAATGTTGGAATTGAGAGGATAAAGTAGTAGCTGCAAACCAGCCTGCAGACCAAACACGAAAGGATCAACATTGAGATTCCTAATCGAGCAGAATGGTTTGCTATCAATTAAAATTAAGTCCTACCAGTTACGGCAGAAATTAAAAAATAACACAAAGAAATTCAAGTAAAAGTTTATTAGAGAATCGCATTAACGTAAACAGGAAACGTTTCTATCGAAATGCTCAAAGTTTGAACAAAATCATCCAGAATAAAGCATTGCACCCCCTTTAGAATAAAATTAAAACATGAAGAAAGGGTAGCCAGGCAAGTTATGACCTCTGTTGGGAATGCCATGAAAGATGCAGATTCACAGAGCAATAAATTAGTTACACTCAAAAAGCTTTGGCCTTCAGTAGAGACCACAACGAACTTCCTGCAATCCAAAAACAGATTCCCTCTGAGAAAGCATAAAAAATTGGGCAAAACAATACAGATAACATTAGAGCAATGAGAAACAACACTTCAAACTAAATCACAGTGCCAACACAAACAGAACCGCGATACTGGCAAGAACCCAGACAAGAATTATGTATGAACTGATTGAGGAAAACAGAACATCAGCGAACAAATTAAGCCACGCCCCTCATACAATGAAAATGGCTTGTGATTGTCATACAATCAAACTGGGGAAGGAAAAAGATGCTTCTAACTGTCAATGCCATTTGTCTATAACAAAACCATAGACAGTTCATTAGAAGCATCCCATTAAACAAAATAGCAAGTTCCTGCTCTTCCAAGATGACATTTTGGAACCTCAGATGTAATCAAACTCAAGCAAGCAACAGAAAATTCTCGTTCCAAATACAGCGACAGATAATAATCCCACGATTAGCCTTCCAGATGCAGCAGCCAATGACTCACAAAAGCAAGAGGACGCTATACCTTGCGCATTACAAAACAGAATGCCAGGGGGAAAAACGAGAAGGGGAAATCTTTTTCCTTCTAACCATCAATCAATCTCAAACCCTTTTGATTCATAAGGCCCCATAACTAACCAATACTATCTTTCGAAACGGATTGCAACCAAAAGAAGCGAATAAGATACCTAGGGTTCGGTTTGTCGGCTCGAGGAAGAAACAGGGCAAGAAAGATTAATTTGCCGCTTTCTTTCTCTCTTCACGCGACGGATAGTCGTACTGATTCCGTTCAAGCGCCTCTGGCCTTCTCGCTCCTTAACCGTCGGCAGATGACTTAGGCGACGACAATCTCCGTCAATGGCCGTGTTCTTACGGCGATCACAGAGACGCAGACTTTATTCCTTTTCCTTTCCAGATGATGGTTTCGCTACTTCTTCGCCGCGGTCTCCTATGATGATTAGAATTTGAGGTCCGGCAGGTATAACTGAACCGCGTAAAAGAAGCTAGGCACCGCACAACAACTTTGTCAACCGGTTCGGCCCGCAGGCCCGACCGAGCTAGTGGAAGGGTAAATGGTCCGTTGGTTTAGCACGATTCAGTCCGAATATGTGGAAGAAGTAAAAAATACATAATTTATATTAAGTCTCATCTAAAATGTGTGTAATAAAATGTTGGTATTTGAATCTAATACATGGTTAAAATGAAAACATATTTAAATCTAACTCATGACATTAGAAATTCAGATATTAAACATAGAATTTCAAATTGAAAAATTAAAGTACTCAATTGCTTGCCCAAAAAACAAAAGTATTTAAGTGCTATCTACTTCCCAGTTCCCCCTATCCATCATTAATTACGATTTACGAGTTTCCATTCTACAAGTCCCAAAAACGGAAATGGGAAAAGGCTAGGCTACGACAAGGAACGATCGAGTTTCCTTTCTTTAACACACCTTCCGTTGGAGACATGACTTGGAAAATACAAAGAAAAGTTCACAAAACTGGTATTCAACATACATATAAACAACCAATATTGAAGATATATGAAATAACTGATATCCAACATCAGACAAATGAGTATTCAACGTTCACGAATTGGTATCAAACATCAAACAACTAATACTGAAGATCTACGAAACAACCGATATCCAACATTGAGAAACCAATATTCAACACTCACAAAATTGTATTTCGATAGTTATACTTTATATTTTGAATAACAGAATAGTTTTGGTTTCTGACTAATATATTGTATTTACAAATAAAACCAAGAATTTGTCAATTTATTATGTGGCCCGGTCAGCGGCCCGTGGATGCTCAACAAGTATTGGCCATAGCTGGGCTTTTCCAAATTGACCATCTCAGTAGCGCATCGCCAGGGAAGAAACATGGAAGTGAACCCGTAGACTCGGGAGAGACTGGAGATGAGCCAAATGGCGAGTCCTGCTGAGCGGAGACTTGATCGTATTTGCCGTCACTTCTGCCCGCCGCTCCAAAAACTTGACCATGTGCTTCACCAGGTTCGGATTTCTTCGCTCTTCCATGTTCTTACCTTTTCTCTATCTGTAATCAGAATTGTTTGCTGCCAGTCTCTTTGCATATGATTTAACCTTCTGCCGTTCTTATTTACGCCCATCTGCTTTGTTTCAAGGCCGCGACGAGAGGTGGCCAAGAAATTGACGATGTAGCAAGAGACCCAGTAGTCATAGGCGGGATGGTGTTGGATATTCATGCCATTCCTTCCACCTCTCCACAACCCAGAACCACAACTCCGGGAAAGGTCTCGTTTCTGTTTGTCTTCTCTATCTCCTTCTCTGATAAGTGGGATCATGAACATTTTTATTGATCTTGATCAATGGATGATAATTTGTGTGTGTGCCCGCGCTTGTGTTCCGCCCGGTTAGCTCTTATGATCAAAGTTTGATCGGAAATTCTGAGGAATATATAGAAAATTAGAAACCAAAACCTGTTGTACAGAGCATGTTTGGCCCAGTTGTATACAACGAGAACTTGAAATAGTGAACAACATCTTCTGCTGGTTCTAATTTCAAGGGTTGATTGTGTTGTAGGTCCGTTATGTGTTAGGAGGTGTGGGAAGGAACATTGCAGAATGCATGTCAAAGCTTGGCACAATGCCTTACATGATTAGTGCTGTGGGAGACGACATTGCTGGTATAAGCCCTTACCTTTTCCTGTTGTCTCTTTATGCATACAAAGCCTTGTTTTGCCCTTCTTTCTCGGTGTAAACTTATTTACTTGGATGGCTAGGATTTCTGTCCCTGCTTAAGGTGAATAACCGTGTATGTCTTTGCCCAATAATGGATATTGATTCGTGGAGTTGAAGCTACCTCCTTTTGTACTTTGTGGCTACTTTAATTGGTTTGTGTGCTCTTCTGTCGTTGTCCACATATACTTACATAGTGCCAGTCTGATTTCTAGATGTCAGTCTGAATGCTAGAGCAATGCATTTGCCTTTACGCTTTGTTATTCTGAACTACTTCAGGTTTTTCTCCCCTTCGTCTGTCTTGCTGATTTCATAAAGTTTCTCTGCATATTTGATTAGGGAACCTGCTGTTGGAGCAATGGAAGTTAGCTGGCCTGTGCACTGAAGGTTCAACTTCCCCCCCCCCCCCCCCCCCCCCCCCCCCCCCCCCCCACACACACACACTTTTTAACTAACTTAACGATGTGGTGACCTAATCTGTTCTGTTCTCATGGAGCTTCGATACTTGTAAAAAACTAACATGTTTTGTCTGAACATACTATGTTCCTTCCTTATGGAGCTCATGCTCCACGACCAAACAAGTTTCCGTTTTTCCTTTTGTTAGCAGTTGGACATGTTTATTTCACTGAGGTTAAAGCCTGCCCGTTCAACCATAATTTAATCACTATTTTAGAAACGTTCATTCTCTAAGGAGTACTCTTTCCTTGTGTGTTATATCTGTATGTATTGGACAGTGAAATTGTATGGGAATCCACCAAGCTCCCTTTTTCTGTTGGAGGCTTAAGATAGTAGTAGAACAAATCAACGAAATCTTTTATGAAATACCATGATTTAGTTGCTTTTTTTTGGAGAAAATTTTCAATTGTCACTTATGTTGCTGCGAGGACAGGGATACGGAAACACCAGGATATCAACACGGCTGTAATCTGCAACGTATTTGACACTGATGGAGAGTTGGCTGCTGCTGTTGCAAACGTGGATGCACTAGTATGGTGGACTTCCTAGCCAGTTTTAATGACTTTCTAGAGTAATAAAATATTTAGGACCTAACATATCTGAATAATGATTATTTCCCAGGAAAATTTCCTGACCCCTGCTTGGATTCAGCAGTGCAAGTCCAGTATATGTTCTGCTCCTATACTGGTTGTGGATGCGAACTTAAGTCCTATTGCCTTAGAAGCTTCTTGCCAAGGTACCATATAGCATAAGTTTCGGTTTCCTCCCCTATACTGCTCCTCTACTTCTTGTACTTCCACATTTTACTTACTATTTAATTCATGTTTTTTACCAGTGGCTGCTGAGTTCGATGTACCTGTATGGTTTGAGCCAGTGTCAGTAGCCAAGTCCACAAGAATATCCTCCATTGCTAAGTATGTGAGTTCTCATACTTTTATACTCCCTTCTTTGGGTAGAACAAAAATAGGGAGAGAATTCATAGTCTATGGAGATCATGACTTATAAGCAGAGTTCAGTGCGCCACATTCACTTTAACTTTAAACCTATTTCATTTGCCAAATGTACAAGAATCTCTTTAGTTGCAAAATACTTTTTTTGATAAGCCCTGCTCGATCGAATAAAATACTCTTTAGTTGCAAAATACTTAAATGTCGAATAAAACCCTGCTTGATCGAACTATTAAGGAATAAATGATAATGTATAAGCATGATCACTTATCCTTCCTTTTGTCTATAATAAATGTTTCTAGATAATATGGTCCAAGATAATATGCAGTCTTGAAGCATCAGTTACTGAAGCCCCAATTTCGAGGAAGCTTGCTAATTGTCATATAACTCATGGTTTCCTGTTTATTCCTTATATTGAAGTTGAAACTGATAGAGGGATATCTGCAGGTAACTTTTGCTTCACCTAATGAAGACGAGCTTGTTTCCATGGCAAATGCAGTTTCTGGTGGAAATACTTTTCATTTGGTCAAAAGGGATGGCAACAGAAAGTACTCTGGAAAGTCATTGTTTGACAAGTTGAAACCAGCTATTTTGGTTTTGCTGGAGAACGGAATTAAGATGCTTGCTGTCACTGTTGGTGAAGATGGACTCTTCCTTTGCTCTAAGAATCCAGATTTCCTTAAATTTCGGTTGCAGATAACTCAAAATAGCAGAGTTGGTGAATGGGTGTATGATACATTGACATCAACTTGTCCTCCTAGACCCGTTGCTGCAATGCAAGTCGAGGGTAGCTCTCTTATGTTTGCAATGCATTTTCCTGCACTTCCAGCATCTGTTGTGAGACTCACTGGAGCTGGTGATTGCATGGTAGCTGGCACAGTTGCTTCCCTTTGTTCAGGCTTAGATGTTCTGCAGAGTGTGGGAGTTGGCATTGCAGCGGCCAAAGCTGCTATTGAGGCGGAACCAAATGTTCCTTCAATCTTCAACTTGGCTGACATTGCAGGTAAACTGAGCAGCACTCTATTCTCGCCTCCAGACTGATGAATCCCGATTTATCGCATTTCCACCTGTGTGGGAAAAGAACATGACATGAGGGGTGATGGTTTCGTACTAATACACGTTTTCTTCCTTGCAGGTAATGCAAAGCTAGCTTATTGCAATGCTATATCTTTGTGCCATATTGAGAAATGAATCATGTCTTGGTGATGCAAATGCATCAAGCAAGAGCTACATGGAAATTCAACCGTAGAAAACGTCCTTGCGAGTTGGAATAGTTGGGATGGAATTCAGCCAAAAGGATATAGCTTTTGAAGGAATGCTGATTCATTTCCTGTCTTGCAAGTTGTTTCTGTTAATCTGGAAGCTGCTGTGCTGTGGTTTGTGTTGAGTTTCGTAACATTTCACTTCATGACATTGTTAATGTAATGAACTTCCGATTTGATCAGATTTAACACACCGAGAATTAGCTAAAAGATTCCTCCAAATCCCCTCAAAGTTTTTTTTTTGTGGTCATTCTTGTATGTATTCCTTCCTTCCTCGGCTAGTGAGGTTGAGCTCACAATGTAATTAATCCCAAGAAACAAGGAAGTGAACCAAACCAAAACAAATTTCCAATAATAGGAGTCAGGAATGCCCGCTTCCTTGCTTGATTCTTTCCATTTTAATTCCCGAGTATATCCGCATTTCCGACTCCTATTCTCGGAAGTTTGTCTTGGTTTGCTTCCCTTCCTTGGTTTTTGCGAAGAATCCTTTCGTTTCTCAGCTGTGATTGGGACTTCATTTGACCGCTCCCGCAACTTCTTCATCCTTCTCCTCCTTAAAGCCCATACCCACCCAAAATAAGAGTAAAAGCGCAGATCCCAATTCCGCTCCCAAAAACACACCGGAAAAATCAGGAGGAATGACGGGTCGTTGGAAGTCAGTTTCTCTGCCGCCGGCGGTGATGCTATACTTGTGCTTCTGCTTGTTCCTAGCGTTCGCAGTGGTGTCCGGGATCAAGCAGCCGCCGCGGCTGCGATTTGGGAAGGATGGGCAGTTGAAGATTCTGCAAGTGGCGGATATGCACTATGGAAACGGAAAGTCCACCGGCTGCTTGGATGTCCTCCCGACCCAGCTGCCCACTTGCTCCGACCTCAACACCACCGCCTTCGTTGAACGGATGATACGAGCTGAGCGGCCGGATTTCATCGTCTTCACTGGTACCCAAAATTTCCCCATCTCTTCTCTCCCTCCTTAATCATTCTTTTAGGGCTGTACTACAAGAAATTACTGAATTAGGGACTGGACGAGAGCATGCCCTTAGTGAAAAGTTAACATTTTGACCATTCCCCTCGTAGAATCGCGTCTTTGCTAGCATCGTCATAGTTGGGATTTGGTTAAGTTGTTCATATCATTCACTTGACAAGCTTTCCTGCAAAAATTAAGCTCTGTGGTTGTGGAACAGCAACCCATTCTCCGGGGCATTTGATCTTTCTCAATAGTTTTTATATATAATGAATCTGCTTTACTGTAATAGGGGACAACATCTATGGGTTCGATGTTGCGGACCCGGTGAAATCCATGAATGCTGCATTTGCACCAGCAATAGCTTCTGGCATTCCCTGGGCTGCTGTTTTAGGGAACCATGATCAGGAATCTAGCTTGTCAAGGGAAGGAGTGATGAAATATATAGCTGGAATGAAAAACACACTTGCCAGGGTCAATCCACCTGAGGTGCATGTGATCGATGGTTTTGGGAACTACAATCTGGAGGTTGGAGGAGTTCAAGGCTCTACATTTGAGAACAAATCGGTTCTTAACCTCTACTTCCTCGACAGTGGTGACTACTCCACCGTTCCTTCCATCCCTGGCTATGGCTGGATCAAACCCTCTCAGCAGTTCTGGTTCCAACGCACATCTGCTAAACTCCGGGTAACTACTGAATTTGGAAAAAAGAAAAACTGAATGCTTGGTTTGCGCCTTGTTTTGTAGCTAGGAACTGCAATATCAGTATATCACCCATATTCAAATGAATGAGATAGTACAGGACCTAGCAATATGCAAACATTCTACAAGAACTTAAATAGATTAGAGCTGCAAACATTTCACTGCGAAACTGTCATCCCTAGTTAAAGCTATGAGCTAACTGTTTCCCTTTCTTTTCAATCTGTGTATTCAGAAATCATACATGAGCAGCCCTGCAGCTCAGAAAGGACCAGCACCTGGGCTGGCTTACTTCCACATTCCTTTGCCTGAATTTGCAAGTTTCGATGCATCCAATTTCACCGGGGTTAGACAAGAAGGGATCAGCTCCGCTAGTGTCAACTCGGGCTTCTTCACTACTTTGGTGGAGGCAGGAGATGTGAAGGCTGCGTTCATAGGCCATGATCATTTGAACGACTTCTGTGGCAGGCTGACAGGCATTCAACTTTGTTACGCTGGAGGTTTCGGTTACCATGCCTATGGAAAGGCTGGATGGTCGAGGAGGGCTCGAGTAGTGGTAGCTTCTCTGGAGAAGCAGCAGAGTGGGGAGTGGGGTGCTGTCAAGTCGATCAAGACCTGGAAACGCCTCGATGATGGGAAACTTACCGGGATAGATGGCCAAGTCCTCTGGAGCAAAACCCCTGGAGGTAAGTTGTCACTTGACTTGTGTAAGTCATAGTAATTGGGTTCTGTGGTGTTCAAGGGTGAAACTAGCCATGATCACAAATGGGTTATGTTTACTTTCTGGGTGACATTACTTGACTGAAAGAAATGTAGTGCTTCTTGTGGTGAGACCTTGTCCCAACTGTCTCAAATATAGTACTGAACTTGTTCTTTCTGTTTTCTTTTTACCGTCTTTGAGAAGGTGCCCGCAGAAAGAAACAGTTTGGTGGCCGTTGAATATAGAGCAGAAGGGGAAAGAACCAAATGCTACGGTTTGATGAGCAGCCGAGGTACAAGTAGCCCACAAAGAAGTTGGTCAAGAAGGTAGTTTTTCAGCTTGTTTGTAAGGCTGGAAGAAGTGTTACAGAAGTTTGCGTTTTCACCTTGTTGTGATCACAGAATGATGCTCCAGCTCGAAGAAAAACATATAGGAACTTTCTTCGCTGTGTAATTTAGGTTAGGCACGTTATTTTGCTGCTGAATTTATCTCAAAGCTTATACGCATTTGGTGTATATCCTTGAACATCCCCTCCGATTCTCTGAATCCAATTACGATGATTCAGATGAGTATTAGATTGCACCAATATCAATCCGAATTTATTGTTATTATTATTCAATTTGATTTGCGTTAATTCATTTTGCGGATTCAAGTGAATATACTTTTCTGTGTTTATGAGATAGAAAGAGTAACATAAAAAGAGTAGTAAAATGGTTATATTATCAACTAGCTCATAAACCCGTCTCGTTGGCCGGAATATTCATTATTTTTATTTTTATGTAACTTTTGAATCTATCAAGTATCAACATGTTTAATTTTATTGACAATTTTTTGATCGAAATGATAAATAAAGAAAGAATATATAGGTGGAACATTGGAGAATCGAAATAATCCCCAACTGTGTTATTCCTATTAGATGCGTAGTAAAATTTTAGTATATTATCCAAATCTTTTTCGAATTCTTTTATATTATCTAAACCTATTAAAATGCTATTAATTAGCCAAATCTTTCGCAATGCTTCAAAATATTAACCAATTTTTATGTGTTATCATTAATAATTTTGTAACTCTTTTCTTAGTTAAAATACTAAAATTTTGGAATGCTAACCTTCATGTGTCTCTTCCAAGTGAGTATCATGTTGCCAAGTCAATATTACTAACAAAATTGCTAACTGAAAGTTAACATTTGGCTAATTCTTAGTATTTTGATAGGTTTGATTAACAAAAAAAAATCCAAAAAAGGTTTGGTTAATAAATAGTCATTACTCGAAAAATAAATCGCTGGAAGTTTAGAAAAAAACCCACAGTGTCAGTACGACTATGTGGTGTTGATGGCTACTTTCTCTATTGGTGGAAGAGAATGAAGAAGGATACTGAGGAAGACAATAGGATAGAAGTTGAACGTGTAGAAGCGCTCCCAGTCAAGTACTCTTTGGACAAAAAGTTATATTATGGAACTCTATTGAAAAAGGCTTACGGCGAGGAGCTCGAGGATGCAGCTGCCGATGATGAGAGGAATATGGGCTTGGGGAGGTTGAGCAGGGTTCAACCAAATTGTCTTACCTACTTTCATTTCGATTGCAAGAAATTTAAAATGGGAAAAGTACACAAAACTCTATCATATATTGAGGATAGAATAACAAAATCTATTACAATCAACATTCCTTAGGAAAGGTTGGGATTGATTGCTTACGTGATTTGTTTTGGAAAAAAAAAATAACTCGTTTGGCTGAATGGTAGTAAGATGTGTTGTTTGTCCCTAGTTACTCGGATTGATTCCTCTCTCTCGCGTCGACGACAACCAGATCCGCAGCTTCCACCTCTCTCCATCTCTCCCGTATATCAATTACCACCCTTTCTCGTCTCTCTCGCTCGATGCTCGTACAAGTAAAATAAATTATTTAAATTAAAAAAAATCAAAAGATAAATTTTAAAAAAATTCAATTAATAAGAACATAAATCAAATTTACCTACCTTCATACCACAAACTTAAAAAATAAAAAATTGAGTAAAGTCTGATGGAGATATATAGTTAGCCACATGATTTGAGGTCACGTATGTATATGGATATATATTATATGTAAAATATGAACACTGAAACACATGCATCACAGAATCTGAAGGGCAAAAGAACGTACAAATGAACACTGAAACTTACAAAAGGAACACTGAAAATCAAAGAACTGGAGTCAATGAATAAAAGAATAAAAAAAAAAGAAAAAAACATTGCGCATACAGACAGACGGCGGGTTTCGTTTTTCCGTTTGGGAAACGGATTGCAACTCCGGTGTTTTTTTTTTCAGCACTCTCCGGATCGGACGACGTGGGTCCCGGAGCACATCGCGTCCTGGCAGCCGCACCAGTAGGTGTAGCCGTCGGCGCCGCAGACCGGGTCGGATATGAGGCACGAGACAGGGCAGGACTCCGGGTCCGGGTCGCTCATCCCTCTGCAGACGTCGCCGTCCACCGAGTGCCTCCACCAGGAGGATTCCACCGTCGACGGGAGGACGCACAAGCTGAGCGCCAATGTCAATACGAGGGCTAACGCCATCTGTTGACGGAAGGACGCCGACGTCGCCATTATTGTATAATTGTGAGGGGGGAATGGGAGATGGATTGCCGAGGAGAGGAATTGAAAAAGGAAATGAAATTTGGGATGAAGCAGAAGAGAATTAAGTATTAATAGATAGCGAGAAAGTTGGGAGGGGAAATTAGAGGCTGGAGATGAAGCTGCGAAAATTAGAATCAGAGATCCTCCCTTTCTCAGGAACGCTCGGACATTTAGATCTGTTATTTTCCTCGTTATCTCTCTAATTACACATGAGTTGTTTGTGTTTAATTGAATTCCAACCGAATAAAGCTGTCAAGGTTAATACTCTGGCTTAGAAATTCGTTATATGCATGCAGTTCCTTTTTGTTGGGGGCAATGTAATTAAATTTGTGTTTATTATTTAAACAGAATGTAATTGCATATATATTTATATATAGTAGGAAGAAATCTAACTCTTTTTTTCAAAATATATCATGTATTGATTCAAAAAAAGACAGTTACATCCTGGAAACCAGCCAGGTCTAGAAATCAAAGAAGCGACTCATAGTCGGATACAAAGAAAGGGATTTCCTAGCTACCAAATGAGCTACCCTATTGTTCTCCCGACCTACAAAGCGCACACTAAAGCCAGGCTGCGTACGAAAATAATGACCGATCTCTTCCAGAACAGCACCCAACCGGCTATCTCTTATATCGCCTTGATTAATTTTGTCAATAATCACCTTCGCATCGCCCTCAAACCAGACCTCCGACAAGCATTGTTCCACACACCAAACAATAGCTTCCCTGAGCACAAGCAATTCCACAACAGCAGGGTCATCCATTTGGGGAAACTGAACTCCTCTAGCCAGAAGAAGGGTCTACGCTGGGTCAAGAAGAACCATCCCACCAGCCGAATGCGACCCACCCTTAGTAGCCCCGTCCCACATGCAAACCAAATTAATCAAGGCGTCGAATTAAGGATTCCCCCCCAAAAAAAACTACCATGGTTAATAAAACTAATTCCCTACATATATACAACACTTGCACTAAAAATTTCCAAAATACTATATTTTGGGGGTTGTTCGCTGGTGTGTCAAGCAAACAAGTAAGGGGCTAACAAGTTTGATCTAAGAGTTAAAAAGGGTTTAGTCATTTGACTAAACAATGACTAAACAACTTTTAGTTATAAGATCTTCTCTTATTTATCCTCTCTGAGATAAATCAAGAGATAACATTATAAAATAGACCATCAAACCCCAATGAACCCTCCCATTGCAACACACCGGTGAAGCCACCATAAAAAGAAAAAAAGAAAGAAAAGCTAGCTGTGCCTAGTTGTAGAGAAGACGTACAACAACAAAGTTTTAAAACGCGCCACTGTATGAGCAGTCCAACTTGCGACTCGCAAGACCGCCCTATAAGCAGGGCTCTCTCTCATAAAATCCATCAACACACCACCTTGACAAAATTAACGAACCACCACCTCGATCGGAATGACCTTCCAGGATCAAAAGAGATGATCTTCGAGAAACAAAAAGTAAACCGATCGGGAGTCTCTTACAGTACATAGCCCTGCACACAAATTAAGAATTCAAAGACTATCAGATGGAGAGCCCCTAATCACCAACAAAGACATGCCCTTCCGAACCACGCACAACTAGACCAGACAAACATCTAGAATCACAGACAACATCTTGTATCATATCTTACTTATCTTTTTCTTTAACAGCGGATAGTTCTTCAAATCACGTCTTCTTGACAGCGGATAGTACTTGTTCAATCTCGAGTTAGGTAGCCGTAGCCGTTAGTCAAACAAAGCATACGTCCCCTCCAAAAAATTTCCTCCATAGCGGCGCCGCCCGGCCGCTGGCTTAGGATCAGATCAGAGAGACCACCAGCCCTACGATTCCGTACGTGTCCCAATTTGATCCACATGATCATCCCTCCCGCTACGAATACTGCTGCTGCCAAATCTTCTTCTATATATATAATGTAAATCTCATCTCCTCATCTTGCAATTAATTCATTTCTCAAAAGATCAGTTTGGAAAACAGCACAGCAAATCGTTGTATAATTGCACTCATGGCGGCGTCCGCGAAGCAGTGGCTAATGATGATGATCATGACGCTGGTGGTGGCGCTTGGGTTTTTTGCGGCGACGGCGTCGGCGCAGAGTACTAATCCTTGTGAATTCGAATCTCCTCCGTTCGTCTGCCCTTTCACCTGCACCAGCCCTAACCCCGTCTGCGGCGCTAACGGCGTTACCTACCGTTGCGGTTGCCCTGACGCAGCTTGTGCCGCCGTCAGAGTCGTCAGGAGCGGCCCCTGTTAATATTAATTGTAACTCTGTTTTATGCATGTAATTAATAACTGGGAGGAATGAATTTTCATCCCTCAGCTGCCAGGCATGCTTTGTTGCAGCTTGGATACGTAAATAATGCACAACAACTATGAATTGTTGGTGGCTTTTACTCTGTTATGTGTATTTTATCTAAATTTGGGGATGAAGGATTACTATATTTATTCGAATAGTATAAATTTTGTTTCCGTAGGTAGATGCTTGCTGAGCATGGAATCTCAGTTCATGGGAAATAATTTACTGTCAGATGAATTATGATGGTTGTTTGTGGTGGGGATTATACAGTAGATTCTAAATTTGAATGCTCTTTGATTTCAAATAAACGAAGATGGTGTTACACGCGATTAATTAAGATCTCTGGGGACAGTGTCCGAACGGGAGTGTTTTGATGTTTTGGAAGAATCTACTTTAGATTACTCCTGCACATGTGAAGACTTTGTGAGAGAGCTCCATATAATAACTGAGCCTACGACCCCAACCGGTTGTCCTGGTGGCAATGTGAGAATGAGAACATTCACCATATCTTGAATTCGAACTCATAGGGGAATCATTTGTAGAAGGAAATCTATACATTTAGCTGTTGCAAAGAAAATATAATAAAATGAGATGTAGTAAGGATTACCAATGTCACGTTGAAATTGGTAACGAGTTGGTGTAATTCTCTACTTTAGAAAATTAGTACCATATCGATAATGAGTTGGTGTAATTCACGTTGAAATTGTAATTCTAAAACTAAATACAACAATTTAACTATGTAAATAATAACTACAACTACAAAGTACTACTACAACTCATAGTTAGCATGGTAGTAAGGATTACCAATGTCATACATTCAATGTTATCATTATCATATTTTAGTTGTAGAAACTGATGAAGTGGATAAGTCATACAAATGCCACCAACTACTTCCATGACACTCAAAGTCAAATCCCCTTTGCCACAGCCCACAGCAAGGAGAAGTCAAAGTCAAATAATGCAACGCGCTATCCCTATTTTTTATTTTATACATTAAATTACAGTTTAGCTACAAGTGTTAAATTTTTAATTAGCTTCCTCCTTCCTCGTCCTACGGCCTTATAAATTCGTCCCTCCTCCCTTGTTCCTCCGATCAATTAATTAACTCCTAATTAGCTATGGCTCTTACCGCATCAAAGAAGCTAGTTGCTCCGACGACCATCAATCGATTGGTCCTACTCCTCCTGATAATATTCAGTCTGTTCACCGCGACCACCGCAGCAACAAGCAGGCCCAGGCCCAGGCCCAATTTATGCGCCGGAGTGGCTCTGAAGGCTCCGCCATCCGGCGGCTGCCACATCAACTGCTTCCGGGCCGACCCGGTTTGTGGAGCCAACGGTGTGACCTACGGGTGCGGGTGTCCCGAAGCTTCTTGCAACGGGGTTCGGGTCATCAAGCTCGGGCCTTGTTGATCGGGCGGGGCTCCGATTGATCGGGCCGGCTGGCTACTTCCCGACGCGTTTGTGCAATTTGTTGGTTTCGAGTACTTGGTTCCGTGATTAGGGTTGTGTCGTCCTAATTGTGGATTAATTAATCTATAATAACACGGATGTGTTTGTGATCGCTAGTTTGTCGTCATAATAAGTGTGAAGTCAATGTAAAGAGGCTACAAGAAATAATACCGTGGAAATTTTCTATTAATAGCTTTGGTATTTTTAAACATTCAAATTTATTATGGGTCCAACCTGAATTCACAACTAGAAGGCTACAGTTGCCCCTGTTTGACACCGATCCAGTGATAAAAAGTGACACAACGCACCCGCCGGTCACAACAAAGTTCTTAAACCGAAGGTCACGCGACTTCATTTTTTTCTTAAATTTGTGAAGTACGCATCTTTTCCGGTTTTCTCCCTGTTCCTAGCTAGCATAACCCTATTTTTGGAATTCTAAGTTGAAGATCGATGTTATAGGAGTGTTTGAATTTTCGTTTTTATGTTAGATACAAGTGCAAATTGTTATTTTGTTGTAATGCTATATGTTATATTATATACTTGTTCGATGAGATTTAATATAATTTATAAATGTATGGTAATATAATAAACCAACAGCTAAGTTAAGGCTACTAAGGTTGTCCCGGTTTGACACTGAATCTGTGATAAAAATGGCGTTACACACCCACAGGTCAACTCTCAACAAGGTTCTTAACTGACGGTCACACGACGTCGTTTTTCTTTTAAGTTTGCGAAGTGCACCACTTTTTCGATTTTCCTCCTCACATACCCCCTATTTTTAGAATTCTAAGTTGAGCATTTGAATATAGGTATTATATGAGTGTGTTTATTTTATGTTGGATACAAGACCAAATTGTTATTTTTGTATAATATTATATATTATTATCTATTTGTTAAATAAACCGGACTTAATTGATCGATCCACCTCAACTCACTTGTTCAACCTGGCCAACTGGCCAATAGTCTGAACCGGGTTTGCCAGGCTACAAAGGTAAAGTATCACCAATGGGAAAAGGCGAAAAAGGAAATGCAAACGGAACAAGAAACATCACCAAAGGAAAGGGCGTTGGAAGGTGGTTGAAGGTTCGGCGAGGAAGACGAAGACTCCGTCAACCAATTTCCCCCGCCTTCTTCACCTCCTTCTCATCCTCCTCCTCATCTTCTCCCGCTGCACGACTCCAATTCCACCCTTCGATTCATTCCTCCGATTCAATTCCACCTGTCTCGAGCTAGGGCATCGCAGCGGCGGCATTTCCAATCGGTGAAGGATGATGGCGGCATCTTCAGCGCGGGCGCCTTTGTGGATCGCGATGCTGACTCTCCTGTTCATTTTCTCCGAGGGGGCGACCTCGGAGCAACCTGAAGCGGCAATGATCTTGCAAGTGACCGAGAAAGGAGCCGTCGGCGACGGCAACGTCTGCCCTCGATCAACCGCAGCTCCGACTTCCTGCCCAATCAACTGCTTCCGCGCGGATCCAGTCTGCGGCATCGACGGCACGACCTACTGGTGCGGCTGCGCCGACGCGGTGTGTCACGGGACCAATGTTGCGAAGCTGGGCGCGTGCGAGGTTGGAAGCGGCGGCAGCGCGTCGCTCCCTGGTCAGGCACTCCTCCTGGTTCACATTGTCTGGCTCTTCTTGCTGGGCTTCTCTTTGCTCTTCGGTCTCTTCTGATTTCCACTGTACAAGAAACGATTGGTGTGTTTTTTCCTGTTTTTCCCCTGTGATTTGAGGCTGTCATGATTGGTGTAGTTGAGGAGATTTCGAGTGAGATTGTGTTTTTGTATGTACTTGAAAATTCTTTGTTTCAAATGAAGAACGCAACTGACCTTTTTGTTTGTGCATCCGATTGCGAGTTGTGCTGTTCTTTATCCTTTATGCATTTCTCTAATCCCTTCTTCATAAGCTTTTCAATTGGAAGGAGAATCAGAGGTAGGAGAATTGCTGTTCTGACGAAACATTGACGCCTTCTGATATCTAACTTTGTCAATCTCTCTTGCCAACAAGTCGAGAATGGTGTCCGTAACAGCATTTGGCAAGCATCCAGCATCCAGCATCGTCTTCAACAGCCTGTGGGCTTCTTTCAACCGGCCAGCCTTGGTATGAACTTCAATCAAAGTGTTGTAAGTCACCACATCTGGGTTGATACTGCCGTTCTTCATCTGGTCGAAAAGCTTATTGGCTTCGTCGACCCGACCAGCCTTTCCCAGAGCATTGATCAGGGTGTTGTACATGACGATGTCGAGGAAGCCGCCACCATCCATTAACTTATCAAGAACAGAGCTTGCAATGTCTGCTCTTCCCATCTTCCCCAACCCTTGGATTACGGCATTGTATGTGGCTATATCTGCAGGGCAAAGCTTCTCCCCCATCTCATTCAGCACATTCCACGCCTCTTCGAAGTAGCCCTTCTTCACAAAGGAACTCATCAGAGCATTGTATGTGTAACTCACAGGGTTCACACCCATGTCGGTGAATACCTCAAACAGCTTACAGGCCAGGCTCAGCTGCCCTTTAGCTAGGAAGATCGACATGAAGGTGTTAACCATTCCAATGTCGAAAGAGCTTCCTGCATCTTTTTCGGAAGTCTGGACTCTCATTCCTCTAGCCAGAGAAAAGAGCTGGTGAGAATAGCTACCTGATTTCACTTGATTGGCCAAGTGATCCATATGTGGAGATGTCGACCACTGATCAAAATTCTCCTCCTCATCATCACTTGAACGAGGTTTCACAGTGGAAGAAGTTACAGAGCTCAAGATTTCCTCGATCCCGCATTTATGAGGGAACAATGGTGTGTAATCTTTTCTTCTGCTCTTCAGCCTATTATTCTTCAGTGCAGCCTCCATCTCTTCCTTCCACCTGATCACGCTCAGTACTACATCCCCATCTCTCACATGCCTCATCAGTCTCTCCGTCCAATCCTGCCTGCCATGTCTGTGGAACCCAATCAGCAATGTGGTTATGGTAACCAGATCAACAACAAAGCCTCTGTCATTGTCCATCTCTTCCACCAGCTTGAGAGCTTCTTCCAATTCACCTTCTTTGACAAGCTGCAAGATGACAATGCTGTAAGTAACACCATCCACCAACTGCCCCTTCTTCTTCAAGTCACAGAACAATGAGTAGCCAGCCTCGGCTCTTCCATTCTTGATCAAGCCGTGTATCAAGATGTTGTATGTCCAGCTCGAGGCTCTCACACCGTCATCGACCATTCTCTCAAACAGCTGGCAGGCTTCTGAAATTCTGTTTGCCTTGAACATCCCGTTTAAAAGAGAGTGGTAAACAAGAGCATCGGGGACAAAACCGTCGTACTGCATCTCGGTAAAGATCCTTACTGCTTCGTTTATCTGGTGTGATTTTGTGCAGCCTTGGATAAGTATCCGATAAGTGAAGGCGTCTGGACGATGTCCGGATTCCTTCAGCTCCTCATAGGCAATCAATGCATCCTTGACTTTGCCAGCCAAGCACAATGACTGAAGCAGGCTGTTGTAAGTGCACAAATCAGGGCCAGAAGAAGAATCCTTTTCCTGCATTTCCCTGAAGAGAGTCAAGGAAGTTGGCAAATCGCCCCATCGGCCAAACGCATGAATGCAGATGTTGTAACCCCATGTGTCAAGTTGGAACCCTTTCGTTCCCCTTACCCTGTCGAATACCTTTCGAAAATCTGCTCTGTTGTCGGCCTTTCTAAGAGCAACCAGCAAAGCATTGCAGGCAGTGGAACCGGGAGACGGCGGATGAGGAGCATCTAGCAGCTTGAATAAAATGGGCAAGGCCAAACCCAGCTGGTTTTTCTTGGCAAGTGCAATGAGTAAAGTGTCGTAGACTAGTGGGGTGAGATTGGCTTCTTGCAGTCCTTCCATGAAATGGAGGATCTGGAGCGCGCAATCCAATTTGCCCAATCGAATGACGGCGTCGAGCAACATTTTGAAGGTCTGCGGTGCCGCTACAACTCCGTCGACTTTCATCCGTTCCAGCAGGTCGGGGACCTCCTCCAGGTACTCGGCGCGGCAGAGCTCCCTGAACATGTGGGAGTAAGTGCCCGCCGAGTGTTTGTAGTTATGCATGAGAGAACACCACTTGAAAAAATCAGTCTTTCTTGAGGCATCTAGGGAGCCCCTCCTTAGGATCTTTATGACCAGCTGCTGCGACAGAGGAATGGTGTCCGGGTCGAGATTTCGAGTGCCCGATTCCGATAGGGTTTTCGTTAGAAAGGCGACGAGAAGAAGGTCGTCCATTTGTTGCAAGGACGGAGAAGAGGAAGACGGCTGCGATGCCGTCGATGGAGCAGCTTTCGTGCTGTGCGATACGAAGTTCGGTGTTGGGTTTATTGTTGAGATCCCCACCGATGAACGTATGAGCTTTCCCATCGCCGCCGTGCATCTCGACATCGATTTGCGCGGCGCAGGCCGCCGTACTGTCTCAGTTGGATCCTGCGCTTCGCGACTAAATCACGGCGGAGTTTGTAGGAGGGGGGAAAGAAAAGGAAAAGACCCGAATGATTTTTCTAAAAGTTCAATGTGAACTGACTGACGGTAGAAGCGCGAGTGATTAAATGATTATACTTGCTGCTGATGATGATGAGCGGCGGTAGGTTTGGAAAGAAAGCAGCGAGCTTTCCTTATATCTTGGTCCCGAGAAAGCAACTGGTTTTGCTTCCTACTTTACTTGTTTGTTTCATGTATCTAGAGTGGTTCTCTGATAGCAAGGTCGCAAGTCGAACAATCAGTAGAAAAATGACAACACAAGACCTCCCTCTCGTTGTCCCCATTCTATTTCCTCTGGTAAACACAATCAGTAAGCTACGTCTGCGTATATTATAGTCATTGTTCATAGTTTTGACCTGCAGACAGTCCGACTATAATTTTCTGCAACTCTTTAGGGTATTAGATGACTGGCTCTTTCCCATTGTCACATGTGATATTAACATTTTGTGGGGCAGGGTAATATGGTCCAGAGACGGAAGCCATGGACGGCACACGAGCAGCAGCAAAGTGAAAAACTTTGAGAAGTATTTCACTGGAATATGTGCCTAATAATGCTGCATCTGGTGCCATCCCAGTCTTTGAGATGTCAGCTCAAGGTAAATTTACCGAAATTGGTAAGATTCAGAGAGACACTGCTGACCTTGTTCTATATGTCCCCAAGACTATATCACAACTTGATAGTAGTTTCATGTTCTGATGATCCCTGAAAAAAGAGAAGGAAAATTGACGAGAATTGATCACTCAGAAATTCTTTCATAATGGATATTTCTGTTCATCCCCTTGTTAATTAGCATCATGCCTATTTGAACCTCACCGATGCTGCTGTTCTTAATGCATATTATGTCTACAGGCAGTCGTAGATGCCCTTGCTAATTAGCATCATGCCTATTTGAACCTTACCAATGCTGCAGTTCTTAATGCATATTATGTCTACAAGCAGTCCTAGATGCCCCCCCAACAAAAGCTTTCCTGCACGTCTACAACTTGAGTAAGTGCATCTTAAGCTATTCGAGTGTTAGTCTAATTATGAGATGGTAACCAGTGATCAGACATCTTTTAGAGCTGAGATTCTGGAGTGCAGGGCAGAATATATTGAACCAAAGAAAGGAGTAGAAACCCCGCGAGCAAAACAGTTCCAGACACCCATAAATTCTTTGTGGAAAGGGCTTTAACTTTCCTTTTTCAGATTTGACGCATTGTTCTTTTTTTTATATCGAAACACATTGTTCTTTTCATGGAATGCAAATAAAAAGGCGTTTTTGTTACTATCTATTTGTTTTCTGTTTTTCATTTCTTCCCCATCTCCTGAAAGAAGTATTAGATGCTTTCAGAAGAAAGGTATGCTTGTGTCATGTCTGTCGTCCAACTTTCAAAAGATATGATATTGCCCCTCTCTTGTTTTTATCATGTTTTCTGTTTTAATAAACTAAATTTCATACGTGGTTTTTATATTGATTACTCCATGCTGCATGTGCATTATTGTTGAATGAAGAAGAATGCTTCTACAGTTTGAAATCTACTTTTACCTTAATGTGGCAACTGGCAAATCCAATGAGAGTCTCAGAAGTCAGTTTGTCATCTGGAGAGACTGTTACCTTACCTGGTATTTGATTCTTTGCTTTCTGCAACTGAAGAAAAAGCAGCCCTTCAGGAGAGAGCATAAAGAGGAAATTTGATTAAATTAATCGAAAGTAGTTGTTTGAGGTGGTGATGCATGCATTGCATGAGTAGTTAAATAAATCAATGCTTATTCCTTCCCACTATCAGCATGGTTCGCCTGTATTGTATATAAAGGACAGCAGATCAACGAAGGTGATGCATTGCGGTTTGTGAACACCTCTAGAATCTGAATAGAGCAGCAAGTTTCTAGAGGGTGCTTTCAAGCAGCCTCTTATTCTCATACTAGCTTAATAGCATGGGAATTGCAGAGCAATGGAAGACTGTTGCTCTAATGGTGGTTATTAACTTTGCTTTCGCAGTGGTGAATGTGCTTTTCAAAAAGGTTCTTGATGGAGGAACAAATCAGATGGTCATCATTATTTATAGACTGGCAATTTCTGCCATTTTCTTGGGACCAATTGGCTACTACCGGGAAAGGTAAGCGGCCTACTATTTGGTCAAATGAACAACTCTTGTATACTGCTCTGCTCAAGTTTGCTTATTAACTTACCCGACTTAGTTGATTTCTGTTTGCCCTAGCGCCTTTTAGCTAGGTCTAATGGTCCCTAGCCAGAACAGTAACTGCAGAATGAAATATTCAAGGGAGTGAGTTGTTTATTTGTTCCGCGTATGACAGGAAAAGCAGAACCAAGCTCACTGGAAGCATCTTATGCCAACTTTTCTTTGGAGCTCTCATCGGGTGAGTTGAACTATTCAGGATGTGGATTGATGGAGTCTGCTTGATATCCTTCTTTCAAGTTTTCCAGCTTCTCTGAGAGCCTTTTCCTTTTAATGAATTTCAGGGTTACCCTCTGCCAATACTTGTTCCTTTTGGGACTTAAGTACACGTCTGCTGCCTTCTCATGTGCATTTCTCAACACAGTGCCTGTTAATACATTCTTACTGGCAATACCATTTGGGTAAAAGTTCAATTTTCCATGTTTGGCTTAATGACATGTTTCTTCAGTTCAACAAAGTGTATAACTTGCTTCAATTCAATTCAATATTCTCTGGTTACAGTATTGAGAAAGTGAACCTGGGAAGTACAGGAGGAAGAGCCAAAGTGCTTGGGGCACTCATTTGCATGACTGGAGCTATACTGCTCTCCGTCTACCAGGGAGCCCCTCTAACCGATTCACACAGCAAATACGTTACTCCTGATGCGGAGAATTCAAAGAAATGGGTTCTGGGTTCTATACTTCTCATTGGAGGCTGCCTATCTTGGTCTTCTTGGTTTCTCATACAAGCACACGTTCTGAAGAGCTACCCGTGTCAATACTCCAGCATCACCATTCTCACCTTCTTTGCTTCCATCCAAACAGCAATCTTGAGCCTTGCCATTGAGAGGGATGCCTCGATGTGGATCCTCAAGGGGAAATTGGAAATCCTGACCATCGTCTATTCTGTAAGTCGCTTTCCTTCTTTCTCTGCCCTTTCATGGTTGGTCATTGTAAGGGAACGGTGTAATATCTGTATTTCAGCATCTTCCAAAAACTCGAGATATTGAGCCGAATTGGCGCCCGACAGTCATGATTGCATTTCCTTTCGATCAAAAGCTGATCCTCTTCATTTCAAACTGACGAGCAGGGAATTGTAGGATCAGGGCTGTGTTATGTGGGGATGTCATGGTGTGTCAAACAAAAAGGTCCCGTGTTCACAGCCGCATTCACCCCCTTCACACAGATATTTGCTGCCATGTTTGACTTCTCAATCTTGCATGAACAGCTCTTTGTTGGAAGGTATGGATGGGCTCTCCGATGCCTGCTTTGGTTCCTTTTGGTATAATATAAGCTCTTCGGCACCTAAACCTGATCTAATGACATTTGTTTGGTTGGTGAATTTGAACAGTGTAATAGGATCTGCAATAGTAATAATTGGTCTCTACATTCTGCTGTGGGGAAAGAGCAAGGAGGCAGCTGATCAGTGTGGGGTGAAACAGATTGAGCCTGTCATCGAGGAAGGTGTTCATCATGACGACGACCCTGAAGCTCAAGTTGTGAAAACCACTAATGCTTAGCAAAAATTTCATTAGAATTTTGAGGCTCAGCAAAGACAGTTTTTTTTTTTGAAAAGCAGCTCTCCTAAACCTGTTTGTGCTGCTTCTTTTCATCTTGCTACTTCGTTAGATGTTCGCAAGACTTTTGATGTAGTTCTACGAATAACGACCACCTCAAATTTCCATCCCTGGTAGTTTTTTCTTCTTCTTCTTCTTTCTGTGATTGCAAGTTCACATCCAGCAAGTGGTTCATCATTGCACAAAAGTGACCATATTAGGGGTTTCTTCTTGTTTTGTCGATGGGACTGAAGCTCACTCACACCATGGACCAAACACTTACTTATTCATGTAACCATTACCAACAATGAGTTAATCAATATTGTTCGATGGTAAATATTGTCATGCTACACCACTAAAAATAAATAATGTGTATTAACATTTCCTTCTTGCTTTTATATTTGTCAAATCATACATAATTTTGAAACAAGATCAATTATTTGAGCAAATTTACGTATGCAACATCTACATAACTTATAAATTATAAATACATACCATGCAATAACCGAGAGATGAAACTCAATTCCAATCTCCCTTCTGTATCACTAGTTATGTGATTGAAAGCTCTAAATAATGATGTGGGACCTAGACGTTGCGGCAAAACACCCATAAATCATTTGACATCGTTATGTGACTAAAACTCGTGTTAGAAGTTTCAAATGGTTACATAATGTCGAGTGATTAGGATTTAATCATTTTAATCACTCGACCCATACACTTTCGTATTGAAAATACTAAATTCGAACCCACCAAAAAAAAATTACAAACCTAAGATTTGTTTATGATTGGACTGGGTGAGCTATACTTTAAAGCAAAAATCCAACCCAACACTAAGAAAACTAATTAAAATATTTCAAGCAAATAAACTAAAGTGAAAACATCAAAGTGTTTAGAAGTTGTTGCTCTGATTTTGATGAAGTGCAATTTGCTTCAACATATTGTCTGTATTTTTCATAAACATTTACCGAATAAGCTAAAGACGTTATTCATTATAAGTTAATGCATCCATTATATGTTAGTCTCTTAAAATTGTATACACATAAAAAAATAATGTGAACCATAGTCTATATTAAAAATACATCTAAATTTCTTCAGTTGAAGAATGCCTTAAATTATTAAAAGAAAAAATATGACAAAAATATATTATTTTAATAAAAACAATATAGATTATAAACATGTTTCGAATTGAACACTTATGTCAAAAATTGTAACATGAGTTGAGTCGGGTATATACAATGGTTGGGGCCTTATTGGCCCTTTTACCGTTTAAAATAACGGGCCACACCCGACTGTCTGCGAGGAGAATGGGCCTTACTGCGGATAGTCCAATTTCAAAGTGAATTCAAGGCGGCGAGGCGACAGTCAGATTCTAAAACCTCTCTCACTCTCGTCTCCACACAAACCCTATTACTTCCATTATTCTTCCAACGTTACACGCCCACTCTCCGCCGGCGAACGCCAATCGGAAGCCAAAAGATGGGGGCGAAGAGAAAGAAGGAAGACGCTCCCGAAATGGCCGAAGATGCCGACATAGACGACGGTGGCTCTAGAGATAGGAGGAATAGGCAGAAAGTAGAGAAGAAGGAAGAGTTCCGGCCGTCGATGATAAAGAATAAGGAGAAGAGATCCGCCGCCCACGCCAAACTCAAACACCAGAAGAAGCTCGAGAAACGCAAGACCAAGAAGGCTCGTGAAGCTGCTGACAAGCAGGCGCTGGAACTCGGCGAGGAGGTTGCAACTGATTTCACTTCCTCTGATGCTCACTTGTCAAAATTTTGATTGGAATTAGAGAATTTCCAAGATTTTTTTCTCTGCGTTTCTGTTCCGATTGATTCATTTTGAGCTATGTTGTTGATTGTATTTGTTACTATGCAGCCTCCTCAGAGGAGCGTTCCTCGCACCATTGAGAACACCAGAGAAGCTGATGAAACTGTTTGCAAGCCTGACGATGCTGAGGTATTCCCTTTTTCCCATTATTATATTATCTGTTGGGTAAACGAAGAAAGCATGGTTTACGATTTCTTGCTCTCCTAAATGATCCTTGATGGATCCTACTTACTGAATTTGTCTGACTTGAGTTCTACAATGTGGTATGAATAATCTATAATTGTAGTGGGTAAGCGAAATGTTATAGGAGTTGTGCACTCTTTAATTGGGACTTGCTTTGTGGGATCATATATGCATATTAAATCTCCTAACTTGAGTCATGGGCAATACTCTTTCCAGAGCTGATGCTTCATCTATGGTCATTTACAGTTATTTGTAGCTAATGATGCTGATGAATTTAGTTCGATTTTGAGACGCGAACGGGCTCCCAAGATTTTGATAACCACTTGCCGCTTCCATTCTACTGTATGTTTCTCTGCTCTATTTCCGCTTTTCTCTCTATTCCCTCCTGTTCTGTTTTCCCCCTTGTTATGGCGTTTGCCTAATTGTTTGGGATGCTACCTTGGCTTTTTCAGAGGGGGCCAGCTTTTATTTCAGAATTACTTTCTGTAATTCCAAATGCTCATTATTACAAGAGGGGAACATACGACTTGAAGAAGGTGATACTTTTTAGTAACTTCGACTGTCTACCTTACATTACCTTCCTGGCACATTCCTGAATCATCTTTTCCACTATCAATTGTTTTGTTTGCCTGATTAGTGGATCTACTCTATGCAGATAGTGGAATATGCAACGAAGGAGGACTTCACTACACTTATCGTTGTTCACACAAGTCGTAGAGAGCCAGGTGCTGCATTCCTTAAGATGCCTGGTCTCATGGCCTTCTCTCCGATTTCGTCGTCTTATACTTGTCTATCATTACTATGTTTCTTACACCTAACTCTTCTATGGTGTAGATGCTCTGTTGGTTACATCCTTGCCATCTGGACCCACGGCCCACTTTAAGCTGTCAAAGCTAGTACTGCGGAAGGAAATTAAGGTGGATTTCTAAATCTTTGAGGAGTATGGAAGTCTGATGTCACTTTTCCTGCAGAAGGAATCATTGTTACTGCTCTCTTTTTGCCAAGTTCAATCAAGTTTCACTTATCCTGTTGCTGTGAAGTTTCAATGCTTCCTATGTTCATCCTACAAGGTGATCTTGACCTGTTATCATGCTTTTGTAGAATCATGGAAATCCAACTGGCCACGTACCCGAGCTGGTTTTGAATAACTTCACAACACGCCTTGGTCATCGTGTTGGGAGGTAATCATTCTCCCCCCTTCTTCGCCTTGCACTTTTTTCTTGTTGCTGGTAGAAAGCGTTGTACTCTTTAGGTAAGCAGCATGTGGATCATTGAATTGGTTGCTTCTATAAGTTTTGAACTCAAATATGGTTCTTGGTGTTGGTAGCTCATTCTTTGATTCGTGAACTCTTCCTTAAAATCCCTGCTGAAGAACTGTAATCTGATTCTTGCAGAATGATTCAGTCACTTTTCCCACAAAATCCTGATTTCCGTGGTCGGCGTGTTGTGACATTTCACAATCAACGGGATTATATTTTCTTCCGTCATCATCGGTTCGTCTCTAATTAGTATCAGTGTCATTTGCTATTCCAGTAATCGCCCCTTCTCTTTCTCTCTCTCTCTCTCTCTCATTCTGATGCATTCAATTGTTTCCGACTCAGATACATCTTTGAAACAAAGGAAAGTAAACAGCAAGACTCAAAAAGCAAAAAGGGTAAGGATGCCGAGGATAAGAGCACTGGTCAGCAAGTAATTGCCCGCCTGCAGGTTGGGATTGGTTTAGTGATTTTTGTTTCTTGCATTTTTTCCCTTGGCCCAAGTCTAGATTAATCCTTTTAGCGATTGATGTGGGTATTTTGACATGTTTGTTGTAATGTCTTCTCCTCTGGTTCAATATTTCCAATGGCATAACTTGTATCGGCTTCTCCTCTGGTTCAATATTTACAACGATATGACTTGTCTTTTCTAATGACAATTTTCCAGGAGTGTGGTCCTCGATTTGTCCTGAAGTTGAAAAGCCTCCAGCATGGAACATTTGATACCAGAGGTGGCGAGTACGAATGGGTTCACAAGGTATATTATACTCCTTTTGATTTGGTATCCTACTATTTAGCACTTGCTGCACTCTTCTGAGCTATCAACATCGCTCATCTTTTCAGCCGGAAATGGATACTAGCCGGAGAAGATTCTTCCTGTGAGTTATTGGATCATTCAGTCAAGATTCTATCTGAGAGTCCTCCTAGTTTTGGCTGTGCATTTCCTTCTATAGTCTCTTCGTTCTTCTCCAGTTTTGTCGCGATCAATCTTTAAAGGAGTTAGTTTTGATATTGTAAAGCACTTCCTAAATAGGCTTTGTAAGTCAAAATGGGATTATATTTCGTTAGCTTGCTCTGTAACAGGAAGCTTTTAATTTGTAAGTTGTATCGCCTTATCCGTGAAGCAACAACTCAACTTGCAGTCCTATTCCTGTATAATGTCTGGCAAAATTTACAGAGGTTCACAAAATTCAGACTCATGCATTTTGGAAATGTTTTGCAATTCAACCAAAAAGAGAGAAATATGATATGTTACGTTTACTCCTAAAAATTAATTTCATACCACATGGATTTAATCGATTGGCTTTATACACCATTAACTTTAACTGAGTTATTATGTTGGGTTTTGGGCCTAGGTGGCCAAATTCAAACTTCTTGGTCTCGTGGTCTACCGCCCTCATGACCCCTACAGTCTAAGCTTCCTTTCCCTTGTAACGAGCCTCTCTTTGTGGTCTACAAGAGGGTACCAAACCGACAATGCAGACTTGGTACTCATATGTGAAATCTAGTTAAGAATGGAGTCAAGGAGGTACCAAGCCAGCAAGACATGCTTGATACCGAGATATGAAATTTGACCAAGTATAGAACCAAGAGGGTACCAAACTAGCAAGACATGTTTGGTACCAAAACATAAAATTTGACTTAAGTATGGAGCCAAGAGTGTACCAAGCCAGCAAGACATGCTTGTACTAGTACATGAAATTTGGCTCTAAAAACAAAAGAGGCTTGGTAGTCAGTCACCCGGGTACCAAGCTAGGTACCAACTAGAGAGTCGTACATAAACTAAGTTTAGATACCAACTTGGCAAAACAGGCTTGGTAGTCAAGCAAGAGGGTACCAAGTAGATAATACATGTTTGGTATCAAGTTACCAAATCACCCAAAAACTAAGTATAGAGATCAAACTGACAGGTGCCAACCCGATAAGGGGGTGACAATGTGGCCACCCGACTGTGTATCAAACCGCCATGGACCATCCCTATATACCCAAGACGGAGTATGAAATCTTGGATGTGGGGGCTTGTCGACTATGTTGTCAAGCTAAGAGGGTGTCAATTTAATGCGGATTTGATGTAGAGCCCATTAGGGGCTATATGCGACTAAGTCCCAAGACAGGGTTGGTGGCCCTTAAGGGGGTACCAAGTCAGCAGGGTGTAAGGTATTGACTTGATGAGATTGTAAAAACTAAGTATGAGACTAGACGAACAAGGTTGGCTTGGTGGCAGGTGAAGGCATGACTGGCTTGGTAACGGGGTGTCAAGACGGAGAGACGACAATAGGACTTGGTGGCAAGTCAACTAAGTGACAAGCTCACAAGATGAAACCAAGCCCTCCACGACTAAGTATGGAGTCTTGGTGGGTAAAATGGCTATGTTCTCATCCCATCAAGACATGATCATAAAAAGGTGTCCGGATGGAGGGTGGTACCAAGATGAGAGCAACATGAAGACTCAGTATGTGTTCTGCAAGGCTGTCAAGGAGTCTTAGTGGTAATAAGCAACGTAATGGAGGCAAGGTAGGGGCAGCAAGATAGAGCTCAACTCAACCCTAGTCAAATTCGATGCCAAGCCACCCAGATGACAGTTACCAACCAACCACCATGGCGGCAATGAGGACCTCGATGCAGTTTGGAGCAATGGGCCAAATAGTGGTTACCAAGGCTGTTACACTTTGTCGCTATAAATAGGGGAAATGAAGGATGGAAAACGGTTCCACAACCAAACATTTGACACCACAAGTCAAACTTTTATCTTTTCTCTGCAATGTAGCCATAGTTGTAGTTTTTATTTTATGGAGCTCTCACTGAACCTCCATAGGAGTAGAATAATATGACTTAGTTTATTTAGCCATTAAATTCATCAAACACTCTCGTTTGAACATTTTTTGGAGAGTTGTGAACCGTGTTATTGTCGTTGTTCAGGAAGTCAAAGGTGCAATTCACTAATATCAAACACAAGAGTTCCCTCGCTGGAGAACAAATTGGCACACCTGGTGGGACCCTTGTGTTTGATTTGATAGCTCCGAGACAGAGACCACAAGAAGGTTATATTTCACTTAGAGTTGTGAAGATGCCAATGTTTAAGTTTGACCTTGTCCAGGCAACAAAATATGTTGTCGGAAACAATGGCATTGTTGAGGTCTTGCATTCGTCTGTACCTTCTGTTTATGTAACTAGGGGTGGAAATCAGTACGATATCGGTATCCCAATACCAAATACTGAAATCTCGAATACCGAATTACACCCTAAGCTCAATCCCAATCCTAATTCCTAAATAATTTCGGTATCCCAGTCCCAATCCCTAAATATTTCGGTATCCCAATCGGTATTATTGAATACGAAATTAATTACCTTTGCAAGTAATAATTAAATATATAAATTAGATTTGATTGTTTAATTTAGAGCAAAAAAACTAAGCAAAGAGTCTTGAGTTTGCCTAAAGCTAGGATATGGATAAGGAGAATGGAGGAGAGGTGAAATCTCAAATTCTTGTCAATGGCAATCCTTCATTAGATGAATTGGAGGTTGAGAGAAAACTAATACTAGTGTTTGCTTTATGGTGTTATGAAAATAACAAGAGATTAGGTGAGAAACTAGAGTCACTTAAACTGAAAAGTCAAAATTGAGTTGGATGGGGGCTTCTAAGTTGTGAAAGAGTGAGGAATGACTAAAGGTTGTGTGTTATATTTCATTAAATTTTAATTTTTGGTATTTCTCGATATTTCGGTATATATCGATCCCAATCCCATAATCCCAAATACCGAATAGCACTCCAAAATGAATCCCAATCCCTAAAAAATAAGTCGGTATTCGATAATACCAAATAGTGATAAATTCGGTACGGTATTCGGTATATCCCAAATACCAGTACCAAACTTCCAGCCCTATATGTAGCCATGGTAGTCTTGTCACTCGTTTTGATAGTGGAGGAGACCTACAAGATGATGGTGGAGAATTGCCAAGTCACGGAGGAAAATCGCCTAGTGATTAAAGAGGCATTGGCAGGTACCCATCATATAGTATGTCAACTTGATTGTTTCAATTCATTAATAGAAAAAAAAAACATTGACCGTCAATTTTAATGATCAACATAAATTTCGGGCCAATTTTGTCCATTAATTTAAAAACTTGGCCATAAATATTTTATTGAAAAATTTAGACCAAAAGTAACACTTACACCAAACTTGACACTTGAGGCCAAACTAGAGTATTTACCTATTGGCTGGGTGGATATGGCACTAACTATTTTCCAACTTTAATTTTACGTGAATCTTGGCTTTAGAATCTTGCCACTTTATTCCCTCTGCACCATAATTATATTTGTAATATTAAATTCCTATGTCATGCTAACAAAGGTTTAATGTTTCTAACTAATCAATTTATACCACGGATCTTTACAATTTAGGGTTCACTTCACTGCATAGGATTTGATATGTACGGTTTAGTTTTTGTAGTAATTCATGGACTAAATGTGACTTTAAACTATATCATAATATTATTAAAAAAAATTATAAAAAATATTAAATTTTGGAATTTAACAATTAGATGCTATTCAGAGTATCCCACTCATTCCTTACAAATATACCGTAACCTAGGATAAGGACAGAGGCAAGTGACGGAGTGCAAATATACCATATGTTATACCAGTGAAAGCTGAAAATGGAATTTATGTCCACTTGCAAGAGGAGCAGTGTGGTCACTCTGGTGAACATACAAATTCCAGATTTTGTCTTGATTTGCAAATGGGATTAATTTTATTGAAATATATACCCATTCAGAACATTTTCTTTTTTCCTTCCAAAATACAACTTACACTAAAATATTCCAAAATACTAAAATTTGAGTTGGTTCGATGATGTGTCCGGCGATTTTGGCATCGGTTCGCTAGAGACATGTGATTTTAACGAGATTGCTGCCAAAGACACGATGTGACTTCAAAATCGTTGAAGGCATATTGAGCCGAGACAGCCTTCGGGCACACTTGGTTCTGTGTTCAGCCGACGAGGCCTCCACAGGCAGCTTGGTTTTTGCACTTCAATATATTTCGCTGAATAAAAAATGTCTGTGTTAGTGTAGTCAAAAGAGTTATAGGAAATACCACATTGGTGGGAGAAGGAAGGTGCAAGTGGTTTTTAACTTTGCTTTCCACTTTAGTTTATTGGATAAAGTGGTTAGTGGGCTTTTGGAAAAAGTTGGGGCTATTTAATTTGACATATTAAATTGACCATGCAATTACCACTTTGCACGTTTAAGCGACAACGTTAGGGAATTGAATTTTTGGCTATTTAATTAATTTCTAGAATTAATTTTTATTAATTAATTTCGGATAATGAATTGAATTTGAGTTTTGTGAAACGACGTAACCTTTGAGAAGGGAACTGTCGTTTTCTCACGATATAAGAGACGTTGACCAGAAGTTTGAGTTCTAACGTTCATCTTCTTCTCCTCGTTTTTTCCTTCTCCAAAAACACAAACAAAGAAGTCATAAAGGTGCTGCTTTCGGACTTAGGTTGAAGGGACTCCTGAGGGTGGTTTGCCTAATTCCTACCAGCAACAACGTAGTGGGGGCAAATAACACTCTAAGGAGAGTGATTAATCACGCCTTCAATCCATTTTTCTCCATACTGTTTCCCTAACAGTCTGTAATTTTAGATTAAATGAATCTTGTGGGTTGGGTTAGAGAATTAGGGACTGAGATTAACTCATCAGAGGTTAGGGTATTGTATCATGCTCCAAACTCCGGTTAATTCGTGCTCTGAATAGTAACACTCGACGGGCGTACAATGTACGCCTGACGTACTCTAGCCTGAACCATGTTTTATGTCAAGTTTTGGGTGAGATTGTTGGAATTTTTATTATTCCAACTATGCCCCTATCTTTTTATATGTGTTGCTTTTTTATATTAAAAGCAAAGAGTAAAAGTGGACATTTCACCTAAAAAGTAATCTAACTTATTTAAATACTACAACAACTATCACAGAAACTAAACGATTTAAACTAAAATACACCAATTCTCTTATATATATGTATATTATCATTCGTGAATTGACGATGTATCAATTTAACTAGTACAAATGCATTTGATTTGGCCCGAGAATTCAAACATAGTGCAAGTCTTGAGGGGATATGGATGAAGAAGAGGCTAGTCCCACCGCACAAGTCACCCATTGTAGATGATGGTGACGGTTAGGGGTGTCCGTTCGGGTGGTTCGGTTACCCGAACTGAAATTCAACAAAATTTGAAAACTTGAAATCGAAATCACTGAAAATTAAACTCGAACCCGATAAGGATTTTCGGTTTCTGGTTACCCAAAGCCCGAAAATTCTTTATCGGGTTCGAGTTCGGTTAAAGCAAAACCGAAACCCAAAAATTCGAACGCCTAAGAATACTGGCTGAGTGCTATTTTTTAGAGGTTTTCAGACATAACCTGAAAAACCAAAAAGTAAAACTGAATCCAAAACCAAAAAAACCGAGATCCGAAATAAACCTGAACCCAAAAGCTGAAACTCTATCTAATAGGATCAGTTTCGGGTAAATCCAAAAAACCAAACCCAAATGGACACCCCTAATGACGGTGAAGGGACCGAGGATTTTGGCTCACATGCCACAAAGGGTCATCTTCACGGTACCGATGACATGGACTCCGAAAATGAAGTATGGTTTGGGGCCACTGTTTTGTGAAGTTTGGTTGTAGCTCGTATCGTAGGAAGGAAACAAGGGGAGACATGGACTCAATTATTAGCGCTCTCTTAATGATACATGTGAACGTGCTGGAGCTGTTAGTGTCGGGGGATTTGATTGGGTCTTATTTTATTATTTAATCAGTGTTTATTGTTAGATATGGAAAGGAAATTAAGTAGGAAAATGAGAATGAAATATTTAATACGTAGAATTCATCCCGAAGACACATCTACATAACATTTTCTTTGAACCCGACAAGGCGAGTTTTTTTAGTAAGGGTGATACCAAAACAATTTTATAGTAAGGTCATATTGAAGGGATTTGAACCTGGAACCTTCAGGTTCAAGACTAATGGTAGTAAAACTAGATCAAGTTCTTGTTGACCCCGACAAGGAAGATTATGGGTTTTGGTGCAGTTATGTATCAGAACCCAACCCAGCCGACTATGTCCTACAACTATATTTTAGACGCCCTTGCTTCACAACTTCGATCATCCATATCCTTCGACAATTGTAATTATCTCTTAGACCCAAAATCATGCTCATCCTCCCTCGCTAAATGTTTATATAATAGATGATTGTCCAAAGATGGTGAGGGTGAATTTTCTCCAAAGTCGACAACTAAATGTTTATATAATAAATGTTTCCTCTCTTGTTCTTTCTTTTTTGCCCCTCTCTTTTGCCTGAAAATCTTGCCAAAGTCGACAACTAGCTACAAAATTCGCCCAACAAAGCAGGCAGAAAACTATATATACGGAATAATTCTTCATTTACATACTTGCCAATTTCTACTCTACCCTTCTCTCATTTCCCATCTTTAACCTACAGAACAAATTTCGCTTATGGGTCATAAGCCTACTCTCTCCGCCGTCCTGAACTGCATTCTTACGGGCGAAAATATGACCGTGAGCCGAGCATGATCAGACAGAGAGTAGTTCTCCGGCCACATTCCTCGCTCCACTTCTCGTGGAAACAGAACGGCGTCCTTCACCTTGAAACCGACCACTTCCTCCGCCATCTCCTTTCCGTAATCTGGACTTTCGGCGTAATTATCGTCTCTTTGAGCCAGACGACACGAGGAGTTCCATATCCTCTTCTACATGATCCAAGATAGAGAAAAAAACTATATATGAAAGAGATTTAGGTGTTGAAACTTTGATGGCAAAGTGAGATAGATGCTCAATGAGTACCTTAAATTCTTCGTAATCGATGATTCCATTTCCGTCTATGTCTGCTTGGTTCCATAAATCTTTCGTCTCTTGGTAACTCAGTCCGTATGGAAGACCGATTAAGTGAACCTGGAAGAAGGGAAGGGATTGAATCAACTTAATGGATAATCCATCAGTCCACTTTACTATATCATCTTCTAGTAGTAAAAAGTAATGGCAGTTCAATGGATTCCTTTTAGTTTATGGGACTTGAACACCATCCAGAAACCAAAATCCATCAGACAAAAGAATGTCGAAATTTGTAATTTCTTAAGCCCATCTACTTCTCACAATCCATAATTAAGAAATCCATCAACCAAACGAGGCCGAAAAATACAATACCTGGCGAAGCCCTTCACAGAAACTCGAGTACGTTATAAAATCTCCAGGGTTGTCAGCCTTCAAAAATGCAAACGCATCACTATCGTTCAGTGAACCCTTTTGGAGCTGACACTACAAAATTAGAAAAATCACATATCAGATACATATCCAGAATCGATGTGTAAAACAGAAGAGAAGAGAAAGAACAGAGAAACTAGATCTGACTGAACACCATCATGAACTAGAATCAGAAAGAACTGTAAAGAAAAGAGCTTAAAGAGAAAGAAGGAAAAAAATGAGTTGATTAAAACCACCTTTATTATACCAAATGCTGCTTCGGCCCAACTTGTCTTTAATGGTTTGGTTGGTTCATTAGGGTTACGGAGCCATATGAAATCAACGCCGCAGATGTTACCCCTATGATTTCTGTGGCTTACCCACTGTAGAGTAGAACACAGGAGAAAATGCGACGTGATAAGCAACAAGTCAACTATTGAAAGTTAAAAAGGACAATGAAGGCAACCAATTGGACTCGATAACTAACCCTGTGAGCATCATCATCACTGTCAGTGTACTTATGAGCAATGTCATACGACGATGCAAACCCTTGAGACCGAAGGAATTTATAAACGCGGCCCCTTTTGCTTCCATTCCAGTCGCTGTAGAAAGTAGTAGAGCCATGAGAAATCATGGTGACATGAAGTTCCACGAAGCTCCCCCACATTAAATAATGCAAACAAAAAGTCAAAACTCACCCAGACAGAACGACAGGCACACCACCAAGTTTGTTTTCTCGTTGATATGTCTCCACATACTGTAATATTTTATAGACCTGCCGAGACAAAAACATGAGGCGCCCATGTTAGTCTGGAGATTGAAAAGCATCCCAAGAATTAGAACTGTTATGTTCTAGAGCAAAAGGGGAAAACAAAAACGTCCAGAGAAAATTGGCATACCTGATGCAACCTCGCTATGGACAGACTGGAATTATGAGGAAATAACAAATGTGTGTTGACTATTAGAAGCTCTTGCCGGGTGTCATTTTTCCGATTGCTACATGAAGAGGGTATTGTCAACTGAACATGCAATAGCTGGGCAACACGGTCTCCAAAATCATTGAAGAGCAACTCCCGATAATTTAGAATCCTAAAGTAGTCCTTGTGCACTGCCATTAGCAAGCCTGCAAATATAAGGTAAAGTTCAGAAGGGTACTAGGGAAGCAAATTTGAGAAGCTGAATCAAACAAGTTGACTGATGATCATAACAATCAACTATATCTTCAATCCCCAGCAGATAGATACAAGCAAAAGCAAATCCCAGCAAGAGTAGGATAGAGAGGGCGAACACACACATACGCGAACACAAAATTCCGTCTCGACATTCACACTCAATCGATCCTTAAGGGTTTGCATTTCCTTTGAACTGCAACCAAGCCGAGCAATGATGCAATATGGAAAATTATAGTCCTTTCACAATTAAACACTTTTCCATCGATGAGATTTGGTGGCAAAGTTCGAACAAAGGGTGCGTTGGAAGATGCAGGATTTGAAACAAGAAATGGAAATTTGAATTTTTTATGAGAAAAACATGTTTACCATCTCCCCGGTTGTTCGTTCTGGCAAGTTGAAAGGTGAAATAGCCAGCGTCACAGAGCTTGTCCTCGTACATATGCACAAGTTCTTCATTTCCCGTCCAGAATTCCTGTTGCCGGACAAGAGCAAGAGCCCAATTAACATCATTTTAAGTTCTACGCTTTCTCAGGGAAACAGAAAAATCAGATCCATTCATTGTAAAAAAGAATCAAGAGAAACGGCGGGAAGAGAAAGAAGAAAGGTCTATCAATAAATCGATCATCAAATCACCTGGAGGCATATGATGGAAGTTCTTTCCATAAGCAACCATTCCAAAATCATCTGGTTCCGGGATAGCCAGAAAGCTCTGAAATCGCTTTCACGGAGGCTTTGGTTCTGTGAAACCGAACAGCAAGAATGAATTCGGATTCAACACGATCCGTAAAAGAATTTAGGCGGTCAAATCTATCTCTCTCCCATACCTGTTTGTCGAGGCGCTTGTAGATAGGAGCCAGGATGTTGAAAGTAGTACAAGATATATGGCACAATTCATCCGCCATTGATGAAGGAGGAGAAGCCGTCGCTTGCTGCCCCGTCGCCGTCGTAGTGGTACACGCAGCATCATTTCCCGGCGGTGGCCTGGGGATGGCTCCATTGAACATATTCGCTTCGTTACCGCCACCACCGACGGAATTAGCGGTGGCGGGCTCCACCACAGCTACCTGTTTCAAACCAACCGGCCTCTCAGTTTCGTTCACAAAAGCCAGAAACACAAACGCCGCCATCAAACAAACGATCGCCCCAATTTGCAGGAAGTTAACAGAGATTCCACGTACCATTCTTTCTTCTTCTTCTTCGTCTTCTATCTCCCTTCGCTCATAGACAGCGGCCGGAACGGGGACGGGGACAGGCGGAGGAAGAGAATCAAGTTCTTCAGCAGAGCTCAATCACGATGGCGAGGATTATCAATGTAATGGCGTTTGATTGAGGTTTGGCAGTTCGGATGAAGGGAGAGGAAAGAGGGGTTTTCGGAATTTATAGAGAGAGGCTCGGTTTGGGTTTTTTCCCTTACTTTTTAGTTTTTCCCTGGGATTTATTAGTGTTTGTTTGAGTTAAATGATTGATTTGATTATCACAATTGATTAGTTAATTGATGTTTTGTATTTTAGTCGTGACAAAAACAAATATCAGGAAAATATTTTGTTGTTAATTAGTAGTCAGTTGTTCTTCTTCTCGTTTTCGAGGGGGTAATTAAAATCCTATTTCCGCAGCTATTTCCCATTTCTAATTCTGTTTTTATTTTTTCCTTTCAAATTTAGGATGGTGATTGTACAATACAAGTACAACTGGCTAGCAAACTATTTTTAAAAGGAACCACAATTCATTTCTGTGGGCTGCAGCCTGCAAGCCTGCAACTGCAAGCAAAGGTGCCGCATCACTTTAAGTCGTTAAGTTGGTTTAGCAAGTGTTAGAACCATACTAACATATTTATTAAGTGTATTATATTATTTTTTTCTTCCCCTTCTCCATACTCATTTTGTTTCATTTACGTACCTTTTCTAGATTTCATTTATAAATTACATTTTCGGTACGTAAACTTAATAGCTATTAATATTTAGTACCTCAAATTATTTTTTTACATTCGAGTACTAAAAATATTGATGAAAATTATATTTTAGTTCCGGAAATTATCCCCTTACATTTTGGAACCTAAATTTTTTCAAATTTACAAACAGGTCCACTACTTTTGGCATGCTTTGTGGTTGTGGCATGTTTGAGGAGGTTGTGGCATGATTTGAGGTTCTGACCTGTTTTGAGGTTGTGGCATGCTTTGAGGAGATTGTACCATGCTTGGGGAAGGGTCTCCCTTCCTTCCTTCCTCCCCTTCCCCAATTTTTCATAATACCAAGTGTGCCCCTTCTACCCCTTCCCCCTCATTAATTGTGGTCAACTCATTTAAATGGAAAAATCATTTAAGCGAAATGTTCTGATTGGCTAGAGAGAGTGTTAGCACCATACTAAAAAAAATGTTAGATTAAGTATACATAATTTTGTAATACATGCATTCTGCGTTCAACTTAAGTAAAAAAATTATGTATTCTGCATGGTGCATATATATTCACAAGGCAAAATTAGAATTGAAGGTTCAAATGAGGCCTGAGTAAATTATGTTCCGTTAAAATTATAATAATTATGATTATTGAAAACCGAGAGAGGATCCTTGCATAATTTAAGTGTGCATAACCATGCACATCATTGCCACGTCACTATTTATAGAAGGTGACTAACCTTTTTCACTATAAATTTTAACATGCTATATCTCTTTTGTTTTAAGTCGTAATTTATTTTAACAGATAAATCAAATTTATCGTGTTATTCAAAATGATATCCATTATGATATATTTTGTAACAAAACTAATTGAGATATTTATTACCAGTCTATACCAAGATTGTAATGCTTGGTACTACATAAGATCGTGCGTGGTACGAAAGTGTATCATGGTGGTATGGACATACGGGAGTGTATAATGATTGAATACACGATAGTAGGAATATACAAAGTGTCATGTACCACATTCATCATTGTTTATCACTAGTTACCACCCCGCAGATTATGGTGGTATGGAGTGTTACATTTTGGTCCTATATATTATTTTCCTGAAATTTATAGATCGAATAGATCACAATGAACTTATTCTCTCTCTGCAAAAAAAAAAAAAAAAAATTCAAAATTCGAGTTAAAAATGAAGGCGGTACCATGTGGTAACGAGTGATATGACTTTTTTTGTCAAAATATATTGAAAATAGATTTCATTTTGTAGATCACAACAAACTCTTTCAATCTGTGCACTTTTTTAAACCAATTTAAAACAAAGAAAATAAAAACCAATTAAGATATCTAAAAAAATGTACGAAACCATTAATTCTCACTTTTCAAATCTCAACTACGCCTTTCTCGGCCTTTTGGCTAAGATCAAGTGTAATAAATCTCAACCCTTCTGACTCAACTCAAAACTAAATAGCCGGAATTTAATTACGCCTGGTTAAAGCACCCTATTTTAAACCTCGAAAACCTCTAGTTCAGCTTCAGTTTTGGATTTTCGAGTGTCAAATGAAACAAAGATATTGGATGCGAGCTAGTCCCCGTGTAGCAATTAATGTTCTGGAATGTTCTGAGTACTGAAAAAGCATAGCTGAGTTAAGGAAACATGGAGCCCACAGATCCCCTTGTTGAGGAAGCTTATACATGGAAGGGGAATGCACTTTTTTAGGAGACCACAGCCAATTCCACAAATCACATTTGGTCATCGTCCTCCTCTCTCCTTCTCCTTCTACTTCTTCACTGTACAGTAACCCTTAACGCGCCTTCCACCCTTCTTCTCAGTCTCACTACTCAGATTCTCCCAAAAGTTTCCCATTTTTAACTAAAATTTCAGTCTCTGAAAAAACTAAACTTCTCGGTGAAGGGACTTACTCAGGATGGTGAGGGAAGATGCCTACTATAAGTACACTTCATTTTCACCACCACTTCTCTCAACTCAATCACTTGTGGGAAGAACAACAAGAAAGACAAAAACAGAGCGAAAAAACAGAGCAAAAATTGAAGGCAAATGTGGAGTAGTGCAGGGTATTATGGTGGTGACGAGGAGGAGGAGATGGTTGGATACAGGTTTCACCCATCCGAAGAACAGCTGGTGAATCACTATCTGAAGCTGAAGATGCAGGGCCGCGATCACGAAGTTCGCCGCATTGCTGAAGTCAATGTCAGCAAGTTCGAACCTTGGGAGCTACCAGGTAAAATTAATCACCCAACAATCTTATCAAACAGATCAAGATGTTAGTTAGTATACGTTGTTGCTATTTACTTGACGGCGGATAATCTGCTGTCGATTGAGAGTCACTTATACTGATGATGTGGTTGAAAAAAACGGGAGCAGGGCAAGCGTGTACAGAGGTGGACACGGACGAGTCGGTTTGGTATTTCTTGGCTGCTCCGGATTACAAGTACGCCAACAGCAAGCGAGCTAACCGGACGACCAAGGCCGGTTACTGGAAGCCCACCGGCAAGGAAAGGATGGTTCGGGCTGAAAGCACCGGCGAGGAGATTGGCACGAAAAGGACTTTGGTTTTCTATAAAGGTCGAGTCCCGAAAGGGGTGAAGACACATTGGATCATGCACGAGTACAAGTCCTTCTTCAACTTCCCCAACCAGGTAACCTGTTTTGAGAGTGTCTCGACACATTCATGTGTACTTTCTTAGCTAATTTGCTCTAGTGCAACTTTTTTCTCTCTGTGTAGCGTGATTTTCTTCTGTACAAGCTAATGGAAAACAGTGATGATGATGGTGATGGTGGTGATGAAATGCAAGCAAATCTGGAAGGAGGAGGAGGAGGACAAGCAAGTTCAGTGATGTCCTGTAATTATGACAATCCGAGTCCGTACGAGAATTATGCTGCTGTCAACTTTCAGAACAATGAACCCAGAGTGAGTGTTGTAGCACTTAGTTAATTATGATTTATGCTCAAGTTGTTTTGATCTTTTAGTGATTGGTAAGGAAATCTGTCCTTTTATTTTGTTTCTGCAGGAAGACTCTCAGATACAAGCATATCTGGATTCCTTTACAGGGTATGATGAAAGCAGTTACAACCTTAACTCTGCAATGCAGCCATGGATGTATAACACAGGGGATACCTCTTCTTCTAGTTATGATCCTTACCCTGGATATGGATGATATTCAACCAAGCTCATGCTCGTCAAATCTTCAAAGTTAACCAACCTTAGGAGTCCTGTAATGTTTGTACTCTGCTGGAATACCAGCTGTGTTACTATTTGTGTATTGTATTTTGTCAGTGTGTAAAACATCTTGCCTGGCTGCTTGAAACCAGAGATTATTGTATAATGCTGTCACTCATCACTAGTCTTTGTTTTGTTTCTTTTGCTTAGGTTCCAACGTGATGTAATCTACTTCTTGTAATCGTGATTTTCATATTGCAATATAAGCACATCACCTTGTAAAAAAAATCTAGTGGCCATGAACATTTGTTTGACACCTATACTTGTGACGATCATTTAGCACATTTCAAGTGTCACGATTGTCGAATTTACTTTTGGCCAAAAGGACACTTTTGCTGAAATAAAGGGAACCTCCCGCACTAAGAGACAGCAAACGTCCCGATATATAATAGGACAAAGACCTAAGCGCGTATACTTTTCCATGAAAGGAGTGCCTTTGAATTGAGGTCACGGCGAGAGTCAATGCCGCTTCTTCCATTGCGCTAATCATCCGCCGGTGGTCGTCTCCCCGGGCAGGAATTACCGCGACGGCAGTGGGACATCTAGTCGGCCTTTCGCAATATTTTAATGGAAGCAACCCACTAGCTCTTAACCTTCTTCTTCGTCTTTGTCTCTGGAATTTAACTACTCTCCTTCCCCCTTTTTTTTGGAATCCAAGTTGAGCCGGTTAACTGTCTCGAAATCGAGACGAAGAACTGTTGAATTTCCGATCTGCCGGTGCCCTTCCTGCTGCTCTCTCTCGCTCTCTCTCGACGGTAGTGATCAATGGCGGCTGTGGGCTTTCGTTTCCACCCGACCGACGAAGAGCTCATCGCCCATTACCTGAAGCGTAAGATGAACGGCCACGATGCCCTAGTCGATCAAGTCATGGGCGAAGTGGATGTCTACCGCTTGGAACCATCGGACTTACCCTGTAAGTCAGTGGGGAGAAAGTTTCTCGACTTTTCCCTTCTGGGTTTTGTTCCGATTGCCGAATTCCGCTTTGAGCATTTGACGATTCCCGACGTTTTGGCTTACTTTGTTTGTTCTGTGTGCTAGATCATTCGCTGAATGGTTCGTCGGAGGACCAAGTGTGGTATTTCTTCTGCCGTCCCGATTACAAGTACAAGAACAGTAGAAGGGCCAGCAGGGCGAATGAGAGTGGTTTCTGGAAAATCACAGGAAAGCCCCGTTTCATCTTGGCCAGAGATTCTGGCGACAAAATTGGGGTGAAGAAGACTTTGGTTTTCTTCTACAAAGCCCGCGGCGATGATGCTAAACCCATTAGTACCGACTGGGTTATCCACGAATACAATGCCACAGAACGCCTTCCTGATCAGGTTGGTTTGTTTGCATGCTGTATTTAATGGCTTGCGTTTCTCTTATTATCACCACCACCACTACTAATAATGGTTGATCGACTGTTTTGGAATGATTCAGGTTATGGAACAAAACAAGTGTCCTGCTATTGTTTGTCTAATTTGTTTGTTTGTTAATTTTGGGATAGAGGGAGTATGTTATCTGCAAATTGAAGCACAAAGGGGATGATTGGACGAAGGGTAAAGTTAGCAATAATGGTGAACTTAGTCATACTACACCTGTTTCTGATGTCGAAGATCATGGTCCTGCAATCCCAGTGGTGAGTTGAGAGAATGCATTAATGAATGAGAGTCTCCCTTTTTGCTTCTTTCATGTGAGTTGTGCATGGATGAAAAGTGGAAAGCCATTTCCTCATATTCTCTTTGAATTCTTTTGACTGGCAGCAAGAATCAGCTCCTGCAATGCAATCACCAGTGTGCTTTGAGGAAGGTATATCCATCGATGATTTCTTAGAAGACATCAACTTCACGGAAAAAGCTAATAACGGGTCGACCTTTAGATTTGAGTCTGATGAGGAAGTGGATCCAGACAGTTATCTTGTTTTCCCGGATGATAGCTCCACCATGCATGCTCTCCCTAATGACCATACACCTGAGAAGTCACTGAGCACGTATCATCCAGACGATAGCATTGCAGAGGTACTGATTTTACATTTATTGAGTAGGCTTTGCTTAGAACCTCAAAATCACCTGCCAGAGACATATCCCGTTCTTGAGTAGTATTGGGAATTGTAGTGTCTACTTTGTGCTTTTGAAGATCTTGAGAGATAATAGAAGTGTTTACTTCATCTCTCTTGAACAGGTTAACGTGATTAACACAGTATTTCCTGAGATTTGCGAAGTTCTCTCTGAAGTTGAAGCTTCTTCCACTATGGTTCAGTGGCAGGGTGCACGAGCTGCTTATACACGATCTTCAACTCTCATGCCCCCCACAAATACAAGTTACTTAAAGGCAGCAAGAAAAGTAATGCACTCTGATTTGCGAAGTAGTGTTGTTTTCAATTTTGAAAACAGTAGGAAAGAACTGCGGTTGATAGAAGAATGCACTACTCTAATCGTTTGTGATATATATGTTTCGTGTTAGCAGGTTGAGGAGACAACTGGGCGATTGACTAGAGCTGCAGAAGCTGGGAAGGGAGGACGACTTCCAGAAACTGCAAGATCCACAAATTCCGTCTGCTTTGCGATGGCGCAGCATTCAGGACTGAAGTTGAGCCCGGCAGCTTCAGCAGCTGAAGTGTGCAAGAGACCTGTTTCGATCATACATATGGTGGAGATTCCAGCAAGTCAGGTGCTAAGTCCACCAACTGTATATATCGCCAACATACTGGTGGCTCTGCTGGTATTCGCATTCTTCATCTCCGACCTGCCTTTTCTTCGTTGAAAGATGCTAGCTTTCGTCCACTCGCGTTTGTCAGAAGTGGATTCGTAGGCAAAAGAGTATACGAAGATCCATAGCCCCCTTTTTTGTGTAGGCTGTCGGGGTAATATATATAAGTATATAAGTATAGAGTGCATAGGTATATGGTACGACATAGTAGAGTAGAGTGCTGCAACTAAGCAATGTTTAGGGTCGAGAAATGTGAAGAACATTATGCTTTTTGTTATGTGCTTAAATATAACCATCATCCCTTCTCTATATTGAATCATCATCTCATCGTTGTATGAATTCACTATGCTAACTACATTAGGAAAGAAACAACTGCCCAAACGGAGGACCTCTAGTGAAAATATGTTGGTTAAGGTCGGATTCAACTGTCAATAGATTGAAATGTGATTGACTAAAACCTTAGTACTCCTTCATTATCATCTATATCGGTGGAGAATAGCATCGGTCTGATTCCGTGATCTGTAACCTCCAGAATCGAAAGAAAATAACATTTCGGATAAATCGCCCAAAATCTGTGATGGTACCACTTTGGAATCTGCCAAAAATTGACCCAGAATAAATCCGCCAAAATCGGTGCTTAATGGACTCAATCATCATTGGATAATAGCCTCAGGCCGAATCCGTGATCTGTAGCCTTCAATATCCAAAGAAAATGGCCTTTCGTCGCCCAAGAAATTACGAAAATGCCATCCGAAAATAAATTGGCCCAAATCGATGCTTAACGGACTTATCATCCGTGGAGAATAGGATCAATAGACTTCATTATCGGTGGAGAATAGCCTCGGCCTGATTCCGTGATCTGTAGCCTCCAGAATCGAAAGAAAATGACATTTCTGATAAATTGCCGGAAATCTGTGATGGTACCCCTTTGGAATCTGCCTAAAATTGACCCGGAATAAATCCGCCCAAATCGGTGCTTAATGGACTCAATCATTGTTCGAGAATAGCCTCAGGCCGAATTCGTGATCTGTAGCCTTCAATATCCAAAGAAAATGGCCTTTTGTCACCGAAGAAATTACGAAAATGCTATCCGAAAATAAATTGGCCCAAATCGATGCTTAAAGGACTTATCATCCGTGGAGAATAGGATCAATAGACTTCATTATCGGTGGAGAATAGCCTCGGCTTGATTCCGTGATCTGTAGCCTCCAGAATCAAAAGAAAATGGCATTTCGGATAAATGGCCCGAAATCTGTGAAGATACCCCTTTGGAATCTGCCAAAAATTGACCCGGAATAAATCCGCCTAAATCGGTGCTTAATGGACTCAATCATCTTTGGAGAATAGCCTCAGGCCGAATCGGTGATCTGTAGCCTTCAATATCCAAAGAAAATGGCCATTCGTCGCCGAAGAAATTAGGAAAATGCCATCCGAAAATAAATTGACCCAAATTGATGCTTAAAGGACTTATCATCCGTGGAGAATAAGATAAATAGACTCCATTATCGGTGGAGAATAGCCTCGGCCTGATTCCGTGGTCTGTAGCCTCCAGAATCGAAAGAAAATGGCACTTCGGATAAATCGCCCGAAATCTGTGATGGTACCCCTTTGGAATCTGCCAAAAATTGACCCGGAATAAATCCGCCCAAATCGGTGCTTAATGGACTCAATCATCGTTGGAGAATAGCCTCAGGCCGAATCGGTGATCTGTAGCCTTCAATATCCAAAGAAAATGGCCTTCCGTCGCCCAAGAAATTACGAAAATACCATCCGAAAATAAATTGGCTCAAATCGATGCTTAACAGACTTATCATCCGTGGATAATAGGATCAATAGACTTCATTATCGGTGGAGAATAGCCTCGGCTTGATTTCGTGATCTGTAGCCTCCAGAATCAAAAGAAAATGGCATTTCGGATAAATGGCCTGAAATATGTGATGATACCCCTTTGGAATCTGCCAAAAAGTGACCCGGAATAAATCCGCCCAAATCGGTGCTTAATAGACTCAATCATCGTTAGAGAATAGCCTCAGGCCGAATCCGTGATCTGTTGCTTTCAATATCCAAAGAAAATGGCCTTTCGTCAACGAAGAAAGTAAGAAAATGCCATCCGAAAATAAATTGGCCCAAATCGATGCTTGAAGACTTATCATCCGTGGAGAATAGGATCAATAGACTTCATTATCGGTGGAGAATAGCCTCGTCTTGATTCCGTGATCTGTAGCCTCCAGAATCGAAAGAAAATGGCATTTCAAATAAATGGCCCGAAATCTGTGATGGTACCCCTTTGGAATCTGCCAAAAATTGGCCCGGAATAAATCCACCCAAATCGGTGCTTAATGCACTAAATCATCGTTGGAGAATAGCCTCAGGCCGAATCCTTGATCTTTAGCCTTCAACATCCAAAGAAAATGGCCTTTCGTCGCCCAAGAAATTACGAAAATGCCATCCGAAAATAATTGGCCCAAATCGATGCTTAACGGACTTATCATCCGTGGAGAATAGGATCAATAGACTTCATTATCGGTGGAGAATAGCCTCGTCTTGATTCCGTGATCTGTAGCCTCCAGAATCGAAAGAAAATGGCATTTCAAATAAATGGCCCGAAATCTGTGATGGTACCCCTTTGGAATCTGCCAAAAATTGGCCCGGAATAAATCCACCCAAATCGGTGCTTAATGCACTAAATCATCGTTGGAGAATAGCCTCAGGCCGAATCCTTGATCTTTAGCCTTCAACATCCAAAGAAAATGGCCTTTCGTCGCCCAAGAAATTACGAAAATGCCATCCGAAAATAATTGGCCCAAATCGATGCTTAACGGACTTATCATCCGTGGAGAATAGGATCAATAGACTTCATTATCGGTGGAGAATAGCCACGGCCTAATTCCGTGATTTGTAGCCTCCAGAATCGAAAGAAAATGGCATTTCAGATAAATCGTCGGAAATCTGTGATGGTACCCCTTTGGAATCTGCCAAAAATTGACCCGGAATAAATCCGCCCAAATCGGTGCTTAATGGAGTCCCTCATCGTTGGAGAATAGCCTCAGGCCGAATACGTGATCTGTAGCCTCCAATATCCAAAGAAAATGGCCTTTCGTCACCGAAAAAATTACGAAAATGCCATCCGAAAATAAATTGGCCCAAATCGATGATTAACGGACTTATCATCTGTGGAGAATGGGATCAATAGACTTCATTATCTGTGGAGAATAGCCTCGGATTGATTTCGTGATCTGTAGCCTCCAGAATCAAAAGAAAACGGCATTTCGGATAAATGGCACGAAATCTGAGATGGTACCCCTTTGGAATCTGACAAATATTGAAACAGAATAAATTCGCCAAAATCGATGCTTAATGGACTCAATCATCGTTGGAGAATAGCCTCAGGCCAAATCCGTGATCTGTACCGTTCAATATCCAAAGAAAATGGCCTTTCGTCGCCCAATAAATTAAAAAAATACCATCACAAAATAAATTGGCCGAAATCGATGCTTACCGGACTTATCATCCGTGGATAATGGGATCAATAGACTTAATTATCAGTGGAGAATAGCCTCGGCCTGATTACGTGATCTGTAGCCTCGAGAATCAAAAGAAAATGGCATTTCGGATAAATGGCCCGAAATCTGTGATGGTACCCCTTTGGAATCTGCCAAAAATTGACCCAGAATAAATCCGCCCAAATCGGTGCTTAATGGACTCAATCATCGTTGGAGAATAGCCTCAGGCCGAATCCGTGATCTGTAGCCTTCAATATCCAAAGAAAATGGCCTTTCGTCACCGAAGAAATTACGAAAATGCCATCCGAAAATAAATTGGCCCAGATCGATGCATCAAGGACTTATCATACGTGGAGAATAGGATCAATAGACTTCATTATCTGTGGAGAAAAGCCTCGGCTTGATTTCGTGATCTGTAGCCTCCAGAATCAAAAGAAAATGGCATTTCGGATAAATGGCCCAAAATCTGTGATGGTACCGCTTTGGAATCTGCCAAAAATTGACCCGGAATAAATCCACCCAAATCGGTGCTTAATGGACTCAATCATCGTTGGAGAATAGCATTAGGCCAAATTCGTGATCTGTAGCCTTCAATATCCAAAAAAATGGCCTTTCGTCGCCCAAGAAATTACGAAAATGCCATCCGAAAATAAATTGGCCCATATCGATGCTTAACGGACTTATCATCCGTGGAGAATATGATCAATAGACTTCATTATCGGTGGAGAATAGGCTCGGCTTGATTCCGTGATCTGTAGCCTCCAGAATCAAAAGAAAATGGCATTTCGGATAAATGGCCTGAAATCTGTGATGGTACCCCCTTTGGAATCTGCCAAAAATTCACCCGGAATAAATCCGCCCAAATCGGTGCTTAATGGACTCAATCATCGTTGGAGAATAGCCTCAGGCCGAATCCGTGATCTATTGCTTTCAATATCTAAAGAAAATGGCCTTTCGTCACCGAAGAAATTACGAAAATGCCATCCGAAAATAAATTGAACCAAATCGATGCTTAACGGACATATCATCCGTGGAGAATAGGATCAATAGACTTCATTATCGGTGGAGAATAGGCTTGGCTTGATTCCGTGATCTGTAGCCTCCAGAATCGAAAGAAAATGGCATTTCGGTTAAATCATCGAAATCTGTGATGCTACTCCTTTGGAATCTGCCAAAAATTGACCCGGAATAAATCCGCCCAAATCGGTGCTTAATGGATTCAATCATCGTTGGAGAATAGCCTCAGGCCGAATCCGTGATCTGTAGCCTTCAATATCCAAAGAAAAAGGCCTTTCGTCACCGAAGAAATTACGAAAATGCTATCCGAAAATAAATTGGCCCAAATCTATGCTTAAAGGACTTATCATCCGTGGAGAATAGGATCAATAGACTTCATTATCGGTGGAGAATAGCCTCGGCTTGATTCCGTGATCTGTAGCCTCCAGAATCGAAAGAAAATGGCGTTTCGGATAAATGGCCCAAAATCTGTGATGGTACCCCTTTGGAATCTGCCAAAAATTGACCCGGAATAAATCCTCCCAAATCGTTGCTTAATGGACTCAAATATCGTTGGAGAATAGCTTCAGGCCGAATCCGTGATCTGTTGCTTTCAATATCCAAAGAAAATGGCCTTTCGTTGCCCAAGAAATTATGAAAATGCCATCCGAAAATAAATTGGCCCAAATCGATGCTTAACGGACTTATCATCCCTGGAGAATAGGATCAATAGACTTCATTATCGGTGGAGTATAGCCTCGGCCTGATTTCGTGATCTGTAGCCCCCATAATCGAAAGAAAATGGCATTTCGGATAAATCGCCTGAAATCGGTGATGGTACACCTTTCGAATGTGCCAAAAATTGACCCTGAATAAATCCGCCCAAATCGGTGCTTAATGGACTCAATCATCGTTGGAGAATAGCCTCAGGCCGAATCCGTGATCTTTAGCCTTCAATATCCAAAGAAAATGGCATTTCGTCGCCCAAGAAATTACGAAAATGTCATCCGAAAATAAATTGGCCCATATCGATGCTTAACGGACATATTATCCGTGGAAAATAGGATCAATAGATTTCATTATCGGTGGAGAATAGCCTCGGCCTGATTTCATGATCTGTAGCCCACTGAATAGCAAGAAAATGGCATTTCGGATAAATCGCCCGAAATCTGTGATGGTACCCCTTTGAAATCTGCCAAAAATTGACCCCGAATAAATCCTCCCAAATCGGTGCTTAATGGACTCAATCATCGTTGGAGAATAGCCTCAGGCCGAATCCGTGATCTGTAGCCTGCAATATCCAAAGAAACTGGTCTTTCGTCGCCCAAGAAATTACGAAAATGCCATTAGAAAATAAATTGGCGCAAATCGATGCTTAACGGACTTATCATTCGTGGAGAATAGGATCAATAGACTTCATTATCGGTGGAGAATAGCCTCGGCCTGATTCCGTGATCTGTAGCCTCCAGAATCAAAAGAAAATGGCATTTCGGATAAATGGCCCGAAATCTGTGATGGTACACCTTTGGAATCTGCCAAAAATTGACCCGGAATAAATCCGCCCAAATCGGTGCTTAATGGACTCAATCATCATTGGAGAATAGCCTCAGGTCGAATCCGTGATCTGTAGCCTTCAATATCCAAAGAAAATTGCCTTTCGTCACCGAAGAAATTACGAAAATGCCATCCGAAAATAAATTGGCCCAAATCGATGCTTAAAGTTCTTATCATCCGTGGAGAATAGGATCAATAGACTTCATTATAGGTGGAGAATAGCCTCGGCTTGATTCCATGATCTATAGCTTCCAGAATCAAAAGAAAATGGCATTTCGGATAAATGGCCCGAAATCTATGATGGTACCCCTTTGGAATCTGCAAAAAATTGACCCGGAATAAATCCGCCCAAATCGGTGCTTAATGGACTCAATCATCATTGCAGAATAGCCTCAGGCCGAATCCGTGATCTGTAGTCTTCAATATCCAAAGAAATTGGCCTTTCGTCACCGAAGAAATTACGAAAATGCCATCCGAAAAAAAATTAGCCCAAATCGATGCTTAACGGACTTATCATCCGTGGAGAATAGGATCAATAGACTTCATTATCAGTGGAGAATAGCCTCGGCTTGATTCCGTGATCTGTAGCCTCCAGAATCGAAGAAAATGGCATGTCGGATAAATGGCCTGAAATCTGTGATGGTACCCCTTTGGAATCTGCCAAAAATTGTCCCGGAATAAATCCGCCCAAATCAGTGCTTAATGGACTCAATCATCGTTGGATAATAGCCTCAGGCCGAATTCCTGATCTGTATCCTTCAATATCCCAAGAAAATGGAATTTCGTCGCCCAAGAAATTACGAAAATGCCATCCGAAAATAAATTGGCCCAAATCGATGCTTAACGGACTTATTATCCGTGGAAAATAGGATCAATAGACTTCATTATCGGAGGAGAATACCCTCGGCTTGATTTCGTGATTTGTAGCCCCCAGAATCGATAGAAAATGGCATTTCGGATAAATCGCTCGAAATCTGTGATGGTACCCCTTTGGAATCTGCCAAAAATTGGCCCGGAATAAATCCGCCCAAATCGGTGATTAATGGACTCAATCATCGTTGGAGAATAGCCTCAGGCCGAATCCGTGATCTGTAGCCTTCAATATCCAAAGAAAAAGGCCTTTCGTCACCGAAGAAATTACGAAAACGCTATCCAAAAATAAATTGGCCCAAATCGATGCTTAAAGGACTTATCATCCGTGGAGAATAGGATCAATAGACTTCATTATCGGTGGAGAATAGCCTCGGTTTGATTCCGTGATCTGTAGCCTCCAGAATCGAAAGAAAATGGCGTTTCGGATAAATGGCCCAAAATCAGTGATGGTACCCCTTTGGAATCTGCCAAAAATAGACCCGGAATAAATCCTCCCAAATCGGTGCTTAAAGGACTCAAATATCGTTGGAGAATAGCTTCAGGCCGAATCCGTGATCTGTAGCCTTCAATATCCATAGAAAATGGCCTTTCGTCACCGAAGAAATTACGAAAATGCCATCCGAAAATAAATTGGCCCAAATTGATGCTTAAAGGACTTATCATCCGTGGAGAATAGGATCAATAGACTTCATTATCTGTGGAGAATAGCCTCGGCTTGATTCCGTGATCTATAGCCTCCAGAATCGAAAGAAAATGGCATTTCGGATAAATGGCCTGAAATCTGTGATGGTACCCCCTTTGGAATCTGCCAAAAATTCGCCCGGAATAAATTCGCCCAAATCGGTGCTTAATGGACTCAATCATCGTTGGAGAATAGCCTCAGGCCGAATCCGTGATCTGTAGCCTTCAATATCCAATGAAAATGGCCTTTCGTCACCGAAGAAATTACGAAAATGCCATCTGAAAATAAATTGAACCAAATCGATGCTTAACGGACATATCATCCGTGGAGAATAGGATCAATAGACTTCATTATCGGTGGAGAATAGGCTCGGCTTGATTCCGTGATCTGTAGCCTCCAGAATCGAAAGAAAATGGCATTTCGGATAAATCATCGAAATCTGTGATGGTACTCCTTTGGAATCTGCCAAAAATTGACCCGGAATAAATCCGCCCAAATCGGTGCTTAATGGATTCAATCATCGTTGGAGAATAGCCTCAGGCCGAATCCGTGATCTGTAGCCTTCAATATCCAAAGAAAAAGGCCTTTCGTCACCGAAGAAATTACGAAAATGCTATCCAAAAATAAATTGGCCCAAATCGATGCTTAAAGGACTTATCATCCGTGGAGAATAGGATCAATAGACTTCATTATCGGTGGAGAATAGCCTCGGCTTGATTCCGTGATCTGTAGCCTCCATAATCGAAAGAAAATGGCATTTCGGATAAATCGCCTGAAATCGGTGATGGTACACCTTTCGAATGTGCCAAAAATTGACCCTGAATAAATCCGCCCAAATCGGTGCTTAATGGACTCAATCATCGTTGGAGAATAGCCTCAGGCCGAATCCGTGATCTTTAGCCTTCAATATCCAAAGAAAATGGCATTTCGTCGCCCAAGAAATTACGAAAATGTCATCCGAAAATAAATTGGCCCAAATCGATGCTTAACGGACATATTATCCGTGGAAAATAGGATCAATAGATTTCATTATCGGTGGAGAATAGCCTCGGCCTGATTTCATGATCTGTAGCCCACTGAATAGCAAGAAAGTGGCATTTCGGATAAATCGCCCGATATCTGTGATGGTACCCCTTTGAAATCTGCCAAAAATTGACCCCGAATAAATCCTCCCAAATCGGTGCTTAATGGACTCAATCATCGTTGGAGAATAGCCTCAGGCCGAATCCGTGATCTGTAGCCTGCAATATCCAAAGAAACTGGCCTTTCGTCGCCCAAGAAATTACGAAAATGCCATCAGAAAATAAATTGGCGCAAATCGATGCTTAACGGACTTATCATTCGTGGAGAATAGGATCAATAGACTTCATTATCGGTGGAGAATAGCCTCGGCCTGATTTCGTGATCTGTAGCCTCCAGAACCGAAAGAAAATGGCATTTCGGATAAATGGCCTGAAATATGTGATGGTACCCCTTTGAAATCTGCCAAAAATTGACCCGGAATAAATCCGCCCAAATCGGTGCTTAATGGACTCAATCATCGTTGGAGAATAGCCTCAGGCCGAATCCGTGATCTGTAGCCTGCAATATCCAAAAAAAATGGCCTTTCGTCGCCCAAGAAATTACGAAAATGCCATCCGAAAATAAATTGGCCCAAATCGATGCTTAACGGACTTATCATCCGTGGAGAATAGGATTAATAGACTTCATTATCGGTGGAGAATAGCCTCGGCCTAATTCCGTGATTTGTAGCCTCCAGAATTGAAAGAAAATGGCATTTCAGATAAATCGTCGGAAATCTGTGATGGTACCCATTTGGAATCTGCCAAAAATTGACCCGGAATAAATCCGCCCAAATCGGTGCTTAATGGAGTCAATAATCGCTGGAGAATAGCCTCAGGCCGAATCCGTGATTTGTAGCCTTCAATATCCAAAGAAAATGGCCTTTCGTCACCGAAGAAATTACAAAAATGCCATCTGAAAATAAATTGAACCAAATCGATGCTTAACGGACTTATCATCCGTGGAGAATAGGATCAATAGACTTCATTATCAGTGGAGAATAGGCTCGGCTTGATTCCGTGATCTGTAGCTTCCAGAATCGAAAGAAAATGGCATTTCGGATAAATCGTCGAAATCTGTGATGGTACCCCTTTGGAATCTGCCAAAAATTCACCCGGAATAAATCCGCCCAAATCGGTGATTAATGGACTCAATCATCGTTGGAGAATAGCCTCAGGCCGAATCCGTGATCTATAGCCTTCAATATCCAAAGAAAAAGGCCTTTCGTCACCGAAGAAATTACGAAAAATGCTATCTGAAAATAAATTGGCCCAAATCGATGCTTAAAGGACTTATCATCCGTGGAGAATAGGATCAATAGACTTCATTATCGGTGGAGAATAGCCTCGGCTTGATTCCGTGATCTGTAGCCTCCAGAATCGAAGGAAAATGGCGTTTCGGATAAATGGCCCAAAATCAGTGATGGTACCCCTTTGGAATCTGCCAAAAATAGACCCGGAATAAATCCTCCCAAATCGGTGCTTAAAGGACTCAAATATCGTTGGAGAATAGCTTCAGGCCGAATCCGTGATCTGTAGCCTTCAATATCCATAGAAAATGGCCTTTCGTCACCGAAGAAATTACGAAAATGCCATCCGAAAATAAATTGGCCCAAATTGATGCTTAAAGGACTTATCATCCGTGGAGAATAGGATCAATAGACTTCATTATCTGTGGAGAATAGCCTCGGCTTGATTCCGTGATCTATAGCCTCCAGAATCGAAAGAAAATGGCATTTCGGATAAATGGCCTGAAATCTGTGATGGTACCCCCTTTGGAATCTGCCAAAAATTCACCCGGAATAAATCCGCCCAAATCGGTGCTTAATGGACTCAATCATCGTTGGAGAATAGCCTCAGGCCAAATCCGTGATCTGTAGCCTTCAATATCCAAAGAAAATGGCCTTTCGTCACCGAAGAAATTACGAAAATGCCATCTGAAAATAAATTGAACCAAATCGATGCTTAACGGACATATCATCCGTGGAGAATAGGATCAATAGACTTCATTATCGGTGGAGAATAGGCTCGGCTTGATTCCGTGATCTGTAGCCTCCAGAATCGAAAGAAAATGGCATTTCGGATAAATCATCGAAATCTGTGATGGTACTCCTTTGGAATCTGCCAAAAATTAACCCGGAATAAATCCGCCCAAATCGGTTCTTAATGGACTCAATCATCGTTGGAGAATAGCCTAAGGCCGAATACGTGATCTGTAGCCTGCAATATCCAAAGAAAATGGCTTTTCGTCGTCAAGAAATTACGAAAATGCCATCCGAAAATAAATTGGCGCAAATCGATGCTTAACGGACTTATCATTCGTGGAGAATAGGATCAATAGACTTCATTATCGGTGGAGAATAGCCTCGGCTTGATTTCGTGATCTGTAGCCTCCAGATTCAAAAGAAAATGCCATTTCGGATAAATAGCGCGAAATATGTGATGGTACCCCTTTGGAATCTGCCAAAAATTGACCCGGAATAAATCTGCCCAAATCGGTGATTAATGGACTCAATCATCGTTGGAGAATAGCCTCAGGCCGAATCCGTGATCTGTAGCCTTCAATATCCAAAGAAAATGGTCTTCCGTCGGCCAAGAAATTACGTAAATGCCATCCGAAAATAAATTGGCCCAAATCGATGCTTAACGGACTTATCATCCGTGGAGAATAGGATTAATAGACTTCATTATCGGTGGAGAATAGCCTCGGCCTAATTCCGTGATTTGTAGCCTCCAGAATCGAAAGAAAATGGCATTTCGGATAAAACGCCTGAAATCTGTGATGGTAGCCCTTTAAATCTGCGAAAAATTGACCCCGAATAAATCCTCCCAAATTGGTGCTTAATGGACTCAATCATCGTTGGAGAATAGCCTCAGGCCGAATCCGTGATTTGTAGCCTTCAATATCCAAAGAAAATGGCCTTTCGTCACCGAAGAAATTACAAAAATGCCATCTGAAAATAAATTGAACCAAATCGATGCTTAACGGACTTATCATCCGTGGAGAATAGGATCAATAGACTTCATTATCGGTGGAGAATAGGCTTGGCTTGATTCCGTGATCTGTAGCTTCCAGAATCGAAAGAAAATGGCATTTCGGATAAATCGTCGAAATCTGTGATGGTACCCCTTTGGAATCTGCCAAAAATTGACACGGAATAAATCCGCCCAAATCGGTGATTAATGGACTCAATCATCGTTGGAGAATAGCCTCAGGCCGAATCCGTGATCTGTAGCCTTCAATATCCAAAGAAAAAGGCCTTTCGTCACCGAAGAAATTACGAAAATGCTATCTGAAAATAAATTGGCCCAAATCGATGCTTAAAGGACTTATCATCCGTGGAGAATAGGATCAATAGACTTCATTATCGGTGGAGAATAGCCTCGGCTTGATTCCGTGATCTGTAGCCTCCAGAATCAAAAGAAAATGGCATTTCGGATAAATGGCCCGAAATCTGTGAAGATACCCCTTTGGAATCTGCCAAAAATTGACCCGGAATAAATCCGCCTAAATCGGTGCTTAATGGACTCAATCATCGTTGGAGAATAGCATCAGGCCAAATTCGTGATCTGTAGCCTTCAATATCCAAAAAAATGGCCTTTCGTCGCCCAAGAAATTACGAAAATGCCATCCGAAAATAAATTGGCCCATATCGATGCTTAACGGACTTATCATCCGTGGAGAATATGATCAATAGACTTCATTATCGGTGGAGAATAGGCTCGGCTTGATTCCGTGATCTGTAGCCTCCAGAATCAAAAGAAAATGGCATTTCGGATAAATGGCCTGAAATCTGTGATGGTACGCCCTTTGGAATCTGCCAAAAATTCACCCGGAATAAATCCGCCCAAATCGGTGCTTAATGGACTCAATCATCGTTGGAGAATAGCCTAAGGCCGAATCCGTGATCTGTAGCCTTCAATATCCAAAGAAAATGGCCTTCCGTCGGCCAAGAAATTACGTAAATGCCATCCGAAAATAAATTGGCCCAAATCGATGCTTAACGGACTTATCATCCGTGGAGAATAGGATCAATAGACTTCATTATCGGTGGAGAATAGGCTCGGCTTGATTCCGTGATCTGTAGCCTCCAGAATCGAAAGAAAATGGCATTTCGGTTAAATCATCGAAATATGTGATGGTACTCCTTTGGAATCTGCCAAAAATTGACCCGGAATAAATCCGCCCAAATCGGTGCTTAATGGATTCAATCATCGTTGGAGAATAGCCTCAGGCCGAATCCGTGATCTGTAGCCTTCAATATCCAAAGAAAAAGGCCTTTCGTCACCGAAGAAATTACGAAAATGCTATCCGAAAATAAATTGGACCAAATCGATGCTTAAAGGACTTATCATCCGTGGAGAATAGGATCAATAGACTTCATTATCGGTGGAGAATAGCCTCGGCTTGATTCCGTGATCTGTAGCCTCCAGAATCGAAAGAAAATGGCGTTTCGGATAAATGGCCCAAAATCTGTGATGGTACCCCTTTGGAATCTGCCAAAAATTGACCCGGAATAAATCCTTCCAAATCGTTGCTTAATGGACTCAAATATCGTTGGAGAATAGCTTCAGGCCGAATCCGTGATCTGTTGCTTTCAATATCCAAAGAAAATGGCCTTTCGTTGCCCAAGAAATTATGAAATTGCCATCCGAAAATAAATTGGCCCAAATCGATGCTTAACGGAGTTATCATCCCTGGAGAATAGGATCAATAGACTTCATTATCGGTGGAGTATAGCCTCGGCCTGATTTCGTGATCTGTAGCCCCCATAATCGAAAGAAAATGGCATTTCGGATAAATCGCCTGAAATCGGTGATGGTACACCTTTCGAATGTGCCAAAAATTGACCCTGAATAAATCCGCCCAAATCGGTGCTTAATGGACTCAATCATCGTTGGAGAATAGCCTCAGGCCGAATCCGTGATTTGTAGCCTTCAATATCCAAAGAAAATGGCCTTTCGTCACCGAAGAAATTACAAAAATGCCATCTGAAAATAAATTGAACCAAATCGATGCTTAACGGACTTATCATCCGTGGAGAATAGGATCAATAGACTTCATTATCGGTGGAGTATAGCCTCGGCCTGATTTCGTGATCTGTAGCCCCCATAATCGAAAGAAAATGGCATTTCGGATAAATCGCCTGAAATCGGTGATGGTACACCTTTCGAATGTGCCAAAAATTGACCCTGAATAAATCCGCCCAAATCGGTGCTTAATGGACTCAATCATCGTTGGAGAATAGCCTCAGGCCGAATCCGTGATTTGTAGCCTTCAATATCCAAAGAAAATGGCCTTTCGTCACCGAAGAAATTACAAAAATGTCATCTGAAAATAAATTGAACCAAATCGATGCTTAACGGACTTATCATCCGTGGAGAATAGGATCAATAGACTTCATTATCAGTGGAGAATAGGCTCGGCTTGATTCCGTGATCTGTAGCTTCCAGAATCGAAAGAAAATGGCATTTCGGATAAATCGTCGAAATCTGTGATGGTACCCCTTTGGAATCTGCCAAAAATTGACCCGGAATAAATCCGCCCAAATTGGTGATTAATGGACTCAATCATCGTTGGAGAATAGCCTCAGGCCGAATCCGTGATCTGTAGACTTCAATATCCAAAGAAAAAGGCCTTTCGTCACCGAAGAAATTACGAAAATGCTATCCGAAAATAAATTGGCCCAAATCGATGCTTAAAGGACTTATCATCCGTGGAGAATAGGATCAATAGACTTCATTATCGGTGGAGAATAGCCTCGGCTTGATTCCGTGATCAGTAGCCTCCAGAATCGAAAGAAAATGGCGTTTCGGATAAATGGCCCAAAATCAGTGATGGTACCCCTTTGGAATCTGCCAAAAATTGACCCGGAATAAATCCTCCCAAATCGGTGCTTAAAGGACTCAAATATCGTTGGAGAATAGCTTCAGGCCGAATCCGTGATCTGTAGCCTTCAATATCCATAGAAAATGGCCTTTCGTCACCGAAGAAATTACGAAAATGCCATCCGAAATTAATTTGGCCCAAATTGATGCTTAAAGGACTTATCATCCGTGGAGAATAGGATCAATAGACTTCATTATCTGTGGAGAATAGCCTTGGCTTGATTCCGTGATCTGTAGCCTCCAGAATCGAAAGAAAATGGCATTTCGGATAAATGGCCTGAAATCTGTGATGGTACCCCCATTGGAATCTGCCAAAAATTCACCCGGAAGAAATCCGCCCAAATCGGTGCTTAATGGACTCAATCATCGTTGGACAATAGCCTCAGGCCGAATCCGTGATCTGTAGCCTTCAATATCCAAAGAAAATGGCCTTTCGTCACCGAAGAAATTACGAAAATGCCATCTGAAAATAAATTGAACCAAATCGATGCTTAATGGACATATCATCCGTGGAGAATAGGATCAATAGACTTCATTATCGGTGGAGAATAGGCTCGGCTTGATTCCGTGATCTGTAGCCTCCAGAATCGAAAGAAAATGGCATTTCGGATAAATCATCGAAATCTGTGATGGTACTCCTTTAGAATCTGCCAAAAATTAACCCGGAATAAATCCGCCCAAATCGGTGCTTAATGGACTCAATCATCGTTGGAGAATAGCTTAAGGCCGAATACGTGATCTGTAGCCTGCAATATCCATAGAAAATGGCTTTTCGTCGCCAAGAAATTACGAAAATGCCATCCGAAAATAAATTGGCGCAAATCGATGCTTAACGGACTTATCATTCGTGGAGAATAGGATCAATAGACTTCATTATCGGTGGAGAATAGCCTCGGCTTGATTTCGTGATCTGTAGCCTCCAGAATCAAAAGAAAATGCCATTTCGGATAAATAGCCCGAAATATGTGATGGTACCCCTTTGGAATCTGCCAAAAATTGACCCGGAATAAATCTGCCCAAATCGGTGATTAATGGACTCAATCATCGTTGGAGAATAGCCTCAGGCCGAATCCGTGATCTGTAGCCTTCAATATCCAAAGAAAATGGCCTTCCGTCGGCCAAGAAATTACGTAAATGCCATCCGAAAATAAATTGGCCCAAATCGATGCTTAACGGACTTATCATCCGTGGAGAATAGGATTAATAGACTTCATTATCGGTGGAGAATAGCCTCGGCCTAATTCCGTGATTTGTAGCCTCCAGAATCGAAAGAAAATGGCATTTCGGATAAAACGCCTGAAATCTGTGATGGTAGCCCTTTGAAATCTGCGAAAAATTGACCCCGAATAAATCCTCCCAAATTGGTGCTTAATGGACTCAATCATCGTTGGAGAATAGCCTCAGGCCGAATCCGTGATTTGTAGCCTTCAATATCCAAAGAAAATGGCCTTTCGTCACCGAAGAAATTACAAAAATGCCATCTGAAAATAAATTGAACCAAATCGATGCTTAACGGACTTATCATCCGTGGAGAATAGGATCAATAGACTTCATTATCGGTGGAGAATAGGCTTGGCTTGATTCCGTGATCTGTAGCTTCCAGAATCGAAAGAAAATGGCATTTCGGATAAATCGTCGAAATCTGTGATGGTACCCCTTTGGAATCTGCCAAAAATTGACACGGAATAAATCCGCCCAAATCGGTGATTAATGGACTCAATCATCATTGGAGAATAGCCTCAGGCCGAATCCGTGATCTGTAGCCTTCAATATCCAAAGAAAAAGGCCTTTCGTCACCGAAGAAATTACGAAAATGCTATCTGAAAATAAATTGGCCCAGATCGATGCTTAAAGGACTTATCATCCGTGGAGAATAGGATCAATAGACTTCATTATCGGTGGAGAATAGCCTCGGCTTGATTCCGTGATCTGTAGCCTCCAGAATCAAAAGAAAATTGCATTTCGGATAAATGGCCCGAAATCTGTGAAGATACCCCTTTGGAATCTGCCAAAAATTGACCCGGAATAAATCCACCTAAATCGGTGCTTAATGGACTCAATCATCGTTGGAGAATAGCATCAGGCCAAATTCGTGATCTGTAGCCTTCAATATCCAAAAAAATGGCCTTTCGTCGCCCAAGAAATTACGAAAATGCCATCCGAAAATAAATTGGCCCATATCGATACTTAACGTACTTATCATCCGTGGAGAATATGATCAATAGACTTCATTATCGGAGGAGAATAGGCTCGGCTTGATTCCGTGATCTGTAGCCTCCAGAATCAAAAGAAAATGGCATTTCGGATAAATGGCCTGAAATCTGTGATGGTACGCCCTTTGGAATCTGCCAAAAATTCACCCGGAATAAATCCGCCCAAATCGGTGCTTAATGGACTCAA